CTGGAGGTGATACATATGGCACCGGCTCTGGAAACTATGGCTCTGGCACTCATGGCCTTGGTGGTAGTGACAGACAAGGCACCAGCACTGGTAACTATGGCTCTAGCGGCTCTCATGGTTACGGCTCTGGTGCTGAAGGTGATACATACGGTGCCAGCTCTGGCAACTATGGCTCTGGATCCCATGGCTCACATGGCCTTGGTGGTGCTTCTGGTAACTATGGAACGGGCACCGACAGCTATGGCTCAGGAAATCCCCGTTCCTCCAACTCTGGACCTCACAGCTCGAACATTGCAAACAAATTAGACCCTAGGTTAGTGTTCTGAGACTCGTCTTGTTTACAAATCTTCTAACAAGTTAATGCAGAGTCGACTCGGATCGATCCGGTCACCAGGGCTACGGCGGCAGTAACACTGCTGGTACTCAGCGCCAGTATTAAAGAGTTTGGTGATGCGACAACATGTTAGCTTATGACTCTGGTTTGATTCTCACGACCGTTATGGTTATGTATTACTATTTGTTTTGGCATGGTTTTACGTCTTAACGAACACTTGAGATTGATAATAGTTTGAGGTTAATTGATTATCTTTACTAAAGCACTTGCTAGCTCCTAATGTCCACCCTTTGTAGTCGATATGCTGTCAGGTGATAAGTCCCTTTCCTGGTTGTCCCAGACAGGAAGGTGGTGCCTTTCTCGATTCAGAAAGTCCCTTTGGCCTGAAATAGACATATTCTCTCAAAGAATCCTCTCAGACTGCAATTCCTGCAAAGACAACCGTGACCCACTTGCCTGTAGACCCAACGTTGATCGTTTCAGTACTGAGATGTCGGATGAGGTGAATCTAATGTCGATTGATGAAGTGCACCTAACGACAAATCGTCGCCGTATGTCTTCTTTCTCCCTGACCGTCTTGGGTCAGTAAGTTTCCGTCCTGAGAATACTGACTGGTCCCCAACTCTACCCAGGGCAAAGATCTCGCAGGAAAAGACCAACAGTCATAGATATAATTCCTGAGAGAAATCCTGTGGGCTTCCATTCCCCTTCGCCTGTCCGTCGCCAGCATGTCAGTCCAGGCGTAGCCATACGCGCAAGTGAATGGACAGAGGCCAAGTCAGAACACAGCGTTGGTATCATACAAAGACATGCCCATTCTTTCTGCTAATCCGTTCTCCTCCCTCTAGTCTCCCAATCCAGATCCCATCCCAGACTCCCCTCAGTCTCGTCTGTCATCGGCGACACCAGCACCTACTTTCGATAATACCAACACGTCGATTACCGTTTCCCCTTACTCTGAAATTCTTGAGAGTCCTCGTTACACTTCCTTATTTCAACCTAATCACACTATACGCTCTTCGAATTCACTACTACCTGCTTCACGGCACAAGTCAGGTGAAGAGTCCTCGGCTCACTTTCTCTCACCTTTGAAAGGCAGGGAACGTCGGAGTGTTTCCACCATGCCTGGAAGAATCAGACCTGAAGACCGGTTCCGGTTAGTGGTGAACAGAGCTTCTTCAGCTGCTATGCTGCATGGTGGCAGTCGTGATCTGAATAGCCTTGACGACCTTGCATCATCTAGGCCGATCCCCTTGAGTGCTCTGTGCGGCAGAGCTAACTCAAGGAACAAAGGTTCAAGATCCTGGAAATCCATACCGCTTGATGTAGACGGAGAGACTACAGGTGACCCTGTGAGCAATGTAATCCTATCCGAAGTCAGCCATTACAAACCTCGTTCTCGTCTCTCCGCCATGCATCAATCCAACAACGAGGATGGATATTACCAAAGGAATAATGGTACGGTGCGACTCCAAGCCCCCGATGATCGCTTGGGACATAGAAGCGACCCTATGGGACAGAGCTGGTCCAGAGAAATGAATGCTCAAATCCAACAAAACCCTCTGAGCTATTCTGCTGGGTATGATTCCCCTTATCACAATTCACTCTCGCAGCGGAATAGCTACATCTCTGAGAGTCCATTCATAAGGGGTGAAAACTACTTCCAACCAGAACAAACTAGCTGGTCAACAGAATCATACCACTCGATCTCTGGTGTACTTGGTGGTGCAATGCAGCAGCCTGAAGGTTACGCTCAGGGCATCTATACCACGAATTTGATGCCAAATCCTGCCTTACATGCTTATGGAACAGATTCTGGGCGTCCATATACCCCATCATCTCACGAATCATTAGCACATCCGGTTCATGGCCATCATGATCAAATGAGTTTCTATCAGCCATCTCACATGTTGCAATATTCGATGCCAGGGCTCCAGCACGAGCAATACATTGGTTATGAATCTACCATCCAAGCCGAAGATGCATTCCCAACATACAGAGATGGTGTGATCTTGACAACAACCTCAAATCCAATTGAGATGTCTTCTCAAACACAGACAGCAAAGTCTTCGCCAATTCCGCCCTCGACTCCTGCGTATGATTTGGATAAGAAGATCGGAACAAAGTTCAACCAATTTGATGTGGTGAAACCTCATGGTGAGACTAAAAAGTGCGGCTCTAAAGAGGAAATGGCAGCCTATCTCAATGATGTTGTTCACAAGGCTCAGTTGGATACTAAACAAACGACACTGCACGATCCTTTCGTGGAAACAAAGGCTCCCCTTGTCAGCGAACGTCAGGAGCAGGACTATAAGGCAAAACAAAACCTGCATGTACAAAAAAAATCGGAGGACCAGATTATTAAAGAGTCTATAAAGGAACTCCTGGAACGAAATGAAACATTCAAGCGACACTGTCAAGCAGCTCCCGTCCAAAAGCCAGGGCCAAAGAAAAGTGACGCACAAGACCAAATCAATGAGAAGAGAGCAGACCCCTTCGAGAGCCGAGCAGGAAACTTGAGTACAGCCAGTGGGAAAATTTTGAAACCTCCTCCAGGGCTCCCCAAGCCCGCTGCGCATAATATGATGATAGAATGCTCACCTATTGAGCAACGCTCTCTGCTTGAGAAACATAGGCTTGAAGAAGCAAACTATTGGTTTAGCAAGGATGGTCGTGGGGAAGAACAGCTTCGACAGCATGTCGATGAAGTTGCTCAGAAGTACTCGGAAAAGTGTAAGAAACTTCAGGGAACGTCTCATTCGGTGCAAGACAGCGCCACTGCAAAACAAATGACTCTACTTTTGGGAAATGTCATTGCCAATCTTCAATCATACGTCTCTGGAAACCGGACCGAACAAACCAGCAACTTTGCAGACTTTGGAACTGTAAAACCTCATTCCCGCGAGCCCAGCCATGGTGGACGCCGCAGTTACTTTGATCGAGATCCTTCTGTTGATCAATGGAGACTACCCTCTGGCCGAGCTTTCTCTAGTTTGAGCAACAATTCAGACAAGAAGCTCCCGCTAAGTCGCTTACATCGATCGTACGACGAGTAGTGACTGAGCTGAATGAGGTTGGGGCTAGTTTCCTCAGGTCATGACTTGTCTACATTCTCGAAACACCTACCAATTTCTGAGCTGTTGTGAGAAAAGGGTTGAAAAGGGAAATAATAACCATGAAAATAGAAAATGAGCAAAAAAAAGGGATGGGGTGAAAAGCCGATACGGCAACAGGCTACATTTCTTTTGCTGGTCTGGGAAAGGGTGTTGAAGCTCGAACCAAGGTGAATCAGCTGGCAAATTATCATATGGTTATCTTTTTTTTACTGTATTTACTTCCATCGAATCTCTTCTCGGATGGAAATCCTGCCCTTGATTCGAGATCTTGACTTGAATGGGCTTACGGAGGTTCAATGTTGCGCACATAGGAGGATCGCTAATTATGTGACATGATAACTCTCCGGTAGAGGAATGATTGCATATCTAGCAGGAATTCAATAAAGTAAATTTCCAGTCATGTCTAAAAGTCTACAGTAGCATGAACTAGTATGCTAAGCCACCTAGAATAGATTGTAATCAATCACAATACTACCTGTATGACTTTCAGCACATAAACTCGGTCGATCAACATTTTTATATTTTCGCATTATCAGTAATTCTAGAAAACGGTATTGCTTTAAAGGGAGGAGGGTGTTCAACCCTCATTCGAGGTCGTATATGGCTGTCGGACAAAAATATACAATTCCACCACACCGACCAGACAAACACCACTTGCACAAAAACATCCGCATAACTGACTTGAAATATATATCTGCAAATAAAAGTATCTCATAGACGAAATAAATAAACAAGATAGATATCTAAAACCAAAACTTCCCATACCAAGCCAAGTCTAGTAAAGCCTAAAGCCAGCATCCCGCAACGACAGCATCAGTTACATATCAATAATATTCAAAGAAGACAAGTTGAAAATGGTTCAATTTGAGGGTATTGACTAAAAAAGCACAAGAAAAAAAAATACCTTGTCGACCTGCATTATGTAGGGTTATGTGCATGGATAAAAGTGAGAAATTATAGGTAAAATAGAAGCAAAAAAACAAGGGAAAGGGAGGGAAAAAGACGGAAGACAAAAAATAAAATGAAATGGTAAAAAAAGCCCACGCCTGAAATTGCTAATTTGCTGCACAACCATCCTCCTACGCCGAAAATCGATGCGTCATGAAATAAAAGCCGTGCCTGTAATGGGGAGGTGAAAGTAGGGGGAGAGAAAGATTTGTAAGGAGAAGAAATCATCATGACCTTATGACGCCACGGGTGTACGGCATGCATGTTGAAAAGTAATGAAATAATAAAGAAGGGAACTTTCAGTAGCCCGAAACGAAGTAAGGAAGTTAGATAGACGGGTCATTTATCGATCTAACAATTGACGAGATTGATGTGATTATCATTAAGCGCAGAACAGGCGAGCAATGTCTTATGCGGGTGGAATGCGGTGCTCGCAATTGGTGAAGAGCGGTTATGGTTGAGGAAGCTCGAGTAGGGCTCAAAGGTAGACAGGTAACTGCCATCAACGTTGAACGTCTTGACCTCGTGACGGTTTGTACCCCTGGTAAAAGGTCAGTCAATCTGCAAATAGAACATAAAAATACCCGAATGAAGTGGGTCACATACACCATGAAGACCGGAGCATGCTCGTGGACACTCAATGTGCGAAGGGTATCCCTGGTGGCATAAGTCGTCGAAATCGGGTCGTTCATCCTAAGATCCCATAGCCTGATCTCTCCATTCCGGCTGCCAGAGACAAGTTCTCTCAAACCACCGCGTTGCATGTGGACATTTGTAATCCACTGTTTATGCTCACGCCAAACCTTGACCATGGAGGTGGTGGGCTTGAGACGTTGATCAAAGACACGGACGGCACCATCACCAAATCCTGCCACGAAAATATTGCCAGCGACCTGATCTGAGGTCAATGAAGTGATGCAGGAGCCTGAACGTGCAGGGATATCCTTAAGGAAGTAAAATGTCAGTGTATACCGAAGTTTGTGAAAATCAGAAAAACTTACATTGGTGCACACTTCAGTGGCTGCGTTCCATACCCTGATGACCTTGACATCACCTGCAACCAAGGCTTTACCTTGCCCTTGTTGCCAGTCAAGAACTAGCCCTGCATTTTTATTACTGGGGATAAGCTCTGGCAGAGCTCGGAAAGCTGTCACAACTTCAACATTCTTGGTAGACTCATAGTTCCTGAAGACCTTGAGAACACCATCTGACGATCCTGTCATCAAGAGGGCCTGATCATCCTCATTAATATAGCGAACTTCGTTGATTTTCGAGCCTGCCGGATTTCCGTTGGAAAAGCGATTGAGACGTTTATGACTCTGCCAGTCCCAGATTCTACAAATTTGTCAGCAGCAATCAACATTTCGACCTCTGCTATACTCACGCAATTGTATCCTTGTCGTCTGCAACGGCAATGTGATCCTCAAACTGATGGAAGCACATCTTCATAGGTTGACTACTATTCGAAAGGAGTGCCGTCGAGTTATCCCATCGACTAGTGCCTGCTTTACCTTTAAGGGGTTGGGTATCAGAGATTATCTTTTCATTGCGGCTTCGTCTCCAGAGGCGTTCGTTGTAGTCCGAGCTACCGGGCTCATCGGGTTCGTTGGGTTTCATCTGGGGTTCCCGGAAATACTGAACAAGGGTGAGAAATTGTTCAAACTGTTCGTCATACGTCACGCAGATTAAATGAAGAGATTCTGGGATTACCTCTGTTGACCAGTCCAGGAATCGGCTTATCAAGGGTATTGTTGGGACCATTGATGCGTCTCTGGGTTCAAATCCTCGGGATGTGGGTGTTGGGGCCTGGTGGTATGCTGCTGCGGGAGCAACCTGATCGTTGACCTCTGGCGGTCGGGTCCATTCTGGGGGAGCTCGTCCTCGGGGAGTGACGGGCATCCGGTTCTTCGAGGGCGATGTCGGGGGGTTCGACTGCTCGCCAGGGGCGGCACCGCCAAAGGCGAGATTCTTAAGAGAGGCAGCGACACTAGCTGTGCGCTTTATACTCAGGGAGAGGTAACCTTCTTGTTTTGGAGGCGCCAGGGAGGGAGGGGTAGGCGGGGGTGCTGTCTTTTTTAACTCGGGTCTCTCGCGAACCTGCAACTTGGGGGACACGCGGTTTGAGAGATCCATGATCTCACCCCGGAGTTTGTCAGTGATGGAGGCCATGGGGGATTGCAACAGGGTGAAATGAATGAAGTCAACAATCGCACTTGCATCGCGTGCGATATCGGGGTGTGGATCAACAGAAAGAATAAGAAGCTGCTTCCAAATTGTGCCAAACGCAGTATTGCGAGACAACAATTGCGCTTTGTCACTCTTATTCCCCTCTTCACGGGTTATACTTCGAGGCGACTGATTTTCCACCCTGATAAGGAGGGTTTGCTTTTCCTCCTGGAGTTCTTCATACGCTGCGACAATGAACTTGTTCTGGTAGCGTTTTACGAAAGTGGAAAAGAAGACAATGAGCTCTTTTCTCACAAGGACACTGCCATCCGAAGAGATTGGCAGCATTGCCAGAGCCAGAGTTTCCTCAATCTGTGCAACCTGATCAGTCAAGTCAGGGATACCTAGGAATGTAGTCACGGCGTGCAGCATGGCGGCGCGGACTTCTGGGACAGGATCAAAGTTGAGTTCGCAGAGTCTCGCCGGCGCAGCACATCGGATTCCCATCCACTTTGCCTCAGGGAAATCAGACCAGAGCATACTCAAGCAGAGACACGACCATTGCCGCAAAAGAGGATTTTCGACATCCGTCAGGTGTCTCAGGCAAGAATCGAATAGTTCCCCAGAGAGACAGACGTTCTGGCCTTGGGGATAATTCTTGCAGAATATCGAAACGATAAAGGCGCACATAGCTCGGTGCTCACTGGCGTTCCCCACTGGTATTGGCGAAGATGGGTTGAGAATCGAGATGAAATAATGGATACCATTATCTTTCAAGAGATCATTTTGTACGGTATGATCAACCGCCATGATTCTTGCCCAAATGAAAACCATGACAGGTTTCAACTCTTGGGCCGCAGATTGCAAAAGTTTGACGACGTAGGGGAATATACCAATACTCAAAGCAAGATGAACTGCCCAAGGTCCCAGGTCTAGGAATTTACTCAGCAAAATCAACGCTCTTAGTCTATGTGCCTGACTCAGAAGAACCTGCAAGACTATTGGCAGTTGGTCAGGAGGATTCTTTTCTGTTGGGCCAGACGACAGATAAACCTCAAAAGCAGTAAGTTGCTCAGCAAAGAAGGTAGAATGCTGATACTCGTATTGCCTGCGGCCTTCCTCGTGGTCTATAAGGGCGGGAAGCTGGGATAAGACCATCTCAACTGCCAGATCCCAGCTCTTCCATAACGGGTGGTGGTGAGTCTCTGGGAGCTCAGGAGAGGAGATAGGGTGGCATTTATATGTGCGCATAATCCGCTCGCTGAGCAAGAAATTCCTGAAAAGAGCTGCAACCATAAGGTCTTGTCGGAAAAGCTTCTTGAAAAGAGCCCGTGGCAAAGTATTCCACGCAATCGTATCAGTAATTGCGGTAAAGATCCAATTCAGCTCTCCAAGAGGGCTTCTTCGATCCTGCAAGCGACCTGGTACCCTGAAGTCATCGATAGAAATATTCGTACGGAGAGGGTTCTGAAGGATGAAGAACCGCAATGCTATTTCGATTGGTGTAGTTAGACAACAAGTGAAGAGATCTGCGGGTAAGTCGGGATTAGTCGGGAGGGATTCTGCCTTTTGACAGGCGGCGAGAAGTATGCAATCTCCATAGCTTTGGACGAGAGCATTGGGGTCACGCTTTTTGGCCTCCAGGTTTTCCTTTTCGTGCTTATCGACAAAAGTATGGAAGTTTTGAACGATATTCCCTGCATGGGAGACGTCGAAAACGAAAAGACTGGGGCCTGCAAGCCATGATTGTAGGTCATACAACGACACCGGGATATATTGGGTGTAGTTTTTGTTAAAAACCCAGATCTCGCCGGACTGAGTTGGTAGCGGAACACCGTGACCGTTATAGTGGAAGAGCACTCTCTCGTCTTTAGCGTTGCGACGTAGCGATATACAAAACTTCTTTGTTTCGTCTACAGACGGGTCAAGATACTGCTTGTATCGAGTCCGTAAGCTCAGGGTCTCATATTGTTCCTGGAGCTTTTTCCCAATCTGCTCCATTATCTTGTTCTGGCCACCACCGGTAGTTGATGTTGGGTCAACCCAACATTCGAACTTTGCTGTTGGATTTGTCTTGACAACATCAGGGGGGTCGACACCGATATTCAGACAGATTGCCAATGCTGCCGAAACTGTTTTGAGGCGGTCCTTCATACGCCAATCCTGACTGGGCCAGCTTCCTACTGGGTCCCTGGGGATACCGTTTGTGTCATGGCGCTTCTCTGTAAAGTACATGTAAAAATTCTAGGGGGGTCAGACTGATGAACTGTATGAAGACTTGGCACATGGCGTGCCGCCACTGCTTACCGAATGCAGGATCTTGAGATACTCGCTCGAAGTATACTCTTCCTGCCACCCATGCCTCATGGCGAAATCCTCTTCCTCCTCACCCGCAAGCGCTCTATCAAACTCGGCTCTAGGCCCGTAGTCACTCTTGGTTCTCTTAAGTGCAGCAGGCCGTGCAGGTTCGGCCGGGCGGGGAGACGGTAACCGGGCGTTGGCGTCTGAAACGACACCACCCCCTTCGCCCCCGGAACTGGTCGGTCTACCTGGAGTAGATACAGGGGGTTGCTTCTGTTCGAAGGTGGTGAAGGATCTATGATGTGTCGGGGCTGGTGATCTTTCGCGTGGCGGGATATGAGTTTCTAGATCTGGACCGAAAGCAACGCGGACGGTCTTGCTGGGGTTTCTTCGCGGTTCAGCTTGAGCACTGCCCGCCTGCGGTTTTATTCCATTGTTTTGTTCCATGTTGAGATTGGGGTCCCTCATGATGGATCGAAGACCATTGTGTTCGAATAAGTAAGAATGGCGCAGTCACCAAAAAGAGTGAAGGAGTCTAGTCGGGCAAAAGAGAATTAGGAACTGAGCTCGAATATATTGACAGTATGGGCTGTTGGGTATAGCGATGGAATAGATGGATGTCGAACTGTGGGGGCGGGGAGCATGGAAGCTCACCTTATCAACCACGATACAGTTGCGCGCACTTAGGACCGATTAACATACCCAATCCGGAGGCTCAACGGTGAGCAATCCAGACGTGATCGCAGTGCTGGAAAGAAGAGAATCCACCTTTTTCGAGGAAGCCAGAGTGGATATTCAAGATGAGATGATACAATTTCAGCCACAAGCTGAACGGCAGACCTTTTTCGAGATCTCGCAGTGAAACCCGCAGGATGTCGACGTCTTCGGAAGCGAAAGAGGCTCATGAGCTTTGGCCGTGATGTCTTGGCAGCGAAGCCTCGGACAATCTGTATCTCCGGCGGCCCACAGCGTAGGCGCATTACATCAGAGGTAAATGGCTTCAGTTTAGGATTGAAGGTACCATAAATCGATGTTGTTTAATATCAGGTACACTCGTTCTCATCTTATGGTATATTCTGAATGTCTTGGCTACTGAAGATGCAGCATATTGAACCCTGTACATTTTGATATTGACGATCATAAAGGCAGATATATTCCAACGTCTAACGGGATCAAGATCGGACAAGAAAGCTACTTTGACTTTATCTGAATCTAGGAGGATGTCTCGGAAGGGAAGATGATTTCTAATATTGAGTGGTCTGATCTGAATACAGGGTCTCAAGATAATTTCGGTTCGTGACTCCATACAGAGTAGCCGAACTGGTGGTGCATACTCGGTTACTACAGCGTTGATCTGTAAAATTGTTAAATGACGAGTCAAAATCTGCTCTGAATTCTAAAGCGATTTATGTAATAATGAATAATGGATAACGACAGATGAATATTTTCTGTTGGACCGATGTGAATAATTTTAGCGACCAGCGTTGGCTAACAGTCCAACGGGCCATGACGATCCAGCTTGGCGATTAGCCTGGACCTCCTGAAGCGATGTAAATAACTACAAAATCAAAACGGTAAACGGAGACAAAGGCGCTGGGTATTCCGTCAGGATTCGGCAGATGGTAGTACCTGGTCCAAGGCACAATAGTCTGGTTAGGATGCCAGGCCAATCCAGATGGGGAGATGCAAATTCATCACCATGGATCACATTTCATGGCAGGCCAAATCCAGCCCACGGCGGGTAACAAAAAACGAAGGCAGAGAAAGGAAAAAAAAAAAAAAAAGACAGCAGCCAAAGATGAATGGCTGATGTTATGATGGCATATTGCACCCTCATTCGTCCAGACTCAAATGCTCCGTCCATCTTTTTCCGTCTTCACGAGGGTCCAACGGCGTCTGATAGGGCGGCTGGCAGTGGCAGCCCCTTTCTTCCTTTGTCCCTCTGGCGCTCTCCCCTTGATCGGCCATCGACCGCCCTGGCATGTCACCACCACGACTATCTAGTTAGTATGGATTGTTGATCCTTTCCCTCAACACTGGAAGATGAATGAATTCCAACCAACATACTCAGTCCCCCGTAACTGACTAAATGGTTTATTATTCTGCTGGTTCTGCTGGCTCTGCTGCTGTTCCTGCGTATATTGACAATTGACATACAGCATCTGGTTCACCGCATATGTATGTCTATCGGTCTCTGTAAGGAACCACTCTGGGTCTCAGATCACAATATTAATCTCAACCTTGAAAACACGGGGAATATATAAGCAATTTCCGCTTGACGGCTGGTTTCTATTTATTCCTACTCTCAAGCTTCAGCTCCTAACCCTCCAGTTGGTATTGTTGTTTGGAATGCTGGGAGCCTGTCGGTGGTTAGGACTGCAGCCATCTCACAGGAATTCCTTTTAAATCGTATGCCATGACAGAGAGTCTTGCATGGAGATTATACAATCTACATGAAGTAAGAGATGTCTTCAGACAAGTATGAGATGGTAGATGTGCGTAGCAGACATATCGGTTCCTGGTTCCTCTCAACTGGTAACTATTTGATCACGGGACAAGATATCCAGTGATCCACGCTGGAATTCTTCAGTTCCTAGCATCAAACAATAGGATATGCACGCAAGCCCAGCAGAATAAGAACCAGCCTGTATTTATTATTGGAGGCTGGATCCTACTATTGTATGCCGGAGTGGAAAACAGATCCCCTCGTGCCTCGTGGCTTTTTTTCTTTTTTGTTATTCCCAAGCGGTGTCTTCTTGTTTCCCCCTAAAATTACTGAACAAAACAATCTTACTGTTCGCCTGGAAACTTTGAAACGCCGGAGTCTCTCTCAAAGACGTCCCTCTTCCCCCCCCCGAACCTCCATTACTGCCACTCTTATTCTCCGATTATTCTGCCATTTCAATTTCTCGTGTCTTTCCTTTTATTCTCTTCGCTTCTTCTTCTTTTCCTTTTCTTTTTCGTCACTGTATTTTTTCTTTACTTCTTTTTATTACGCTAGTCGCCCATGATCGATTTCAGTCGTATTCGAGGTTTTAAGTGAGGCTGCTTTGAAGTAGGGCCTCCTCGCTACGGGACGCTGAGCGGCTTCAGCTTTGGCCCGGGGATAACACCATCCATCTATCCTCCCATTCCCTCCCCCCGAGAAACCACAGAGCACGGCCATCGCTGGTGTGTTCAATTCGGACGTATCGAGATACAAAATTTTCATTCCACCTCTGAAAGGCAATAGGTCGTCCGGGTTTATTTTACCCTCCGTGCTGTCGCGCCTTTTTTTTTTTTTTTTTTATTAAACCGTGTCCCTACCCCCGTCCAGGAACAGTCTGTGTGCAGGTGCCGGTTCCAGGTTCGGTGAAAAAGGGCTTGGTTGGGCATCTGCACTGGCTTGTTATTTTGCCTTGACCTCTTTTCTTATAATCTAAAAATCTTTGCGTTCTGAACGACCGTTTACGATTCCACATTTACGATGGCTTTCCTGTTTAAATCGAAGAAGAACCAGCAGGGTACTGGCCTACCCCCGGCGACGAGAAATGTTCATACCTCAGAAGGAGCCCCGGCCTCAGCAGGACAGGCGCCAGTCAATGGTGTTAAGGAACGGGATGGAGGGAGTTCGCAGACGCCGACTCCCAGCAGCAGTTACAATAATTCGTTGAATTCGGTAAATAGCACGACCAGCCCCGAGAACCAACGGGTGCGACAAAGAGCCGAATCGGAATCGCAAGTGGGTTTACTTCCTTAGTCCATCATGTTTACCCATCTAGTTACTAGGGGTTCCGGTGATGTCGGGTCACTCAGACAGCTGATCAGAAACAGGTTCAACGACCTCCGCCAACGACAAACGGCACCACTTCCCCCGGCGCCAGCCCGAGCGCCTCCCTCTACCCATGGTCACAACGTCGACTCAACTTTTCTAATCAGCAGACAAATCCTTTCCCACGGTATGGTGCTGCGATCAACGCGGTTGCCTCGAAGGAGGGCGATATTTATTTGATGGGCGGATTGATCGATGGATCAACTGTGAAGGGAGATCTTTGGATGATTGAGAGCAGCGGCGGTAATCTGTCCTGCTTTCCAATCGCGACTGTCTCGGAGGGACCTGGCCCCAGAGTCGGCCACGCGAGCTTGCTGGTTGGCAATGCTTTCATCGTATTCGGCGGAGACACCAAGGTTGATGACAATGATACATTGGACGACACATTATATCTCCTGAATACTTGTATGTACTAGGCTCTGGTTGATGTGGAAGATATCGCTCTAACTCTATTTCTAGCCTCGCGACAATGGTCGCGCGCCATTCCTCCTGGTCCCCGGCCCTCCGGACGCTACGGTCACACATTGAATATACTGGGCTCGAGGCTTTACGTGTTCGGAGGACAGGTCGAGGGATACTTTTTCAACGATCTGGTTGCTTTTGACCTCAACCAGCTTCAGAATCCTGCGAACAAGTGGGACTTCCTGATCCGCAATTCCCATGAAGGTGGACCATCTCCGGGCCAGATTCCCCCGGCCAGAACAAACCACTCGATCGTCAGCTTCAACGACAAGCTCTATCTGTAAGATTCTCTACAAAAGGATTGAAAATGCAGTTGACTCACAGTACTTAGTTTCGGAGGAACGAATGGCTTGCAGTGGTTCAATGATGTCTGGTCGTACGACCCGCGCGCGAACCTCTGGACACAGTTGGACTGTGTGGGATTTATCCCTGCACCAAGAGAGGGACACGCCGCAGCTCTTGTGAATGACGTGATGTACATTTTCGGTGGTCGCACCGATGAAGGCATCGACTTGGGTGATTTGGCTGCCTTCCGCATCTCGACTCGACGATGGTATTCGTTCCAGAATATGGGCCCAGCTCCCTCTCCAAGGTCAGGTCATAGCATGACGGCCTTTGGGAAGCAGATCATTGTGATGGCAGGCGAGCCAAGCTCTGCACCAAGGGACCCTGTGGAGCTCAGCATGGCATATGTGCTCGACACGGCTAAAATTCGCTACCCGGCCGAGAATACAAATGGAGAAAGAGCTGGAGCTCCAGGGATGCGAAAAATGAGTGGAGGAGATAGGCCGAGTCCAACAACCTTAACCGGTCGTACATCCCGGGAGGCCCAGAACCAGCCACCAGATCGACGGGGGCCGATAACATCACGAGAAAGCTCGACGATGAGTCCAACTGGAAGGCCGGCAGAGTATGGACCGAGCCCTGGACCAGGCTCACGACTCCCTCGGGCGTCAATTGCGCAAGCGCCATCTGGGCCTCCTCCCCCGGGGCAGGCTCCGACCCCTGGTCCCAGAGGAACTACGCCTCAACATGCCATGAACCCCAGAAGCAAAACCCCGACAAAATTCGACCGTGCATATGGGGGTACTGCAGTGGAGACCGTCCGGGCTGTGAATAGCGAAAGGGATCGCGAATCGCCTGTGGCACGAGAGTCGCCCAGGGGTGTAACTCCTGTGCAGGATCAAAGTGCTGCACCCGGTGGCCGTCACACACCTACCCAACCACAGTCGAGAATGTCTGCCAAAGCGATGGAGACTGGTGAGGCTGCTCCACTGATGAGTGCACCTACACGCCAACGTTCTCTGCGCCAGCAAAGACAGCGTAGCTCCCTTGATAGTGCAGATAGCGAGTCAATCCTCGGACGTCAAAATAGCGTCGATGGCCCCACCGAAGCCCGAGTTTACAGAAACTCTAAGGGCGACGAGCCTCGATCACCCAAGCTGACTCCTCACCAGGAAGCTTTGATCAAAGAGCTCGAAGTTGTCAAGAGCCGAAATGCCTGGTACGCGTCGGAGCTTGCACTGGCCAAGAAAGCAGGCTATGCTCCTAACCCTTCCAATAACACTGCCTTGGACGAACGTGCAAGCGATACCTTTGCTGACGAGGACCGCCCCCTAATTGAGGCGTTCTTGAACATGAGGGCAGAGCTTGCAAAGATGCAAGCAACGGTGGATCGACAGGCTGCCATTGCTTCCAAGCGTGTCGCAGAGGTGGAACACCAGAGAGATGCAGCAGTCAGCGAGGCGGCTTATTCCCGTGCCAAACTTGCTGCCCATGGCGGCAGCCAACGCGGTACCCCACAGCCTGACAGATCGTCTCAGGACCCCGATGACGCGATGTCGGGGCGTGCCACGGACATGAGCAGAAGGTTGGCCTTGGCTCTTGCGTCTCAAACCGAACTCAGATCCAAGGTGGAAATTGTTACGACCGAATTGGAGCAGGAGAAGCAAGCTCGAGAGCTAGCTGAGGAAACCAGCGAAGCTACCCGGAAGAGGTTGGCAGAGATTGAGATGAACACCAATGCTTTGGAGGCAGAGAGCCTGCGCACGGAGCTGCATCAAGCTGAAGCCTCAATGAGAGAGGAAGCATTGCTTCGCTCTGAAGCCGAGGCTGCTTTGAAGCAACTGAGCTTGGATAAGGAGGAGCTATTGAGCAAGCTCGAGGACCACTCAACTCGCCTAAGAGACTATGGAACCAATTTTACTGGCCTCCGCGAGGCTGTTGCTGCCTCATCGGACAAATCTAACCTCCTCGAAAGACAATTGGATGAAGAGAGAGAGCGACGAGAGGGACTCGAAAAGAAGCTGTTGCAGCTCAGGACAGAACACGAAGAACGAGCCTCGGATTTGGAGAACGCAACTCGTCGTCTACGAGATGCAGAAGAGCTTGCTGAAAGCCATGCGCGGGAAGCGGAGACCCACAAGAATGCATTCCTTGTTGGATTGGAGCGTGCAACATCATTCGACTCGGAGGGCTCTGTACGATCTGTCGCGGATCAGCGGGTGACCGCCTTGGAGGCACAAGTCGAGAGGGCGAATAGCTTGGCCAAGGCCAACCAGATGGCTGCTAACGAGGCTGCAGAGAAACTCCGTCGGGCGGAGGAGAGAATCGCTGGCTTGGAAGCATACCAGGAACAGGCTAGCAGAGAAGGATTGCAGCTCCGCAGACAGCTCCAGACCGCCATGAAAGAAAGCCAGGCCAATGCTGCTGAGAATCGGGATCTCAAGGCCCAAGTCGAGAACCACCACCGCGAGGCTGGTGCATTGTCCATTCAACACGCTGCTCTCAAGGACCTTCTTGGAGAGCGTGGAGTCAACACCGCAGATAGCCGTCGATCGCCTAGACTGGACTCGCCCGGATCTCGATTTGGAACTCCTGAGCAAAGCCGACTTCGTGAATTGGAGCAACAACTTTCAAGCAGCATCAAGGCACACGATGATCTGAAGTCGTCTGTCGAAACACGCGAACAGGAAGCCGACCGGGCTTACAGGGAGAAATTGGAACAGCTCGAGAACGACTACCAGTCTGCTGTTCACTACGTCAAGGGTACCGAGAAAATGCTGAAGCGCATGAAGGATGAACTGGCCAGGTATAAGACTCAGTATGCAAAGGCACAATCGGAATTGGAGGCGGCAAAGAGTTCCAGCCAGGCTAGAGATGTTCCGGCGGACTGGGAAAGCGAGCGCTCAAGACTCCAGCAGGCGATCTCCGACCTAGAGCAAGGAACGGCTTCTTCCATTTCGAACCTGGAGAACCAAGTTTTGAGATTGAAGAATGACCTTACCGCGGCTCAAGCTGACAAGAAGAAATCTCAATCCGAATACGAGAAGATTAGGCAGGAACTTGCTACTGCTGCCCAGAGGAGCCGGGCTGAACTGGATCAGTTGAAGCAGGAGAATTCTTTGCTCGAGACTCGTGCATCAGATGCTGAGCAGAAAGTTACCATGCTCCTGGATCAGGTTGAGACGTCCGTCGGACATTACCGCCGACAGTCTCAGCACAGCCAAGGTGTCAATGGCAACGTCTCGCGCACGCACAGCAGTGCTTCCAGCAACACCATTGGTGCTGGCCGACCAAGAGCCGATAGTGCGGTGTCGCAAGATGACTCGTTCCCTGACAACCGGGGCTCCGTGGCCCTCGATTCACTAGCCAATGAGCTGGAAGCCTTGCGTACTCACTGGGAGAGCACCAACCGCAACTATCGATTGAGTACCCAGTCCGATTTCGATCGGACACCGACTAAGGAGACCCACGACGGTGGGGGACTGAGCGACAGCCTTGCTGAATGGAGACGGAAATTGGATGAGGAAGAAGCACGGGCAGAGTCACCCGTGGCCCCCAGCACCGAGAGAAACAAGCCTCGCAACCATGGCGAGGTCCCTCCGGCTGCGAATATGATATGAAACGGCTCTTGGCCGGGAGCCCTGGCCGATTGAAAGCGCTGACGTTTCTGCCTGGAAACACGCGCCACGAACTCATGGTTGGCATGTACAAATCCGCGATTTCGTTTTATGGCAATTGATCTCTGAGAGCAATTTTGTTCGTTGTACGATTGTGGTTTTGACTGCTGTTTCGAATTTTCTTTGACCTGTGCATCTTGTTATTTGGGACAGCTGTGTGCGATGTGTTTTTTTTTTTCTCTTTTCTTTTTTCTCTTCTTTTTCTTTCTTCGTGCATCCCCATATGCAGATTGGGAATGTCGGGGTTTTTCTTTTCTCTTCATATTTTTTTTTTTTTTTTTTTTTGATCTTCTCTTCTACTATTTTTCTCATTTTCACTTCTTTTATACCCCTCACAGATTTCCCAAGTTTATCTTTATATTTCTTTCGAAGTCTCTGGCCATGTACCAATACATTTGTTCCTTTGCATGAAGTCTCTGTCTAATCATAGTGCGAATTGTCTGTTACAATGATAAAGCTGGATAGCGTCCATGCTTGAGTCAATGTTTTGTCTGATTTGAATCTGTAAAACACCACATGTAGACCTAATAATGTCTTAATGGGGAGAGAGAAGAGCCAAGCGAGGCTGCATTTGCTGATATGAGCAACGGTGTACAAATCATGAAACAAAAACAGGTGAATCCTTGCGCCACCACAATGCAAGCCCATAACACACAACAAGGATTTCCGTATACTAGCTACGACCGTGTGTCAATCAGGCTGCAGCCTCCAATCAGCCACTATTGAAGCGGTGCAATGAGCAGATGCCAGCAAGTTAAGCAGGGAGGGAGAAATAAGGCGAAGCGATTATTGAAGCGAGAGAGATTATATAAAGGGGGCTTGACCAGCACATTTGCCTACTGCAGGGTTGCTGGTTGGGTTGCAAGAAAGTGGCAGGAAAAAGAATATGGGGATCATCGGCTGCGGTGGAGAGGACAAAGAAGCGGTGCGGGCAGTCAGGAGGTAATTTAAGGTTAGTGTATGTAATTATAGAACACAAGTGCCGATGGCCTACCTAGGTAGTGATATAGAGAGCATGTAGTACAGAGTGTATGTAGATAATATGGATATAGAGAATAGTCTTAATTGTATATTATAGATCCATATTACTTCGTCTCTATCTTGCTAGACCCATTGGTCAATTGCTTTGTCGATATTGGGCAGGTGTTGTGATGTCGGATGATGCCTTACTAGGATGTATCGCCGTACGGTAATATTACCCGCAGGTCATCTGAGTTGGAGGATATTGAATCATCGATCTCGAAATGGATTGGGGTGCATCATCATCATGTGGCATGGCATGGAGATGGAGTTCTTATTCTGTATGGAGAAGATCCTTGACTGATCTATTCCCATATCAGTTGATCATAATAACACCCATAATTTCCAAGGCAATAACGATAGCATGATGCTCTCTCTTATTGCAGCCCAATGTTACATTTTGTATGGGGAGTGTATTTTTCAAGAGGTATAAGGATACCTAAAACGGTAATAGATCATTTTATTCACGCAAACCTGCCACCGTGACTTTTCCAACGAACGACTGGCGATGTAACCGGTTAATATTATTATAGTACTATTATTGATATTATATTGTCATAGTTTTAGTAAAAAAGAAAAAAGGCTACAGGGAATAATCCAAAAGGCGCGTCTTTCACCGACTTTAAGCTGCTGTTGCCCCTTTGGCAGCCGCGCTCTTTTTTTAAATAAAATAATAATTTTTGATTTTTCTGTTCCGTAACGGCGGCAGGACTAAAACTTATCGCTCACCTTCCATTCCTTCTTCTCCCCTCTCCCTCTCTCTCTCTCTCTTCCTCTCCCCTTCTCTTCTTCCCACCCACTTTACCCACCTTCCCGATATCAAGGCTCTGTCCTTGATTATTATTTCTTCTTCCCTTTTCATTCTTCCATTTCTTCTCTTTCTGTTCTTCCATAGCACTTGCCTTCTTTTTCTTTTTCCTTTCTTTCCCCTCCTCGACAGCCGTTCTATCCAAGGCTTGTCATCGCCCCTTGTCTCTCTCCGCTTTTTCGCCTTTTTCGGTCGGGCCCTCCGGTCGGTTTCTTGAAAGTCGACATCACCGCTATCTCACCCTCACAACCTGTCCATTTCGACTAGGTCAATCCCCCACTCCTTTTCTTTCTTCTCACCCCTCCTTGTATACCTTTCTCATCCTGGCCGCTCTCTTTGATCTTCATTCTCTGTCTTATCTGCCTGTCTGGCTGGGGCTCGTTGGCAATCCGCCCCATCCCAGCCTCATCACCTTCACTGTGCCAAGTGATTACGCGCCGAAAGGCTGAGCTTTCACTTGATTTTCTCTCTTCTCTTCCTCATCTCTGATCCATTTCCTGCTTTCTTTTACTTCCCACGACAAGCTTCTGTCAGAATTGGTCCTCAATCAGTCGACTTGGCATATTGGTTACTGACAACCTCTTCAGTCCTCAGCACGGCCGTCAAGCTGTGCCATCCCACTTAGTTCAAAATGACCACCATGGTTAGTGCTCGACTTTTTTTTTTTTTTTTTTTTTTTTTTCCCCCTCATTCTGGGGTCTTCACGTTCCAGCATTCCATATCCCTTCTTGTGGAGTGGGCTCTCGGAGAATTTTCTTTCAATTTGCCCACCACGTTGCTGACTCCTGTTTCTAGGATTTGCGTGTCGGTAACAAATACCGTATTGGTCGTAAGATCGGAAGCGGTAGTTTCGGTGACATCTACCTCGGTGCGTCCTAGTCGTTCTCGTTTCGAATCACAAATGGTAGGGATATTCGGCTGATGGGGATTCAGGTACCAACATCATCTCTGGCGAGGAAATCGCCATCAAGCTCGAGAGTGTCAAGGCCAAGCACCCCCAACTCGAGTATGAGGCCCGTGTCTACAAGTCCCTTGCTGGTGGTGTCGGTATTCCCTTTGTTCGCTGGTTCGGTACCGAATGTGACTACAATGCCATGGTTATCGACCTTCTCGGACCCAGTTTGGAAGACCTTTTCAACTTCTGCAACCGCAAATTCTCGCTCAAGACTGTACTGCTACTAGCCGATCAGCTTATTTCCCGCATCGAGTACATCCATGCCAAGTCCTTTATTCACCGTGATATCAAGCCCGACAACTTCCTGATGGGCATTGGTAAGCGTGGAAACCAGGTCAACGTGATTGACTTTGGTCTGGCCAAGAAATACCGTGACCCTAAGACTCACTTCCATATCCCTTACCGTGAGAACAAGAACCTTACCGGAACTGCCCGTTACGCCAGTATCAACACCCACCTTGGTGTTGAACAGTCCCGCCGTGATGATATGGAGTCCCTCGGATACGTCATGCTCTACTTCTGCCGTGGATCCCTCCCCTGGCAAGGACTGAAGGCTGCTACTAAGAAGCAGAAGTACGACCGTATCATGGAGAAGAAGATGACAACCCCTACCGAGGTTCTTTGCCGTGGATTCCCCAACGAGTTCTCCATCTACCTGAACTACACCCGCTCCCTGCGTTTCGACGACAAGCCCGACTACTCCTACCTGCGCAAGATTTTCCGGGATCTGTTCGTCCGCGAGTCGTTCCAGTACGACTACGTTTTCGACTGGACCGTCTACAAGTACCAGAAGAACGCCGCCATGATTGTCGACGCGTCCAAGAAGGACAAGGAGGCTGATGGTCGCCAGGGTGTCGGAGCTGCCGCTCCCATGGGCACCCCTGGTGCTGCCGTCAAGCCCGGTGCCATCTCTAGCCAGCGCCGCAAGGTCATCGAGCGTGGAGCCCTCGACAACACCCCCGACACCAACCGTGCTGTGGGAGGAAGTGACAGGATGTGAGTATCTGAAACCTAGGTTCCGTGTAGGGAACCCCTTTCCTCTTTTGCGTTTGGTGCTTTGTGTTACGCTGGCGCGTGGAGGTCAAATTTCGTCCAGAATCTGACTAATCTCATAGTCTTCGGCGTTAGGCTGCGTTCTGCTTCCAAGGTTGCTGCTGGTGCTTATGGACCTGCTGGTGGCCGTTCGAAGCGGGACGATGGGATCGGTGCTCAGTGGTACTAATTGTGCGGCATGGCAGTGTAGTTGGGCCTTTGGAATTATTTCAATTGTTTAGCTTCCTGCATGTTGACACCACGCTGACCTAGAAGCCCGGGACCATGGTGATGCTCGGTACCTCATCCAATGTGCGGCACAACCTCTCGGACTTCTTTCACCTTGATCTCCACTTTTTCAAGTTTCTTTTTTCTATGCACTCTCTGTTAGCCCGTCAGTTTTCGATCACCTTCCGATCTTCGCCGTTTCGATCCGTGGTTTTTGTTTCAATCGTCAGCTCGCCCTTTCAGCCTTAATCCTTCACCCGTGGAGGCTTCTCGTTGATCGACTACTACTTCGAGCCTACGATGCTATCTTTTTTCGATATGCGAAACTCCCACTTTCTCGAAGCGCTTTAATTGTGGCTATTTTATGTCTTCGCCTTCCGGTTCAGGCCACTCGAATTTCTACTCACTGAGTTTTACTCGATTCCAATGCAAATTACCGGTAGGGTGGACTGAAGGAGATGCAAACCGAAAAAAAAAATTGTCAGCTTTGTTACAGAACATCTGGTATCTGATCGTTGACAGCTCGCTGAGGATCCCTGATGCGTTTTCTGATGTTCTGTTTCAATCCTTTGCTCTTTTTTCAAACCCCTTGCATATTTCTCATTGCGCCATGCTTATGTTCTTTCATTTTCAAATTGCTATCTGATGTTTCAAATCGACACGTTATTGGGGACGAAGATGAGGGGACGACCGACGAAGATGAGGGGGTGGAGACGACTTTTCTCGGAGGGTTATCGGTCAGGCTTATTGTTATTCAGCGGATGCCATGCAAAGACAATGAAATCATCTGCTCGAAAGGCCTGAAATGAGATGGACACTGAGAAAGGAGGCGTCTCGGGATATATGGGTAGCTGGCGATGGAAAATGGCTAGGGTCGCGTCCGGGGTGGTTTTTACGTCGTCGATCCAAATTGCGTTCATTGAAGTTCTGTTGTTTCAGCTGTTTTTGCACACTCATCTCCAGGGGAAGACGGGCCAATTTGAGGGGCGGAGGCTGTGGATGTGACCGATGTCCGACAGACATTGGCTATCACAGGAAATAGCTGGATCTCTCGGATTTCTCTCTTCCTGTACTCCACATATAATCCAAGTTACTGCTCTCATTTAGTCTATTTTTGTTGAATCCTGTAGAGCTGTAGATATTGGCAGTATAGTACTTGAGGCTTTTCTCGCCATTTCCAGCATTTGGTGAAAGATGGTAATTCCTGTGCAGGCATCGTTGATGCTGTTTAGTCTGCAAGATGGAAGACTGTCATTGCTGGAAAATCAAGATCATCGATTGCATGCATCACTAGGAAGCGATAGCCTCTTGCCTCTGATTGACTCAGTTGCCAAATATAGATTTGCAACATGCGATAGCATCATGGCAACCGGTCTAGATCACGAGGATCGATCTTGGTGGACTGCATATATCGCCGAGGTCTTTCTTTGAACCTCCATTGTTGCCATCCATTTTTGAGTCCAGTCATCCGTATTACTGGTATTACCCAGTACCGTATTACAATTACCGCCACCCCTGTTTTAGGTAGATTCGGATTTACGGGGTGCTCCCGTAATTAACCTCTGGGCCGCATCGATTTCCCTCATCCACGATTCTCTGTGCTTTTACGAGCTTCATCTCATTTTTGCGGCTCTATCATCTATTTTTTATAGTCTTGTGTCAATCTACAAGCTGAGCGATGGATTACTCCTACTACAACGGCGCCCAGACCCAGCCGTTTTCCCTATATGGCCTCCACGGAATACCCACGCCGGATCAGAATCAGACCCCTCATGCTACCGATGACCTTCAGGACCCATTCTCTTCGCTAGTATGCTTTTCTTTGCCCCCATTCGCCCTCAGACCGTCTTATATGGTAGATGCTGACGTGGTGTTTGTCTAGAACAATTACAACGTCAATCATAATTATCAGTCCTTTGGCCTCAATCCTGGTGCTTCTTTTGTCCCACCGCCACATTCGCCGCCGGAGTCGTTCTCAAAGCATTCGGTCTCTAGTAATGATGCTGCCAATCACCCGACGGATCCCGCGTCTGCTGATGGCGGGGACGATCAACTCATGGATCAGGGTGGACGGAGCGATAGTGAAGAGAAAGATGGATCAGTGCCTGCGCAATCGAAGCGCAAGGCGCAGAACAGAGCTGCGTATGTGGTTATCTATCCGAGGGAGGTTCGACACAACAACTGACGCATGATTCCAACGATATAGTCAACGAGCATTTCGCGAAAGAAAAGAACGCCACGTAAAAGAACTCGAACAAAAAGTCGACCAACTAGAACAAAGCTCGACTCGACTCCAAGCCGACAACGAACGACTAAAGCAGCAGCTCGCCAAATTCTCCACCGAGAATGAGATCCTCCGCGCAACATCGCATAACAATAACAACAACGCCACCGGAAACTCGAATCATCGCTCCGACCCCGAGCCAACCACCACAGGACCGATGGAGTATTCCCCGACAGACTTCTACTCAACCCTTATTCCCGACGGAGAACCGAATGCTCGTCATCGCATCACCGTTTGTCAGAAGACCGGGGAGAGGCTGTTCGATGCCGGCGCGACTTGGGATTTGATTCAGGGACATGAGCTATTCAAGCGCGGGCTTGTGGATATCGCGGATGTCTCTGAGCGACTGAAAAGCATCGCGCAGTGCGATGGACAGGGCCCTGCTTTTAGGGAAGGGGCGATACGCAGCGCTATCGAGGAGAGCGCTGCGAATGGCAATGATGAGCTGATTTGAAAGCTGTCGTGTCATGTTTCAAGCTGATGATGTTATGTCTTTTGAATCTTTTTTTGGTGTGTTGCTTGGGATCCCGGCAATGACGCGCCAGATACAAGTACTATGACTGGCTGGAGTATTCGGCGCTGCGCTTTCGTGCACCTTCTGGCTTGGTGGGAACTAGGCCAGAGTGGAGGGTAACCGGTTGCCTTGGTTGCCTTGGATTTTTTCTTGGGAGTTATTGGGCTAAGAATAGCGTTTTCCTTTTGACTATATCATGCTGGCGTGGAATCTTGGAGTATTGTAAATTTGAGTTGATCTAGAATTGCATGTTTGAATTCTTCGGGAGCTAAGTTTCCTAAGATCTTTAAGCTTATCCAGACAGCATCGCAGTATGTCTATGTCCAGCGGGGCGATAAATTCCCCGAAAACGTGGTTTTCTATGTATGTAGTAGATTCGGCATTTCATGTACAATTGTAGTCATGATACTCTTATAAGATTGCATTAAGCATCATTCCTTTTTAATCCCAGTCATCATCGTCATTGTTGTCAATTGCGCGGTTCTCTTCCTCTCGACGACGGTCATCATCGAATGAATCGGAACGCTTTTTAAGACGGACATCGCTTTCTTTAACGGCGCCCAGGTCCAAAAGCATTCTCTCGAGGTCTGTATTGAAAAGGAATATGATTAGCAAATGCCTTACTGAACCTTTCATATGAAACGTACCTTCAAGCTTGGTCCTGGAACCATTGAGTTCTCTCAATGTGATAAGCTGCCGTCTAATCTCTCCATCCTTATAAACCAAGATTGTAGGCGTGTTTCTCTCAGGATACCCCTCAATACACATGTCGCCTCTAATTTCACAGAACTTGACATCTCCGAACTTGGTGGCCAATTGACGCCAGAGCTCTGACAAAATTCGCGACTCGCCGTTGCCGCTTGCTGAAGTGAGGTGGACCAGTACAAAGGCTTTGTTGGATGCTTCTGTGACTTCGCGGGCGTAGTCTACCTTTTGCAGCGGGTATACTTGGTTATAAAGACTGGTTTGTTGGATAGTTGAGAGCTCTTCGAATCGTTTTCGCCTGGATGGATTGAATTAGTAAATTCTATTCTAGACTTTATGGGTTGTTGAGAAGCGCACCGGTATTGTTCTAGGAACTCGTCGTCTTCTTCATCTTCCAGCTCATCGAGCTCGTCTAGATCCTTATCTTCTAATCTGTTCTCATATGCTTTCCGCTCTGCCTCGACAAGAGCTTCTTGGATAAGAGGTTCTGGGTCCTGTGGCTTTTCGGGGATAATGCCCTTTGAGCGGAGAATGTCATTCCTGTGGCGGGGTGAGCATGGGCAAGATGAATTGAAGGTGAAACGAGGAGGCACACTGACCATTCGGTGTCTTCGTTAGGGTTGACCTCGACCTGCATGGCCATGATGGATGTACTATCAGACAACGCCCTGATCTATATCGACAACGTGGTAGAAAGGAGAAACGAAGCTGGAGGCCGAACAATTCATGGCTGATGATGGCATGGCCCGCCTGTTTGCAGTGTTTGCCTGGATGCGGCTTGGCGCCCACAGAAACGCGGAAGGCCACCTGGAGATTGGATCTGGCCGACTGCTCCAGGTAAACTTGGCCGGCAAACAAAACCACAACTGATTCAGTATTCGGGACGAGGACAGAGAGCCGTTCTTTTCGGGAGCAATTCCATCTCGTTTCTTCCTTAGTTTTATATCTTCTTCCTTTCTGTCCCTTGCGGATAATGAGGGCGCGGTAGTCGAATACACCGCACGTTCCCAAACCCATAATACAACCTATTGCCCGACCTACTTTACCCACCCGCTTATTATCCCATCGTTGACTCCGCCGTTAGTTCAACGGGGGTTCTATCACAACACAAGAATTACCAAGAGAAAGAGAGAACAAGGGCGCTCTCTGCTGCTGTAATTCCGGCAGCTGGTGGTCATCATGAGTTACGGCAAGAAAGATGAGGATGCCGATCAGGTCATGATCAAGCTTGATCGGACCTCCGTATTTCAGGATGGTACGGTGTCCTCCCCTGGTGCCGCATGAACGCACCTGGCTTTACTGACCATTGTCTCTTCTGTTTGATCGCAGCCCGATTGTTCAATTCCTCCCCGATCTCCCCTCGAACATGTCGTACACTTCTCACCAAGATTGCGGTCCTCCTTTTCACTGGGGAGCAATTCCCCACGAATGAGGCTACCACGCTCTTCTTCGGCATTTCCAAGCTGTTCCAGAATAAGGACCCCTCGTTGCGACAGATGGTCTATCTTATTCTGAAGGAGCTCGCTGGTACCGCCGAGGATGTTATCATGTCGACCAGTATCATAATGAAGGACACGGCCGTCGGTAGTGATGTCCTGTACCGCGCGAATGCCATCCGGGCTCTGTGCCGCATTATCGATGTAAGCGGCGCTTTCAGTATTGGTTGCTGTTTTATATTTGCTGATCACGGGTCTTTCCATTCTACAGGGTACTACAGTGCAAGGTATCGAACGACTCATCAAGACCGCCATCGTTGACAAGACCCCCTCTGTTTCCTCCGCAGCTCTGGTGTCCTCGTACCACCTGCTCCCCGTTGCGCGTGATGTGGTTCGCAGATGGCAGAGTGAAACCCAGGAGGCAGCTTCTTCCGGAAAGCAATCGACCGGTTTCCTTGGATTCGGTGGCAGCTCCCAGGCTCACGCCATCTCGCAGTCGAATTATATGACTCAATACCACGCAATTGGTCTTCTGTACCAGATGCGTGCGCATGACAGAATGGCTCTGGTCAAGATGGTGCAGCAGTATGGCGCTGCTGGTGTGGTGAAGAGCCCGGCAGCCCTTGTACTGTTGGTGCGGTTAGCGGCGAAGCTGGCGGAGGAGGACCAAGGCCTGAGGAAACCTATGATGCAGATGCTTGATGGCTGGCTCCGACACAAGCATGAGATGGTCAACTTTGAGGCTGCCAAGGCTATCTGCGATATGAGAGAGGTCTCCGATGCCGAAGCCTCCCAAGCCGTGCATGTTTTGCAGCTGTTCCTCTCGTCGCCTCGCGCTATCACCAAGTTTGCAGCCATCAGAATCCTCCACAATTTTGCCTCCTTCAAACCCCACGTCGTCAATGTGTGCAACCCCGATATCGAGTCTCTTATTTCAAACACCAACCGTTCCATCGCAACTTTCGCAATCACTACCCTCCTCAAGACCGGCAACGAGGCTAGCGTCGACCGCCTGATGAAGCAGATCTCTGGCTTCATGGCCGATATCACTGATGAGTTCAAGATCACCATTGTTGAGGCCATCCGTACTCTGTGTCTGAAGTTCCCCAGCAAGCAGGCTGGTATGCTTTCGTTCTTGAGTGGTATTCTGAGAGATGAGGGTGGCTATGAGTTCAAGCGCAGTGTCGTTGAGAGCATGTTTGATCTGATCAAGTTTGTGCCGGAAAGCAAGGAAGATGGTAAGTCTCCGCCAACACCTATTTTATTGTTACAACTAACCAAACGAACCAGCTCTTGCACACCTCTGCGAGTTCATCGAGGACTGCGAGTTTACTAAGCTGTCCGTCAGAATATTGCACCTTATCGGTGTTGAGGGCCCGAAGACATCGCACCCAACCAAGTACATCCGTTACATCTACAACCGAGTTGTTTTGGAGAACGCCATTGTCCGCGCCGCTGCCGTGACCGCTTTGGCCAAGTTCGGTGTCGGGCAGAAGGATCCCGAAGTCAAATCAAGTGTTTCTGTTCTTCTTACAAGATGTCTCGATGACACAGATGATGAGGTGCGCGACCGTGCTGCTCTCAACCTCAGATTAATGGGTGAAGAGGATGAGATGGCTGGATTGTTCATGAAGAACGGTAAGTTCTGCTCGACATCCTTTTTCAAAATTTGGATTTTTTACTTATAATCTCTTCAGACTCCATGTACTCTCTCTCTACATTCGAGCACCAACTTGTCATGTACGTGACATCTGGCGAGAAGGAAACATTCGCTACCGCTTTCGATGTCTCGACAGTCCCTGTTGTCACACAGGAACAGGCCTTGGCCGAGGAGCGAACCAAGAAGCTCACTACAGCCACCCCAACTCTCAAGGCCCCCTCCACTGGTCCTCCCAAGGGCAAGGCAAACGGCGTGGCCGAGGCTGCTACGGCGGCCGCTACCCAGAAGTATGCCGAGCAGCTTATGCAAATCCCCGAGCTCAAGGAGTACGGCACTTTGCTCAAGTCCTCTGTTCCTGTTGAGCTCACCGAGAGCGAGACGGAGTATGTTGTTACGGCCGTCAAGCACGTCTTCAAGGAACACGTTGTCCTGCAGTACGATATCAAGAACACTCTCCCAGACACTGTCCTCGAAGACGTCACCATGGTGACAAGCCCGTCAGAGGAAGAGCTCTTGGAGGAGGAATTCATTGTCCCTGCCCCTAAGCTTGCTACAAACGAGCCTGGTATCGTATATGTGACATTCAAGAAACTATCTGGAGAGAACAGTGTCCCTGTTACTTCGTTTACAAACGTCTTGAAGTTCACCAGCAAAGAGATCGACCCTACCACCGGCGAGCCGGAGGATAGTGGATACGAGGACGAGTACCAGGTCGAAGACCTAGAACTTGCTGGCAGCGACTATGTTATCCCGACATTCGCTGGCAGCTTCGACCATGTCTGGGAACAGACTGGTGCCAATGGAGAGGAGATTAGTGAGACTTTGCAACTCAGCAATACGAAGAGCATTTCAGGTATGTTAACCACTCGCGATTCGATCTTACGATATTGGAAACTAACACTAGCTGAAGATGCCACCGAGCAACTTATCTCTGCACTCTCTCTGCAACCCCTTGAGGGAACAGATGTGTCCCTCAGCAGCAGCACACACACCCTCAAGCTTTTCGGTAAGACAGTATCAGGCGGCCGGGTTACAGCTTTGATCAAGATGGCCTTCTCGACCAAGACTGGTGTCACAACGAAGATTACAGTCAGAGCGGAAGAAGAGGGTGTCGCCTCTGCTGTCATTGCGTCACTGAGCTAATTTGTTTTCTTCCGAATTGTGACCGAGGTTAGGGGATAGGGGAAGGGAGGAGGTTTTTGCAACGAGTCCCACGGTATTATTGTGAAATCGGACTTGTTTTCTTGCGTGTTCTTTTTTATAATCAAGGTGTCAAGCTAGATGCGATGAATATTTTGCAGGCGCCAAAGCCCTCTATTCACTTGGTTTTCATCTTTTCCTTTTTTTTTACTCTTCTCACCCTGCGTCTTTTGTGGTTCTATTTCCCTTTGATCTTTTCTTCTCTTTTTCTTTTTTTGTTTCAATTTTTATTTCCAGTCCTGGGACTGTCTCAGGAGCCCGGTGCGATTGGGACATGGTTCTCACTGGGCTGGTGGCCTGGTGGGCCTCATGTGTAGTTACCTTAGTCAAAAGAAGTGAGCGAGATTGAAATGATTCGATTATTCTACTATTCTATCCAATAAGTCTCTGTGGGTATCATTGAAAGCGTGTGCTAGAAGTGCAATAAATAGATATATTCTAGAATAAAATGCACAGAAAGAAAATCAACTTTTAGATCTAAGTTTATAAAAGACCGTGCAACCGTAAATCATAAGATATTGTAAAGGTGAGAGTGAGATATGTGATTTCACATGTAGTACACCCCCACCTCTGTGTCATCTAACTCGTCATTTTCGTGATCCTCCTCGACGCCCCGCGGAATAGGCTGTTTCCTGGACCGATTGAGCAAGACATCGTCAATCATTTCATCTTCGAGGATACGAAGCTCCGTGCAAAATATTTCGGAGAATCCCACCGAGCAAACATTTGTTAAGTCTTTCTCCAAAGCGTGGACCAAATCGGCTGTGTCAAATTTCAGAGTATTGTCGGCGTAGGGATACCCGAATTCAAGCACTTCGAGGGCTGGCGGACCAGCTAGATGAAGTATATCGAAAAAGGTATTCTCGACTAGATCGCCGGGGACATGGAGGAATACCAATTCGGGGAGATAGGATGGGATTGCGCAAATGCATTCCGGCTGGAGACCACGATTGGAACCGGATATCGTCAGACGTTTCAGATTCTGGCCAATCCAGGGATTTCCGAGTAGACCACCTAGGTTTTCCAGAGAGAGATCGGCGCAGGTCTTCAAGGTTAAGCTGGTGAGGCGAGGTGGTGGGCGAAAGTAGGAGATCACGGTTGGCGAGAAGCGGCCGCCTAGCTGGAGTCGCTCGAGGAGAGGAGGCCAGTCTGCGGAACTATCGAGGCTTTCGGGTTTGACGATGGAGGTAGATTGGGGAAGTCGGAGAGTGGTGAGTTTGGTGAGGTGACTCAATGTCTTTTTGAGGTTGGGGAAGGGAATTGGGTCGCCGACCAGAGAGAGGTCAAGGTGGCGGAGGTTGACGCATTTCGCTAACGAAGAGAGGCTGTTGAGACTGCATTTTATCAGTACTGGTTTTAAGTTGACAGAAGGATATAAACCTGGATACTTACGCAAAAGATACTCTGGGGGCAATAAAAACTTCGAGATTCTCCTTGACGCGACCCAGAAGTCTTGCTGTCAGGCTGTTCGAGCTGTGGTGGACAAGCGGGCTCAGGTCCAGTCGACGGACAAAACCTCCCAGATTGTATTTATTCCTTCGTGCCCCAATAGGTGGAGAGACGGTGTCTGTGAATTTGTAAAAAGACGCCCCGATGCCCATAAAGGGATTCTCATAGAGGAACGCGACGGCCACAGAGTACCACTGGTGATTGATCAAGCAGCATGTATGCATCAATTTTTGACGCATGATATCATTTGGCTCTGTAGCGACTTCGGAGACGATCTGCGCCAAGACTTCTGTGGGGAGATAGACTTGCTGAATGGAGGACATTGGTGCAGACGGCCATGGTAAGTTGCGATCGAGATGTGGTAGTGGTGATAGTTAGTGGTAGTGGTGGTTAATCGCAGATCGCTTATCGGGATTGAAGCTTCGCGGCGGATGATATCATGCGTCACTCTGGCTGGTTCCGATCGACTGTTGTTCCTTGGCTGAGCGACACTTTTACCACAACACCATCCATTCTGTCCCTTCAATTTAACCTTTACATTCTTTAATTTGTTTATTCAATTGTATTATATATTAACCATGAGACTACAAGGAGTTCTGCGGTCTTTTGGCCTGCTTTCACGCCCCTACGCCCGGTCTTATCTCCCAGCTGGCCCTGCCCGGAGAGCCTTTCAGACGGTCAGTTCCTCGTCCCGGGTGCCAGACTTTGCCTTTGCTTTTGAGTGAGTGGATTATCTGCTTTTATATATATATATATTTTTTTTTTCAAATCAGTCTCTAACAATGTGTGGTTTCTAGCATTGATGGCGTTCTCCTGCGATCGTCCAAACCCATCCCCGGAGCAGCCGACTCGCTGGCTCTTCTGAAGGACCAAGGCATTCCGTTCATTCTCTTGACCAACGGTGGTGGAAAACATGAGACGGAAAGAGTTGCGGAAATTAGTGAAAAGCTCGAGGTGCCATTGGATGCGTCGGTGATTGTCCAGAGTCACTCCCCCTTTGCGGAGCTTGTTAGAGGGCCGGACGAAGCAAGCTCTTTGGAGAACAAGTGTGTACTGGTGGTTGGAGGAGATGGCGGCCGCTGTCGTCAGGTAGCTGAGCAGTATGTTGTCTTATAAACGGCTTTGTGGGGTTCTAACTTATAGCCAGATACGGATTCAAAAACGTCGTCACCCCCGGTGATATTTTCATGGCCAACCCTGCCATCTGGCCATTCTCTAAGCGTTTCAGCAACTATTATGAGAAATTTGCAAGGCCGATCCCCAACCCAGTAGATCCTACCGATCCGACCAAGGGGCTCAAGATCGATGCCATCTTCGTCTTCAATGACCCCAGGGACTGGGGCCTTGACACTCAAGTGATTATGGATGTTCTCCTGTCATCTCAAGGTGTTTTGGGTACTATTTCGGAAAAGAATGGTCGAACTGACCTCCCCAACCGAGGCTTCTTGCAGGATGGCCAGCCGCCGTTATACTTTTCGAACCCGGATCTGTGGTGGGCTGCTGCTTATCACCTCCCCCGTCTTGGCCAGGGTGCATTCCGTGAAGCGTTGGAAGGAACCTGGGCTGCGACAACAGGCGGCCCAAGCAAAGGTGTTGAGCTGAAGAAGACCGTTATCGGAAAGCCTCACCAAGGTACATATGAGTTTGCAGAGGATCAACTTCTGCGGAACCGATCCAAGATTTTTGGATCCAAGGCAACCCAGCCTTTACAGAATATATACATGGTTGGAGATAACCCCGAGTCCGACATCTGTGGTGCAAACACCTACCGGAGTGGACATGGAAGTGCCTGGCATTCCATCCTCGTGAGAACTGGTGTTTACAGCGGAGGCGAGCCTACTTGGAAGCCGAAAACCATTGTTGATGACGTACGGAGAGCCGTTGAATTCGGACTGAAGTCTTCTCAATGGCAGGTGACCAAGGTTTAAGGCTTATGGGTGCACACGCAATAGGTATGCGATTTATATACCCGATTTGTACATTATCCCTGCAAGGCATCATCTGGATCTATGCCATCATCGTCATCAAGTCCATTAGCAACATACCATTGAGAGAGCATTTAGCCCCCAGTCAATTCGATATTATTTAGATAACCAATTGGATTATTCTATACTGCTCAGAAATATAACAAGCAATATCTATAAATATGTACATTCATCTCGTCCGTATATAGCATTCTTCAGGCCTCCATATGTCATGTGACATAAGCCCCTCTTAGGGCTTAGGGCATGACTCATTCGGCGGGGTGACTCGTAGCTCACATCTTGATGCGGGCAAGCAAAGAGCTCGGGATATATAAGCCTTGACGAACTACATCCACTCCAATCGCTCCCTGGAAGATAGCAACCATGGCCGACTCCGAATTGCCCACCCGCCCCAAGCCCGAGGAAACCCCAGCCGCCGCCGCTGAGGGCGCCGAGGGCGCTGAGACCAGCAAGAGCGCAAGCAAGAACGCCGCCAAAAAGGCCGCAAAGGAGAAGGCCAAGGCAGAGAAGGCTGCTCAGCGTGCTGCTCAGGAGAAGGCCCAGGCCGCTGTTGCTGCCGTCGACACAGCCAAGGATCTCTACGGACCCATCCCCGAATTCGCCGATGTTCTTCCCTCGTTGAAATTCTCTGAGTTTACCGACGCCCATTATGAGCAGGAGGTCACAGTCGTTGCCCGTGTGGACAACGCTCGTGTGCAGAGTGCCAAGCTGGCATTCTTGATGCTGCGACAGCAGGGACAGAAGGTGCAGGCCGTTATTGCGGCCGCGGAGCCCATCTCGAGACAGATGGTCAAGTACACGGGTGGATTGAACGTCAACTCCATTGTCCAGGTCACCGGTATCGTGAAGAAGCCTGAGATCCCTATCTCCTCCGCTACTCTCAGCCACCTCGAAATCCACATTCGCAAGGTCTACATGATCTCCGAGGCTGCCCAGATGCTTCCCATGCAGGTCAAGGATGCTGAGCGACCACCCCCGGAAACGACCGAGGAGGGACCCCAGGTTGACGCCGACGGTGCTCCTATCGTCACCCTCAAGACCCGTCTGGACAACCGTGTCATCGACCTCCAGACCGAGACTAGCCAGGCCATCACATGGATCTCTAGTGGTGTTGCAGAGTTGTTCTCTGAGTACATGATCAAGAGTGGATCGCGGTGGATCTTCACCCCCAAGCTGGTCGGTGCTGCTACCGAGGGTGGTAGCGGTGTTTTCGAAGTTAAGTACTTCAAGAGAAACGCATACTTGGCTCAGAGCCCGCAGTTGTACAAGCAGATGTGCATTGCTGGTGACATGGAGAACGTTTTCGAGATCGCTCCCGTGTTCCGTGCCGAAGACAGCAACACCCACAGACATTTGACTGAGGTAAGGCTATAAATCATGCGATTATGCTGCCTGTTGATTGACTACCAACACGGTTCCACTGACAATCTTCTAGTTTGCTGGTCTCGATTTCGAGAAGACGTTCCAGAGCCACTACCACGAAGTTCTTGAGTTCGCTGAGAACCTCCTTGTCTTCATCCTCACTGGGCTCAAGGAGCGCTACAAGGATCAAATCGCGACTATCCAGAAGTCCTACCCCAAGGCCGGTGACTTCAAGCTGCCCAAGGATGGCAAGGCTTTGAGATTGAACTACATGGATGGTGTTGCCCTTTTGAAGGAGGCCGGTGTTGATGTCTCGGAACAGGAGCGATTCGAGAACGATTTCAACACTGCGATGGAGAAGCAACTGGGTCAGATCATCCGTGACAAGTACGATACCGACTTCTACGTGCTGGACAAATTCCCGATGGCCGTGCGACCCTTCTACACCAAGGCTTGCCCTCAAGACCCCACATTCTCCAACTCGTATGACTTCTTCATGCGTGGTGAGGAGATCATGTCTGGTGCCCAGCGTATCCACGACATTAAGGAGCTGGAGGAATCTATGCGCGCCAAGGGATTGAACCCTGACCAGGAGGGCTTCGAGGACTATCTCAACGCTTTCCGCCAGGGCTGCCCTCCCCACGCCGGTGGTGGTCTGGGTCTGAACCGAATCGTCATGTTCTTCTTGGGACTGCCCAACGTTCGGTTGACCTCCCTGTTCCCTCGCGACCCCCAGCGCCTGCGTCCTTGAGCATGTAGTTTAGATTACGACAAAACCCTGCCCGGGATGGGTATACATACTAGATTTGTTGGTGGATCTACATACCCGCATGAGTAAAAGTGTAATGGAATTGATGAGACCAAATGAAATTCCCCTGTCCAAGTTCGTTAAACAAAAGGCATATTCAATACACCGACTTAAATGCATACGTTAGCGGAGAAAATAGTTATGCGTAATTCTGATGTTGCCCCATCCAGTGTTGATCACTGTTTGAAAGTGGCCCAAGCTCCCCGGAACTTTTGCGGCCATCGGCGAGGCAGTCATCCTCAATCAACTTCTTCCCACTCCACCTCTCTATCCTATACGGCCACCTATAATGTCCAGCATTCCTGACAAGAGGAAGCCTTCGGGTTCCATATCAGGGGACTCTCCTCATGCGAAACGCCCCCGGTCCTACGCCGATGACGACGCAGACGATGCGGCTTCTTCTCCCAGCGTGACCCCGTACGAACGCCCTCGGAACCACCCTGTCTACGGACAAAAGAGCGCTTTTCCGGGCTTAGATACCGGACTGGAGGATGAATTATTTTATGGCCCAGCAGAGGATGGGATGGAATATCTGCGCATGGTTCGGTAAGTTTTTTACCTGTCTCTTTGATTTCGCTTTCTCTTTCCTGCTTGCTAAATGTCTGCCTGTTTTTGTCATTTGCCAGCCTGCGATTTGAGACATGATTTCAAAAGTGTTGGGGAAAAGAACAAATATTAACTGCTTTACTATGGATTCTTGTTGAGATTATAGGTCCGAAGCCAATTCGTTACCCGTTTTATTCACGGCGCCCAAAACCTCAGAAACAGTCGTCGAATCAACGATCCAAGTTGAAGCGAAAGAAGAGACGCATAAACTTCAAAACCCAGCTGACACCGAACGCGCGGGTACCTACGTCGATGGTGTGTATGTTGGACCTGTCACCAATGGCGATGCCGACAAAAAGACTGCACAGGCAGCTACGGACACCGAGGAGCCATATTCAGAAGCGCAGTCGAGCTATTATAACCTACTCCGACATAGATTTCTCCTTTTACGCTCGATATTAAAATGCACACCCCCGCCCTCTACTATCGCCGGATTGGATGACTCCCATCCTATCAGTCTTCCCAGAAACTCCAAGGTAGCGCGCAAGGAGTGGCGGCATCTTTTACTTGCGGTGGATCCGCAGACAGTTCAGTTGGCGTGTATGGATATGGATAGTGTCTTGGGTGTTCTGGAAATCATGGCACGGCTCATGTCTGAGAATGTGAGGAATGGAGATGCGGAGCGTGTACGGAGAATTGGGGCCTGGGCTTGGGGTCTACTGGGGAAATGCCGCGAAGTTGGACAACTGGGAACAGAGGAGGTGGCAGAAATCCGAGATTTGGGGAAGCGCGCGATCAAGATCTTGCATAAGATGAGAGAAGATGAGAGGAACAGAACCGCAGCGGAGGAAGATGTCTCGGAGCCAGAACTTGACGAGGAGAACCAAGAGACTGATCACCAACCCCAGGCCGAAACTGGGGAGCCGGCAACTGGACAGGATGCTTCAGACACCATTACAGCTGACGTGCCTGACCACGACATGCAATATGTGGGTACGGAACCGTCCGCCGCGGAGTTCGAAACCAAACTGGAGGAAGCCAAAGCGCGACTCCAGGCCAAGGTGGCAGGCAGCGAAGAGCCCGGACAGTCGACAGAGGTTGATATGTTGGATCAAGGTACGGAACCGCAAGCCATGGCAGAGGATAGCGCCGTCGACGTGGCCATGCAGACACGGGCCATGCTGGACATGATCATCACCGTTGTCGGGGAATACTTTGGGCAACGGGATCTTCTCACTGCACGGGAGATCTGGAAAGAGTCTGTAGAGGAATGATCTGCCAATCTGGCAAGGGTCGCCAGAGTCAGTGAGTTGCGTATATTGTATGACTAGTGCTTATCGGGCGAAATCCAAGATACCCAGTCGAATCTAAGCAGGTATTGTCTTCGATCTGTATTTACTTGAAATAAAATAAATATTATGAGAGCCTATTCCAAAAGAAAATATTTGCGACTTCATTAATAGAGAAATTGATCAAAAAAAAGTCGTCGGCGTTGCCTAGTCACCCTCGCTCTTTGCGTCATTGTTTGGGGTTCTGGAACATCTCGTGCTCTCGTCCAACTGACTCCGTCTTATCGTCCGACACCGTCATTTACCATCCATCACTCATCACCCCCCTGGCCCACCCATGGCCGTCTGAAAGACGTAATTGAGCATTTCATCTCTCGCAAGAGATATCCTCATCTTTGAATTCCTTCACTCACTCATAACCATGGCTCCGACTCTCGAAATCTCCATCCCGACGACAACCGTTTCGCACACCTCACCCCCCTACACAGTCTACAATCTCACCCTTCGCCTACCTCTACGCTCCTTCACCGTTTCCAAACGCTACTCGGACTTTTCCAACCTGCACTCTGCCCTCACAGCCCAAACCAACATCCCACCTCCAGCTCCTTTGCCCCCCAAATCATGGTTCGCCAACACCGTCTCCAACGCAAACTTCCGTGAAGACCGTCGCGTAGGCCTAGAAACCTATCTCCGCGCCATCAATGAAGCAGACGACCCACGCTGGCGCAATTCCAGCGCCTGGCGTGCTTTCCTTAACCTCCCCAGCGCTGCGGCAGCCAACGGCTCATCGACCACGTCTTCGCGGCTTCATGCGGCTATCACGGAGCCTGGGGCAGCAGGGAACAAAAACTCCATTACGGATCCGACTTTGTGGCTTGATTGTTATAGGGATATGAAAGCGCATCTGCATGATGCTAGATTACACCTTACGAGACGGGACCAGGAGACAACGCCACAGAAGCAGCATGAGAGCTCGGCGCAGGCGAAGAGTAGTCTTGTCCGGGCTGGGACGTTGATTGGGACCCTTGAGGATGGGTTGAAGCATATGGGCGACAAGGGGGATACCCGGTCTGTGTCATCTGGGCCAGGGAGTAGAGAGAGGGGAGTATGGGGCAATGGGAATACTTTGGGCGATGGAGAATTACGCCGTAGGAAAGATTTACTCACCAACGCTAGAAAGGAGAAAGATGGACTGGAAAACCTGTTGAATGCGATGGCTACCAAGAGCAAGATCGACACCGCTGTTGCCTCGATACAGGATAAGGAGGCATTGATGAGCGGCCCGAATAAGAAGTTGCCTCGGTCTGGGAGGGTGTTGGGCAAGGAGACAGAGAGGACCCGTGAGTTGGATAACCAGGGAGTGCTCCAGCTGCAAAAGCAGACGATGGATGATCAGAACTTGGGTCTCGAGGAGTTGAGGAAGATTGTGGCCCGGCAAAAGGAGCTAGGAATTGCCATCAACGATGAATTGCAGGTCCAGAGTGCGTTGTTGAATCTGACAGATGAAGATGCAACAAGGTATGTATACTCATTCTCACTCATTGGATCCCAGCTAATACTGTGCTAGGTTACAACAAAAGGTCGACATTGGCAAGAAGAGAATAGGAAGGATCTCATGAGGCTGCAGTCCCAGGAGACGATCTTGCTTCACATATAACTTGCTATTGTCCATCACTGTTTTGTCTTGTCAGCCTCGGGCGCTTTACGGATCTTTTGCATTTAGCGGGTTTTATATGTATTACAGTACGGCCATTCCCCTTCAGCATTACTTGCTGTTTATTTGGAGTATTAATGTGCTTCGTTTGAATTCGATTTCTTTCATTGTGGCATTATACTAAGTCAGAATCTAGCGAGGCCCTGCCTTGAGATTCATGGTTGATGAAGTCACTTTGTAGACATAAACTGGATCAACGGGTTAGCATTTCAGATTCAGTATTTCGCCAGATACAAAAACTCACATCATATGCCTCATCCTCGGTGACTTCGGATCGATCCGATTGCTCCTTGTCGATCAATCCAAGCCTGTTCCTTCGAAGGAGCCACCAGAGCTCGCGTCTGTCCCCGCCGAGTTGCTCTTTCAGCAGTTTTTCTTTGAGTTGCCTCAAAAGGTCGTTATACAATGCAGGCTCTTCGTAGGAAATCAGCTCTTCCTTCATCACTCCCAGCTCCTCGCTGACTCGGTCGTAGTTAGCATCACCAAGGCTATTCTTGATCTGATCCTCAATGATAGCCTTCATCTGCTTCACCGCATCGCCAATGGCCTCGATGCTGTCCGCATGTGTCAAGGTCTGCTTGAATTCGGGAATTGCATTGTTGGGTGATATCTTGGCGCGCTTTTCCTGGTGAAGCAATGCATCGACATCGAGCCCAGAGAGTGGCTTCTCGGTCTCACGGGCACGCTTGCGACCCTTGGCTTTAGGTGGCACTTTATTTTTGGTCAGTAAATAATCATAATGATATGACAAGATAGCTTCGAATCCAAAATGATTAACCAACCTTTCTTGACATCAGCCGCTGCGGTAAGCCTTTCCAGGTATTTCTTTGATTTCTCTACCAGATCCTGAGATGGCTTGGAAAATTTCAATAGGGTTTCAGACGGAGGAGGGACAGGGTCGTTGGGATGGATAGCACGGTATCGCACGGCCGCATCAATTCGATGCAGCATTGGTGAGAATGAATCATCGATTGAAAACGATTCGGTAGACTCTCTGTTTTTGAATCAGCGGAGATTCCCATATTTGGCTGTCAAATAACCACTCACTCATCTTCATCATTGTCAGCCAGTTCCATACTATCCACGTATTTGCCCATTGCCTCAACCAAGTCATCGTTTGGCAGATTTCGGTGTTCTGTGATGACTTTCCCTGAAACGGTAATCACCTTATCCAGAGGGGGGAAATGGTACGTCCGCACATCCTCTGCGAATGGCAATTGAACTTCAAGTAGACATTCATAGTCTGGTTCAATCGAAGGCGCAAGCAAGACGATTATCGGTGCCTTGTTCTCCTTGGCCACCAGCCGAGCAACAGCATAAGAATCTAGTTCGAATAGAGCGTGAATGAAGGACGAAAGTGCAAGCGCAGCTTTATCATTAGCACGCTGTGCAGTGAGAATATTGGTGGTAGACATGTGCATATAGCGATCGTACTGTTGTAAATGATTAGCTTATATTAAACTGGAGGTGTTGGCAATCACGCAAGCCGAACGTACTTTTTCACTTTGTACAAAACCAAGTAGCTCCATGGCTGCGTAGGTTTCGAGTGTTGTGATGTTTTCATCGGTTTTGTCAATGTGAACGACAGTCCGTCCATACTCGTACCCTTTGGCAAGATCCTCTTGTTCCACGTCAACTTTACCTCCCGGGGCACTCTCATCAGCAATTTGATATGTTCTCAAGTTTCTTATCGAAGTAAGCGAGCTGCCTTCCACGGGTTGGCTGTCCTGTTGTGCAGTTGCCGTTGTAGAGGATTCGGCCTCCTCTTGTTCGGGTTGTACTTCAGAGCGAGGTGCAAACGAACTTGCTGTTGGAGGTTTCGCAGCATAGGTTCGGTAGTATCGCTCAATGGGGATACGAATAGCGGTATCATATTCACCCGGGTTACCAAGTTGAATGTGTCCTTTGAAATTCGCCTGTACTCTCACTGCTTTTACCCGTGGGATGTCCAATTCTGAAACGGCCTGCTCGAGGGTTCCATAAACCCCATCGCAGTCTTCGACAAGGGAGCGTAAGAGTGTCTCATTATCGGCCTTTGGAGATGCATCAATATTGTTCTGGTGTATAGGGGGGTCAAATCAATTACCTTCCGTGTGTCCTTGTCTTCCTCTTTGAATCCGTACTCGGGATCATCAAAGTCAACTCCTCTGGAGGGCGTTAGAATTTCCTATCACACCGCACATGGACAACTCACAAAACTGCTAGCTCGATATTATCTTCCTTGATCTTCTCGACAATTCCATCAAGATTTTCACTGCTCATGCGTCCTTGGCCATTGGTGACCAACACGATCTTTCGCTTCCATTTCAGTTTCTTGCAGTGTGTGATGATCATTTGAATAGCCAGGATGATTGCAGAGATAGCTAGTCATGGGTCAGATTCAACATTCAGGAGCAATGATGTTATGAACAACACACCATCACCTCGGTCAGAGCTACTGGGCTTTATTTGCTCATGCAATTTTCGCAGATCAGGAAGGAGAACCCTTGAAAGCTAGTCAGCTGAGCTGCATTGAAAAGCTCATCAAATCGACATACTGTGCAGGGTCAAAAAGGACTGAAAGATTAGAGAAATACGGATCATCTTCAAGCTCGTGGGCAGTCTCTGTTTCTCATGTCAGCGATATAAAACGAAGCATTTAGAACTCCGAGCATGTTGTCTCACCATCTGTCCTGAGACCAACAACACCGACATGAGCCATTTTACGTCCAGTAGCTACCTGGTTGGATTTTTCAGTAAGATTGTAAGATCAATACTGCCATTCAACTTACTGTGGCTGTTATGCGGTCCCAGACATATTGCATGGCCCATTCAAAGTCCGTCATCGATCTGCCATTGCGGCACTCCCCCATGGATTTCCCCACATCCACAATATAAATTGTCGTTTCCTTGTCCGCCATGGTCCGATTCGAATACAGATGAATTCTTGAAGAACCTGGGAGAGACCGGGAAGAAAGGCAGAAGAAAAGGACGAAGAGAGAGACACGAGCACCAGGCAGACGCGCGATATTTCCCAATCGGGCTCTAGGCAAACGCGAAGGCACATGACATCATTTACGAGGGGGCGTGGGTGTAATATCAGGCCGTGTGTATTATTTTCTCATACAAATGTGAGTGGAAATAAGGCATATAACAGTCGGTGCGTGGCCGGAAGACTTCCGGTCTCCCCACCCAAAGTGCATCTCCACAGTCTGACTGACCGTCGACTGTTGTTCTCCCTTCCAAGCTCTCATCAATCTCAACGGATACTCCGGATCTTTCAATTGTGTAGATTCATTCTTCCATACAGACATCATGATCGACCCTCGCCCCTTTCACGTCCTGAGGTTTGTCAAAACATTCGGATCTTGTAGATGGAGGACAACGCATTGACTTCGGCAGCTACGGCACTCTGCTGGGTGTCCAGGTCTACCAGGTAAACGGTCTTTGTCTGGCTTGCATTGTTATATAGACCTAACATACAGCTGCAATAGACCTTTGTCTCGGGCATTGTCGCCTTTAGAGCCCTTCCTCGTCCCCAGTTCGCATCGTTGCAAGCTGCAACCTTCCCCGTCTACTTTTCTCTCCAGTCGGCTCTGCCCGTTGTAGTTGCTTTGACTGCTAGCAAGGGTGCAGATGCAATTGGCGTCTCTGGTCTTCTCGCTCCAGAGAGCCGTGGGACTTTGGTGCCCATGGCTACCGTTCTGGTGACTGGACTTATTAACCAGTTCATCCTGCGCCCGCGGACAATCAATGTGATGCGCGAGAGGAAGCACCAGGGTAAGTTGCTCTGTGTTCTTCTAGATTGACGTTTTTGAGATCATAAACTGACTGGTTGGTAGAAACCTGTGATGGCAAGAAGAGCTACGACCCTGCACCTCACTCCAAGGAGATGATGGCTTTGAACAAGAGATTTGGCCGAATCCACGGCGCGTCTAGCTTGCTCAACATGGTCAGCCTTGCCGTTACAATTTATTATGGCGCTGTCCTCAGCAAGCGTATTTCATAGTCGAAAGCCCGAGGGAACTGGCAGCAGGGCTTCTTTGAACTGTTTCAATTTTTTCTTGGTGCCATATCTTTTATATTGTTTGAGGAAATACCTAGTTCTGCTTTGGGGCTGTCTCCGGCCGCGCGACCTCCTGCTATATCTAAATGATTCAGGCTTGAATGTTTTTTCTTCCTCTACAATAATACAATTTGGTTTCCTTGGACTGTCAGTGAAAAAGCTGGAATTTGCTTTATTATAATACCCATGCAACCAGGGACTCTTGGACTTTATTAACACATCACTCTTTGGACGGTCTGTCTAAAAGACCAAGTCTTTGGTATCAAGACTCTTTGATTGATTCATTGTATGGACATGTCAAACAAATAGAGAACAGACCGTTCAAACAAAGAACAAAGAATCCTTTTCCTCAGCCCGTCTCGAATCATTACACTGCATCCAGGCAAGATTCCTTCATTTTTGTTTTCATTCAAGGCTTTGTTGCTTATTACTTGCATTATTGCCCCCGCAAATTGATCGTTTTTCTTCGCCTTCTACAATTTCTGACTTCTGTCTCTTCCCTCTGTCTAACACCAATAAACACCATCCTCTACCTTGACAACTACACAATATCCCATCTGCTTATTCTACCAAATTGCATATCTTCATTTGCAGCAGCCACGATGGATCTCTTAAGCATCACCATGTTCTCCATTGGGTTGACCCTAATCGGTTTCTTTCACTCGATCCCTCTGACGGCTATACAGCCCTCGTACATATTTCCTGAACGACTACAAGGAGCCTTCTGCATGGGATGCGTGATGGGCACTACCGGGGGAGTTGTTGAAAAAATATTTCCAGCTCGACACGATGATAGATCCCTGATCGGACCGGCCCTATTGTCATCGAGCGAAACATCTGTCTCTGAAACTACCGGCCTGGTCCCGCCTGAATCAGATTTGGGACATTCTAATTATACAACTCAACGTGCGTCCTATGATGCTGACTGGGACGGATTCGATCCTTGGTCATTCCACCCATTGGACGGCCACCTTGATGCTATCTCAAGTTTATATGGCACTCATGGCTCTAGCAATCAGTTACCAAATTCTTTCTGGATCACAATCCTCACATGTTTCGCACTCTTTTTGGTGACTTCGTTGTACGTCTTTCGGAAACAGAAGCAATACATGGAGATTGCTGACGCCGAGCTTCTGAGATTCATACGCGAGGTCAAATCTAGAAGAAGCTTCCTTATGGCGAAGATTGACAATGCAGCCTCGACAGTTGACAAGGAATTAGAGGAAATCACATCCAACATCACGGTACAGCAGGAACGGCTAGGCAACCAATTAGCCTCCTTTCAAGCCGAAGATTTCATCTACATGGAAGTCAACGCGTTCCGGGAACATTTCGAGCAACAGGTCCAGGTCGAGATTGACCGGCAGATTCCACATGTGCAAAGTTTTCTGGATGAACTCAAAGAGGCCAAACAGGCTATTCCAAGCCCAGTGGAGATTCAAGCCCATTACGAAGACTTCCAGAACGAAGTCAAGCGCTTCAAAAACCAGATTATTGGCATTTTGGCTCGGATCGATGCAGATTCGGTGTCGTACGACAACTTCGGGGTCTCCATGAAGCCCACTGATGATTTCCTGAGCTTTATTCCGATCAACCAGGAACACACACCAGCGGCTTCTGAGGGACTTTTTCCGGAAATAGAATCCGAGTCACTGGATGATATCCATATGTCGGAGGAAGGGGATACAACTTGGAGCTCATTGGAGCACGGGGGGTCCGAAGAATGCCAGGAGCCAAGAGAATCCGACGGAGACAAACCTGAGGAAAGAGAAGAGATTGATGAGATTGAGAAAATGGAAGAACTCGTGGATATGGAAGAGAGTCAGGAGCAAGAAGAAGGGAAAGAGACAGAGAAAACTGAGTTATTCGAAGAAAAGGGAGAAAGTCACCAGGGAGAACTTGAAGAAAGAAGGGATGAAACGCCAGCGGGGGTAGCTCAATGGTTTGCTGCGAGCGGAAGCCCACCATTGACGCCAGACCAGCTCGAGGATGGGCGAAGAATCCGGCGTGAGAGAGTGCAGCGACGATTGAAGGCTGCTAGGCGTCACCAAAGGAATAGAGTCAACAAGACGCCATCATTTGAGCATCTTTACAGACACTCAAAGGGGAAATGTCCATCAACGAACAAAGGCCAGAGGATGACCAGCCAATTTGATGCTTCCGAAACTCTTATTGGCTTGGGATTAAAGGAGGAATAGGCAAGCTTCATCTTGATTTTCATTTGATTTGGTTATCTGCTTTCTTATTGCACAGGCATTTCCTTTGGTTTCGTGTTGGATTGACACAGAGTAAAGATATGGGTTCTTCTTTGGGGGTATTGATCGAGGGTTACGGCGTTGAATTGATGATATGGTATATTTCTAGACGGTATCTATTGAAACCTTTACTGCTTTTTACATTCGCTTTTCATCAAGTATTGTCGCAAATCATCGTAAATCATCGATATTCCCTCCTGTTGCCAAATATCACGTGCTGCCTCAAGCCCTCTCCTCTCTCTCTCTCTCTCTCTCTCTCTCTCTCTCCCTCTCTGCTTCTTTGATTCTTTATCTCAACAAGAATCATCCATGAAACCTCAAATTCATCTATTTATATTCATCATTATTTCCTTTCAAACACTTTTCTATCATCTAAATAAAGCTATACCACCATCGCTAGGCGGCTTTGTTATTCTTTGACCCGACTTGTCGACCGTCTCTTTCTTCTCCCCATTTCACCCTCCTTTGTCTCCTTCGTCCACTTTCATCCAGTGTTTTTGATATTCGAACTTCGAATTTCATCCGATTTCTTTCATTCTTGAAGCCCCCAAGGGATTCGTTACCCGCTTCTATCGCCTTCCAGTCTCACACCATGTCTTATATATATATTCCGTTGGCATTGGTTTGTGGCCATCTCTCCAATTTTCAAAGATAAATTTACATTTATACTCCTTATATCCTGATAACTATATTATTATATTATCTTATATTACTTCATAATCCGCCTGGTTTTATCTCTTATCGATATAACATTGACCGGTGGATGTATCGCAGTCCAAAATGGAGCTGACGATACTGACAACCATCTTTATAAGCCTCAACCTATGGGGTATATACGCACCAATACCACTTACAAACATCAATCCATCTCGCTCACCACTCGAACGTTCCATTTCGTCCTTTCAGGCAGTCAGCACCATCCATGTGCTGCGAAAAATCCACCCAAAGGTGTTTCCCGAAGTAAATGCTGCAGCTACCGACACGCCCGACCCGAATAATCCACTCAAGCGTGATGATATATTGAACGGAGTAATGGAAGAATACGCTCAGGATCGAAACTTGACGATGTCTCCCCCGTCTGCGACTGCGACTGCGACTGCGACTTTGGTCAACAACTCTGCACAGCCATTGACGATATCTCATCTTCTGAGAGAGAATATCGGCCTAGAGTTGAATGTATTCGATGATGTTACAGACGCAGTCTGGACGGTTTTCTGTATTGCTATTCTGGGCTTAAGTGTACTGATTATCCTATGCAAGGAACTGGGCGGTTTCACCGGACATGGTCATGGACGACCGCCCATCTCGGACAACGATGCTAGCAGCAAGACCCTCAATGATATCAAGGAATTGATATCACTCATACGACCCAGATTTCCAATCCAACACGGTGATTCCAAGAATTATAGCGATGCTTCATCCACCCTGGGGTCTTCCTCGCCTACACTAAAGGATGTTCAAGAACGCCTCGCACGAGTTGAAGGGTTTGTGGTTTCCCAAAAGGACACTGAAACCCCGAGCCCTAAACAATACAGCCAGAGTGGCTCTTTCGATGAGAGAATAAAGGAAATCGAGAATCAGCTTCGGTTAGCAGAAAACAAGCTGTCTATCCAGCTGAATATAAAGAATATGCTTGAAGAGACAATGCCTGCTTTCACTACAAAATTGATTCAACAGTTAAAGAATTGGCAACAGTCAGGATCATCCGATAACAGTTCCCCGACAGAGAACATTCTGAACCAAATTGACGACTTGAGATCCCTGTTCACCAAATCCCAGGGAGATACTAGCAATGATGTCGATCGCCAACAAAATTTGGAGAATTCTATTGGCAAACTGAGAGAAGACCTTACCGATTTGCAGAATTATCTACAATCGAAGGACCTGGGAACAAGTCAAAAGAGTCTCGAGGAGAGAATAAGCTCCCTCGAAACGGCAACTTCGACTAAACCCATGGATGAAGCAGAGATCGATAAAGCTCTATCTGACCTCAGAAAAGATCTGGACGACCTACAAGACAAAATCGATGATAATGAACGGAATATAGAAGAAATGATCACTATGAATTATTTAAAAAGCCTCGGATTGCCCGAAAGAGACGAGTTCGAGCGCATGATTAAGGACATCAATTCTACAAAACAGAAATTGGATGAACTTCCTGCAACTCGCCAACCACAGGGCTTCGAAAATGACGAGCTTAAAAAAGTGGAAGCTGACATCAACTCTATCCGTTCGAATTTGCAAGCCATCAAAAATACCCACAAAACGTTCCAAACCCAGCTTACCAACATCGATCAAAAGAGAGAAGCCCACGAGGGAAGACTAAGATCGACAGAGCTGTCTGTTCAGAGCCAACAAACTACTCTCAATCAGCTGAACAGCGGCGAAGGTATCAATACCGCAGGTGAACCGCAAGACAAGGATCAAAATCTTCGTGCTCTTGGAAACCGCTTGAAAACGGCATCCGAGTCTATCAGTAACCACGGAATTCAAATACAGACTATCGACGAGAAACTGGGCCGCATGCACAACACACTCTCACATCAAAACTCGGATCTCGCGGAGGTCATGGCTAAATTGGGCATATTATATCGGATGAAGGGCACCGTGGAAGCAATGGCCCAAACATCCTCGACAGCTACTGAATCTCAACCCGTTGATAAGCAGACTCACAATGATAGCAACGACGAACCCAATACAACTACTGAAGAACCTTCGACACAGAAAGCGGATAACCGCAAAGACATCACGGAAAGTGAAAGCCCATCATATGCAGGACCCGAGGGCAGTAGGTGGGCTACTAATGGCCTAGGGCCATACTTTGGACTTCCTTCCCAGCAAGACAACGCAGAAGGCAAAAAACCAGCATCGCCAAAGCAACCACCATCAGGGCAGGAATCATCTCCTGGACTTAAGGAGAGTATATGGGCGGATAAGGAGCCATCTTTTGGACTTCCCCCTCAAAATGATAGACCAAAAGGTACGAAGCTCAAATCCCCAGAACCTGACCGCGCTAATTATATCCCAGTATCACCAAAGAAATCATCATCATTCGACCAGAAGTCATCGTCTGCACCCACAGGAAATTCGAAAGCTATCGGAAAGGCAACGCCCCCTACGACTCCAAACACAAACAACAATCGTCATGGTGGCCCACCAGCTAATGCACCTACCGGTCCAGCTGCCAGAAAATCTGTCAAAACTCCCGTTGAATCAAACGCTGGCCCAGCTCCCCGACAGCGGAATGATCTATCCCTCAGTAAAGTTAGGGCAGCATCTGGATGGAACGAATTCTCGATTGATGCTGCCCCGAAGGAGAAGCAGAAATTTGATGAAGAGCAAGCGGAGATCGACAGGCTGAAAAAGGAAGGGAAATACCAACCCCCCTCTTTCACGGAAAATCTGAAATGGAAGCAAAAGAAAAATCCTGGGGATTCCAATTCCAATCCCATGCTACCAGATCCTCTCAGTGCCGGCACAGAATATCATGGTGCTACCTCCGCCAAGGAACAAACCTCATCATTGGTTGCTATCTCTGACGAGATTACAGAGCAGAAGACTCCCGCAAACTCCAATGATAAAATTCTGGAAAGCGAGCAGCCATCATCGTCTAGGCGTCCTTCCCAGCAGAACAACCCAAAAGACGAGAAACTAGCAACCCCAAACCTTGACCGGGCCGGCGATATCCCAGAATCATCAAAGAAATCTTCATTGGAGGAGAAGCCATCAGAGCAGATACCATCCTCTGGGGCTGAACGGAGTGCGTGGGCTAATACAAACCCAATCTCTGTACTCCCCTCCCCGCATGACAATACGAAGGGCAAAGAACGGGAATCCCCAAAGATTAACTGGGCTGAAGAGGCCGAAAATTCACAAAGGCAATCACCATCAGAGAAGAAATCACCCCCTGGGACTAAGGCGATTATCTGGGCAAATGCAGGGCCATTCACACCGTCCTCTTCGACTGTACCGACTGTATCGACTGCAACGACTGCACCAAGAAATCACTCGAATAGACGGCCATCTGGGGTTTACACGCCACCAAGTCGACGTTCATCATCGGTTGTTAGTTCGGACATAGGCAATAGGTCGCCAAAGGGACCGAACCAAGGAGGAAGGGGAAATAGGGGAGGAAAGAAGTGAAGTGTAGGTGTGATTGTCTCCCTTACCATTTTCTTCCATTTCTTGGAGTATAAATGGATTGTCATGATGCTTTTAGATGGATATCATATGGTATAATATGTTTGTTTTGGAATTGTTACCTTATTTAGATTGTTGGGTTTTTGGTTAGATATATCCACATCTTCTGTTTATTGTTGCCCGAATAGTAAATCAATGACTCCAAGATCGTAAATATTTTGTCGACATTTTTTAGAATACAAATCTATAAAAGACCATTATCAAGTACAGGGTATCATATAATCAGCAAAATTTATGTCCAGGTGAAACGAATCGTCATCATCTAGTATAGCAGCGGGAAAAGACAATAGAGCATGGGTGGATTATGAATTTGCCTCCTCGACAAGATATTTCCGAAACGCAGTTTTCAGCATGTTAATCCGTCTCTGTGTATGGATAAAAACCTCCCGGTACAGTTCCAAGCTCTCATGCACAACCTCCTGGCGTGACTTGTTCCCCGCGCAGATATCTCGCATCCGCTGCTCCATCTCCTTACGAAGGAACGGTTTGCTCAAGGAAGGGCTATCCCTAATCCCAGCAACGACGTTATCGTAGCCCTCGATGAGAGCGATCCCGAGACGGGTCGGGATAATTTCCTGGGCTGAATTACGGCCACTTCCTCTTGGTTTAACGGCGACATACTCGCGTTCTTTGATTTTGGCAATATGTTCGGCCATCGTGGCGTCAGTGCCGATACCGTTTGCGTCCATGAGTCCGATAAGTTCGGGTTCTGTGAGGTAGCCTGGAGCCGATGTTTTGCCGTCGAAGATCTTGGCCTCGGTAGGTTCGAAGAGCTCGCCCATTTGGAAGTTTGGTAGTTGCTGGCTACTTTCCCATTTATCGTAGACATAAACTTCGAGGTAGTTTCTCTCGAGAACTATCAGTCCATTGGCGTGGAACATTTCATCGCCATATTGGATTTCAACTTCTGATGTTTGACCCTTTGCGTCTTCGGAACAACAAGCTAGGAATCGACGGGTGACGAATTCGTAGACTTTCTTTTCATTGGCATTCAGAGAGTTTGGCGAGACCCAGCATATGGGGTGGATGGGTGGATGGGCACGATCGTTGTGACGGCCTGATCGAGGCGTTCTGAATCCACCGTCAACGAGACTGGAAAAAAAATTATTAGCAAACATGCCGTATATTATAAACGAAGATAACAGTACCCTCGAGCATATTGACCCCAATTATTATCTGGATATTGCTTTTCAACCAGCTTCTTCAGATCAATGGCCTTATCAAACTGATCTGTCTCCGTTCGTGGGTAGCTGATGAAACCTTTGGTATAAAGGGCCTCTGCAGTCTGGAAAATCGGTCAGCCATAGAAAATAAAGGGGCATACTAACGGGGTTATACCTTCATAATAAGCTGACTGTCCATGCGAAGATATCTACTCCCCATCATTTGAAGGTCCACTGTTGTCAACGGCAAAGGCCTCCATTTACTGGTAGGCTTCTGGTTCACTTTGGTAACTTTGGCTTTCTTTGCTGTGAGGCATCGCTCCAACATCACCGTCACAGCAGCTCTGTCGAAGAGATGAACCCTTCTCCAAAGAAAATTCACTTTAATGTCATCTCGAAGATGCATCACTTTAATCCCCCAAAACTTCTCCGGTTTGAAGTTCCTGACTCGTAGATAGCGGTCGACCACGAATCCCAAAGTAGGGAATTGGCAAGACCCTGTGCAGAACGTTGTAAGACGGATGATCAAAACGCAATGACAGACTTAGCTCAAACTAACGTACCATAACTGATGACCTTCTCAGCAAGGATTTCTGGCGCCGTAGGTTGTAGTTGAAGCGTCAACAAACGTGTGAATGCAGCACCAATTCGGAGATCGAGTTCTATTCTAGCAGCCACCGCGTTTGCCTGGAGATCATCGAGTTCAATCGGTGCCCGAGCAGCTTGTAATACATGTCTAGGCAGGGTAAGCGTGAGCTAACCATCTAAGCTGAGATTTTGGAAACTTACGCCCTCTCCGTGTTGCTGAACCGAGCTCGTTTGATCTCAATACGAGCGTTTCCCTCCTTTGCTTGCTTTCGAACTTCAGTCCCGATATGCTCTCCTTCCCGATCACAATCAGTCCAGATGAATAAAGCCCTGCAGTACTTGGCCTGATCTCGAATGTTGTTTGCGATGGCAGATTTATCCTGCACATGAATCAGTAAATGGGTTTAGCGAGAGAACGTGCTCAAACATCAGACAAACCACATACAGAGTCTACGGACTCATACACAGGGGTCTCAAAGAGCGTGCTTGGTGGACAAGAGGTCCAGCCCCTGAATTGACGACCGAAATCCAGGGCTGTCAAGTGGCCGATGACGCTTGTCATAGTGACCGAGCAGGTGCCCCAATGGTTACCAAAATTGAATTCAAATACATAGTTTTTGACATATGGATTTCCTCGAATTGACATCTACATAGATATTCAGTATAGGCCTTCCCCAGCTATCTTTGGGAGATTCATTAGCACTTACTGTCTGCATCGAACCGCCAGACAAATGTTGAGCCACAGCCTTGGCGATGGCAGGCTTCTCTGCCACACACAGAATTCTTGGAGCCATGGTCGCAGGCCCAGAAGAGAAAGAGATCAGACGGTATCCATGCTAATGAAAAATCTACCCATATTACCTGTGCACTGTCGATCGTGCGTCATCGAATAATATCAATGAGTGAGGATTATTCGAGTGTCGCGAAAGACACGCACAAGACGCGGCTTGATGCCTGAATATACTGACTTGCTGCCAGAGGCATAATAATTGTTCGAGCTCACTCACCGCCTTCCTTATACGGTAAAGTGATCGTCGACTCTGTGTTTGTTTTGATGCTTCCTTCATGATCCACAACAACAAGCAAGAAATAACCTGACCATCTCCATCCCCTTCTTGCAGGTCGGTTGATATCAGAATCTCCGACTATGGCGCTCCCTCTTCCTCCAGTCCAGTCTGTCGCAGACTGTGCCTCTTTCAACCATACTGTTCTCCCATTCCTGTCCCAGTTGACGACGCTTCCTGTGAAGCTTCAAGAGGCAGGCAAGGATGTGGACGCTTTGAAGGCAATCTATCTCGCCACGAATCCTTTTGTGACTGCTCTTGCATTCTGTTTTGCCCTGGCTGGATTTCTATGTATCTTTTCTGAGATCAACCGAAACTGGTCCCAAGTGGACAGATTCTGGAGTCTTTTGCCATCTATTTACAATGTGCATTTCGCTGTCTGGGCGCGCTTGTCCGGCATCGAGTCCCACAGTCTGGATACGATCGCCGCCATCAGTCTCATCTGGAGTGTAAGTTTGCGACTTTGTATCGCGATGATCACTTTGGCTTATTAACATGAACCCCGCAGATTCGATTGACCTACAACTATTGGCGCAAGGGAGGTTACAAAATTGGCTCGGAAGATTATCGCTGGCAGATCGTTCGCTCCAAGGTCAACAACAGATTTGTCTTTTCCCTCTTCAACATTGTCTTCATCTCCCTGGCGCAATCCCTGCTGCTCCTTTTGATTACCGCTCCGACATACATCTTCCTTCTTCTGTCGCAAGTTAAAGACCAGGAGCCGTTCGGTATCCCCGATCTGGTTTTCTCCCGTGTCGCCTTTTTCTTTATCGTCATTGAAACTTTCGCCGACCAGCAGCAGTGGAACTTCCAGAATGCCAAGAAAGAGTATCAAAAGACAGCCCGTATCCCCGATCAATATAAGGGACAGTCGACCCCTGAGGACTTGGAGCGCGGCTTTGTTGTCAGCGGTCTTTGGTCCCTGTCTCGCCACCCCAACTTTCTCTCAGAGCAGGCCATCTGGCTCAGCCTGTACCTGTGGAGCTGTTACCGAACCGAAACCTATGCGCAGTGGACCGGCATCGGTGCTGTGGGCATTCTGCTTATCTTCCAGGGCAGCACAAGACTCACCGAGTCAATCAGTGCCAGCAAGTACCCCGAGTACACTGAGTACCAGGCTCGTGTCGGTCGTTTCATTCCCAGATTCTCTGTTAAGCCCAAGTACAAGGGTAGCTCTAAGAAGAGAAAAACCCGCCGGTCAGAGGACAAGCAGCCAGAAGCCGAACAGACCATCGAGCAGGACGGAAAGAAGAGCCAGTGAAAAAAGGGAGGTGGAAGAATGGAGTAAATTTATTTCAACTTATCTTAACATAATTGATTTAACCTGTATTATCTAGAAACTTTTCAATATATATGTCAAATAGTTATTTAACAATCTATTTAATTTGCTTTCTATTAGAAGCACGGCATGGTAAATAAGATGTATGAAACGGATTAGGAAATGACCTAGCTACTATACAATACAGTACACCAGACGTTTTGGACTGAAGATATAAGATGAAAGATGGAGATGAGAATGAAGAGAGAGAAAACGGAGGGAAAAAGGACAAGTCTCAAAAGACCCTAGTATTTATGGCAACAAGATAGAATGGAACAATTGAGGGGGTAACAAACAAGAAACAAGCAAGAAAGGAGATGCTTCCGAACATAAATACAAAACCCAAATGTTATTCTCCCATCGCCATCCGTAACTTCCTGTCCTGAGTTTCATCTCTATACTGGGAAAGGCGTTTGGTCTCTTCCATCCTTGCCTTCAGTTTGTTCCTTTGTCTGTGGAGGTTCAGGGGGTGCGATGGTTTTCCCACCTTGGCCGTCGAAGTACTTGGCGAATTCGCCAGATTCGGGCCAGGGTCGAGGACCAAGGAGTCGGATCATGTCGTCACGGCTGAGAACCTCCTTGGCGAGGAGCTCTTCGGCGACGATGCCGACTTCCTTGTTCTTCTCGGTAAGAAGGCTGTGGCATTGCTTGTATGCCTCGCTGACAATGCGGCGCACCTCGGTATCGATGTCTCGGGCAGTGTCCTCGGAGAAGGGTTTGTGGAGCTGGTTAGGGTCTTCTTCGTAGTAGATGTACTTGAGCTTGGGCGACATGCCAAACTTGGTCACCATAGCAGTAGCCATACGAGTAACCTTGTTGAAGTCATCACTGGCGCCGCTTGTAACGGTGTCGAAATGCAACTCTTCGCTAACTCGTCCTCCCAAAGTCATGGCCATACGGTCCATAAGCTGGTTGACGTTCATCAGGTACGTGTCACCTCCTGCTGGCAAGTACTGGGCGTATCCCAAAGCACCTTGGCCTCGAGGAATGATCGAAACCTTCAGCAACGGATCAGCCCAGCGGAAGTACCAGCCACAGACAGCGTGTCCAGCCTCGTGGTAAGCAACTGTGCGCTTTTCTTCAGGCGAGAGCACAAGAGATTTCTTCTCTAAGCCACCGATAACACGCTCGATGGCCTGCTCAAAGTGTCTCATGACGACCTTGTCGGCGTTCTCACGGGCAGCTAGGAAAATCAAAAAGTTAGCACTGACAGATCCATAAGAAGTGAGCAGAAACTCGATTACATACCAACCAATGCTGCCTCGTTAACGCAGTTAGCAATGTCAGCACCAGCAAACCCAGGAGTCAGAGCAGAAAGTCTGCCTGTCAAATACTCCATATCTTCGCTAGTAACAATCTTCTTCAAATGGACATGGAAGATTTGCTTGCGGCCATCCATTGTAGGTCGGTCGATACCAATGTGTCGATCGAATCGTCCAGGTCGCATGAGGGCCTTGTCGAGAACATCAGGTCTGTTAGTACCGGCCAACACAACAACCTGTTCAGAGGTGTTGAAACCGTCCATCTCGGTAAGAATCTGGTTGAGTGTACTCTCGCGCTCATCGTTTCCACCACCGTAGCTTTGCTTGGCTCTCGATTTACCAATAGCATCAATTTCGTCAATGAAGATGATGCAGGGTGTGTTTTTCCGGGCGTTGGCGAAAAGGTCACGAACACGGGAAGGACCAACACCAACAAACATCTCAACGAATTCCGAACCGCTAACACTGAAGAAAGGCACGCCAGACTCACCAGCGGTTGCCTTTGCGAGCAATGTCTTACCAGTACCGGGAGGACCTGAGAGAATTGCACCGCGAGGGATCTTGGCACCGAGTTTCTGGAACTTCTCCGGGTGCTTGAGGAAGCTGACGAATTCCATGATCTCTACCTTGGCCTCGTCCATACCAGCCACGTCGGCGAACTTGGTTTTAATATCTGTCTCGTGGTTGAACTTCTTAGCCCGGCTCTTTCCAATACCGAAGATTCCGCTCTGGCCGCCTCCACCGCCGGCACGCCTCGACAGCCAGAAGAAACTGCCCATCAAAAGGAGAGTAGGGCCGAAAGTCAAAAGAGTTCCAGCCCACGACACTTCGTCCTGGTAGGAAACGGGAATGCGCTCGGAGCTGGGGATACCCAGTTCATTTTGAGCTTCATCCAGTCGCCGCTCAAAACTGTCAATAGATCCGATGCTGAAGAAATAAACGAAGCCTTGCTGGGCAGCCGGGGAGTCGGGGTACATTCGAGATACGGCTTCACGGTTCAGCTCAACGCGTACCCGGTTACCATTAATGACGGTGAGCTTCTCGACCAGGCCCTTGTCGAAGAAGTTCGCTCGGAAATCCTGCCATGTAATCTCTTTGGTACTTTCACCCGGAAAGAAGCTGCGGTATACATAGTATGAAATGAGAGACGTAATCAGGAACGAGGCGGGATCAAATTTCAGCTCCAAAACCCTGAAGTTTGGAGGCTTATTTGACTGGTCCTGTCCCTTTTGCTGTTTTTGTTGCTGTTCCTCTTTTGTGCCTTCTTTGTCGCCACCCTGGCTTCTCTTTTGCTCCAACTCGCTCATCTTGGCGGTGTAATCGGCCAGATGCCTTGACATATAACGTGTCAGATTAACATAGTCCATTAAAGATGCCGGTCGACCGGACTGAACATGATCTCTGATAAAGTCCTTGACTTCCGGAGGTAGCCCTTCGCTCATCAACACCGCTCGCATATCGTCCAGCATCTGATGTTGTGAGTTGGGCACGCGATCCTTAAGATGCTTCATAAATTGATCCACCAGCTTCTGCTCTTCGGGCGTGAGCTTCGATTCGGGCTCCTCGGGCACCTTTTTGCCTCCATTGTTACCACCATCGTTCCCGGGCTGGCTTGATGCTGGCTTTTCACCGTCCTTGTCGCTCGGAGGTTTCGGGCCACCAGGGCTCTCTGTGGCATAGGATCTGATACGGTGCGCTGTGATAAGGGAAGAGAGTTTCGATTGCGGAGCATGCGCAGAGAGTGGCCCCGCGCGATGGATGCATTCTGCGGCTCTCCTCGAGTATCGAGCAAGATTGCCTGGCCGTCGGAGTAAGGTGGCCATGGTCGAGGAAGGTGAGCCCAGAGGGCTAGGGGAGGAGGGGAGGAAAGGAAGATAAAAGGGGATATGTAGTCGGATTCAACAGAAATGAGTAGCTGCCGAAGCCATAGATACTCTCGTCCAATATAGAATTGAAAAGCGGAGGCGAGGAGAATGAAGCTCTTTGGGGAGCCGTTCGGCGTTCAGTCACCACGGAGTGACGCCTTCGTTCGGCCTTGGTTTTTTCGCCGTTCCGGTGCTTGACGGCTGAGTCATCCGGCGCCAGGTTAGAAAGCAGAATCCCAGCGAACATGATGGACATTTTATCGTCGTCTTTTTATTGTGAAATTAGATGTATTTGTATTGATAAATGGCTACATAATGCCTAAAAGACTATTACTTTACGTATATGTTCTAGAAATTCTCGTTATTACATTCAATTGCAGATCTGTACCCCTCCAGATCAACTCGCCTTGGCCAGATATCATCCCAGGTGATGCAACAGCAACAACTATTTACTGCACAATAATCAATATTTTCACGAAGTGGAGTGGATATTTTCGTACGCCGAGAGAATAAACGCCTTTTGAACCACCAGAGTGAGGGGCGAGAGGGGGAGAAGAGAGGAAGAAAATATTCGAGAAGCAGAGAGTACTTAACTTCATCAACTCCGTATACTCCGTTCAATAGTCCAAACCAGGACTATTGCTGATATGTATCCCATTCGTCAAATGTGTTCATGTCATCATAAAATCACGATTGGTGCTGAGGTGGCCCGTTGGGATCGACTCCAGCACCAAATACTGGAAAGTTTGTGGACATGTCTGCCCAGTCCCATTCAATTGTCATTGGCATTTGCCATAAGTCTTGCGGGACGAAGGGTTGTTGGAAGGATGACATGGGGTTATTATTGGCCGCAAAGGGTTGCTGATCAAAGTTCACACCTCCCATATTGGGACTAAGCATATCTTGGAAATCTTGCCCAAGCCCAGACATGGACTGAATGTTGCTGGGAATATCTCCAGAAAGGCCGCTTGCCACCGGCATCGTTGGGTCTGAGGCGAATGTTCTCGCCCCACGAGGGCCATTAGATGCAGAGCCGCCCATTTGATCAGGGAACAACGAGGATGCAAACGGTGCAGTCGTCGGCTGTGCTTTTGCAGGTTTTGAGGTGGAGGGAGAATGTGTAGAGTTTCTGTCAGGCGTTTTTCGCTGCACATTTTCTGTATCATCGGGTGCTGTCTTGCGCTTCTTCTTGGACTGAGACTCTCTTTCATTTTTATCCAAGACCACCTTGGCAATTCTTTCAAATTCGGCACACAGGCCCAGCATACGATGGATGCTTCCATTTGATTCATCGGATATAAGGGTGGAAAGAAAATTGACGACCGTAGTCATTAATTTGACATCCGAACGAGCACGGGGATCATTCGGGTTCTGCAGAATATTGGCAAACAGAGTAACTAATGCGGAAACCGGGTAATAAAGAATCAACCTAATCCGAGTTAGCAAAGCTGATCAAAATACCTCTGTTGGTTCCTAAAATGCTTACCAGACGCATGCAAAGTCTCCCTGTGGAATATACTTGATCAGATTTATCGATGCTCTCGCGGCTGTCACACACAGAACTGCTGACAAAAAGACTCTCGGGTTCAAGGGCCTGGCATTCAGACCTTGAATGGCATAATTCGAGAGTCGACTTGTCCAGTATCCATGGTGCACAGACATCCGGTGAATTGTTGTCAAACAATTGTAATAAGCAAATTGCATGACAACAACATGCAGAATCAAGGGCGTATGAGTGGCCTTGATTTCATATTCAGGCCGAAAGTCGAGGGGAATACTTTCCTTCCATTCCTCGAGTTCCTTGTCAAGCTCTCCAATTGTATTCAACAATTCGCCGTCAGACTGTTTTGTTGCTTTGGCAGAATAAAGTCGCTTATATACTCTGCTTTCAATGATTGCAAACTGACACATTGACCTGAACAAGTTGAACTTCCCTTTTCCATCAGACAAGGGGACGTTTCCAACATTATCAGGAGGGTCCTCGCTAGGAAGTTCAACGTTCATGTCATCATCATCTTGAACGGGAGGACGGCCAGAACGGAGGCAGAAACTGACCAGCATATTAGAATGGATATATTGCTAAACCAGTGGGCGAAGAGGGAAAAAGGAAAGTGCATAACATAAGATGAGGGAAGGGTTTGGTAAAAGCACTTACTCTTTGTCAAGAAGATAAGAAATCCAGAAGACTCTTTTCCGCTGTTCAACCTCCACTGGGTTCAAGCCAAACCCAGAGCCTCTTTTATGAAGCCCAATACTGTGAGCAAGTCTTATTGCGGCAGCAATCAAAAAGAATGCAGGTTGAGGGTTTGGTGTTCCTTGTAAGAAAAGAGACTAGAATAGTATTAGAGAAAAGAACATGGAAGAGCGAGCGACGACAATACTTACCATTCCCAGCAGGGCTTGAACACTCAACAGGTCCGTATTTCGCATTGTGAGTTCAGTCATAACACCCATGGCATTTTTCAAGTAAAGCCAGGCCTTCTTATCCTCTTCATGAGGCACCAAGTTACTCATGACCCGTAACCTGTGTGCGATAGCCAGGACGACGTTGATACTTGCCCACCACCCAGAGCCTTCGTATGGATCTCGGGAGTATTGCTTCTCTGCCAAATGCATGAACGTCGGCTCATGATACAACGGGAACATGCAGTTGAAGTTCTCGAAAAAATCCCGGAAAAGCGACATTGCTTCATCCTTGGGCGGCAGCGGCTTAAAAACACGGCGCGCAAATATATCGCTAAAGATCTCAGGCTTCCAGTACATCCATTTGTTGTCGTCCACGTAAGCCGCAGAAATCATGTCCTGGAAGGAAGTGTCGCCCGTCTTCTCATTAACCCATTGGATACCCTTGGGAGAAAATATTGAAAACCCCGAGGACGAACCTGCAATGCCGTGTTAGACTGGCACATAGTGAGTCAACCAGGTCAGAAGACAGATTCTCACCAATATATCGAGTCTCTCCGCAGTTGTTTGTCACCAAAGAGCACATCATGTCCGATAATGCCTCAACCTCTGTTTCCGATTCCTTCTGTGATTCGGGTGATGTGGCAGCTGTTCGTGGGCTCGAATGAGAATCCATGCGAGGAGTAGAGTTATGAGACGTAGAGCTTTGTTGTGTTTGGGCTTGCGTTTGGTTCGTGATGTTCGGGGCTGTGAATTTATTTGGTGACGATGCGGCGGCATTCAATCCATTCGCAAAAGACCGGTCGGCAAGGCGCTTTTCCAACGTCCCAAGATCTGTCTTTCCTGCATCGTCTTCTGACAAGAGACCAGAGAGCCGTAATAACGATTCCATTCTGCCCAGTCGGTTTTCTAGACCCTCAATGTACTTGGCACTGATAAGATATCGACGTCAGCGCTGTCAAAGCTCCCAACTATGCAAACTAATGCCCGAGACATACCCTTTTGGGGGATTTCGTTTCTTTTCCACCTGAGTAAAAATGCAGTCCGTCTTGTAATTGATACAATGTGAACATTTGGGCATTTTCCCGTCGCATTTGATCTTCTTCTTCCGGCACATGTCGCAGGCCTACACATACATCCCATCAGCTTTTGAAGGTTTATCATCTCAGCGTTGAGCACCCCTCACCCTCGCGATCCTTCTTCTTTTTGCGTCATTGTTATCATCGCCCATACCCATTGACGGGTCATCTTGAAAGTTTGGACCTGGGAGACCTGACGGGCCTGGCGAACCTTCGTGACCGTAAGCGCCGAAGAGATGGGGTTGTTGGTTCATTAGCATGGGCATATCAAAGCCCATACCCTCTGGGCCCTCCCCCATATCGTCCATTATGATCCTTCAGTCGTTGGTTCCAGCGAACTTGGATCCAGGAGCTCCCCAACCGCGGAGGGGGTGGAGTCGACAGCTTTGAAGCGGGTACGGCGGTGATGTCTCGAGCGTTCTGGTGATGCGGGGTCGTCCCCAAAGAGGCCGTCGACGGCGAGGTAAGACCGGTGGCGAACCTCAGGTATCAATATGCGAGGAAGCTCCACGAGAGCAAACTTGGGGTAAGTGATGATGCATCCAGTGGAAGGATTAGAGGCAGTCAGAATTGATTACTCAACCGTACCCAAAAGCACGTGGCAAACCCGAGGCTGTCTTTTCTTTTTTTTTGCCCTCCCCTCCTGACAGGTGAAGTGGGGGAGAAAATAACCAGTCTTGAAATTATGAGGAATAATTGCCAACCATGAGACAGATCAACTCAAGATAATGAATAATTATGCCATTCGTCAGGGGAATCAAAAAGGATGATTAATTGTTGCTGCCTTTGTAAGGCCATCCCATAATAGACCTCCGGAGTCATACCCAAGAAACTAAGCTGATCAGCGGACGGAAGACGTTAAGTCCGACTCCCGAACAAAAAAACCACGGCCGGTTGACGGTGGCGGTGGTTCCGGATGGGATTTTGCACCCGCTGACTGAGCAGAATCAGTCGATGGAAGATGGAATTGGATCGTATTCGATGGAAGATCTACGGAGTCGAAGTGAAATGGTGGATTAGGCTTGTCTGTCTGTAGCAAAGTCTATCGTTTACTTGCTAGTCTTTATTAGGAGACATTGATGTATAGTCAAAACAGTTACTATGTAAACAGGAGCGGCGATCTCGTCAGGATATAGATAGTAGAAAATACAACTCTCCGAAAAGGAGCATGATAAGAATATATCCCATCTGGAAAACCGACCAACGCCACGCTATGCACCCAAACAAGTTATTCTCTTGTACAGCGGTACTACTCAAGTACCAATGCCCATCGTCCTTCCGTCCAATGGGTCCCTCAGTGCAAAACAGCCCTAGACGTGCTTGTCCAGGAATTCCTTTGCTTCGTTGATCTTTGTGGCCAAATACGGGCTTCCACCACGATCGGGGTGGTTGAGCAACATGAGCTGGCGGTGCTTCTTGCGGACCTTGTCCTTGTTCAGGGTTCGTTCCCTATCCATCCTGTTAGATACTTTTTGAAAAGATAACCACATTGCAGGGTGGTTTAGGTAACGTACGGGAGCTCCAGAATCAAAGATGCTTCACGGCGAGTCATTCGCTGTTCGAATCCACTATACTCAAGTCAGCAATCATGTTTATGCCACCATGTCATCGAAAAACAGTCACGAACCCTTTGTAGAACGCCTTGCCCATACTGTTCATACCTCCTTGGTAGCGACGCAAAGCAACGAAACCAGCGCGACCCTATAGAGAAAAGGAAGATAACCGTCAGTTGGTTGTTTGCGAACGAAGATGTCCATCGGGATCCCCCTTACCAAGAAAGCCGCAGTAGCGACACCCAGGCCCATGGCAAAAGTCGAAGCCATCTTGAAGCGAATTTACCGACGAACAAACGGGTTAATCTGCGATGAAGATGGGGAAATGAAATGTCGTCTCGACGGCGAGCTCTCTGCTTGTGACGGTTGACGTTGGGAAGAACCGGAGGCTGTCGAGATAAAAATTGGAGCGCCGCCGCGAGGCCCGTTTGGGTTTAGCGGCTGCTGCTCCGCTTCGGAGCTTTGCAAAAAAAGTTTCCTTCGATTTCTGAAGTCGACGATTGTTCCTTCTCCAAGCCAGAGACAACCGAAATAATCATGAGGTGAGTCGCAAAATGTTCCTGTGTTTTGATATCGGTTTCTGACTTAATTCAACAGGGTTGAGACTTGCCATTTCTGCTCGCGGCCGGTAAGTTGGATTCCATCGCCATAGTGGTGTTTATCACACTGAACATGAGGGAAAAAAGGTCTATCCGTCCAAGGGTATTACATTTGTTCGCAATGACGCCAGACAATTCCGATTTTGCCGCTCAAAGTGCCACAAGAACTTCAAGATGAAGCGTCAACCTCGCAAGCTGAAGTGGACCAAGACTCACCGTGCTGTCCGCGGAAAGGAAATGATTGTCGACTCGTCGCTGGTGTTGTCCCAGTTCGCCAAGAAGAGAAACGCCCCCGTCAAGTACGACAGAAATCTGGTTGCCGCGACAGTCAAGGCCATGGAGAGAGTGGAGGAAATCAGAGAACGCAGAGAGCGCCAGTTCACCAAGCGCCGCCTGGCGGGCAAGCTTTCCCGGGACCGCAAGCGCGAGGAGGATCGGAAGGTTGTTGCGGAGGGCGAGCACCTTATTCGCAAGGAACTGCGGGAGAGAGAAGAGGGACAGCCCTTGGTGTCGGATTCGAGCAAGGCTCCAAACAAGGTGCATGGCCAGGAGATCCAGAGACAGAAGAAGAAGGCCAGATTATTGGTGGATGGGGGTGTTCAGGAGGAAATGGATGTCGACTAAAGGGTACAGTCAGTTTGACGGAGATATCCATGGACTTCTTGCTTTCCTTTTCTCAGATACCTTGGGATTTCATGCGGAGTTGGGCCGTTTCTTTTTCCTTTCTGTGTCAATCATTTTCTATCAAAAGCAATCTACTGGACTTAAGGCTATGGCGTATATTCCCTTTTTTTTTTTTTTTTTTTTTTTTTTTTCCTACTAAATTCGCTCATTGGTCCCACTTTCATGCATATCAAAGTGAATGTTCACAGTGAATGAGCTCGACAGTGAATGAATGAAGACCTCGACCAGTCTCTCGCTAAGCAGGAACACTGAGACGGAGGCCTCCCCCTCCCTCTTCCTTTTCTTGTCTTCCTTTCCTCTTCATCTTCCCATCACTTCTTCTATCACTTCCTCTGCATCAGCACAGCTACTACCAATCCATCTCTACCATCTTACATCTATCAAAGAATCAAAAGCAACGTGAGAATCGTCGAGTTTATATCACTCCCTCCCCTCTCCTGTTAGTAACTGACGCGTCTGCAGAATGATCTTCCCATTCGTTGGACTTTTCGTCTCCTTGGCTCTCTGGGGCACGTTTTTTCCTGTTCCAGGATTAATCGAGCCCGAGCAGAGCTTCGTGAAGCGTTTGTCGGGTGCTATGGGAGCAACGGCGATGGTGAAGGGAGTCTACGACCTGGCAGAGGTCATATCCTCTGCGTACATGGATGATCATCTGCACAACGACTCCGTGTACGTCAACTTGGCTGGTTTCGAAAGCCTTGTGGACCACGTAAACCCCCTCAACACCAGCACAGAGACGTCACTCAGCGTGGTATACCCGCTGTGGGAGGAGGTCGACCAGCGGCCTGTCGTGAACATCACCGTTCGCGATAGCCCCCGCCGGCAGACATATTTATCACCCATGGCGTGTCTGCTGTTCGCCTTGTTCGTCGTGTTCTACACGATGGGTTTCGCTACCTTCATGGTGTTCCTTTGGAGAGGAATCGTTTCCCTGTGTGCTTACACACCGGGAGAGGTGACTGAGAAGCCTGATCGATGCTTCGGGGGTGTCCCCAAGGTAGTCCACTACCTTGCCACCGACAGGGCTCTGTCTCTTTACGAGGAGATGGAGACTCTGGTCGAAGGGAGCCAGTCCTCGGAGCTCATCAAGTCGGGTCCTCTGGTCACTTCTCCTGCCAGTTCGGGCACTGTGGCTCTGTCGACGATGCAACCGGCATTGACGGTGAGTATCCTCCGCGAGGTGGAGAAAGCCATCTCTCGCCAGCATCGCCAGCGTGAGCTCGCAGTTGTCTCCGAGCTGGACTTTCGCACCGCCAAAGGGCAGGAGGACTGCACCCCCATCAGCGCCGCGGACGTAACGCTCACAACCGCTACCCCGGACCCGTCCGATGTTATCGGCTCGGATGCTCTCCGCTCACCCCGGCAGTGGGCCCTCGTGGTTCGCCGTCCGGAGAATCTGGCATCAGTTCTGGTGCTCCAGCTCGCGTGCGCCCTGCTCGCGAGTTGGGAGAGATATACCGTCTCGGTGGTCCCTGACTCTCCAGGCGGTGAAGCGGCCGAAGAGCAAGAGCTCGAAGCAGAAGGCGGGACCTCCCCGGCAAGTCGCCGACGCAAGCGGCCCAGCCAGGCCAAGAGGAAGCGCTATGCACGGAGGCTCAGAGAAGCACAGGATGAACTGTTCGAGGAGGCCGCACAGGCACTCTCGACAGCCCGTTCAGGCAACTGAGAACCCTCCAGCGTTCTTCACTCGAAGTCTGGGGCCTGACACGGCGTGTAACGTGGTCGCTGTGTCACTCACTTTCGGGGCATGGGTAGCAAAAGGGGTCCTCGCCCGGCTCCCACACTGTCAAAAGTGTGCATCCGTTGCCGAGTCTGACTGAAGGTTTCATCTACCTCTGGACGATCACTGCAGGGTGTTTGCAGGGACACAGGTGACGATGTCCCGCCATGCCATGGACTTGGCCTTGCAGCCCGGCGCGATCCAAGGTCAGGGGTCTGTGGCTGGGTCAGCCTAGCGGCTGATCCCCCAGGTTCTTGTTCTTTAGTCTTCGTTAGCTTAGTGCTGTAGGTGTCAAGAAAGTGGTGTGTGTATGGGTCCGTTTCTTGCTCGTCACCGCGATGTTCTGCAGTGGATCCAAGGAGTGCTATTTGTTGCTGGACGTTGATTCTGGTTGGTGGTGGAGTTCGGGAGTGAGTGACGGTACGGCGCGTAAACGTGGACATCTAGTAAGTTGATATCCTTCTCCAACCTTCAACTTCAATTCAAACCAGCTAACAAACAAGTCTTCTTTCTTCGGGGCAGCCGCAAGGCGAAACGCCCACCACGTTTGCGAGGCATCACATCATCCGACCATCGTTCGATCGGCCATCGTTCATCGTCATCATCTACCACCTATCACCAAAGGCATCCTCTCCGCGCCCGCAGCTATCTACTTCTATCCGAAATACCTACCAATAAGCGGCCGGACATCTACTTCTACCCGCCAGGATGGCCTCTCGTCCTTCTCTTCTTTCTTTTCTTCTCTCTTCTTTTCTTCTCCCTCGTCCAAGCGCAAGCAATCGAGCCATAAGGCAAGTCTACGGACTAGTACGTTCCTCTACCTTATCCTGTCCAATCAAAGGTTTACTAACGCTGCCTTCTCTTCCCCAGAAACTCGTTCCTCTATTCTTCTTTCTTTTCTCGGCCTCTGACAGCCACCTCTTCAAGCTAAGCTTAATCGAAAAACGAACGAATGACAGCGCGCCTCACAAATGGACGATGGCCGATCGACGATGACGATCAATCTAATCTCTTTCCCCTCAATACATATCACATCGATCGAATCATAACCACGGTTAAGGGCGGGGGAATAATCGGAGTTTGGGCACGTTTCATGTTTATCGTTTCCTTTTTTTTGTGGAACTTTCTTTTACTTTTTTCTTAATTCTTGTCGTTTTTTAATGTGTTGTTGCAGATCTTATTAAGGTTGGGTGTTTTTGTCTTTATGGTTTTTATGGGATGGGATGTGATTGGTTCAGGGTTCCTTTTCTTTTCTTCTCTTTTTTTTTCCAAAGCCTTTTGTATTTCTTTTTGTACGAGTCTTAATCTCATGTATTGTTTTGGCTTGGATGATGTTCAATCCGTGCCATTCGTAGAAGTAGGGCTTTTGTAGATTGAAACTGCGTGGTTACGGAACATTCGTATAATCAACTATACATCTACATATTTCTAACAAGCAATGTAAAATATATATCCGTATCAAGTGTATTCGGTCCAAAGTCTGAATACATAAATCGGCAAAAGAAACAAAGGAAAAAGTCCGTATCGCAGGACGAGACATGCATGGCAAGTATGTGGTGTATATGTGTAACGAAGATGCGCTGGCCAGGATTTCCGGCATCATGGTTGGAGAAAACAAAGAAAATGATACACGGGATGAAGTTATGGGTTGAATCGATGTAGAGGTCGAGACAAGAAGAGAAGCGTGCAATGTACGGAACAAGTTATTGAATTCCAACATGCATCCACTCGGGTGGCTGTGAGGCCCCGAGGGATGTCATACACGCAGATGGGGTGATGCAAAACTCCAAACACGCATCCGAAAATAGAATAAAATATAAGATTCAAAAAATCGCTCAAGCTCGTACATCATTAAAGGATCAGCCGAGCTGCGGTGCAGCTATTTAATCGACTTAACAGAAGAAGGGTAGGGGTAGGGGAAGGGGAGACTTTCAAAGAGGAGAATATGATCTATTCCTCCATGTGACCAAAGACGCCGTCGTCATCATCATCTGCATGGTTGGGACGGCTGCCATAATCAACATCCGCATTGTGGTTTTGCCGTGATGTGCGATCTGCATCGCCCATTCTCACGTCCCGCTCATCCGATACCTTGTAAGAAAGCGACGGGTTATATGAGAGCGACAGGAAGACATCCGGGGTCGAGTTAGGGAAGAGGGGATCAGCAGCAGTAGAGGCTGATTGATCCAGGCTTTGGCTCTGGGTGGCACTGCTAGTCTGGTCGACAAACCGGGATGGGAGGGCAGGCACTGGTGGGATGCTGGGGGACATCGGAACAGGACCCGTTCGGGGAGTTCCAAAGTTGCAGAGACCGATGGCAGCCGCCAGATCCGCTTCATCATCTTCGTGCAGCTTGTTTTCTGCAGTCGACGGTCGAGTGTCGATGCTCGATTGACGGAAGTGGGAGAAGGATGGCGAGTGCAGTGGAGCGCTCGCGTTGAAGGAACTCGAAGGGATGGATTGGTAGGAGTGGGAAAAGTACCCGGAGGCGTTTCCGACGCTGAACCGCTTCCCTGTGTTGGAGGGCATACCGGACATTTCCATATCATCCTCATCCTCTTCATCTTCATCCATGGGCGGCGGAGTGGTCTCTGCAGAGCTGATGCCATCGCGAAGTTCGGAGGAGGCGTCTGGCGAGGCGGATGAGAGTTCTGATTCAGCCTCGTGTCCCTCCCCGGAGGGACCGTCATGGTTCATGGTGACCAAGACGCTGGCGGCTTCCAACAGCTGGACTTGCTGGTGCTTGGAGATCAGTAGCTTCGAGGTAATCGTCCATGCCGGGTCATGTTCCCACCTAAGGTTCCACAAATGTCAACCGACTGGAGTCGCCACAGGTGAGGGAAGGGGGGGAAAGAAAGGGACTAGTAGCAAGAGGAAGGGGGAGCTGAATGACCACGAGGGCGACCTTGGACAGAGCCGACATGGCGCATGCTCCGAACCGAGCCAGGCGGCAGGATGGCATGGGGGAGTATACACACATATGCTTGGACAAGCAGCTGCCATGCTTATACCCTTTCCCGCAGCGCTCGCAACGAAGATCCGCCATGACACGCTTGGCTTCGTTTTTGATCGCCTGCGATCCCTCGCTGGCCCGACGGTTACGGTTCTTGGTGTTGACGGGCTTGGAGGTGACAGGGTTGCTGCCGTCGGCAGCGGTTGTGGATCCCTCGTTGGCATCCTGGGGGGTCGCCTTGCGAGCGACCGGGGATTCTTGGCTGGGACTGTTCATGCTCCGAGATAGGTACGAACTGAAGCCGGGCAAGGCACCAACCGAGCTGGACTCCAGGCCCTTGCGACTTCCTCGACGGTGAGCTGCGACGGGGATGCCAGCGGAATCACCGCTGGGATCCTTCATAGTGGCTGCGACCGCGGCGGCGGCATTGGCGGCGGCAGCAGTGGTGACACTCTTGCGGCGAGTGACACGGTGATTGGCATTGAAGGCACCGAGGGAGATGGAATGGGAGTGGTTACGGGATTGGGGGAGAGGACGCGAGAGTTCCTGGAAGAAAGTGTGGGTTAGCATTTGAGTCAACAGGAAAAGGGTATGGGGTATAGGGCTGATCTGGAAAATCAAAAAGAGAGAGAAGGAAATTACTTTGAAAGAAGCCATGACGGAGGACACGGACTCTCAGGAGAACCTGAAAGTCCCTTGGATAGGTAGAAAGGTCAGAATGGGGCAGAATTGAAGGCAGCGTGGGCGACAGCGAGAGTGAGAAAGAAGAGGAGAGAAAGTTGGCAGATGGAAGAAAGTTGGATTATTTGGCGGGCGGCAAGAAAGAAAGCCAGCGGGAGGCGGAGCGAGGAATGATCGGATCAGAAGATCAGGGATCAGGAGATCAGCAATTGAGTTGGTAGAAGAACAAAAAAGATGGGAAAAGCGAGAGAAAGGATGGAGAAGGAGAAAAAGAAAGATGGAAAAAGAGGAGAAGAGGAGAAGATCACGATATGGTCTGTTGGCCACAAAAATAGCTCTGGTTCTTTTGCGGGGGTTTGAAGCGTTCAGTTCAGGGCATTTGCTAATTGCTTAGTGTGTGGATGCGGGGTTCGTATTAGCAATTGTTATTCTTCTCTTTGATTTATTCTTTCTGCTTCTTTGCTTTCTTTTCTTTCTCTTCTTTTTTCTCTATTCTTTGTATGCTGATGCTGATGCTGATGCCAGATGTTGAATGTTCTGCCTGATACTGATGCTGTCTCATACCATGGCATGCTATAGAGAGACACATTCAACACAACAACAACAATCAGCCTTTATTCTCTTCTATTCTATTATACATTCATTTATTCTCTTTCTAATATCTTCATCTTTATATCAGAAAAAAAAAATTTAATCTACTCTCCTCTGATTATCGGTTCCTGATCAGGAACGGCTGTTCGGGTACATCCTCCACAGTCCACATTTCCACTCAATCCACCCTCATCCCCCATCATCCATCCCCATCCATCTATCTAACATAATATATCTATCATCCATCTCATAATCTCACATCTTCTTCATCTCATCTTCATTGTGTCACGTTGCCTGACGATCATCTGCATCACACGCGTCCCTGTACGGTATCAAACCGTAATTACGACGGAAATCACTCATTCCCGGTTTTAACATCGACCGGTCTGGCCCAATGATGTCATAGTATTACACACAGCCATTACATGGCGGATATACTGATGTTACACAGTAAGATATTACATAACCATCATGATTATCTTGATCTCTTTATCTTCACTGGACACTGGGTAATCTAAATGATAAGAAGATACAGTATCATGAACGATTATTATTACCTTATTATTCTGATTCATTCCATCTACTGACTTATACATCCATATAGAATGTCAGATGGATTGATATATTGAATATCCAATATTGATATTGATTGACATGATCTGAATCAATCAAAGTGGATATAACAAACAATGCAAATCAAACCCCCACATCAAAATATTCTTCACATCTCAATAGAACACTCACATACGGAAACATAGATCAGTATATAATATAGCATTTCCTCAACAATCCCCCCCTCTATCTCAAAATGCTTCACTCTCGCCTTCGACCCCTCCCCCGCCGTCATCCCCAACCGGCTGAATCAGCCCCCGCCCCCGATTTTGAAGATCTCGATCAAGACATCGATGAATCCCCCGAGGAGCTCTTCTCCTCCTTTCTCCCTCATCTCTTCCCGGATGACGCTCCCTCCTTCCACGGTGATCCCGGCCAGCACCTCCTCTACGGCTCCCCTCGCTATGGCGACCTCGAGATCATGGTCCCCTCCTACCCGGGCCAGGACGAGAACCGCAACAAAGAAATCGCTGCGGGCAACGAGGTAGACGATGTCGATAAGGGACGGAAACTATTTGCGCATTTCCTATGGAGTGCCGCCATGGTGGTGGCGGAGGGAGTGGAAAAGGCAGATAGTCCTGAGTCGAATCCAGAGACGGATATCTGGAAGATCAATGGAGAGAGCGTGTTGGAATTGGGCGCTGGTTTGTCTGCCTCTTCTATATTGACATATGTATACTGACATATCAGGCGCCGGTCTTCCCTCGATCATTTCTGCCCTCGCAAAGGCATCCACCGTCACCGTCTCCGATCATCCCTCCTCGCCTGCCTTCTCCGGTGCTCTCTCCTTCAACGTCAACCACAACATCACCCCGAATCACACCTCTACCAACGTCCACATTCAACCCCACGAATGGGGCGTCCTCGACGACTCCTTCGCCCTTCAAAACAAGAACGCCTTCACCCGTATCATCGCCGCAGACTGCTACTGGATGCGCTCTCAGCACGAGAACCTCGTGCGCACCATGCTCTGGTTCCTGGCCCCGAACCCCGACGCGGCCGTCTGGGTCGTCGCAGGCTTCCATACTGGCCGGGCGATTGTGGCTGGGTTCTTTGAGACAGCCGTTCAATTGGGGTTGGTGATTGAGCGGATTTACGAGCGGGATTTGAACTCGGTGACCGAGGAGGGCGGCGAGGTGAGAAGAGAATGGGTGCCGGAACGAGAAGGCGAGGGAATTGAAAATCGAAAGAGATGGTGTGTTGTTGCTGTTCTCAAAAGACCAAGTCAATAGAAGAGAAGTTTCACTGCTTTATACCCAGCCCTATGATGTATAGGCGAACAGTCCATTTGTGCAAGTTCAGTACGCTCCTTTCTCTGTGTGTCATACCTACTGTATGGATAAGTATGTACAAAAAAGGAAGGCATAGGGGAGGGGGCTTGGGCTGGTTTATTGTAGAGATGTTCTCTCTATTTTGAATGATCCTTTGCCAGCATTGTATATTGAGATACAGGTGAGTTTTAGACCCAAAAACTTATGGTCATATCACTAACGTTATATCTATGGATAGATGCACATTTGGACGGCTTCTTTTTGCGACACGTAAGTTTCATATATCCAATGCTAATAGTAGTCTTTACTGGCATGTGTAATGTAGCAAGCGATCGAACCTGCCCCAGATCCTCCTAGCGTTCGCTCCCTATATACTCCAGTAAGTGTATATAATATCTATTCCAGCTGCATTCTCCATTTATTAACACTTATTGCTTTCTTATAGAGGCCCTGCGATACTACCCTTGCCTCCTACCTCCGAGACATGCCGAAGTCCAGCCTCATCACTGCACCACTGCGAGGGGCACTCTTTGAGTGCTTCCAAGCGACCACCCGCCTAGTCCGGCCTGAACTGCGTCGTCAACTCATCCTAGTTGGCGGCCTAGCCAGCATTGCCCACTTCTCGGTGTACAGCACTGAGGACGTGGATGTTGCGGCCCCTGTCGATGCCCTAACCGACATCTGGCAGGGAGTGACGGCCGGCGCCCCCAATTTCTCTATCGAGCCCGACGGCAAGCTTGCGTTCGACGCCAGTCAAGGATTCCGCGTACGAATCGATCTCATCGAAATCGGCCCGGGAATCGTCGAACGCATCCACGTGACTGAGCCCTTTTTTGAGGGATCAGTCGCGTCCATGTCGGACTTGTTGAGGTTGAGGGCCATGACGGTGGTTGATCGTGGGAGTGATGGAGAGGCTGCTGACTTTCGATGGCTGTTGTCGGAGGTGGCAAGAGTAGGTCAAATTCTTCCAGGGCTAGATGCTGAAGAGCTGGAGTATATGAGCGAGGCTGGGAGGTCTTATCTGGGGAGGCTCGATCGCTTGGTGTTGTTTTCTGTATTAAATGAGGAAGACGCTTTTTCTCTTCTTTTATTAGATAATAGTCAAATGGAAGATTTCTATACGTGAACCAAGCCCCCGCCACCTAACGTAGAATAATAAGTAGTCACAGTACTAGAGCTTTTATAGAAGAATACAAGAGGGCACCTAGTAGGGCGCAGGCACCGGACAGCATAAAGTTGGTGACTATTTGACCTGCCGCTACCAGGCAACTAGGAACTAAGTGAACTGCCTAGGTATATTTCCGTCTCGCCACTCACTCAATTTGTTTACTCTGCACTCCTACTTAGTACTTTTCCATCTCCTACACACAAACATCCATCTCTCAATCCACATACACATCTTTTCACCATGGACTCAACCCCCAATATCAAGACTCGCTTTTTCATCATCTCAGATACACACGGTATCAACATCCCATCCGAATACACCCAAGATGCAAACTGCACCCAATACGCAGACTGCGCCCAGTATGCAGACGTGGCCATCCACTGTGGTGACCTCACCACTGAATCCAAAATCCACGAATTCAAGTCTACCATCCAACTCCTCGAAAGAATACACGCCCCTCTCAAACTCGTTATTCCCGGAAACCACGACTTCACAATCGATACACCCATATTCCAAAAGAAAGTCGCAGAAGCACATACACCCTTGGATCCAGCGTTGGTCCGGAAGGAATATGGTGACTATGAAGAGGCCAGAAGTCTTTTCCACAACACCAGCATCATCTTCTTAGAAGAAGGAACACATCATTTCACCTTGCAGAATGGCGCATCGCTAACAGTCTATGCCAGTCCATACACCCCATCGCTGGGAGATTGGGGCTTCCAATACCATCCCAACCAAGGCCATGACTTTGACATTCCGCCCAATGTGGATGTGGTGATCACACACGGCCCCCCGAAGGGGATTATGGATTATGCCAATTCCGGTCAACGGACGGGCTGTCCGGGGCTCTTTGGGGCTGTTGCTCGTGCTCGACCGCGTATGCATTGCTTCGGTCATATCCATGAGGGATGGGGGGCCAAGTTGGTGGCATGGAGGGACAAGGTTAGTGAGAATCCATCTCATTTGACTGATATTGACAATGGGGGGTCTGCTGTGATTGGGAAATTGTCGGATCTCGCCCGGAGACACGAGCGGGATCGCAATAGATGCTATCTGACTAGTCACTGTGCTGACGACCCGAAACCATTGCATTCGGGGTCCCAAACACTGTTTGTCAATGCTGCTGTTGAGGGCTCGACTGATCACTGCCCTGTCCAGCCGCCATGGCTGGTTGATATTGAACTTTCCAAAGCTACCTAATAAGACTACCTGTTTTGCTATCTACGGCTTCACCCTATTCCTTCACTATCTCATCTACCTGGCTTACAGAGCTCATTACATGTATACAGCAAAAGAAATCCTATTAAATTCCATATGTCCATCTCATATCCTCAATGAGTAAATCACCACACCAACTAAACCCAACCCATCAATAAGACCTATACATCCTTCACCTCAAAAACCGCCTTAATCCCAACCGTAACCGTCCCAGTCCAAACATCCCTCCTATCATCCATATGTTCAACTTCATCCCAATGGCTGACATCTTCATCACCAGTAAACGCATACACAGTCCCATGGTCGCCGACTTGTTTCTCGCGATCCAGGTACTCTACGTATGCGGTTTCGGGTCTGTTGGTGAGAGTCGTGAAGAGTAGGTCGCGGGCTTGGTTGGTCACGCCGGCGATGGTTTTGTGCATTCGCGGCGTTGTGCCGCGGTAGGCTCGGGTTGCTGTTAAAGTGGTAGTTTCTGTTTTTGTTGAGGGCATTTTGCTTGTATCTTTTTCTTTTATTTATTTATTCTTTTCTTTTCCTATGTTTGGGGGTTGTTTGGAGTTGTGGTGTAACTATCTACCTACTATTTTGGAAAACTGGATATAGGTTAGATGATGTATAATGACGTTACCCGGAATGATATACCGAAATTCTAACTAAGACACTCTAACTAGCATGGACCTATTCTATATGTACTAAACAGAATCACCTCCTCTCAAAACACACCGTACAAACGCCCTGTCCCTCCATCCCCCCAAACCGAAAGCGAGGATACTCCACCCGTCCCCAAACAGACAACCGATCCTCGCTATCCTTCTTTTCGCCCTCGCCCGTAAACCATTTAATCAACTCCTCCTCGGTCCAATTGCAGCTCGTCACAACCAAGAATCCACCCTTGCGGACTAATCGCCGCGCGATATCGGGGTATCGCTCGCACACTCGGCGCTGGATCACCTTGGAACCCTTCTTGCCTTCGTCAGTGGCTGCTGTTTCCACTTCATCAGATAGCGAGACGGCATCGAATGTGCCCTTGTCAAGGACAATATCAAATCCACCCTGCTCATACGGGAACCAATCCAATCGTGGGCCTTCAGATGCTGATCCTGACCCAGCAGATTCTGACAAAACATGCCCCGACCCAAGAATATCCCACTCCTCGAACCGGATATTAGTATCAGAATCTCCACTCTTCCCTTCCTCATTCTCATCGCCCCCTTCACCTTCATCATCTTCATCCTCGGAATCAGACAAATAAGCAGAATGAATCCTCAACCTCTGCAACTCCCTCGCCAACTCGACACTCTGCCCCGAATAATCCACGCCAACCATCACTCCCCCGAATTTACCCCGTTTCCGTAATAGCGCCAGCATGCTCCCGTTTCCTGTTCCTAGGTCGAGGATACTCGGTTGGTTGTTCGTAGCTGTAGCTGTAGCTGTAGCTGTGGTGGTGGTATTACACGGCGCAAGCGGAAACTCCTCCGAGGTTAAGAACCTCAACACCTTGTCTGGGGCGTTGTGTTCCGAGAACCATGATGTGCCGGGGTCATCGTCGTCGTCGACTTCATCGTCTGAGTCTTCGTCTGAATGCGAGTCCGAGTCCGAGCCTTCGTCGCGGTCTCGGGCTGGTTCGCGGTGGGTTTGGGTGGATGGTATGCTGGGTTTTTGTTTTGAGGAGATGTGTGAGAGGGTGCGGGCGTAGTAGGTTTCCCAGCTGGTTATTTTGTTAGCTTACTTAGATTACTCTGTGTTTTTCATGTTGGAGATGAAGGCTGGGTGGATTGGTTTTTTTTTTCTTGGAATGAGGGGTAGCGGGGTCATCGCGATGGAATCAGATTTTCTCTGCTGCAAAAAGTATGACTTACTAGTCCTTTGTACCCAATTCACTGGGCGGTAAATGTGTAGGATGGCTGTCTTCTGATGCCATTTTGTGCTATTGTAATGGGTGTTTGTAAAAGTGAAGTCGATGGTCAGTCGAGATTGATTTTCTGTCCGCGGATGACGTGAAATCCGACCGCTGCCAGTCGGGCCGATCATACGATCACGTTCAAGGTGCATCTACAGATAGGAAGATAAGGATAAAAGATAGTAGAAGTATTGAATTCTTATTGTAACTGCAGTGGGTATTCCATCCTTTTCATCCGCCCCAATTCAGAACTGCATCTGTGCAACAATCGCCGTGTAAAACGATAAGAGTAGAAAAAAGCGAATGTAATGCGAAATATCAGAAAGAAACTGCTTCTATATTCGAAGCATATGTTGATCAAACCCACTAGTATTACAGTTACCAGGCTCGATTTCTTCGTAGCCTTTTATCTCTTTTGACACCCTGGACGCCATATAAGAGAACCCATGCGAATGACAGGCTGATGCCGGATGATCAAATCTCTCCAGTCAATCAGAAAAAGGAAAATGATGCCAGTGAGCAAGCGATAGTGTAATAAAAAAAAAGAATCGAAACAAACGACAGCAAAGCCCGCTTTGGTCATCGAACTCATCAGAAATAAAAGGTTGAAAATAAAAGAAAGGAAAAGAAAAGAAAAACGAGTAGTCATCGCCAGAGTGATTATAACGAAAGTGTCCCAATTGATGGGGGTAAAAGTCAGTCATGCAATCGTTTCTAAGATTTAGTTCCATGGATCGTCCAATAGACAACCGTCTTAATCAAGACAGGAACTCATCAATGTTTCTCATAATCAGGCGCTCGTGCCCTTGAGGAGGCGATCTGGGATCTGCTATTTGCGTCCCAAATCTAGGGCGCTTTGGGCCGTCGCCTAATAGACTATCCGCGAGTGAAGGCGGAATGGGCGCTGCCATGAACCCTGTGGTCCTGGGGGAGAAGAGATCGGGCGATTCTTCGATCGCATCTCGCACGAAAATGTCTGTTTTGGCTAACGAATAAGGTCCATTCCCCAAACTCCGTAAGCTAGGCTTGGATACTATGCGCCTAGGAGCCGGCGACACCGAGTGGTAAGATTGTTGTCGCAGAGGCAAAGGTCGTGGCGACAGGCTTCGTTTGTGCGAGAGAGATTTTGAAAAACCAAACCCGTCGGTGGAACTGGGAGTGGTAAGATTGCTGGAAGGAACCGAGAGAGAACTTTGCGAGAAAGCGTTGGAAGAAAGCCGACCAGCATCAGCGCTGTCCGCCTCGCGGTCCGGAGAAGGCATTACCACCCGTTCGAGTCTCCCCGCTTGCGGGGGCTGGGGTTCGGAGCTTCTCCTCGGTCCTCGCACAAACCACTCTTGTGGGGCAGGCTTCGATGGGCTACCCCGTAATAATCGGGAACGGAAATCCGTCAGTTGGTAGATGAGGCTCATGTTAGGTCCAACCCATTGGCTTCGCTCTTTGACAATTTCGTACATTGAGTTAAAGTCCAGATGACGGTTCTTGTAAAGACCATAGGCAATTACCAACGAGGCCGATCGGCTAGCACCCAGCTGGCAGTGGATAAGAACTTTCTTTCCCTGGTTTACCCGAGAGTCGATGAGTTCACACAGAGGGTACAGGTCATCGAGGATCTCGGAGTTGTGGTCCCAGCTAACATGCAGATATTCCGGAGGGGACTGATTGCTCTGGGCAATGGTTGGGGTCTCCTCGCCGCTTTGGGGGTATTCAAAGGCAGACTTGAACGATGCGTCCGACTTGGCGGTAAGAGGCTCGCCGTTTGATGGGCGCTTCGAGTGTGCCGATGCGTTACGCCAGGTGCTCATGACGGTTTCATTTTTGGCATCTGTGTTTGTGAATGGGTTGGCGACTTCTTTTGCCACGTTGATGACCACATCGAATTGAGAAGCCTCCTCGGCGGTCGGCTCCAGGTAGAGGTAGACCCCAGAATCATAGATCTGGATGGGTCCGTTAGGATATCCGCGGTCCTTTCGGCGAGTAGACTCTCTCGAGTCCAAGTGGTCATCTTCTTCCTGAAGTTCATGCAAGACTGTACCGTCGCCGGCGCCCGTTTGTAAAGATGAAAGGTTGTCACCGACAGCTGAAGAACGGCGAGCTCCATGATGCGTCACTGGTCGCGGGAGTTGCATGCCACCTTTGGGACCAAAGGATGGGGAAAAGACAGAGTTCAAGGAAGGGGAGGATTCAGTGTGGCGAAGGGCGTGGGGAGTGGGAGGAACAATCTCGGTGACATTGTTGGAGAAGGATCCGAAGCTAGGAGTCCGAATGGTGAGGTTCGCGGGTTTCCGTCGCGAGCTCTTCGGGGGCATGACTGGAGAAGGCGGGGCGGAGAGGTGATGGGAAGAAGTTTCAACCATGGAAGCGGTGGCAATGGGAGGTCGAGACTGGGATGGCGGGGGCATCCTCAAGGAGAGGTTCTTGAGGTTCCGTGCCCGTCTGCCAGGGGAGTCAGGACGCATTGGGTTCGGGGTATCTGAGATTTTGGTGAGGTTGTTCTGGTTGTTCTGCGCAGCCGCTGAGTTCGACTGGCTTTCGATGTTGCGGGCAGGGGGTGTGAATTTGGTATATGATAGCGGCATCGACGAAGGAGATTCGGGAGAAGAGCTAGGGGAGGTGTCGGTACCCGAATGCGAGTCAAAGGTAGAAATGGTAGTGGTAGGTGATGAATCAGTCGAACCGGATGTCATGGACGACACACTCTCGCGGTGATGGTAAGGAAGGGCACGGCGGGAAGTGTTGACGGACACATGAGTCGGAACTCTAAGCGGTTTGAAAGCAGCGCTGTCGTCCTCCTTGTCAGGAAATTGGGGCGATAATCCACCAAACACAGACATAAAGGACGGGAACGAGTCCGGGGGGGACGGCGGGTTGGTTGTTTGAACGGGCATGATGGTCCGAGACCTCGAGGTTGACCTGCGTTTGAAAGGGGATACCCTTTCAGGATCACAGCTATCGAGAAAAGCAGAGGCAAAGATCGAGGCGCAACGATTATTGCATCCGGATCGATGAAGACAGGAAAATGTCGCACTTGCTACCTGCGCAAATGACCTTTTCGACAGGGTACAATCAGTGTCCATGTTCACTTGGATTTGTTGGGATTGTTTCTTCTGAAATGGAAATGGAATTGGAAGCGTCCAAAGTGGAAGAGAGAGATAGAGAGAGAGCACAAGCTGCAAGGAGGGGTGAAACCGGCGATCAGACCGGACTATAAAAAGAAAAGCAACAAGGCTATTGAGTCGAGAGAATGAAGGCCTTGGACAAACAGAACCAAGAGGATTGTTTGGGAAAAAAGAAATAGTAGAGAAAGAAAGAAAGAAGAAAGATAATAATAGTAATAAAGGGGAAGAGAGGGAGCGCGAGAAACAATCCACAGGGACTCTGGACGGCGTCAGACCCGGAACATACCAAGGAATGCCACAAGAGGACGGATTACCTCTTTGAGATATGTCAATGGTGCGAAAGGTTGAGGGAGTGTAATTGAAGAAGAATGAAGCAATAAAGGAAGGCTTTGTGAAACAAGAGAGTAAAGCAGGTTGTAGAGCTGCAAGAGAATCTCTTTTTTGGGGAGGGAGGAATTGCCGCCCGCAACACTCGTGGGCAGTCGTTCCTCCGGGGAATGACGACAGTTGCGAGTAGAAGGAAGAAGCGAAGATACAACGGCCAGAAGGGAAGGGAAGGCCAGTTGATGCAGACAAAAAATAAATAATAAAATAATAAGGTAAAATAAAAGAATATAAAACGTCAAGGCTTAATCAGATATGAGGGGGAGGGAATAAGAGGTAAGAGGGAGAGGGGGAAAAAGGACGACGACTGGAGGGAAGATGGAAAATTGGATGAGTAAGACGAAAGACCAAAAAGAGCCCTCCAGACAGTCGACCAGCAAAAGAGAGGGAAGAATGAAGGGAAGAGGGAATCGAAGGAGGGAGAAGGAGAGGGAGAGAGGAAGACAGAGAGAAAGTGTGACAAGAAAGAGAGAGGGAGAAGGAGAAGGAAAAGAGCGAAGAGAGAGAGCGCGAAACAATGATAGCAACGATTATTCGTGTTTGAGTGAAGGCGTTCGTTTGAGGACGGGACAGCAGGACGGGTCTGGCCTGGGAGCGAATCAGAAGGCGGCAACGCAGTGGGGGGCAACGAAAAGAGTCCGGTCAGCCTGGGTGGGGAACGGGGATGGCCAATCAGAGGGGGCGGCAGGCAGGACATCCATCGCCTGCAGCTCTAAATTTAGCCGCCCAGGTTGGTGCGGGAAGGCTGGAATGTGCATCCAGAGCGCCAACAGCACGCAAATCAGAGGCCTCAGAGGCCTCCAACACGGGCATTCAGTGGGTAGACTGGGACTGTGGATGTGCTTCTGATACATGGGAAGGGGGAGGGAAGAGTGAATTATGCAAATCAATTCTGATTTCACAGCTTGACGGTCTTTCCGGAGTTATTCTCCTCTTTTTCTTTTTCTTTTTCTTTTTTTCTTTTTGGCCCTTCCACTCAGGACAAGGGATCCACAATTGACGCCACGCTGGGAAAGCGCCATCCTTAAGGGAGACCGACAAAGAAACAGACCAACAAGAAGGAAGGGATAGGGGAATGACAGATAGCATCAGATGTCATAGTGATGGCATATGCAACGCATTGGACACGAAATATGGAAGGGAGAAAAAAAAAAAAAAAAGTCTGATCATACCTTCACTTCACAGAATCTGTTTTCCAGAATTCAACAAACTCGGTATTGAAAAGGGTCTATACCAGGGTGGTACTAGATCGACTCGGGATTTTCATTTGCTCGCACTCAATTTGGATAGTGGCAATCTTGTGTACTTAAGTCGGACCTTCAGCTGCTCTGTCGGTAGTCGTCTGTATAGTCTGTACCACGCTGATGAAAACAGTATGACAGACTTCCCAATTCGTACTCCGTAGTTGCACCCGATCAAGTTGGATCAAACGTCAAAAAGGGTTGCAGGAGCACCTGGAACAATTCCAAATTCGGCCCTATCCGACCCGCAATAGTGCACGGTTCTCTATCTCCTGCTGGGGCTTTGCTCAAGGGTCTCAGTTCAAGGTTGAGCCTTGAGGACTGGAGAGGCTGAATTTAAAGGTTGATATAGATTCGATTGACTCAAGTCAAGAACAAAACAGAAAGCAGGAAAGTAAAAAGAAAACAACTTCAAACAATGGGGGTAGGACGATGATATGGATGAACCCTGATACTGGGAGGTTTCGTGTGGAGGCTCTGGGGGGGGGGGATCACGTAATCCTCAAGGTGAAACGGAAGGCTGACTGATGGGGGCTAAGCTGAACCGATCTCATTGCCCCTGGATTATCACAGGACTGAGTTGTTCAGTAGTAATCGGTCTGTCAGTGCGCTGGCTCTCCAGGTTTGTCAGATTGATATTAAGGATTAATTGCGGTCAGCACTCAGATAGGACAACTATCCAGCAGAATCATCTAAACGGCCTACTTTTACTGTGCCTTCTATGTACTGACTCTCTGCGCTGAAACCATAGCGGGCGATAGTGCCGCGCTAAGCCCAAAGTGGGGGAGCAGTTTGGCCTTTTTCTGAAACACGCCAAAGAGGCTAGTTGGGTGGGGACTGTCACGTGCCAGTCACTGGACACCGAAACCATGGATTGCGTCATGCTGATCAGGATAGGCCGTGATAGTCTGCGATCAGCTTCGACTATTCAACTCTGTCACTACAATTATTAATGACAATGATCAGCTATGATGCATGCGGCTGGATGTTTTCCCACTGACTGGCTGCAAATTGTGTGACAGTGCAGAATAAGTATCCAACACTATGGAGTAAGCTCCCGCCGTCCCACTAGCATCTGGATGTCACAGCTTTTGATTGATTAATATCGAATTCAATTTATTGAACCTTGACCCTCTCTGTTAAGTCTCTTTTTTCCCACGTGGTTTCGAAAACATTTGTATCATGTTTAAACTACACTTGGACCTCCTGTTCAGTCTGCTGATCTTCTTCGTCCGTGGTCGTGGGGTTTATTTCATCAATTCGTGAATCTTCCCCAAATCCACCGTCATCCTGGATTCATCATCCATATCTCCCATCATCCATCCATCGGCATCCATCCGGCCACGTCTTGGTGCCCAAGTGACGACACCTATCCTATGTAATCAGTCTTGGCTATTTGATAAGACTTTTATCAGAATCATCCATCATCTCCGAAACGCTCGCCTCTTGAAACATATCTAACGATCCTCATGGTATGGCCGTTTCAACCGCCACCCCCTGGAGCAATAAGGAGTCGCATCCATGCCCAAACCTCCAACACCCCAACGGCCACAAAAAATTGACGTCCCAGACTAAAATAGCTTAAAGGGTTTCAGGATTGTCCATCATGTGCTCTGTCTCCCTTTTCAGCCAACCATGGCTCCTATTCACTTATTATTATCCTCACTATGAACAGGGGTAGCTGATTGTAGCAGGCAACTCGGCCCCTACTAACCGAGGCTACTAGGGAGCTAAGTAGCCTCATCTTTTGACACGATGGATACGCCATGCACTGTTGTTGTCATGGAAATGACGATGGATCCTGATCTGATTCGTGGTTGATTGCGCATTTTATGGTCATTCTTTGGAGATGCTCGGCTGTATCATGGTTGTGGATATCCATCTTAATATCTCATAGTATTGTTGCTCAACGTTGCGTCTACGGTAGTTACCTAGTTATCTAGCTACCTACCCTGTCTACCTAGCCTGCCTTATTTCTTGCATTATGCATATCAGTAAAACATGCAGGGAGATGAGATGGAGCATCTGCTGGAGGACTGGTACAGTATCCAAGGTTGACTGATTATCAGATAACCAATCTAAGCATAACGTACTATGTGCATTGTTCAAATGGTGAGTCATCTGCTATATTGACACTGCATGCATGTTTCAAGTGGTATACACTCGTGGTAGATGAGGTACGATGCACATGTACCAGCTCAATAGAGTATGTTCTTCTGTGGCAACATTGCGCAATGGCTTATTTAATTGAATAATAGCAGTCATCTATTTTCTACCCCCGTATGTCCATATTCAGGCCATTGTTACAGAGTATATGGCTGCCTGTCTGCTAGCAAAATAATGCTACTGCCTTCATGTGATATACAGGCAACGGCTTTTCTGGTCTAGACTTTATATCAATTATCTTGACATGCCAATGAGACATCTTGCATTTGACTGAGTAATAGAAACTGAGTAATGGCTATCATACAATCGTTGCAAGTAAATGTAGCAGTATAGAATATATTATCTAACCCAGTGGGTCTCATTGATTGTCTGATTCAATATACCAGTCTGCTTACAGCACATCACCACAATCATGATCGACCACAGTTCTTCCATGGTTAACATTTATCACTTATTTTTATATAGGCCATACGTATCACTTCTATTTCTATCCAGAAACCAAAAATAAAATCTATTCCAAGAGATCCACGTATCCCGTTTTACCCCAGTTAATCTAAAAATCCATGGACGTGGTTTGGCGGGTACCGACTCGATTGGGACCGCAGGTTGACGAACCACGGTTCTTGGTTTTAGTAAATAAACACGAGGAAGTAGTAGAAACTAGGAGTTGATTGTGTTGCTAGTTTAAGGGAGTGTGTTTGATTTGTGTGTTCTAGTGAAGAATTTTCACGTTGTGGGATTGTCACTGGATGAGTAGCATGTTTAACTATTCATTCTGTCTACATTTACAGCTAGTTCATGCTATAAAGCTTAGACAATGTTAGTAGTAGAATTAAGGTATGAGAGTAGTTACTTATTCTACTTTACTCTTCTTATATTCTCATTGTTCATCATCCTTACAGTGGTTCGCCAACCTTCGTCCAGCCACATACTCCTTCCATGGTACTCTAAATAAAGCACCACCGGTTTATTTTGAAGGTGAAAATTCTCCCTCCTTTTATCTATCCCTCTTCTTATTTCTTTTTATTTACGGGATTTGAATTCCACTTCCAGTTAGCGCTGCAAATTCTGCACCGACTCCATAGAGGACATAGTCCTGACTACCGACGTAGATCCACGGTCCAGTACGGCAAGATGTGCAAAAATATTTGATGTATAACGAGGCTATCTTAAGCAAAGATGACTGGTATGATGTCTCAACGTCAGCCCAGCCTCTTTTTTCGCTTCTAGGAGATGCTATAAATGCCGCAATTATTGGCCGAATAAGACAGACACGATTGACTGGTCCATATCCTCCGTCGGCTAATAATCTTCGCACGAATATTCCGTTACTCTGCAGTCCGTTGTCGTATCGAGCAAAGCAAGATCTAGATATCTGATTTACGATTTCATTTCTGATATATGCTAGTTAATCTGTCGAATCGAACGGCTCAACAGGGACAGATCGCCAGGACTACGCCAGACTGCGTAGGAGGATGCAGAACGTTTCACAGTGCTCCACTGGCCCTGAGCACCGTACATATGATATATGGGGATACGGTGGGGCTGAGTACACCGTCGCAAGGACTTTTATTCAGATTGTCGACTGAGGAATTGGGCTGGACGTCCAGTTCAAGATTGAGAAGTGAGGCTGCGTTCATATAACATATCCTAGCAGCTGGTTAGTATCTCTCCTGGGTGGTCTATATACATGCAGGCGTTGCGTATTCAGGGGGGAGGCTGTCTAAACAGCACCCAACCAAGGCCTAAACGAGCCCCCTGCCGCTAAGCCCGAACAGGCAACGAGTCGAAATGATAGCGCGCAGTAAACAAGAAGGAAGAAGCATCCATCCAGATTATACGGAGCAGTTATTTTTATCCCGGCATATTTGGGTCTGTGGTTTTTTTAATTAATTCCTGTGAAGAGAAAAAAAAGAGAAAAAAAAGATCTGTAGAGATTATTCCTTCCCACTTCCTGTTTCTCCCCTCTCTTCCATTTCATTCGTCTAGACTAGATCTTGGTTCTGCTACTCCTCCCGTGTTTGTTTAGTTATGCTGCTGCTGCATCTCCGGATGCCTGATTTCTTTTGCACATGTCCCAAGACGTAGTTTCGCCCGTGTCAACCATCACGGCCCAGGACTTTATCCAGTGTTCTCGTCCTAGGAGAAAGACGGATTCTGCTGTCAACAAAGTCCTCCATGTCAGCCAGCAGGATAGCCGCTCTGACTGCTATTCGTTCTATCCCGACCACTCCCCTCGTCCTGGTCCCTCATGGACCACGGACTGGACGCCGTCATCCTCATTCCCCGCATCCACCGCCTCTTCTTCCATCCTGGTGCCCCCTTCGCGACGTCAACCGGCTCTTCCATCCAGCCTGAGTCTGTCTGGCGCCAGAATGGCTGTCTCCGCGGCCGATGATCCCCGTGACACGCTAGGCCCGTCCTCTGCCGCCCTCCCAGCTCCTAGAGCTGTAACAACAATAACAACCTCCTCCACTACCAACAACGACGCCGCCGACTCTAGCCACTATCCGCCCACCTCTTCGCATCCTCGTCGCCCGTATCCCATCCATACCGCTCTACCCCAGTCTCGCTTCAGCTTTGAGTATCAGGTGCCTCATCGCGACCGTTCCTCGACTTCGCACCGCAGCTCCGCCCTCCAGTCGCCCTACTCTGTCGGCCCTGATCCGACCCCGACCCCCCAGCGCAGCTTCTTGTACGACGGACCCCGGCGATCAGTCCCAAACTTCAGTCTGTCCAACATTGGCAATCCGTCTTCGTCTGCCGCCGCCTCGTTTGCGCAACCTTCGCCCCCTTTATCGGCCACCGAAAGGCATAGCTCTTTCGCGCTGCCTCTTGATGCCGACTCGAGTCTGGACGCGTTGAGTCCCAATGCATCAAAACGTCGTAAACATCTCTCTCAGCAAACCCTTCGTGTGAACGCGAAACAAAGAATGCCGGCATCGACCTTGACGTATGGTCAGGGCAGAGCGAACGGCGATCGCGCCGTCCATCGGGTCGACAATCGAGCCTCGGAGGACCTCACGGGTAGGACCGACGACACCACCAGGTCCAAAAATGAAGATGTTTTTCTGAACATTGCAAGGTCCGATTCGGGCCGTCGCGATTCCTTTAGTCGCTCAGAACTCAGACGGGTGAGTTGTGTGTTCCCATAGTGATAAAAGGTCGACCCACCATGGTTCAATAGAGTTTGTTTTTTGCTGATATGAAGGTTTCCATCAAATTCAGTCGCGCTTCGGTCTATCTGGTCAGAGTCTTCGTTCCCCAACCTCTCGTGTTCATGATCCAACTCCTTCGCCCGATCAACCACGATTCAACAACCCTGATACCCCCTTGCATTCCAGCAATGATTATCCATCCACTCTGCCATACGGATCCGTAACACGTACCCATTCACTCTCCGCCCATCCCTTGGACGACCATAGTCGGCGACACTCGAACATCGGTCCGAGCTCGAGATCTACAATCGGTCTCCCCCGAAGCAGATTGGGTCGCACCAGCCCAGAAGCTTCGCCCGAATCTAGTATAGAGAGACGGGCGTCATTACAGGACCCGCGCCTGTATCGCCATTCAGGGCTCTCTACAATTCGCAGCAATCGACAACCGTCCGGCTCTGAAGCGACAGAACGTCCTCGTATCGACACCGACAAAGCACGACAGGATGGCACCGAGTCAACACTGTCAACGAATGCGCCGTCCACCGTTTGGGATGAACTGGAGGATCTCAAATCTCGTATTCGAAAGCTCGAATTGACGGGGAAGCTGCCCCCTTCTTCCCAAGCTGCCATTTCGTCTGTCTCGGGTGAAAGACCGCGGACCGCGACTACTACAGTCACAACACTGTCCTCATCTCCCAAAACCAGTCGCAAGGCAAGCGCTCCATACCAGGAGCCTGATACCGCCGCGGCTCTTAGCCAAGTCCACCCTCTTTTACAGTCTGCGTTGGTCAAATCAAAATCTGCACTGAAAAACGATGTGTACAAGGCCTTGGAATCTACCGTGACTGATGCGCTGGCGCTGTCGACCCTACTTGGCTCTGGCAATTCCCCGTCTCACGGATCCTCTGTGGTTAATGGATTTGGGCAATCCGACAGACAATCCAGGCGCAAGGCTGACAGTGTATGCCGTGGTTTGACTGAGCTTTGTCTTGCATTGTCAGACAATCAACAGCCCTCGAGTGTCGATGACCATGCCGGGGCACCGCAGCAAAATGGCTCCCATGAAGAGCCTCCGGTGCCCACCCTTCCACTCCAGCGAGCTGCAACCTTTGAGCCGGAAAGCATTAGCCGACGACAGAGTACCACTCGTGTGACAAGCCGCCTTGAATCGCGCAGAGCAAGCTTGGCGAATCTTAACGTCACCAACAACGAACCACCACCTCCTCTTCCTGATACCAAGCCAACGCAGACGCAGACGCAGACACAGCCTCCCGCAAAAGCAACTCCAAGGCGGCTTAGTCGGCTCTCGTCCTTGCGAACGAGAAAAACGATGGATGATGAGAATGCTGAGGACGAGAACCCTCACAAACGCACTATTTCGCGATCCATGACAATTGGTACGCCAACTGTGTCGAATCGCGTACCTCCACGACAGCGTGCATCTCATGGATATACCGGATCCCGCTCGGTTCTCAACTCACAACAAGATCAAAATGAATCCTTTACAACCCCGTCTCAACCTCCACCTCCTGAACAGCAAGTTCCTCGCACACCTACTCTCTCGCAATCCAACATCCCGCTCCGCAGAACCTTCATGTCACCTGTAACACCAGCAACAACTCGCTCCAACATTCAAGCTGGATCTCGCAGATACGGGTTCGGTTCCAGTTATGCCCCATCTAACGCGGATAGGGCAACTGAGAGTAACGGCGATGTAGCCCCTCCACCTTCTCAGTCTCAGACCAGAATCATCGCGCCCTCGCAAAAAATAGCAGCCAGCTATACGCCCATTCCCCAAAACCGAGCGAGGGCGAATAGTCTGGGCGTGCGGAGGTTTGGCCTTAGGCAGCGCCCAATGACCAGCGCTGGCAGCGCTGTAAACGCATTAGACGATAGCATTGATTAACGCCTTTTATTTTTTTCATTCTTCATCTTTTTTATTTTCACCTCGCGTTGTTTGCAACATTGATTCGATTGACGCCTCTTCTTTTATCTAACGCAGCGACTCATACTGGGGTATTTGGATATTCTTCAGCCGGCGTTTTTTCCTCTTTGCCATCATCATCATCATCATCATCATCATCATCATATAAGGACCATGATACTTTTGCGCGCATTCTAACGACAAATGCCACCCTCCATTTCAGCATGCATACAACTCGCACATACGAATGCATTCGATGACCTTGTTCCTTTCCTTATAAATATTACGTTTCAGTCTGATTGGGAAAGAGAGACACTGTTTCCTTCCCTGGACTGGGTATACAAAAGGGCGGGAATCGTCGTTTTTTATCGTTCTTCTCTTCGTGTCCATGTTCCATGTACAAAATTGTTTTCCAATGCCATGATGAATTGTACTGTACACGTACGGGAGTACATATGGAGTCCTGCCTGCCTTATTTTTATATATCCATTCATCTTATTTTCCCTTCTTATTTTATTTCATTTCCTGTTCGGTCTTTTCCTTTTTTTTTTTTTTTCTTTTTCTTTTTTCTTGGGTTACGGTACTTGTTTGTGTTATTTGCTTTTTTCTCAAAAAGCACACTACACTCATTTTCTGTTATTTCCTTTTTCCTATATACAGGTCCTTCCAGTTCCTTTGTGGTTATGATAACGACATAGATAGATACCTTATGTATATAGCACCCATAACTCATACCCATGCATATATAAATATGGAATATGGAATCATCATGACATCAATCTGATCTTGGGTATTCATTTTCGAGAAGTATGTAGGTAGCTAGCCGATATGTATGTATACCCAAGGTAACAACTGTGCCCTGAGCTAAGCTAAGCTAAGGCTACATGCTACATATATGCATCAGGGGTATGTACTAGGTACTAGGGAGGTGCATGTAGCATATTTAGATCTGAAACTGGATGTGAAACTGACACTTCATTCCTGTTGATTGAAAGTGGATTGATCAGAAGACAAAGCTACTACTAAGACAGTAATTGACCTCAAACGAGATTTGGAATTATTCAGTCCCCTGTCTATCCGCTATGGATAGATCTTTTTTTGCTTTTCTGGATATACATTTGTCTGATGTGTCGAAAATGATAAAGGGCAGGAAAAGAGATAGAAACAGTGGAATAGGTTCTGCGGAAATAGATGCGTCAAGTCACAAGGTTGTTGGGTGGATCGTTGCTCGAGAGAAGGGATTCTCAATTAGGTGAAAGACAAGACAGCGCATACAAGGTAAAAAGGTAAAAAGGGGAGGGGATCAAGGGAACACTCGGCCAGTCGGAGTAGAGGAGACAAACGCAACTGGAGCGGAGCAACTTTTGCAGGAGAGTACGGAGTAGCAAAGATGGGGGATTGCAACGAAGGCAAGATGGATGGGTGGGGAGGAAGAGACTGGAAGGTGCCGAGTGTGCGCCCCAAGATCGAAAGCAAGATAAAGGACATCGTAAGCAATCGAGGATTAACAACTTGAAGACGTGACAGTGGGGGAAGTTCTTGAGTTCGGATTATTCATTCAAGGCGAGGTGGTCGATAACGACCACAAGGCTCTGGTATCTAACAGTCATGCACGGTCCATCTCAGCAAACTCTTGCTTCTTGCAATTCAAAGAAGCCGCGTAAGGAAGGGGGAAAAAAAAAAAAAAGAATAAAACATCAGGTAGCAGAAAGATTAGAAAGAGGACACATGGTTTCGAAGTTTGAGGATGGTTAACCCCGACCCCACCACGGTGAATAGGAATCATGTGGTCGTTTCCGAGCAAACAGAGAGCTCAGTAAATTTATTCCTGAGGCAGCTGACTGCGGCGGGTCTTTTCGGCTTCGAGGTTCTCGTAAAGGAGGTATAGAGCCTTCTCGTTAGCCTGAGCACTTCCCATGATGGTGAACATGCGCTCGCCAGTCTCATCATGAGGAGCCTTAGCAATCGAGATCCGGGCTCCGGAGCTTCTGCGGATCTCAGTGATCTTGGTTCCACCGCGGCCAATGATGCATCCCACCATGTCAGCGGGGATGCTGATGTTCTGGGTCTGGATCTCTTCGCCGTCCTCGGTGACAAGGGGGTAACCGCGGTTCGAAGTATCGGGGTTGGATCGTCTGCTGTAGGCACCAGAAGACTGGTCGCTGAAGTCGGCGCCATTGCCGGTACGGTTGTAGGGGCGGCTACTGTAGCTGTTGCCCGGGGGGCTGGAAGCTGTAGGCTGGGGACCGGCAGACGAGCGGACGGCGGGGTTGTAGAGAACAGTGCCAGTTCCCCGCTGCCAGTCATCGATGAGGCATTTTCCGATTTCCCAGACAGCCTTCTCGATACCCTCGGGGGTTCCTTGCACCTCGACAATTCGTTCGGTGGATTGGGGGAGCATTTCCTTCTGAGCGACCATGCGAACACCGGAAGCGTCCTGGATGTGCTTGATCTTCAAGCCCTGGCGTCCGATGATGGTACCCATCTGGTTGTGGGAGATGAGGAGACGAACGGCTTGTAAAGAGTTAGCAAGTCCCTTGACAGGAGGAAGAATCGTCCAAGACGACATGGTTACGTACGATGAGTGCCGTTGCTGGAAACAACACCACCCATGCCCATCTGCGGGGCACCCTCGAGCAAGCTCTTGGCTACGATCGCGTAGGCTTGGGCGGTACCTTGCAAGACACCGGTAACAGTCAAAACTCGGTCGTGAACACCGGGAACCACCTTGCTCACACCGGCCTTGACACCGGTCTCGTCGCGCAAATCAGCGACATTTTTACCAGCCTTGCCGATGATCACACCCGCTTCCTTGGAGGAGACGATTGCACGGAGAGTCAGCATGGACTGTGCGTACTCCTCCTCGGTCTTGGGGGTGACCTCAATGTCGCCGTCGAGCATGACGGAGTCGGTCATGTTGTCGTCGACAATGGGGGAACCTTCGTGAATTTCGGTATCCATGATTTTCGAGAAAAGGATGGAAAAGGGGGATCGAAATCGGATGCGAGAGAGGGAGAAACTTGGTGGGAATTAAAGAAGACGGGTCGTTCTTTGTTGACTTAGGTGGTGTGGAGGTGACAAACGGACTAGATTTGGGGGGGACAAAAATCAGTTCCATGGCGTTTCCCGCAGCGCGTCGCACAAGTTGTTTCAGGATAATCCAGAGGGAAGAGCCCAAGGACAAATGAAGAAAACTAGCAGCGATCGAACAAAAGACTTACCTCGGACGAAAGAGTAGAAAGGCGGAGGAAAAGAGGCGGATGGAGGCCCGTGGTGTGTGTGTGGAGATAGATAGGATGGACAGAGAGGCGGACGGAGAGGGGAAACGGTTGAGAAGAAAACAGAGGGGCTTTGGCGGGGAAGAGAGAAGGGGGTGGAGGAGGAGAAGGAGGAAAGGGAGAAGAGGGAGGGGAGGAGAGGAACTGAAGGAAAAGATGAAGGAGAGGGATGGAAAGGAAGAAGAAGATGAAGTGGGAGGGAGAAAGAAAGAAAGAAAGAAGAAAAGAAAAGAAGAGGAGGAGAGAAGAAGAAAGGGAAGAAACAGTGCGAAGAGAAGAGAGAAGTTTGGGTTAGTTTGGTTTCGGCGGGCGGAGGACAGCGCAGCACGTCTATTCTATCCATCTATTTATTTATTCTATTATATTCAATGATCTTATTTTGTTCTTTTATACTCGTTTGTTTTATAATCTATTTTATTTTATTATTTCTGTTGTTGTGTTGTGTTGTGGTGTCTCGGTTGCGATCGACTTTGGGGTATGGATGACACCGTTGCCCATCGCCTCATTCGAGTAGAATAATAAGAATAATAAGACAATTATATTCACCTTTTAAATCTGGATTCAAATAATCAATTGAATCGTAGATGCAAAGCAATATGTTTGATTCACATACACAGCCAATCCATCCATCTGAATACTATCGTCATCGTGGATCATCAACATTCAATTCATCTAGACTAACAAAACAACACATCAATTGAATTATTTATCAGCCTCGAAAATCACCTTCTGCACCTTCATCGCATTGAAAATCTCATACCCCTCCACGGCCTGCGAAAGGGGCATGATCTTGTCGGTCATGAAGCTATTCCCAGTTAGCAAACATCGGTACCAGAAAGAAGAATAAAACATACCCCATCAGATGTTGATTCTTCTTGAGTACCTCCAATGCCTTCTCAGAGACTGATCGAACAGGGCACCGGCCCATTTGGATTCGCAGGTTCTTTCCATATGCCTCGTTGCCATCCCATGGGATCTAACCTCGTCAGCAAACCCACTCCATTCATCCTAACACAAAGACACCTACCTCGCCATTATGCACTCCCACACTGCTGATCGTCCCCCAAGGGCGCAGCAGATCAAAACCAGTCCTCAACGCAGGACTCAAACCCACCACTTCAATCACAGCATCCGCGCCCCGCCCCTCAGTCAGTTCCAGGACACGCTTGTCCAACCCGGCTCGATCGAGTTGGAAATTCCAAGGCTCAGCACCGAGCGACTTGGCCAGCTCAAGTCTGGACGGGACAGAGTCCACCGCGAGGATATGCTTGGGCTTGTGCTCCAGGGCGTTGATCAACGCACAAAGACCAACTGGACCACACCCGATGAGCACCACGGTCTGCTCGGCGATCTGTTCCTGGGTGTAACCCTTAAAGGCATTGCTGGCGGCAAAGTACCCAGTGGGGAAGATGTCGGCCATGAGAACGAGGAGCTTTTCATCAATTCCCTCGGGAGCCTTCATCACAGATCCATCTGCGTTGGGGATTCGGACCTAGATAGCCATTAGGATCGCACAGCCCACGCAATGGGGAGGTTATACACACATATTGAGCCTGTCCTCCATCCAAATGATCACATCCAAAGAGGACATTCTTCTCACAGCGAGAAGAAAAGCCCTGCTTGCAATAAAAGCATTCGCCACTAAATCTCACATCAGTATAACCAACCCCAAAAGACGGAAAGAAAATAAGTTAAAAAAAAAAAAAGAAAGAAAGAAAAATCTCATCTCAATCTTCACACACCATCATTCTTCACCCGGATAGTCTCCTACATACCAAGAAGTCGTAAAAGCAGTGACGACTCTATCCCCCTTTGCAACCGACTTCACCCCCTCTCCGGCCTCGACAATCTCCCCGGTGAATTCATGGCCCATGATAAACCCCGTCCCCGCGGTCTCCACACCTCGGAACATATGAAGTTCACTGGATTCATGTCAGCTAGTCTTTTCTACTTTATATTTGAAATCTGAAATGTGACTGAACGTAGGTGAATCTTACCTTCCGCATAGGGCTGTATAGCTCGTCTTCACGATGATATCAGCGGGGTTTTGGATTTTGGGGATGGGACGTTCCTCGACGGCCACTTTGTAAGGGCCGTGGAAGACCACAGCACGCATTGTGTCTTGAGCCATTTTAAACAGGGAATTGATTCAATCGCGATCCGTAAGATGAAGGGATAAAAGAAAAAAGAAGGAAAAAGACCGTCAGAAGATGTCGTTTAAACGAACTCCACTCCGATGGACGGCGCCCATTTTGTATCTGTGGGGCCGATTATGGGGTATTCCTCGTTTATCCGGGTCGTAAGGTAGTATAAACGAGGGGTCGAGATAAAGCAAGTGCAAGCAAGCATATTGAAGCCATTGTAGAGCATCCCCGGTGTCAAGTTGTAGGTATCAGAGAATTGGGATGAGAACTCGTATACTCCGTAGCAGTGACCTATATTGGCCTGCCGAGGGAGTCAAGCAGTGATAAAGCTTAAGATTGGTATTATTGTAACTATAAAATCGGAAGCCATAAATATATGTCAGAAACAGGACCACGGATTGCGCCAAATCTCGTGTGTTGCAAATGCCCAAATCTCCAACTCAAAAAGATAACCCAAAAACCAAAGATGCCCATTCAACGCCGTTCGCCCTGACACCATATCGAGAACGCTCACTGCGCCAATCAGTTTAGAAAGTCAAATGGTCGCATACCCTTACATGAGGGGTGTTGTATATAGGTAGGTGGTCGGCTCTCCAGGCCATACCAACGCATTTTCATGGCAAGGACCATTGGACGAAAGCATCCCCTAACACACCACACACAAAAGCTCTTCTTCTAGAATGAACTTGCCCTCCTTGTATTTCTCGCTGGTCTCGTATGCTTTGTCGTATTTCCATCCTACCGTTTCCTTGCATTGCCTGCATGAAATGTCCCGCACCACATGTTTCCCCGTAGTCATGCTACGCTCGACAGCCTCGGACTGCGTGATGTTAACGACGGTGTTGAATAGATACGCTTTGCCATGTTGACCACGAAAATTCTACAACACAAGCCACCGGTTAGCAACGGTTAAACCCCGACAAACAACACGGAGAGGAGACCCACCCGGCTGACGATGTCATTGTAGTCGGCAAGATGCGTCTTGCATTGCTTGCAGCCGAAGATTTTGTTGGAAGTGAGGTACACGTTGTATGCCAGACCCATGATGTTCTCTGTATCGCCTGCCGTCCCACTGCCACCGGTGTGAACTAGCTACCGTTTGATGTTTTCCCTGGCGGGGTAACCTTGATACGCGAGGATGACCGGCGACGATCAAGAGTTGGAAAATGGCAAAGTAGAGGTGGAGAGAGAAAAGAGATCAAATTATATGTATTCTGTCCACGGTCCTCCGGTTTGACTCTTCCGCAGGATGAGGAACCCGACCTTGCCGATTGAGCCGCCAAATTAAGGGACAGCCTGACGTTGATGGCAATGACAGACTAAGGCAGATAAATAAATACCACTTGGATTATATATTCCTCTCAAGGATACCCCGGTTGCTGATGCACGGTTCTGACTTTAAAGAGACAAGGGGGTATACGATAGGAGCGGTAGACTGCGGTTCGATTTACTGGACGAGGAAGGGGAGGGGATTGACCATGCAACAAATATAGAAATGGATGAGGTCAGCAGCGTATTTCGGCAAGAGAATAAAGGATTAACCCGGAATCAAGGTCGGTTGACAGGCATAGGATGGACAAGAAGTGGTCGGCTGATAGGAGAAGGTGGTGATGATGGCTGAGGTGGTGGTGGTACAGAGCAGCAGCTGCCCGACAGGCGCTGAAACTCAACCCCCGCACCGGCTAAACTCCGCCTAGCACATCACGACATGGTGGCTTGTCCAGTGGCAAGCAGGTTGATATGGTGGTACTGGGGATATATTTCTGTATAGATTCTACATTCTACAGAGATATTCGACTCTAGATGGCCGTCTTTGTTGCTGGAACTGCTGGATTCCCCTGATTCTGGGCTGTCTTATCTGTTATCTGAAATCATATGGACCCACTCGATACGTCAGTGTAACATTCTTGTACAACATATGCACAGTTGCCAGATCGAGTTATTCACTTTTACTCTGCTCTTATAATACCTAGATGTGGTCCAGTCTATAGAATCAGTTGTGGTTGATTCGGTTTACAAGAGTGGGATCTACATATCTATGGATGACGTAGTTGAGGGGATAAGGAGAATGACAGATGGATTGCGGGTATACAATGATCCAACAATAACCTCATACTTTCGTGTAGTTATTATTGTGAGTATACTACTACAGAGTAATAAATATACAATGCCAGATATATTGCATTCTAATAATACCTACTACAATATTCACACCGAACCCCCACCTCCAATCGCAAAGTAACCCTCACAACCAACCCGACTGCCGGAAAGCACTGCAAGGGAAATCTTCGTGCAAAAGGAAACGTGGGGTTCTGAAACCCGCGCGATGCCACCAGAGATCGGCTGGTTATAATAGACACGCACTCGGATTCTTTGTAGAACATCTGTGGTTGAAGTATTGTTTATGTAAGGGTTCCATTGTGTTGTAGTCAGGGAGACATAGGTCTATATGGATACTAATAACACTGCAAAATTTTGTTCCCCGCATTCGATGACATTTTGAAAGATTAATCTCTGGGGCGCGTTGAGTTGGATGAGCAATTAATTGACCAGAGAAATGGCGTAGATGAGGAAGAGAAACTGAGGAGAAACCAAGATATATCTCGTGTTGGGGGCATATAGTACCTAGACGACTGAAAATAAATCTAATGCTATAATATCAAATACATCAGGTGTACGGAAAAAAAGGTGTATATTAATTAATAAAGCTAGGCTTAGTATTGATTTAAAAAGTGTATTGACAAGAAAATAATACCTGGTTTATATGTAATAGCAACCGTCGAGGCATAACACAACTCGGTATATACAAATCATGAGAGGGTTATCGCTGGCCAAGCAAGTTCATATTTCTTTCCCAGAATTGTTTGCACTCGGTATGCCCCCAGTGGTCTGTCCACCACTCCCCAAAGCTATCCTCGACATTTTCATCGATTTTAGGCAGTCGTTCATCCCGCTTCAACCCACAAAGAGCACAAGCATGGGGTGCCTTGACGGCACCTTGGCTAGCAGTAGCAGTTATAACTCGGGCATTCTCTGCAATGACAGTAATCGGGCGTTTCTTAGCAGCCTGGATCACAGAGTTGAAAACTGCAGCACGGTCACGCCACATGGTCACCACGTCAACGGCCTCTTGCTTCTCCTTGATGTCTTCGTTTTTGTTAACAGTGTTGAGTTTCATGCCCCCTGCCTTGCCTGCGCGTGCAGGGCCGATCCTCATACTCTGACTCAGGATCGTATCTCTTTTCCATCGCAAAGTACGACCGGCGATCACCCGTGCTGCTGACTTTAAGGTATAGATGATCAACAATGCGGCATCTTCGAGTTGATCTTTTTCTTGAAGGTTTTTTTTGACACTGACAGCTTCTTGACGGAGTTGTTCAAGCAGCTGAAGGAATAACTCCAATAGAACAGATGGTGGAGGTATGTTTGTTGGACGAACTTGTGATGCGGGTACAGGTTCAGACCTGCTCAGAACTCCAGACATACTTTTTTCTACCTGAGAAGAAGTATCTGTTCTCTGAGATGTCTTATGCCTTTGTGCAGATGCTGGTGCAGGGCTAGGTGGCCCATCGATGAAATCCCCCCATTCCTCAAAAGGCTCATCTTGAAGGGGTTCAGGGGGCTTCGCTGGAGCGACTGGGCGGCTTTTTCTCTGAACCTGACGAGATTTTGCGGGTGCTGAAGTTGTCGGCTGACTCTTAACCGGTGATGTTTTGTCTTCAATTGATAATGAATCCATCAAATTGAGATCGGGCATCTTGCCAGGACTTTTTGACTGAGCTAATCTTCCAGCTCTTAGTTTTGCCATGCTACTTGGCTTTGGCTCAGGAAGGGGGGTTTTCGGTTGCTCTTGGGGTATGGTTTCAGCAGACTCAAATTCACCCCAATCGTCTGTCCCATCGTTCGAGACTGTTTCAAGACTGGCGTCGAATAACACATTGCTGTCATATGGCTGTGAAAAGCTACCAAAAGGCTCTGGAGTGTTGGCACCACCGATACTCGTGTCTTTATTTGAATGCGTTCTTGTTTGAGTAGTTTGTAATGTAGCTTGATTCTGACCTGAGAAATTGAAGAAATCATCATCAGATGCCTCCAAATCAGGGATCAGAGAGGTCGCTTGAGGTCTAGCATTTTGTGAATGCTGGCCGGAGCCAGGTCCAGAGCCAAACTCTGCAAAGAGGTCTGCGGACATGGGAATTATTGAAGGCCCAGAGTCATTTGAAGAAATTCGACATGCATCAAATTGGGGGAATTGTCGGAGCGGACGGAAATCGACGCACGCCGTGTGAGGGAAGCGCAAAATAAGCGCAGATAGGCAGAGATCACCTGTTGTTAACTTGAATATCAAATGACTGCCTCCAAATCGAAAGTCGACAAATAATATCTAATATTAAGAGCCAGGCATTCAAGGTGGGCGGAACGCGATGATCCCAAGGTATGATGACACCGGGTGGTCGAACTCCCTGCGGGTCAACAGGGCGATCGCCCCTCGATATCAACAGCGGACCTCAGCTGTGCTATCTTCACAACCTTTCCAGCAACCACACCACTCAATTTCGTGCATTTGCACCACATTATGAAATGAGAGGCATTGAAGAAACAAGGCATGTTTAATAGCAAAATTCCTCGGAGTTCTTGTGCTAACACGGTCCATTTCCTTAGAAAGAGATGGCACGCCTTGTTTCGCGACAATGAGACCACCCCCGCCGACCTGAGAACCGCCCTCAAATCAGAACAAGGAGAGAATCTGTGTAACGATGGACTGAGATCGATATGCTGGAAGGTATGGGCTTGGAATCTTATCGTCAAATGGCTCCTCGCGCTTACCAGGCTGTAAGGCATTTTTGCTCTTTGACGACCTCGATCGGACGCAATGGCCTCGAAAGATAACCGATTCGCGAAGCGCTTATTCCGCCCTCAGAGAACATTTCCTCAAGTATATTGAGCATCCTGATGACCTGGAGTCGACGGTCGACCCGCTGGCGGATGATGAGGAGGTATGCTACTTCCGTTGTCGTGGAGTTTAGGACTCGCACCGTCTGACCAGTGCTTGCGCAAAGTCTCCATGGCAAACTTTACGACGTGATGAACAGATGAGAGCGGATATATTCCAAGATGTCGAGAGGTGTTTACAGGAGAACTTCTTCTTCCAAGAGCCGGAGACCAAACAGAAGATGACCGATATATTGTTTATTTACTCTAAACTCAACCCTGATCTTGGCTACCGACAAGGCATGCATGAGCTGTTAGCACCTATTCTCTGGGTTGTGGACAGAGATGCAGCTGACACGGGTCCGCTCGGAGAGGGAGATTCGACGGACGAGGACGACAACGACAACGACATGCTGCAGCTGCTTGATGCCGCATATGTTGAACACGACAGTTTTTCATTGTTCTGTTCTGTTATGCAAACTGTTCGCGTCTACTATGAACACAGTGAGCAGCGGTCTGCGAGTGGTCAGATGGATGTTATCCCAATTGTTGCTCGGTGCCAGTATGTCCACGACGAACTGTTGACGACTGCAGATTCGGAATTGGCAGATCATTTGCAGACGCAGGATATTCTTCCACAGATTTTCCTAACGTGGGTTGAATGTCTATTGTATCTCGTTCAAAAATTATATGCTAACAGAACCCAAGTCGTTGGATGCGCCTGCTCTTCGGTCGGGAATTCACATTTGAGGAAAATCTCGCTGTTTGGGATACTCTCTTCGCTGAAGGATTACGAACCGAACTCATTGACTTCGTATGCGTTGCTATGCTGCTACGAATTCGATGGCAATGTTAGTCATTCCTCGCTGTTCCATTTATCCACTGTTCCATTTGCTGATGTCTGCCTTTAGTATTGGAGGCAGACTGCTCGAGTGCTTTGATGCTTTTATTGCGCTACCCTTCTCCTGTCCCTCATCCACCACATGAATTTGTGTACGATGGGGTATACTTAGAGCAGAACCCCACGGCAGACAGAGGACGATTTATTATTTCCAAATACTCTGGAAAACCGCCCGGATCCTTGAGATCGCCCAGCCAATCGACTGCGAGACTTGCACCGATCAGAAAATCCCGCTTCCGTAGGGACTTTCGAGGCGTGAGCGAGGGTAACTCCCCTGCTCAGTCACCTGGGAGAAACAGCCCCAAGGGTTTGGAAACAATCTTTCAAGATGTGTCGGATGGTATCCAGCGACGGACGGAAACATGGGGTGTTGCCAAGGCTGTTCGAGGCGCAATGAGCGAAGCCAGAAGGAATATACAGTCCATCCAGACGGAGGCAAATTTTCCATCGCTGAGTCCACGAGAAGCAGCATGGCAAGAATCGACTGCCGTTACCAATTTAAAGAGCCGACTCGACCGGTTGGAAGACAGAAACAGGGCTCTCGCACAGACTCTGAGCCAATCATTGAATGATCTACGCTCGCAACTGGAAAAATCAGAAAGCCTCGACAAGGATGCAACAAAAGCCATGCAACAAAGCCTGACGAGAATCCAGTCTGTTCAGACATGCCTCGAAGACCCGTCGACTCCTTTGAAATCTACAGACCAATCTTCGAATGCTGGTGATGATACGGATGAAAGAAAATCGCCTGAGAAACCTATGCCTACAAGAGTGAAACCTGGGGAGTCAATAAAAGGTGATAGACCGTCGCAAACAGCTACTGGAAGTGCTAATGTACCTGCATCCCGGTCGCCAGTCGCCAGCGAGGCCAAGAGACGTAGTACGAGCGCCGAAGCCTCTACTTCGAAAACGTCACTTCCGTCGACACGCTCATCGCCCCGTCCACCACCACGTTCTTTACTGGCAGAGTCTGAATTCTCGTGGATGCTCGGGGGCGGTCGACAAATCTCGAGCTTTGTCAGTTCTGCATCAGTGCCGCCAGAGCAGACTCGACATCGACAGAATAGTAATCTGTTTGGCAGTGGAGATGATGACCAAAGAAAAGGCGAGTTTGAGCCTGATGGATTGTCCATGAAAATGAAAAGTCTTCGGGGTTCCAAGAAACGAGAAAGCTGACAGGCTATCTAACAGTGTAGTGGCCGCCTAAATATTTAGATAGGGGGAGAGAGATATTGAAGCCTGGAGAATTGGAGACGTATTCTTGGACCACGCTTGTTTCACTCTGCGCCATTTTGCTTTAGTCAAACATGGATCAGACTGTCTTGGTTGCTTTCGGGGTGGGTTGTCTGCTTCCTTCAACTGTCTGCTGTGCAATTCGTAGAGAAGACCGGGTAGACCCAGTTTTTGTAAGCTGGATGGGTGTTTAAAATCCAGGAACGGGTCTTCAATGACTGCGACATGATTATTATTCCATTGGTGTAGACCAAGCAGTACCAGAGTCCACCTGCTGATCGCTACAAATCCTTACTCTGTCAGTTAGTCTGGCGATGTAGTCTGTGGGAGTGTGTACAACCCCGCCAAGAAGGAAAAAGCAACCAAAAGGACAGACAGCAGCTAAAAAGAGCAGAGGAAGAATAGAATCCAATCAAGAGGGAGAAGACGAGGCGAAAACGACGTCAAAGGGCTTGGGATACCCTCAGATATGAAGATGACGCTGCGATATTAATTTGACGGTGCACTGGCCGACTGCACGAACTCCTTTTCCTCTGCAAATTACATCACCATCGCTGCAAAAGGAACTGCTCACTATAACTTCGCTTTGTCGTCGTCCCTCTCTTTCTTTTTTTCTTTTCTTTTTCTTTTCTTCTTCTTCTTTCTTTCTTTCTTTCTGGCTCTTCCGACCGTACCGTAACTCTGTCTTCAGCTTCAAAAGTGTAAAAAAAAAAAGGAAAAAAACGATCCCCCCGAGAGTCCACTTCTCTCTCTCTCTCATTCTCTCCATCTCCACCAACAACCTAACGTCTCCCCCTCTTCCTCTCATTTTTTTTTCTCTCTTCCTTTTTTGTCCCGCTCAGGGAACGGCGCGGACCCTGTCTGTCTCTTCCTATTAAAAATTCAAACAAGAGAGATCAACCACCACCGCATCTGCAATTTTCCTGATTCCTGATTTCTGCAATCTGCATATTATTTTTATCGTCTCTCCGACCACATAGATCGTCATCCCCTCCCTCCATCGTTCCCCCCCGTACTACAACCTCCCTCCCTCCGCATCGCCGTATGGTACCTGTGACTGCACGAGGCAGCTGCCCTCTCCTCCGGCTCCCATTCGCAGCCCGCTGACCCTCGACGCCTCCAACCCGGTGACCTTTTATTTTATTTATTCTTTTCGAACCGGGTTGGCATCAGGCAATTATCAAGAGAGTTGATCGGCTTTCCCTGATACCTGGTCCTACAGAGCAGAACTACTACTAAAGCTTGCGAGTGCTTCTGTCATCTCTCATATGTAGCTATCCGGACGGCATTTATACAATAACACGCCCTCTCTCTTTCTTCGATCCTCGAAAGCGCGCCCCGTTTGACTCTCCTTGTTCCTTTCAATCGATCCGATCGGTGCTGGTCGCTACGTCGTCTTCGTCTGCTAGGAAACTATGGGGCCTGAATACAATACCGATGGTCAGTTATATTCTTTTTATTGCTTTTTTTTATTTGATTTTTTTATTTTATTTTATTTTTTTGATTCACACCTGGTTGCGATTTTTGCTTTTTGTTCTTCCAAGCGTCATATTTTGGGTGGTGGGATTGCTGGAAAGTCCATGTTGGAATGGTAAAGAATGGAAGCAATGAAGAATTTCTGGAATGTGAGAAAAAGAACTGGCGAACTCGTGTATCAAGAATGGGATTGGTTACACGCATTGATTCGATATGCACCTCGGAGGGAGGAAGCAACATTCCGCCACTCCTTCTGGAAAGGAATATTCAATTTCGTTTAGTGACGCCGTGGAAATGGGATCATTGGGATTCCTCCTTTTTAATGACACGATTCTCGTTAAATTGATTGACTTGGTCCAGCTGACTCTTGCTGAGAAACAGGCGAACCCAGTCCACTATCGTCCCCGTTGGGGCCGCTGTCACAATCACCAGAGTCCTCAGATCCCTTCACTGGAGGGCTTTCGCTGCATACGGATGATACAATAAGACGATCGGTGGACACGCTCTCCGAATATGACCATATTTCGAGGTAAGTGCGGAGAACTAGCAAAATAAAAAAAATGAGAAAAATAAGATCCCCTTGCTTTGCATTATTAAACTCGCATAATGTTACGTGCAGCCAGTGGGACTGACGAGGAAAAAATTTCATTCCCTGCAGGTCTCCTTTACTTGAACATGACCATGGACTTGGACCATCCGGCCTCGATCGTATACGTCTCCCACAGCCTACACGAGTCCTGACACTGCCAAACCTGTCAACTCCGTCGCTTGCTCCTATGACCCCTCAGACTCGCTCGCCTTCGCCTCGTTCTCGTTCGTCGTCTAGAACCCACTCTACTCGCCCATTCAACCGGAGTTCGACTACGTTGGAGGATCTCCACCGATTTCCTTGCGAGTCGTTACATTCCTTTTCTTTTGCACAGCAATCCGATGATCTACTCCTTAGCCGCCAGAACACCTTGAGAAGATCTATAGACTTCATGCGCGACCGCTTCGGATGGGGTAACAGCTACCCCGGGATCATCAATGCGCAGGCTCGCAACGGTGGCGATGTGGATGTACAAAGCATGGCGGACCTTATGTCGAAATCCAGCGTTTTTGAGCGGGATGATCGATCCCACTTTGCCGCCATGACCCGAGGACCGTTGACCGGACCCGCGGACGTGGAAAGCAACAACATCTTCGAAAAAGCGTTCACCGATCACCAATCACCTGTCTCCGAGGCCCTGGAAGATCTCCCGGAGGATTTGCCCGATCACCCATACCCCCTAAGTCCCGTGCCTAACGATCAAATACCGCATCAAAAGAGGACGGTGAAGTCCTCCCCATCGCCCAGGCGCGTAAGCTTAAAACGTACATACACGGATGTCGGCGGTACATCTCTTCAGAACAAACTGATGGAGACTCTGACGCAGCCATATAACACCACTGACTCTTTCTCCACAACCTCCTCGACTCTTGGTTTGGGGGTTCCAGCCCCGGCCTTGCATACCCACAGCAGCAAATGGAATCCAGTCTCGCAGGCCGTCTTTAGGACAGACTCACAGGCGCCATGGACCATACTGGCAGCGAATGACTTGTCGTGTCTTATATTTGGTGTCACACAATCGGAAGTGCGGAGGTTAAGTATCCTAGAAGTTGTACAAAAAGATCACAGGCAGTGGCTTGAGTCCAAGTTGCAGGATCCCCGCACTGATGCTGCAGCAAAGATTCATTCCCAGCCTGATAAATCCTGTATTAGGCCGGTAAATCCGAGGTCCATGGGCATGGGGAATGGCGTCACGGCTCAGTTGCTCAGTAAACCGTCTTCTCGGGAAAGAGCTCCGAAGAGATCCCAGACTGACGATGGATATGGCTCAAGTACTCGAACCACAAGGAATCCAAATCACCCGGCGACGAAATCACGCGGTGTTCTGCTCTGCGGTGACGTCGTACCGATCCGCAAACGCAATGGATCTAAAGGATCTGCCAGCATCTGGGTCATGGAAAAGCGTGGTGGCTTGATCTGGGTGCTCGAAGAGGTCTCGGAGAATGTCGCTCATGTCCGTTGTGACAGCTCATGGAATGTTACCGATGCCCGTGGAGACACTGACAAAATTTGGGGCCAGGAAGTGGTCAAGCCTGGCGGGCGGATCACGGAGCTGCTCCCCCGCCTCCCTAAAGAATGCTTGGAAGATCCATTAGATAAGGGTTTGGCCAAAATATCCCGGATGAAATACTTTACTAGCCGCACCTCTGCTGGAATATGTATACCTGTGATTGTCGGCAAGGAAGAAGACCCAGGCTGTCTCCGAGTATCCAGCTTTCCTCATGTTGCTGGTATGATGGTGCTGTCTTCATCCACAATGAAGGTGATTAGCTCTAACTCGGCATTCTCATCGGTATTGTTTGGCCAGGACCGGCCTGAAGGCTTGCATATCACGAAGCTTATACCGGGATTTGATGTCCTTCTAAATGTGCTTACCGAGGAGGATAAGGTTCCTCTGGAAGATGGAATGGTGATTCCCGAACACAGCTTTCGCAGGGCACGAACTCTTTCGATCCTGCGTGAAGGAAAAGACAGTGTAGCAGCAGTGTTTCAGGAACCAACCGGCCTTACCGCCAATCACCGTGACGGTTCGAACATCGCGGTAGACGTGCAATTGCGAGTGGTAAAGAGTGGAACCATCTTCCCCAAGGGTCAAGCTGAAGATATTGGACTCCGCGGCGAGCCCCACGACGATGAAGAGGAAACGGTTGCTGTGACGGAACTGGTTTATGCATTATGGATTACATACTCGAGGCAGATTCACTCCACAGACCCAGCGATGAGCTTTACCTCGCCCCCTCCAGAGTCAACTAAGGAAACAGCTCCCGAAACCGCCCCATTGTCCAGCCCGACGGCGGCTCGCAAACCCGAGCCTTCTAGTGCAGAACGTACTTCGGTGGAGACGAAACTACCATCCTCGACTCTGAGCCAACAACTGAACGAAGCTGCTTCCGAGCCACTGACAGATAAGCCCGTCCAGGCCGTGCCCGAAGTGAAGCCTGCCAATGCGAAGAAAGAGACTCCACAGAAAAGAACGATCGCCGACTACGTTATTCTTGAGGAGATGGGACAAGGAGCATACGGCGAAGTCAAACTCGTCCGACTCAAGAACAACCCATCCAAGAAGGTCGTTTTGAAATATGTGACGAAGAAGAGGATTCTTGTGGATACCTGGACTCGCGACCGTCGTTTGGGTACCGTGCCATTGGAAATCCATGTGCTAGATTACCTACGACGTGATGGCTTCAAGCACCCAAATATTGTGGAAATGGAGGGATTTTTCGAGGACGACGTCAATTATTACATTGAAATGATGCCGCACGGTCTTCCCGGAATGGACCTCTTTGACTACATTGAGCTGAAGGCGAACATGGATGAGGCGGAATGCAGAACCATCTTCAGACAGGTTGTGGATGCCATCCATCATCTTCATACCAAGGCGCTGGTTGTACACCGCGATATCAAGGATGAGAACGTCATTCTGGACGGCGAAGGCAACATCAAACTGATTGATTTCGGGAGTGCTGCTTACATCAAGAACGGGCCGTTTGATGTTTTTGTGGGAACAATTGGTGAGTTGTCTTGGTTTTTTATTTTCGGACAGTTTTAACAACATTCCAGACTACGCAGCACCCGAAGTCCTTCAAGGAAAGTCTTACAGAGGCAAGGAGCAGGATATCTGGGCTCTTGGAATTCTTCTCTACACGATCGTCTACAAAGAGAACCCGTTCTACAATGTCGATGAGATCCTGGACCACCCGCTCCGGGTACCGTTCTTACCGTTCTCCGAGGACTGCATCGATCTGATCAGGAAGATGCTTGATCGCGACGTCGACAATCGCTTGACAATCACAGAAGTGATGGAACACCCATGGATGACAGACAGCTGAAGCCGCCGATACCGATGAAGTTATTTTTTGGAATAGCTATCGAAAACGATTACGATGGATTGGAGGATCTATATATCTACCCTGAAAGCATTCCAAGCATACGCCGATTGTGCTTGTTCTACGGCGAACTTATGAAATATCACATTGATGCATTTTCTTTTCTTTATTTTATTTTCTTCTTTTCGGAGGACTTTGTTTGCAGAGTATATGTTGAAAGACCGAGAATGTGACGACTGTATGAAGGGGATGAAATATGGATAGGATGTGGGCGGATGGAACGAACCAAAAAAAAAAAAAAAAAAAAAAAAAAAAAAAAAAGGACAGGCTGCGATGAAAGACGATGATGCATAGAGATGAAGAAGATTGAGATACCCCATCATCACATTATGTTTATTTTGGTTAGATGTTTCGGTGCATTCTTTTTCTTACACTGGCTGTTCTATGGAAAAGGAAATCTCCCAATATGGCATATTATATACCCTCAGCAATGGCGTTATGCAGTTTAGCGTCTGACTGGAATTTAACAGTGATGATAGTGAAGCTGTCTATTCTATCTGCATGTGTAGAGAGTTGGAGACTATTCAACTAGTAGGCAATAGATACAGTAAGATCCACTGCCGATCCGACAGAAAGACGGTGACACATGGTGAGGGCGATTTCGATCCTCATTAAACATTAATCAGTCTAGCAGTGGTTCAATTGCGGGGTGAAGCGGGGAACAACGCTAGTCTGTCTTTTAAATACCTAGGGATAATGAAAAAGATGAAGTTGTATCCCGACTACTTATTCGAGATGGACACCTCGGCAATGGGGATACAACAGCAAAGTTATCCATCACAAAGGATGGTTGGTTTAAGTTGGGCAGAAGTAGAGGATCCGATCATCAGGTAGCATTGATACATTCGGCCGGATAGGCAATACCAGCCACGCCCACCGATAGTATACCATATATATAGGCTATAATTACTCGTATTGAGGAGCACTCATGTAGCTATCCAAATCCATGGATTCTGACAGCAAAACAAGTGTTCCTGACCCCGCAAGGTGGCGAAGAACAACCTAATAATAATGGATGAAGTGGCGTGGTTGGCAGGACCGAGAGGCCCGTTCCTAACTGGGTATTTGATGGACAGGGACGGGGGAGAGGGATTTGATTGATCAGCTTGTGCCTGTTTTTGCTTTTTTTCTTTCTTATTCTCCTTCTTCTTTCTTTTTTTTTTTTTTTGTGTTTCTCTTTTTGATGTTTATATCGCTTCCATTGTTCATGTTGATACTGTAGATTCACTGGTCTCAGGAAATCCCTCAATACTGATACTGGCTGACAGTCTGTGCGTAGGGTAAAGTTACGTATTACCAAGTCTGGGGTGCTCCAGAGTTTAATCAGCATTACACCGGACACACGGTATTGCGCTGATCATCAGACAATGTTATGACCTCAATTTTGCTGATATTTCATCATTTGAATATCTCCTCTACTCTAGTATACCTACCTATAAGTATACTTTGTGAGGAGGAAATCCAGAAAATGATGCCATAATACATTACCGTACAGCGTAATGCCGTGACGCGTGGACAGTCGCAACAGCCACTAGCAGGCTTAGGGCCGGCCACCAAGTGGGGCGCTGTCGCTCTATCGCGTATCGATAAGTGAAATCCAGCCGATAAGAGGCGGTGGTGGCGGCGAGCAAATCGGGGTATGATTGGGTTATTCAGGGTTTCTGTGTATCGATGGCCTTCTGCAGGAAGGTGACTGGACTGGATGGTGCGTTCTGATAGGGCGTTTCAGGCCAGTCAGTATTGGCTGTAAGGTACAGGTAAGGACGTATTGTTGAGTATCTCTGTCGCCTGACCTGGACTTTGTCACTTCTTCTCGTCGTCTTCTTCTTCTCTCCTTCTCTTCTTCTTCTTTATCTTCCTGTCTCTTTTATCTTCTTTTTCTCCCCTTTTCTATCTTCTCCTTCCCTGCTCTCCCGGTGATGTCCCTGTGACGTCCAACTTCCCTGTCTTGTCCCGGTTCTGCCGCGTCATTTTTCTCTCTATCCGTCCCCGGTTTGCCCGGTCCACATGTCCATGGTCCACCTGGTTACGGTCCCCAGCCGAGAGACACTGCCTCGCCCGATCTTCTTTCCCCAGTGAAACCCTTCAATTATCCTTCCTCTCCCACTTTCTCCTCCTTCGCTTTGGTCGTTCTTTTTTGTCGGCGTGTTTTTGCTCGACCTCGATCCATCCGCAGGACCGGATTTGGAATTGTTAAGCATCCGCCTTGCGCGGGAACTGTTGATCTGTCTTAAGATATTAACTTAGTTGCGGATTGTTTTCGGGTCATCACTATGAACGTTTAGGACTCCGTCATTGCGGGATCCCGCGATTGTCGTCGGTGTAACGTCTTTCTGACAAGACGGGGAGCCATCTGCTTTATCCTCCCTTACATCAAAACCTAGCTCGTTATCTCCTCCGCCCGATTCTGATATACTTTCCCAAGACAAACAATTACTTATCGAGCGTTCGTGTTGAATTCGATTCTACCTTCTCCCGCCATGGCTGCCGCCGTTTCCGACGAGATCAGGCCAACGTCTGGGGCTGTCTCCCCTGTGAGTCCAGCGTCGTCAGCCGGCCAGATTCCATTAGAGCAACAACCCAAGCCCAAGGGGCGGCATAGAATACTACAAAGCCTACAGCGCATGTCGTCAAGTCCTAGTCTTACTAGACGCGGCCGATCCGCCTCGACCGGCTATCGCGGAACTAGCAAGGCATCTTTATCCTGCGTTTCTCTTTCTTCATCAGCATATCCTCCGTGTCTCGGCAATGGCAGCTCATCTCAACTCTATGGTGGCTTGAATGCCCGTCCAATGACCTCAGCCTCTCCGGGCTCGCCGGTAGGCCAGAATGGAAACCCTCGAATTCGCCTCGTCGGGACCGATTCCCCCAATGGCTCCCAGTCAAAGACTATTCCTATGCCAACCGATCTGAGGCCAGTATCCCGAGGAGTGCCGCGGGGAAACGAGGCCATTGAGGAGAATGTCGTTGCGCAGTTCCCCCCTCGACAGAGAACATTGGATTTTTGGAGGGACATGCCGGACGAGATCAAAATGAGAATATTCCGGCACTTGACTCCCAAAGAAATTGTCCGTGCCTCTTCCGTTTCTAAGGCGTGGCACAAGATGTGCTTTGATGGGCAGTTGTGGTCTAGTGTCGACACCACCGAGTACTATCGTCAGATTTCTAGTGACAGCCTTGTGAAAATTATTACCTCTGGCGGCCCGTTTGTTAAGGATCTCAATCTCAGAGGCTGTGTCCAATTGCAAGAAAAGTGGTCGTCAGAAGGTGAGCGCATCTCGGACATGTGTCGGAATGTCGTCAATTTCTCCCTCGAAGGGTGTCGCATTGATAAGACTGCGATCCACTACTTTCTCCTACGAAACCCCCGCCTGGAGTATATTAACTTGTCGGGGTTGGCCAGTGTCAAGAATTCCGCCATGAAGATCATTGCGCAGTCGTGTCCCCAACTCGAAACATTGAATGTTTCATGGTGCACCAATGTCAATACCTCTGGACTCAAGAGAGTTGTTCAGTCATGTCCACGGCTGAAAGATCTCCGGGCCAGTGAAATCACCGGGTTCAATGATGAGGAGTTCGCTCTTGAATTGTTCGAGCGCAACACTCTGGAACGGCTGATTATGAGTCGGACCGATTTGACAGATCAATGTTTACAAGTTATCATCCATGGTGTTGATCCTGAGATGGATGTGCTTGCTGATCGTCCAATTGTTCCTCCTAGACGGTTTAAACATTTGGATATTCATCAATGCACAGATTTGACTGATGATGGGGTCAAGAGTCTAGCTCACAATGTCCCAGATCTTCAAGGCTTGCAAATTTCCCAATGCTCACAGCTAAGCGATGACTCTGTTATTGCTATAATCCGCACTACACCGCTGCTCACCCATCTCGATGTTGAAGATATCGATGCGCTCTCAAACAACACGCTCATTGAGCTAGCAAATTCCCCGTGCGCTCCACATCTCGAGCATCTCAATGTCAGTTACTGTGAGAGCCTGGGTGACACTGGAATGCTGCAAGTCATGAAGAGCTGCCCGTCCTTACGCTCTGTTGAGATGGATAACACCCGAATCTCTGACCTCTCTCTGATGGAAGCATGTTTCCGGATGCGCAAGCGAGGCTACGATGAGAACCTCCCCCAAGTTGGTCTACGACTAGTTGTCTTCGACTGTGCCAATGTCACCTGGGCCGGTGTTAAGGAGGTCCTTTCTAACAATGCTTATATCCCACGCTCTCGCAAGCCTTCTCCCGCTGTTATCACAGTTACCCAAACGGTCGATCCGGTAACAGGCGGCACTGTGGTTACATCTTCCACTTCACCGCCACCGCCGCCTCCTGTATACCCCAATCAAGTCATTCAACTCAAGTGCTTCTACGGCTGGCAGATGACTGTGGACGAACACATGAAGCGAGTCTTGCGTGGTGATCTTGCTTCCGCAAACAGGTTGGACCGAAAGTGGGCAGACTACATGATGGCCACCGAAGAAGCAGGTGCAGCAGGCGCCGGGGCGAGAAGAAGAAGACGCCGAGCTCGTGAAGCCGAGCGACTCTACAACGCCGATGACGCTGATGATGCCTATGATGGTGGAGTCGTCTCGGCTCTTGGGGGCAGACGCAGAAGAGCACAGAGTGGAGGATGTGCTATCATGTGAGATGCTGAAGTTGTTTCGACTCTTTCTACTACTACATTCTTTTCTGGACATGCACAAGAGTTCTGCGAACCTTGTCAAGATACCTGCACAGCAACATCTTTCTCTCAGTGAGATGCTGCCTGTGTTGAAACTCTGAGAAACACACACACGCACCCAAGCGTGCTATGAGACACGATATAACGATATGTTGGGTTTGACTGGTTCAAAAACTACTAGGCACTGAGTGTCTGGTGCACAGAACGCGGCGAATCCGTTCTACCTGCACTTTTTCATTTCCCTTTTGTTTTTCTTCCCTCCTTTCCCTTCAACTCTCCCTCCCTTCTACTTCTCGTTTGGTCTGGTGTGTTTGGTACGGAGTCAGGTCCAGAGGTCACTATCTGGAATTTCTTTTCTCATTTTCTTTTCTCCATGTCATGACTTTTTAGAAGGGGTGGTGAAAGCCTGGAGTTTGATCTCGGTTTAGGATTTAGACTTTAGCATTGATTTTTTTTTAATTTATTTTCATTCATCACCTATTCTCATCTTGGTACTTTAACCTGTCTTGGAAGGAGTAGTTGACGATAGTGTACCAACATAGCAGAATAAAGTGAAACCATGATCGGTTCAAAGTGAGCAATGTATATCTTTTTTTATCATCAGCTCCTAAAATATACGGTCCTCTCATACGGTGAATTCCCCTTCTACTTCCATTTTTGTGCGCCAATTTTAGCTTAGAGCCGTACATCTGGACAGCCTGGGCTTCTCTCAGCGCCACAGTCGACAGCCAGCCTTGTGAAAACCAGACAAACCAGATATACCCAGCCTCCCCTCCCCTCACCCCCCTCTTTGAGGACCAGAGCTGCACATAAGCGAAGTTGATACAGAAACCAACCGATGCTGCTTTTCCAACTATGAACAATAACCCAGAAGCCGACGTTCTCTGGTGGGATGCGCATTCCTATTACGTCCTATGCCCGTATTGCGAGGGTGTCCATCGCCATGGCATGAATTGGGATGGACCCCAGTCGCGAGTCTCACATTGCGAGAACGCAGAAAGCTATATCTGCTGCTTTCCTATCAATGACCAGGGCCAGGTTGCTTATGAGATTGATAAGAAAGAAGGGCGATATGTGAATATCTGCGCTGCCGGTGGTGCGGGCACCGATGAAATAGATTTGTTGTCACAAGGATTTAGTAGGATGGTCAGCATTAGCAGAGAAGAAGCTGAGATTGGAGTGACTGATCCAAATATCTACGATGACTCCAATGAAATGATAACTATCGATTTAAAGGATGGCTCGAAGCCGTTAGAACAAAAAAGGATCGTCTTTGCTATCAGTGCCTGCGCCAGCGGAAGAACGGCAGCGGTTCGAGAGTATCTGGAGTCTTCTGTTGAACCTCAAATCTTCATCCACGGACGAAAACCGGATGGTGATATCACACTCATCATGGCAGCAGCGGAAGCAAGTCCAACCATGGTGTCGCTGCTTCTCGACCACGGAGCCCAGGTGAATACCGTCAATCGCAATGGACGGAGCGCGCTCATGGAGGCAGCACTCTGGGGCAGACTGGGCAATGTGAAGCTGCTTCTGGAGCATGGAGCGGATGAGAATTTGCGCGATGAGAAAAACTGGCTTGCCATCGACCTGGCTCGACCGACTCACAGGAATCGACGTGAGAGATACGAGCGAGCCGGAGGAGACCTTTCGCCTACCTCTAATCAAGAGCCAGCTTATCGGGAGGATAACTTCAAAAGAGATATCGATCGCCAAAGCATTGTCCGCCTTCTGGGTGGAGAGGACAGGAAGTCGAATATTGTTTACGGCAGTCCCCTGACAGTATCGCGGTGCGAAGAATACTCCTTTAAGCGGTCACCAATGAAGAACTCGATCATGCTGCAGGGCCCCATTGCAAACTATCCCATTACTGGGCCGAGAAAAACCATCGCACGGTTAGAAAGAGGCGGCCAATTTGCATCTGTTGCAGCTATGAGTGGTTGGTCTCATGATTTGCTGCAGCTCGTCAGAGTCAGTGGTCGGCAGTGGACAAGGGAGGTTTTTTATCTCTCACGTATCGTTGGCCACAATTTGGCCTGCGATGATTTTGATCAAGGTATACCGGGCCAATACCATGCCTGCCATGCAGAAAAGCAACTAATCGCATATTTCGTCGACCGTCATGTTTTTCTCCCACGCGACACCGTTTCAGACCCCGAACTTGAAGCAGAAATCGAGTGGGTGGAGGACCAGTTGGACACAGGTCCTGAAACCGAAGAGCTGACTGCTTTGGAACGTCAGTTGGATACTTTGAATCATCGGAAAGAACGGCACACAGCCCTTATTGATATGTCCAACGCCAGACCGCCGGTGTCATTGACTGAAGCGGTGATATTGATCAGTTCCCCTGTCTGTGAGGACTGCATGGAGTTTGAAAACAAGGTTAATCAGGTTCTTGGGCTATCAATACAACTGTTTGCAGCATGCTAAGGGGTTGAATTCCCACCATGCCAGCACACTGTCCTGAATTATTCTCTATATATGTACACAGGTCATCTCTATTGAAGCTCGTTTTATCAGATAAGGGTGCTCAAAGTGAAATAGGATCCATAATTATTCACCAAATATTAATGGAGCAAATGGTATCCTGAATCATGGAAGCAGCCAGTCTTGTCTTTGGTGTTTCTCTCATTCCGGCAAGAAACTTTTCACAATTGCGAAGCAGATGAAGGGGTGTGCTCTTGGTCAAAAGGTCTTTGAACTACCCTTGTAAAATAAATGGCAGGTAGTTTGCCCAATCATCGCGCGACGACCAGTGAGCACTCAGCTGGGGCTCAGCGAGCGTTTCCTGTGTAAAACTCATCGAGCAAGGCCCCGAGTATCCTGGCGGCATCCAGCAAAGGAAAGTTGCGGTTGCGGTCTGAAATCCGGTAGTAGTATATCTGGTTCTTCCACCGTATTGTAGGGGTATACTATAAAAAAAAAAAAAAAAAAAAAAAGAAAACTACCCTATTCCTCAAAGAAGCCACCATCGCTATCGTTATCGTTGTCGTTCTGTGCTTTGCGGTATGCCTCGCGCATTTCAATGTCTTCTCTCCGTCTCTCCCTGCGATTCCTCGGCTCAGTCTGGTCGGATTTCGATTTGCTCTTCTTCTCGGGGATGTTCTTCTCGTGGCTGGACTTTTTGGTATCTTTGCTATCCTTGCTCTTCTTGTCTGTCGTCGATGATGTAGTGGGTGTGTCGTCGGTGCTCAATCCGGTCTTCAATTTGCCGTCTCGGAGACGATCAAGGGTTCCCTCCGCCATGCTCTTCTCAACGACATTCCACATGGGAGGTTTTTCTTCTGCAGCGAGAGGGGTGAGTTTGACGGTATCGGTGTCTGCCTCGGTCTCGTCTTCTTCGGACTTCTTGTGCTGTTTCTTGTCTGCGTAGAGCGAGATGTATTTTTCCGTGAGGGGGTAGTAGATGGTGTAGTTGAGGTTCACGCGGGCAGAGTGGATTTGCTTCTTGAGGGATTTGAGAGCGGCTTTATCTTCTTTGGGGTCGAGTTCTTTTTCGCGACGGAGAAGTCGGTTGAGGTCTTTGGTTGCTGCTTTGCGTTCTATTCGTCGTTAGTTTAGATTTATCGATATAAGATATACCCAATTCAAGGAGAACATACCGAGAAATCTAACGAAATGGTACTTCTTGATCATCTGCGAACGATCCCGTCTCTTGTTTTCATCCTCCAGATCTCTCTCGTATCCTTTCAGTGCTCGTTCCTGCACGATCCGCGCATCAGCGGGCAGATCAACCCGGTTGAGTAGTCGCTTGACATCCCGGATCCGCCTCTTCAGCTCGTTGACAGAGGGGTAGTTGTTTTCCGTGCGAGTCAAGTGGATTTTCTTCTTGGATGGCATCGCATCTTCGGAGGCTTCTCGGTCTTTGCGTTTTTGGGGAGGATCGCTGCGATCACGGTAGTTTCTGCTACTGGTGGAGTGGGGACGGGGAGACCGCTCCCTGTCATGATCTCTAGCCATTGTGAGGTATTCGATTGGGGCTGATGCTCTTCTGTTGGCCCTTTTATCTTCCTTTGTCTCTTTTTTTGGCTCGATGAAAAATAATTGCAGCGGATAAGAAAGCGATAAAAATGGACGGATCATCAGTCGGCCCGGAATATCCCCGGATCCAGATGCAGCGGCCAATCAGCGGCGGCGCAGGTTCAATGACCGCGCGACACTCCCTCGACAGTCGCCGTCGACGACGATCTGTTGTTGTTGTGGCTGCGATCTCAACGTCATTATTGCTCGCGATATCTGCGGGCATGTCCTGTGCCGATATTCAATGATCAATTGCCTCCATGAACATCTGGTCTTGAACTATCCCAGCTCTTTCAGCTGGTAATAGCATGGGCTGGTAGTGCTGGCTGGCGCTGACGCAACCAACACACAGACTATCCAGCTACTATCAATCACAACGACTTGAGCAAAATGGAGTCGGCAATTCGATGGTCCCCTTCCTCGACCACGGCAGAGCAACGCTTTCTCTCCGTGGATGTTACAGGGAGGGAATTTCGACTCTGCAAGGTCACCTCGTTTGACGGCAGAAACCTAGACCATGAAGTACTCTCGACACATACCAAGGTGCCAGCCTTTCGTGCTTTCGACTGGTCTCCCGTGGATGAGTCGCTAATTGCTGTCGGTCAATCCTCTGGAGATGCGACTATTTTGCGTATGGGTGGTGATTCTCAAGACTCGTTTTCTTTCCCCATTCGGAATCAACGTTACTGCAATGCGGTTGCATTCAGTACGCATGGACTGCTGGGCGCCGGGCTGGATCGCGTTAGAAATGACTTTTGCTTGAACATTTGGGATGTGAACCAGCGTGTGGCGATGAAAGGAACGAAGGGGTTTGCTGAACCGTTGAGAAAATTGGCTAGCTCGGAGCCGATTACCAGTATCAAATTCTTTAGAGACCAGCCAGACACGCTTGTAACTGGAGTTAAGGGTCAATTTGTCAGGATATATGACCTGCGGGGTAAGTTTTGCTCTCTTTCGGCCTGTTTCTCTTTTAACCGTCGCTATAGAGGGACCTGGTAATCCATCTCTGCAATTCCCCACACGGTGTGTCCATAATCTGGCCATTGATTGGCTTGAGGAGAATTATATTGCATCCTGCCTCCCATCCGGTGACCCTACTGTCTGTATCTGGGATCGACGTGTAGGCTCCCGGTTTACTTCACCAGCCGTGGGCCCAACCAGCGGCATTGAGACCGGCCAGCCAGGCCCTGCACTTGAATTCAAGAATGTTGTCTCGCCAAAATCAACATTATGGAGTTTACGTTTTTCAAGAACCAAGAGAGGTTGCTTAGGCGCTCTTTCCAACACCGGCCATTTCAAAACTTATGATATCGCCAAGGAATACCTATCCGAAGAGTATCGCGCTTCGATGGATGAGACTCTTGGCCAGGGTTCCTTTAGAAATTACCCCGAACAAGTTTACACCAAATCTGTACGAGACGTTTACAGTCCGTTTAATCATCCTTCGCGCGGCTGCAACGAGCTGGAAAGAGTGGTCTCTTTTGATTTCCTAAATATGAGTGCCTCCAACGAGCCAAGCGCTGTGACCTTATCTGGCAATGGGCAAGTCAATGTTATCACACTCCAGCCGACTTCACCCCCTGTGCGGCTTTCTTCTCAAGGTGTCTTGGTGCGCGGAGACCCTGACGGCTACGTGGAATTCAATACTATGGGTCCCATGTCTGGCCAGGAGACAAGTAACTCCGAGCTGGTTGCCAAAATACGCAAAAATCACTTACCAGACTCTGATGATCAATCAAATGGTCTGAGAGGTCGGCAGGCTGACTTAAATGGCCGCTCTACAAGTCCCCTCTCAAGTCGCGAGACCCGAGAGCGTGACTTGTCTCTAGGAACCTTAGACTCCCCTTTGACGGCTGAAGAGGCATTGACACTATTGACTGTCAATAGACATCGATGCAGGGATGGGTATCTTTTTGATGAGGTTCGCAACAAAACAATAGTTGCCGAGGATCCCTTCTTGCAAGACTTCTGGGATTGGGTTAAGCGTGAGTTATTGTATCAAGCCTGGAAGAGGAGATATGTTGACACCAAAGTTAGGGGCACGGTCTGACTCATCTGATTCCTCGATGGTCATGAACGAGCTGGATTTGAATTACATGGGGGTGTCCAGTATCTGGAACAATGACTTGGGTATGATCAGTCTATCGTTTTCTTTTTTTCGTTTTGTTTATTTAGATCTAACTTCTTCACAGGCCAGAGCCTCGAAAGCCGACGAATTGGCTCGTATGGTCCGCATTCCGTCCATCCCACTCATATAAAAGAGACCATTGTTGATTTGGTTCGTGATCGGTTGAATCTATCCGAGACCAAAAACTGCGAGACAAAGTACCTTGAACATCGCCTTCTTTGCCTTCGACTCTGTGGTGCAACACAATCCCACCGTGAACTTGAAGAACTTGTCAAGACGTTAAGTGCAGATAACCAGCATACCAAAGCCGCTGCCTTGGCTGTCTTCCAAGACGAAGCCAAACTCGCTTACTTGGCGTTGCGCAGCAATGAACCTACACAAGCACATAAATTGCTTGCCATGGCCATAGCAGGTGCAGCAAAAGGAGAGGCCGACTCGGATTGGGAAGAGACATGCGCAGAGATTGCCAAAGAGCTTACCGACCCTTATGCCCGGGCTATCCTAGCGCTGGTCAGCAAAGGGGATTGGAATTCAGTTATCCAAGAGACCACATTGCCACTGAAATACCGAGTTGAGGTCGCTTTACGTTGGCTTCCCGACGAAGATTTAACCGCGTACTTGAAAGAGACCACCGCTGAGGCCATCTCTCAGGGCGACATTGAGGGAATTGTTCTCACGGGCCTTGGTCATTCCGCCATGGATCTATTCCAATCTTATATCAGTAAGTTTAATGATGTACAGACGCCAGTTCTGGCCATGAGCCATACTGTCCCGCGCTTCATCAACAACGGAGCCTACAAGACTCAATTCGAATCATGGCGCGAGACCTATCGTTGGCAGATCAACTCCTGGAAACTACAGTTGGAACGAGCACGATTTGACGTTGGGTCCCGCAAATTCGCGGTCACCTGGGATGGCCGAAAACTAATTGAACCACCACGGCAACAGGTCAGCTTGACTTGCAACTACTGCACCAGGCCACTCACCCAGCATGACTCGTCTTCTCAGATTTCTTCGTCCAGCGCAGGGGAGGTCGTGCACCCGACCGCAGGAAACCCGTTGGGAACGGCCGCAATGTCTGGGATGGTCTGTCCGAGATGTGGGCGCCATATGCCTCGATGTGGAGTTTGTACGCTTTGGCTGGGCTCTCCGGATCCGATGTCTCGAGCGTCCATTGCAGCGGAGTCTGGTCAAGAACAGCGCAAACCCACAGAAACAGACTTGATGCGAAGATTTATTGTCTTCTGTATCAACTGCAATCATGGTTTCCATGCACATCATGCCCGGGAATGGTTTACGAAACACAGAGTCTGTCCGGTTGCTGAATGTAACTGCATATGCGATCGGTAGACTTGATTAGATCCTCTGGCTGCCCTGTATCCAGCTTTTATGTCTTTTCTTCCTTTCAATTTCTTTTCGGATTCTTTTTCCTTTTCACGCTTCCTGAGATTAAAGGGAAGGGGGTTTGTTTTATCTCTATTATATACCCATTTTTAGAAGCAGCATATCAGCAGAAGGCAATAGGAGTATCTACTACCTTAGTTTGAACACAAATATTTCCATCTATAGTTGTGTGTCCTTAGGCCCTGTCCTACGAGTATTTCGGCCATTTCGGAGTCAATTAATGGCTCGCCGATGATGTCAAAAAATTCTCCCCTCACTTAAAAAAAAAAAGATCTACCCATGTGGGTAAACAATACCTATCACCATCAACGCCTGTCGGTATGAGGCTATCTCTTATGCTTTTCATTTCCATTGGCTAATAATATGCAGTTATACTTGTCTTGGATTGTACTGTTAAAGAATTATGACTGGTCTGTGAGCAAGAATAAGACTCAGCTAGGCTTCAGTCACTATTGTTGAATCACGAACTTATCCGTGAGTCATGTCCACCAACCTCGCTTTTACCATTACATAAAGTGTGCCGATCTACTGACACTTTTCTGCTCAACAAGCCAAACGATTCTTGAATGAACCAGTGGACGACGAAGCTATTACCTCTGCCTCCACTCCGACAACCCCGCCTCCAACAAACCACTCCTCTTCGCACGACGGCCACCATGCCACCACCAAAGAACAAGCCTACCCAAAACCGCGATGTGTCCATCTCAAAGGCACTGAGCTTATTGTTGCGACATGCGGCAGAGAAGGAAGGGCTGAAGATGAACGCCCAGGGATATGCCTCTGTGGCAGATGTCGTACGCATTCTACGATATGTTGGATCGATGCAGATAGAAGCTAACCTGATTATGTTCTGATAGATGGCCTGGAGAAAGCTCAAATCTCTCAAAGTGACATTCCCGGAAATCATCAAAGCCGTCTCCTCGTCCGACAAGAAACGTTTCGCCCTCCTACATATCCCATCTACACAGGTCGACTCAAAGACACAAGGCACCGAGATCCCCATGATTGAAGACCCGACATCGGCCCTTGGTTCCTCAGCCCCCTCGACAAGTGAAGGGCAAGAGAACGCAACCGAGATAGCTCTTTCAGTCCAAGATTCAGACCCATCCCATTTCCTGATCCGGGCTACGCAAGGCCATAGTATGAAGAGCGTGGATGCGGCGTCGTTTCTGGAGAAACTGACCTTGTCCGATGCTTCAACATTACCTGATACAGTTGTGCATGGCACATTTCACTCCGCGTGGCCGCTGATTCTCAAATCCGAAGGACTCCGGTGTATGGGACGGAATCATATTCACTTTGCTACAGGGCCGTCTCTTGAGTCCGTTCTCCCGGGACCTGTGGATGCGACAGCAGAGTCTGCCAAAGATGCTCTACAGCTCAATGATGGCAGGGTCATCTCGGGGATGCGCCGCGATGCACAAGTGTTGATATTCATTGACATCAGAAAGGCGTTGGCGGCGGGGTGTCCATTCTGGCGCAGTGAAAACGGGGTGATTCTCAGCGAGGGAATGCCTGCTGGAGAGACAGCGGATGATAATGAGACGAAACAAAAGGTTGTGCCATTGGAGTTTTTCGATGTTGTCGTGGAGAGGACAGCCGGAATGGGTAAGATCTGGGAGGACGGCAAGACTCTTCAGGAAATACCAGTGGAATTGCTCAAACGAGGGAACCCCAAGGGAAGACGGACGCGACCAAATGACAAGAATGGGAAACAAATAACCCCGGCAGAAAGAGGTCAATAAATAATATACCAAAATAGAGGAAATGCTTCATTTGTATAGACACACGTGACTGCTCACCTGATAATCACAAAATAGATGCGTAATGCGGGGAGAATCCGCTCCAGCCAATCAGTGCACTTTCCGACCAGCTGCGGGGGATCGGAGCGCCGCCGCTTCCTCTTCCGACGACGTCACCCGACGCTGCCACTTCGTCTTCTCCCAAGGACCGACGATATCTCTATGATCCTGCGGCTTCACGCTGGCGTGGGCTTCCGAATGTAGTTGTCCATGTCGGGGGAACCTTTGTGAGCCAATCTGACCGCGCCAATTATGATTCTCTATGCGGGGACGCCCTCTGGCAAAACCCGCCGGAAGACGGGCATTTCCAATCATGCCGTATTCCCGTCGGTGTATGGTGCTGCTTTTTAAATACTGAGCTTCATCGCTGTGGACTTTGTCCCTTCTGGAATTCATTAATATATATCTTTTTGACTTAAATTTCTCTGTCTCTATTATTTCTGGGGGAAAAAAACCTATCGTCGTCGAGTTTTGTCAAGAGACATCACCATGGCCATTCACCGATTCGACCCCAATTTCACCAACAATGTCGTGAACGCGATGGGCCCCAAGACCTCCCCTCGCCTCCGCCAACTCATGACTGGTCTAATTCATCATGTTCACGACTTTGCTCGCGAGAATGAATTGACTGTGGACGAGTGGATGCAGGGTGTCCAGCTGCTCAACTGGGCTGGACGGATGAGCGACGATAAGCGTAATGAGGGACAACTTGTTTGCGATGTTATTGGTTTGGAATCGTAAGTTCTCACCGAGTTGAATAAGTCTCGTACAGTCCACTAATACAAATCGTCTATAGTCTTGTCGATGAAATCACCTTCAAGCTCGCCGACGAGGCCGCAGATGCTCCTACCGCAACCGCTATCCTGGGTCCCTTCTTCCGTGCAGACACACCGTACCGCAACAATGGCGATGACATCGTCGTGAACAAGCCAAAGGATGGAGAGATGGTCTTTATGCATGGTCAAGTAATGGACTTTAGCACCAAGAAACCCCTCGTGGGAGCTACCGTCGAGGTGTGGCAGGCGTCGACAAATGGTCTATACGAGCAGCAGGATCCGGAACAGACGGAGTTTAACCTCCGGGGTAAATTCAAGACTGACGAAAATGGCCGATACTACTTTTACTGCTTGCGCCCGACTCCTTACCCTGTTCCCGATGATGGTATGTCCTGTTATTTTGTCCGCCAGTTCTATATGTACATGAGGCTAACATTGGATAATAGGTCCCGCGGGTAAGCTGCTGCAACTCATGGACCGACACCCTTTTAGACCTGCCCATATTCACATTCTTGTAAGAACTTGTCAGATCCTTTTTCCATTTGAATGAAGCTAACACCTCTACCAACAGGCCACCTACGACGGCCACAAGCCTCTGACTACTCAAATCTTCGACCGCAAGGACCAATACCTCGAAAACGACTCCGTATTCGCCGTCAAGGATTCATTGGTTGTGGACTTTGTCCCCCGTAAGGACGACCCTCAAGCTGGTCTTGAGCTCAACTACGATGTCAAGTTGGTCCCCGAGGCAAAGACCAACGGTGCTTGAAGTTGAGGGATGATTTAGATTCTTGTCATGCATTTCTTTTTGGTTATTTTAAGCTCTTGGTCTGCGACTAGACCCCTTGCGGTATAAAATATTTGATACCTTAATCCCGTTGGGGGTCTTTTTCTTGTTATTAAATTGAATATTTGGACATAATAACTGTCTCCGGATATTTCTTTGCTCATAGAACATAGTGATGACCTACTTCAAAGACCACCATAAAAGATCACCAGATATCTTCATAGAATAGTAGGTGATAAGAAAGGCAAAGCAGTTGAATAAAGTCGAATCACTGGTACATAGTTCTAACATTCTATCAAAATGAATACACTGCTCTAAAATACAACTAAACAGCGACACTTCCAATAAATTGAACAATTACCCTCCCCACCTCCTCGGGCGCCTCGATACAATGCCAATGCCCAACCTTGGTAAGCACGTCCATCTTCTTATTCGCACTCGATACACGCTCAAAGATGAGTTCACAACCCTCAAGCGATGCAGACTTGTCTTCCTCGCCAGCAATCAGCAGGAAGGGAACTTGAACAGCGGTATAGTCGATGGTCGGGGCACCGGCGATGGCTTGGCAAAGAGCTGCGTAGCCTTTGGGGTTTTGGCCGATTATGAGTTCACGGATGAAAGATTCTGCCAGCGGGGAACTTCGGGAGCCGGTTGCTTGGCTGGGGATAGAGTTGGCCATTGGTTCCATTCCGACTATTTGTTGTTAGCTTGTGTCTTCCGGTTTTGGAACTCAGGATAAGTCATGAAAGCACATACACTCGGATACAGTCTGGGCTCTTTTGCACATCACAGAAGACAGTGTCGCTGTCGGATGTGTCGGTCCTATCGCGACCACAGCCTTGACGCGATGCGCATACTGTGCCCCCAAAAGTGTCACAACGAGTCCACCCATCGAGTGGCCTACGGCCACAGCTTGAGGGACGTTCAGCACATCCAGCAGTCCGGCCGCATCGGCCGCGATAGACTGAATAGACACAGACTGGCCCGTATAAGTTGAGCGTGCGGATCCGTACGTGTCGAAAGTGATGCAACGGTGACTCGAGGTCAGGTACGGCAAGACAGGAAAGTAATAGTTTTGCGAGGAGCCCAGGCCGTGGATGAAGATAAAGGTGTGACCATTTTCAGGAGCTCCTTGAGGATGAGAGTCGGAATAGTGTAGCCTGTGATCGTTGACTTCGATAAAAGGCATTTTTGGTTTATGTTCCAGATCTGTCGATAAAGAAGATGAGGATGCTTCGCAGAGGGTGGAGAAGAAGCAGACAATTAGTAGTAGAAAGATTGAAGGAAACAAAGCGGTCTGGTATGGACGATCAACAATCGGGTATCACCAAGAAAATAGTTAAAAATCCAGAAACCCGTAAGAAACGTTACGCTACGCTTAATAAAAGCATCCCACTCTGTGCAGCTCCAATTGTGTAATTCCCACGGCTCATTGACGTCGACATCATGGCCAACCTTGGGCGGTGATTGGGTTGCCCCCCATTTCTTCAGGCTCCCCGTATTTCGTCGTGTGCTGCAGCGTCTGCAAATGCAAAATCCAACAAGGGCACGTCGATTCCGTCGGAACAGTTGCATGATTCCATCGCCATGGCGGGGAAAAAACAGCAGCTCCGCTTATCAACGACGATCCCGAAAGGAGGGGCAGTCACGATCCGAACGGCGCGGATGTTGACCATCGGGTCGGATAGCCGATGTGTTGAGGATGAGGATCATAAAGCGATTGGTAAATAACCAAATAATGAATCCAAGAATATCAGGCGACACGTGGGTCTGCCAAAACTGTACAAGGCGTAGCTACACCTCGTGCTCAGACAGGGTCTAGCTGGAGCAATTCCTGCTCGAATTCTTCGTCTGTATCGTCAAATTCATAGGCATACTCTTCGAGAAGAAGTGCCGTGTCATCCTGGAATGATTCTCCAACCGACAGCTGCATATTCGGCTTTTCTGAAGGTCGCATCGTCTCCGGTGCTTCCTTGAGTGTATCCTGCCTATCCGTGTCCTTGGTCTTGGTATCCAACGCGGTCGCAACCGTTTCTGCTTGTCGGATCGTGTCTTCGTCGCAGAAAAACGAGCATTCGGAAAATTCATCGTCGTCGTTATCATTATCCGCACCCAAAACATCATGTCCCGTAGTGTCATTATTCTCTTTATTCGAATCTATCGTAACTGTAGGATCAGACAAGTAGTCTGTGCCCGTGTCCAGGCCCGATCCTGAGCCGTGGTCGTCATCCAGTTCAGTCTCTACATCCCCCGGACTGTCAGGCTCTGTATATTCATCCTCCGTCCCATTATTATTCGCAACTGTCGGCTGCGGATTCTGCGGCTGTTTCGGTTTCTGGAGAAATCTGGATAGCAACGGCTGGCTTGACGGGACCGCAAACGCATCAGGATCAGGACCATTTCGTCTCCTCTCCTCTCGAGCTTTGGCTTCCCTCTCTGCCTTCTTTTTCTTGTTGGCTATGCGCTTCTTTTCATTCTCCTGCAGTTTCTTGGCCCGTCGTTCTCGTTCCTGCTCTCGTTCGATGCGTTCGATCTGCGACGCGCTGAATTGGAATCGTTTGTTGCTGCGCTGATACCGGCGGCGCACGGTCCGGGATTTCTCTAGAACGATGCGCCGCGGTGGTTCGGGCATTGTTGCGGGGGACGAGGGTGCTTTTCGTAGGATGGTCCTTATAAAACCATCCGGACAGACATGGATGGAGAGTTAATAGACGTCATAATAAAAGTGTCGAAGGAAGCTGCAGCTGTTGTTTGTTAGGCGGCGATACGTTGTGCCGACGGGCGGGAGATCAACAACGAGCGTCATGCACGTTTTGTTCATCCCAGTACAGACTACAGTGACTAGTCATAACTACAGGGAATAACTAGTGAGAATGGCTTGTTGCCTGGGTTTAAAAAACAAACGAGACTATTCGTTATACATCATACACTGAGCTTATACACGAGCAGGCCGTTCCTGATCGACGCGATCCACCAAGACAAGCGGTTCCTACGCGACATCACCTTTACAACTTGGAATCCCTGGCAGGGTCCCAGCAGACCGGTGCATCAATACCAGTGACCAAACTGTTCATGTCCTCCTGCGACAGCTCGAAATCGAACACCTGAGAGTTCTCGATGATACGGGAGTCGGTGACAGACTTGGGAAGGGGGACGTATCCCTGTTCAAAAAATCAGAGGTTAGCGACATACACTAGGCTATTCTATCGCGTTCTTTTGGGCAGTACCTTTTGCAAACTCCATCGGACCAAGATTTGGGCAGGGGTCTTGTTGTGCTTCTTGGCCAGGTTCTGCAATACAGGTTCCTTCATACGGGTGGCCTGCACCAAGGGGGAGTAGGCTTCGACAACAATGTTGCGCTTTTGAAGCCATTCGGTAAGGTCGTCTCGGGGGCACCAGGGGTGGATCTCGTACTGGCCAACGGAGATCTCGCCGCCCGCTCCGCTCTTGATGTACGCTTCCAATTCCTCGAGGTGGTGGATACCGTAGTTGGAGACACCGATAGAACGGATTTTGCCGGCCTTTTGGTATTCGACAAGTGCGCGCCAGGCGCCCAAGCGACCCTCCTTGCCGCCGTAGGGTGCGTGAATCAGCATACTGGTTGAAGTTAGTCATTGTTCAAGAAACAGGACACTATAACCAAGAGGAACCACGCACAGGTCAATGTAGTCAATGTTGGCTGCCTCGAGACTCGATTCGATGGCCTCCTTGGCGTTCTCGTATCCTCCCATGTGAGAGACGGGGATCTTGCTTGTGTAGAAGAGCTTGGAGCGCTCGAGTCCGGACTTGCGAATGGCATCGGCACATTCTTTCTCGTTCTCGTAGTACTTGGCACTGTCGACCTGGAAGCAAATACCCACGTTAGATGTCTTGCCAGCTGATCTCGCGCAGGACGTGACTTACATGGCGGTATCCGATTTCAATAGCTCTGACAGTCACCTTTTCGGTAACATCTGGTGGTCTGCAGGATGAGCGTCAGTACAACGCTTTTCCAAATGTCAGTGATCGACATACGTTTGGTAAACCTATTTTTGCGACTTCGCGTTAGATACGCCACACAGCAGATATAGGAGGTCACTTACACCGAACCCAATGACCGGGATCTCATATCCCGAGTTCATCTTAAGGGTCGACTGAAGCGAAACAGGAGCCATGGTGCTAATTATCGTAAATTTCCAAAAAGAAGAAGGAATTAAGGTCAATCAGAGTGTGAAGAGGAACAAAATGGTAAAAGAAAAAAGACAGGAAAAAAATGCGACAAAGCGTCTGATAACCTTAATATAGCCATCGCCTGGACAATGTTTATCAATCAGTTAATAAAAAAAGCCCATCCCACCATATCCACAGTTCCAAATTCCAATTACACCAGGACGGGAATATGGAGTCTCGAACACGGCCAAACCGTCAAATTGACGCCATTTCAGGAGGTGGAGAGCGCAGAAGCAAAACTTCGACCAAACAGGACTTGACGCTGCAGACGATCAGCGTGGGGCGACCCTGAATTGGTGTTTAGCAGCAGTTGGGAGAATCAGTCCAACTGGCGGGAGTCGCGGAAGAGTGGAGGACTTCCAAGGCCGAATTCGGGCCGATGAAGAAGAATCTGAAAAGAGGAAGACTTGATTTCTCAGTAATCAACAATGAAGAGAACAGTATGAATGTTGAAGATGTAGATATCCAGTCTGTGGACATGCTGCAGAGATGGTCATCTAATCTCTACATAGTATGCAGCACCCACGTAGTAGCGTGGGGTGTTATGTAGGCCATATGGATACGAAACATCATTTCAAGTGATCTTAAATGTTTCATCTTTGCCATAGATGATAGTCAATAAATAGATTTCAATTATAGTTAACGCAGTACTATCTATCCAATGAGATCTGACATTATTTCAGGTCTTCATAATCGACGCTGAATCAGGTAGTCCATAATATCTTACAGCGCAACCCCCATTGACAATTAATCTGACACTCCACAATAAATATACTCTAACATAGAAAAACAACCCACTTGACTTTATATTTGAATGAACATAGATGAAGATAGATGAAGATAGATGAAGATGATGATTAGAAATCAACAATACGTCATTGCTCCTAGGGCTTAGGGCTCAAAGCCAGTCTTATCGATAATGCTCAGCTTCAGCGCCACTAGTCCGTTTCTGGAAGTGTCCCGCATCGACTCCTGCGGATTGTTTTTGGGCTGACGACAAGTTCCTGGATAGACAGCGCTGAATGTTTTTATAGTTCACCCTCTATCCCTATCCGAGTATTTGCAATATGCGATTGGTCAAGAACAAGGTCGAGCACGATGGCTCCGGCATGGTCACCCTGTGCCCCGAGGAGCCGGAAGATATGGTAGCCCCCCCCTCTCGCCTTTCAGCGCGGCTACGTACCTATATGACTGACACAATCTGTTCCCCTTCAGTGGCATGCTTATAACCTAATCCGCCCTGGAGATCTCCTCCGCGCCAGCGCTATCCGCCGCGTCACAAGCACCCAAGAAACCGGCTCGACAACCTCCGCGCGAGTCCATTTGTCGCTCGAGATTCGTGTCAAGAACCTGGACTTTGACCCCCAGAGCTCGCAGTTGCATGTGGCTGGACAGATTGTGAACGAAACCCAACATACTAAGATCGGCCAGCATCATACGCTTGATTTGGAGTTGAACCGCAATTTCACGCTAGAGAAGCAAATAGGCTCGGATGGTGAGGGCGTGGGATGGGATAGTATTGCGGTGCAGATGCTCAAGGATGCGGTGGATGAGGGTGGAAAGAGACGGGCTGAGGCTGTGGCGGTTATTATGCAGGAGGGTGTGGCTCATATCTGTTTTATCGGGCAGTTCCAGACCATTATGAAGCAGAAGGTGGAAATGTCGGTCCCAAGGAAACGACACGGAGGTGGTGATCATGATAAGGTAGGTGTCTCCTTTGCGACTTGAAATACCAGCTACTGATAGAATGCTCAGGGAATGGGCAAATTCTACCAAGTCACACTGGACACTCTTCTTCGCCAACTCGAATTCAACACCAGCTCGACATCGTTAACCAGCAACGAAGCCGTCCGGCCCGTCCTACTAGCTTCGCCTGGATTCGTTGCATCCGGCTTCCAGAAACACATTCAATCCGTCGCATCAACCACCACGCCCGCACTGAAGCGCCTTCTCCCCAGCATCGTCGTTGTCCACTCTGCCTCGGGGTATCTGCACTCTTTGGCAGAGGTTCTACAGTCGCCTTCCGTGAAATCCATCCTAGCCGACACCAAATACGCACGCGAGACCAAGCTCATGGACGATTTCCTCGAGCAGCTCCGAAAAGAAACCAACAAGGCCACATACGGGCCGCGGGAGGTGGAGTCAGCCGTCGACCAAGGCGCCGTTGGCCGCGGCGGTGGTGTGCTGATTATTTCGAATCGTCTGTTCCGGTCCCAGGAGGTAGCTGAGCGGAAACGGTGGGTATCACTCGTGGACCGTGTTCGGGACGTCGAGGGCGGCGAGGTTCGAGTCCTCAGCTCGGATCACGAGAGTGGAAGACGTCTCGATAGTCTGGGGGGTATTGCGGCACTCTGCACATTTCCTATTATGGAGGAAGAGATGGATTCTGAGGAGGATTAACCTGGGCGAATGGTTGGTCTGATCTTTGGCATTAGCGGTTATGTATGTTTTGATTGATGTGATGTGGAATATATGATGATGACATTTAGAATTATATTATGCAAAAGACTACTATATTCTTGAATGAGAATACCAAACTAACCAACTACTGCAAGTATTCCTACTGCAGGACCTGAATATACTTGAGCTGCAAACAAAGCTAATAGCAAACTCTCGTTCCTCTCCCCATTACCTTCTCATTGACATTCCAACGCCCACTTAAGAACAACAAAAACACCATGTTTAGGATAGATGATCAGTGTATTTCTGATAAATTATATCTAGCTATCTACCCTGCACGGTCATATGTATGTATATAACCTGTCTCCAATTCTCCCAGGAAAGCTGTACTGTAGTCGAGACTCTTAGAGACTCTGAAGGCCGCACTCCATCAGGATCCTGGCAGCGAATATCTTGCAAGTATTTTCTAAAATGATGGATTCTGCACTTTGGTTGTAGTATGGATCCTTACTCTCCTCATCTTCGGTTGACTATCAACGTTGGGTCTTGTTAGTTCATGAACTTGCTATGCAGGGAAGGGCTGGCAAACATACGGCTTGGGGAATAATAATCTGACTTTCGGCTCTGTTGTATAACTCTAGCAACTTTTCTGCGTTTGGGTCGCTGAGCACATTTTTTTTGGAAGTCTTCAAAATCAAGACCAAGCTGTCTAAGTGTTAGATCTGGTTCTCAATGTGATGAATAAGCGCTGCGTAGGACATACCTTCCCGACCCCGTCCTGCACCTCCTGCTTGTTCTCCCTTTCTGCCTGTTGTCTGGCAAATTCAAGGAATTGCTTGATCTATGTGATAGTGATCAGCGAAAATGGTGTCAATTTTACAATAGGAGTAACACTGTCACTTACCTGATTTTCATCCATTTGAAGGCCATTCTTCTTGAGAATCTCTATATACGTTTCCAAGCCGTCTGATTCCAGGACCGCCTCTTCCACCTTGTCCAAGTATTCCTGCTGTGAAATGGGCTTGCGGCTGGGGCCAATTGGACCGGCACTGATATTTCTAAAGTGATTTCTCTCGTCCGTGAAACCATCGGCAGTTGGCTGGAAGAACAAGTGTCAGACTCAGGTCCTATAGAAAGGAGAGGGAGAAAAAGGATGAGCACTTACTTGAAGAGCAGGCTTGAATTGTTCAAGAAACAAAAGCGCAATCAAATCATCAAGTTTTCCTCCTCCTTTCCCACCCAAGTTCCTCTTGATCCAGCGCTTCTCCTCCAGCCCCTGAGTGCCCTGGATACACCTGGCGGCCGTATACATGGCATTGGCAAACCAGAAGCAGCTATGGCCGCGCAACCTGTACGGGCCCCCATTTTCGGGTTGTTTTGTCGAGCAGCGCGGCCACGTCCACCAAGCGGGGTCTGCTGCCTTTGGCAAAGAACAGCGAGGTGAGGGGGAGAGGAAGATCCTTGCGGCGAGTGGCTTCCACCTTGTCGTCCATGCCCACCGTCACCCAGTCCAGGTCCGCTTCATTGCCCCGTTCGGCGTAGACCCGAGTGCGATTGTTCTGCTCCTCGTCTTCTTCTTGGCTCTCCTCGACGATGAATTGCACGTATTCGTGCTTCCACTTGGAGTTGAGGTTTTTACGCGAGTAAAGCTGACGACAAATCAGGTTTCGTAGTCCTTGGGGTTGTCTCTAATCTTTTTGTACCATTCCTGTGTTTTGTGCGTCGCAGGCGTCTTCTCGAAGAGCCAGGGGTTAGTTTTCGTGACCATGATGGATGAATGGGGGAGATTGAGTGTGGTTTTGATGCAACTTGGAGTGTTGAAAGACGACAAGTCTGCGCAGTTCTCCCCTCCAATTTATAACCACCCCTCCTCCCTTCAGCTGAGATAGTGAAGCTGAGTCTCCACACTTTGTCGGGCGCGTAGAACATGGTCGCTCTGTATCCGCAGCCAATAATGGCATCCATACACCCTCTCTCCTCTGCTGATCAATGGCTGAAGAGTGTAGCGATGCAAGGCTCAGCTTCGGAGAAAGCGACAATTCAGCAGCCAAGTGTACTTGACGGGCGATATGAAATGTAATAGGTTGAATCTAGTGTTTAGTGGGAAGAACCTAGCCATAACTGGAAATATCGGCGTTCTTTCAGCTTTCAGCTTTCAGCTTTCAGCCAGGACATCACCTTTATTTTCAGCTATCATGTAGAATTACATTATGACAAAGACTATTCAATGAGGTATACCAACTATACTTCTACATACTATATAGAATATAGAATGGATAGTAACATCTCTTTCCTTTCTCTATTACTTTCCCTTGATAACTTAATGCCTACTCAAGTATGAAATGTTATATTTAGGACTGAGGTTAATTAAAATATAGAATTAGGAATAATCCGACTATACTCTCTATTAGTAGTTGTAAGTACATATAGAATAGTACGCAGAGTACTCCGTATATACAGTAGATTAGATCTACTATTCACGCTATATGCTAGGGATGGCCGGTTGAATGTTTATAAACTAGGCTTCATGCATCACCTCAAAGGCTTGATTTGTTGATCGACATCGGAGTTTTCTTTTGGTTTATGCATAACTAATGGCAACCTGCATTACTGTACTCAATTTTAGTCTCGGTGTGATGTAGTGCTTGAGTAGTTTAGTGGTGCTAATTTATACTCTTTCTATCAGATCTTGATAATCAGAATACCTATTCAACTGGACCTCGATAACCCTCTCTCGTACTGATAATACTCCCCCACACCATCTTGAGCATTGCTCTTGCATTTGACAACATTCAGGCACTATTCTCTCGATGTAGCAGTCTTTTCTGCCTACTCCACCGAAACCATCAGGTCATTCAAGGTTGGATATGTGGATTATCCCTCTGATGATACGGCAAGCAATGCCTATTATTACTTGAGTCATCTTCATGATAACGATGGTCTGGATGTGTCTGCCGGAAGTCGGGATGCCGTATGTTTGCATTAGGGCTGACGGGTGGCTACCGCTGCCTGATTTCGGAGGCATCTGACGGCTAAATAGAGTCATTCTCTATAGACTAAATCCTCTCAGGCCACCAATCTCTACTTATTACTAACATGGGCTCAACTAACGCCACAGTGCGGAGAGACTCCATAGTCCATACTCTAGCCGACATCGGATAAATCAGGCCATCAGGTTTTCTTCCTGGTCAATCGGGCATTGAATTCCGTGGGTGCCGGATGTGGATTACGCCGGCTCTTATCAGTGGTTGAGACTGCATAAAGAAGAGTCTGAGGTGAGAAAGTTAAGTTCTTTGTTGTAAACACAAGTATGATGATGCAATAACTGGCATATAAAAGAAAAGAGTACAGAATACTCATGATGATGAATTCAGGATATGACGAAATAACACCTGGCATTCCATGTGCAATTAATTAATTAATTAATTAATTAAATGCAGGCCCATTTGAGAAAATAATTAATCGATCCCCCGCATAAAATCTCTTGGCTGAAATTGGCATTAGCTTAGCTCTCTGTCGGCCAATAGTAGTTCCTATATGTGTATCCATCGCCCCACTATCCCGTTATCCGCCATTTATGCTGGGGATGAATCAAATACTGGCTGCCCCCTGAAGCCACATGTGACATCCAGAAATCGCCACTGAAAGTGACTGGAAGTGACCAGACCGCATGTCTGAGATCAGCTGCATTGTGAGCAGGGGTTGCTTTACCTGCTATCATGATTTCTGTCTTCAGAACCAGTTGCCTTCGGAAAAAGCGGAAGAGGATATCGGGATGACATCGGTATTATTCTCTAGCCCGAGATGGCAAGGAGTGCGATAGATTCAATTCCCCGCGGACGAAGCGAAGCCGGACAATGCGGGGTATGGAGAGGTCCACTGTTCCTTGTGCTTCCTGAGCCATCATTCCCAATTCCCCATCTTCCAGGTATAAGAGCGCCATTTCCTACGATGAATTTCAACAAAGCATTCTGCATCTTTCCCCTTCTCCACTATGGCGTATCTTGGCCTCCGAGGCAGCTCGCTTCGCATTGTCATCAGTCTCATTGCAGCGACTGCATTTGCCCTGCAGGGCTATGATCAGGCGCTCATGAATGGCTTGGTGACTCTGTCTACCTTTGACACCACTTTTCCCAAGATGAAAGACTCCAATATTGAAGGTGGGTAGTAAATATCATCGTCAGTCCTCCTGCTCATCAGAAAAGGGACCACCGTTGCCATCTACGAAGTTGGCAGTGCCATCGGCGCCTTTTCCTGCGCGTTTATCGGCAACATTCTCGGTCGTCGCTACACCATCTTCACTGCTTGTTGTGTCTGTCTGGTGGGGATTATCCTGCAAGCAACTCCCTTTGCTCTCGGGCAGCTCATCACCGCCAGAGTCATCACGGGTTTGTCTGATACTCCCTTCGTCTACTTCTTCTTACTAACAGTTTGCAGGTCTCGGTGTAGGTGCTCTGACTGCCACTGTCCCCATGTGGGTGGCCGAATGCTCCAATGCCAACGAACGAGGTCGTCGCGTTCTCATCCAAGGATCCTTTGTAGCCATTGGCACCGTCACTGCATCATGGCTGGAATTCGGTCTCTACTTTACCGATAGCCCTGCCAACTGGCGCTTCCCCATTGCTTTCCAGGCCTTTTTCATCCTCATCGTGACATCCCTCGTGCTGTTCCTGCCCGAGTCCCCCAGATGGCTAATCATGAAGGATCGCATCGAGGAAGCCGAACGGGTCATCAGCGCTCTGGAAGACCTCCCCGCCGACGATGAAGTAGTCAAGGATGAACTGGCCCTAATCCGAGAATCCTATCTCGAAGAGCAGCGACAGTCCTCCTCCATCTTCGCAATGGGCCCCGAACGCCAATTCCACCGCGCCGTCCTGGCCGTCGGCATAGCCATCCTCGCCCAAATGTCCGGCATCAACATCGTCACCTTCTACTCGGACACCGTCCTAGAACAACAACTCCACTACTCCGCAACCACAGCCCGCATCTTCTCCGGCTGCATTCAAATCTGGCAGTTAGTCTCCGCCAGCTTCGCCGTCCTCCTCATCGACCGCTTCGGCCGCAGGAAGCTCCTCCTCTTCGGCGCCCTGGGCATGTGCATTGTCCAAGCCGCCCTAACCGGCCTCATGTCCACCTCCAACAAAGACGCCGCCAAAGCATCCATCTTCTTCTACTTTGCCGCCATGACCTTCTTCCCCATCGGCCTCCTATTAATACCCTTCATGTACGCCGCCGAGATCGCCCCGTTATCCATCCGCCATAAAGTCACTGCCATCGGGGCCTGCGCGAACTGGCTATTCAACTTTCTGGTGGCCGAAGTCACCCCGCATGCTATCGCTAGCATCAAATACCGGTACTACATCGTGTATGCTTGCATCAACGCCTTCTCGGTCGTGGTCATCTACTTGTTCTGTCCCGAGACCAAGGGCCGCACCCTCGAGGAGGTCGATGACTTCTTCATCCAGTCGAAGAGTGTCTTTGACACCGTCAAGGTGGAAAAGACCATGCCGAGGAATGGTGTTGTTACTGCGGCGCGTATTCGAGATGCCCATGCGAGTGAGAAAGAGACGGCGCTTCATATGGAGGGTTGTTAACTGCACTACCTACACTACTAGAGGGTCTTGGCTATACACGACATAGATTAGATAATAGATTTCTTCCAAGACATTCATTTGAGACTCAGTCAAGTGACTAACTGAGACCAGACCAGGCTGTAAAAACTACCTACAACACCTCCTGTCAGCCTATGCAGATTACCAAATCATCAGGCTATATGATACACGATACATACATAAAACATCATCACAAGATCATCATGCTTATTCTTCACCCGGGTATCGTTTCAGTCCTGCTGATTATCTACATATGACAAGGCTAGGCTTTCTTTCTCATCAGTCGTCACCGATGGCAATGCACACATGATACACACATAATACATTCACTAACACTCAGCGAATTAAGCCTCATCTGATAAAAATACCAAGATCAACAGTCAGATTCAGCATCGCCGTTATCATCATCATGTCATCACGCAAACTACCCATCTAGGTATGCATACGTAACTTTATCGTGCTGGCCCCCGAAGAACTCAGCCTACGCCAAGAAGATTAAAGCAAAAGCAACCAAGCGGAATGAGAGAAAAATTCCTTTTATTCCAAATAAATACAGTTCATTTCTTGGTCGGGAAATTAAACACGGGCCACGTATGTTATATAGAAAGGCTATGTAAGATGGGCGGTTATTGGTTTGATGGTAGTGTTTGATTGAACTGCTTAGGTTACTAGGTAGGCGGCTATGTATGTAGGTTTGCCCTAATTCGATGTTGCTTGCATACAAGGAGATTTTGGTAGTGGCTATGGTTTCTATTATTATTGTTGGAGGATTATGGTATTTTTCTTGTTTAATTTCGTTTTATTTTATTTTCTTGTTTCTTGATTGTTTGATGTTTGATGTTTGTATTCTGTGGTAAGCAGACTTGGCTGACTCTGACCTGACTCCTGTCGCATGATAAGATGATGCATTTTTTTGCATGCTTCGTTTCAATGGGTATATCGAACGATTGTAAGAAGGTAAAAATAGAAAAAATAGTAGAAGAAGAAGAAGAAAAGTAACAAGAAGAGAAGAAAGTAATAACAAGAATTCGAAAAGATAAACCATGATCGCCATGATCGCCATGCAATCAATCAAGAATGTAAACAGCCAACCCCTTTTAGATAGATGAAAAAGGCCCAACATAGATTAAAGTAGTATCATAAAGATCAGTCGTGAAGAGTAAGTAGGAAAAGAGTCTACTTTTCCGTAGCCTCCTTCGTCCTTCTAGCGGATTTCAGAGCAGCTCGTCGCCGAGAATGTTGGGGGTCGTGTATTCGAGGGGGAGGAGGGATAGGGACTGGGTCAGGATCAGGGTCATGCCCCTGGTCTGGTGAATCAAGCATTTGTAGTTGGCTTTCGCATTGTTGGGGTGAATATGTTCGTTTAGCCCCGAGTTCTTTCATCTATGACAAGTTAGTAAAGAGCACCATTTCATCACACGCATGCGCATACCTTTTGAGCAATAAAGTGGTATTTATCTTGCTCCCAGCAATCTCGTGCTCTTATTAGAAGCTGTATCTAACCACGGCATGTTAATCGCTTTCCTAAAACTGGACAAATCATAGACACACGTACTCACATCGTTTTCATCCCACCGGGCTAACCGTTCCTTGCGCCTGCGCAGCATTCGCATCTGTAAACGTGCTTCCGTAGCATCCTTGTGGAACCTTTCGCGGAACATCTCTCGGATGGCCTTCCAGGCAAAGTTCTGCTCCCGTAATCGTTCCACGTAGGTGTCTTCTTCCTCTGCTTGAGGGTCTTTGCGGCCTCGCCCCGGGGCTCGTGGTCGCTGTTGTGGTGGTGGAACTTCGACGGGCTCGTGGCGTCGCTCCTGTTCCAGGCGCTGGAGCCCATCGGGGTGTGGAAGAATTGATACCGGAGTGTCTCGTACCGGTGGTGTAGGCTTGGAGGTTCGTCGTTGCCTTTTGGCTGGGGGTGGTTGAGGGGATTGAGTATGCATGCCGTATTCTAGATCTTCCAGGCCATAGTTTAGACCAGCAGTGACGGTTCGAGGAAAATCACTGGGAAGCGGCGCGGTGATCCCGAGCCCATGCACAGGAATAGAGTCCCTGATGTTGTATTGGAAATCTTGTTGCGAATGATGGCTGAGAACCGGACTAGGTCTTGTCTGAACGAAGGAGCTGTCCGGGAGACTGATCGGGGTCAAGATGGCACCGGCGCCTGGCTGGTAGGGTCCCGTACAGTAAGGGTTGCTAACGGCTACAAAGGGAGACTAAACACAAACATCAGTTAGTTCATGTTCAAACAGGACAGCATCAACGTTTCAACCACGTACTGTATCCACGCCAGTCCAGTGAGGTTGCAAGTTTTCATAGAACTGCTCCATTCCCTCTCCGGGTCCGGCACCGCCGTGACCCATTGACATCGTGCCTGCAACTTCGGATGGTACGTAATGGAACATGGAACAATATGATAGGAGAGCAACAATAGAAGGCGCTGGATTTGAAGGTAAACCGCCTGCGGTGGCAGGAGATGAAACACTTGATGAAACAGGGTCAGGGAAGATAGAAGTAGGTACAGCGGCAAGAGAAGAAGGAACAAATGATTTAAAGAGTCTCTCGAGAAGGCAAGTCTAGCTTTCTTCACGACACAGCATTCATACTCTGCACGATACCTGGATGAAGAGGAGTGAAGGGAGGAAAAGAACACAACGTCAACAGAGTATGATGTGAGGTTCATATACCAGAGAACAGGATATCACTGAGGAGACGGACTGCCTCGCGAGGCAGGGCCAGAAGCATGAAGCTTTTTGTTCAACAGGCTCAGAGAGCTCCAAAGACTAAGATGAGTACCGCCGACCATCACTGTGCCGCACAAAAAGTCGATAACCAGAGGTGCAGAGTCGACGATGGACTGCATTTAAGCGCCTGCTCATCCCGGGAGAGGATGGGCTCCAGCTTAGAGCAGACCCATTCCATCTTCGTCATAAGAAAGGAGGAGAAAATCATCCATTTCCAGCCCCCAAAGCCCCGGGGCTCAGACGGTGCATTTCTTGCCCAAGGCCCACCCGGACTTAGTAGGAGGGCAGCGCCGCGATCGTATGTCCCGGGGCTTTGGTTCTCGAACCAGGGCGGAGAAATGAGGTTGAGGAAAAGCAGTGGATGCCAGTCATTCTGCGGGATTCCCAGGACCATCCAGTGGAGGAACAGGGGGGTTTAGCGCTTAAGCTGACAAGCAGATCCAGGTATAAGCAGAGAGAGGTAGGAGGATCTGGATAATCGGCATGGTGTAAAGAGAGACACGCGAACGGCTTCCTGTTTCTAACCGCTTGTGGTTGAGAAGAAAAGCGGGGGGCAAAAGAGACAACCTGAGAGGAAGACCAGAAGAGACAGAGTGGGAATTGGCACGAAAGAGTGAAAAAACGCTACAGAGTCCAGCAGGATTCGAGGATTACTACAAAGAGAGAAGGGCGGAAAATCAACGGTGACAAGGGGGGGGGGAAGAAAGCAAAAAAGAAAAAAAAAAAAAAAAGGGTCCCAATCTCGGGATTTTTTGTTCCCATCAGACTGGGAGACATTCATGACCGACCATTACGCGCTTCATCGTGATCGAGAAATGATGCATCATCGACTGCATCCATTGTCCCTTCTGTGGGCGCTGGTGGGTTAGACGCCTACTCGGCGCTGGAGAGAAACAACGAGCCCAGAAAGATGATTATTCGACGATATTCGCACCCAGCCACGTGTCACACCGGAGACTGTCTGCTAAGCGCCAGATGGACCGTCAAAGAACGAGTTTCTGGATGTCTTCCAAGTGTTGTGGAAGCCAAGAAGCCGCAGCGCTTAACGCACAATGGGGACGATACACTATTGAATTCTATCTCGCCGACAATCGATCATGTCAACCATTCGATCATCTCGATTGCGCATGTTTACTCGAATCGCCATGGTGATAACTATGCAGCTCCAGATCATCCAGAAATCATACTCAGTAAACATTGTGATCTTCTTGATTGGCGCGCGCAGGATCAAATCCGTTCAGATCATGTGACTACGAGACAGGGTCTCCATGCCGTGTCGAATCCTGATATAGTCGGTATTACTGACCGTGATGTTGTTATCCCATGGTTCACAGCACAACTACGCTCGTCTAATACTGTCTCAGTCTTTGGCCCGTCAAACTGGCCCCCTCCTGGTCCATCAACCGTCTGTCCTTGGTAGTCATGGTGCCGATACAGTGGCTATGCCCAGGCGCAGCAATGGCCCGCAATAGCTTCTGAAACAGCGGATGACTTCTTCATCGACATGATTACAGATAGTTCGTGACTCAAGTTCAACTTCGCCTTCATTATTCTCCACAAGTTTCATGTTATTCTGATCCTTCGCTACATTTGAAACAGGTACATGTCATGACAGCCTCGCAGGGCAGTTTTTGATTCCAAATATAGACATTTATTCATCGTTTCACATCTCATATCCATCACAGATTGCTAATCCAAAGCACGATCACCCGGAAGATCCGGGGACGTCAGAGAACACAAAAGAGACAAGGGGTAAAAAAATAGAAATGATGACAGATCCGCACCCAAGGTGTGGCAAGGCCCAGAAGTGATACACAACCTAAAACGCTCAGTGATGGTCACCAGGGAATCTGTGCACAGTGTCACTTGAGCTTTCGTCATCTTCATCTTCAAGGATTCCTTCTAGTCCTTCGTCATTCTCCTGACCAGCCTTTGGTGGGCGGCCCTGATTCTCCAAAGTGTCATCTGCAGAGATGGAAATCCCTCTAGCTCCCCAACGGTTATTTCTCGACTGGCCATCGGCTCCCCTCTCGTCTTCCGCGTCTTCATCATGGAGACGTTGTTCCTCGTCTACATTCCTTCGCGTCCTAAAGCTCAAAACTTTGTTCACCAGCCAGCTGTTACTGTAGTCCTCCGAGTCGACAACCCCACCGTTTCGGAGCTTTACACGCTGACGCGAGTAGTACACCCAAGCGAAATCGACGTAAAAGGCGGTCTGGATGATGCCGAAAATGACCGAAATTCCGTCGAAATAATGGTGCTCTGTAAAGAACCGAACAATCCAGTTCAAAATGTAGAAAGCTCGGTAGGACCCCAATGCAGCAAGATAGAAGGAATTGATCACAGTAGGCACGGTAGTCTGACGCAGAAGTAGAAGTTGCGGGAGAACAGAGACAGATTCCAGTATGATGGAGAAAGCCCATAATATCTAGATAGGCAACCAATAATCAGCAAGCAAATTCAAAGGGTAGTCTAGCCCAACTTACCTCAGTAAACCAATAACTAGGGTATCCTCCATCGAAAATCGGAACCACGATCGGAGCCAGCACAAGCGATCCACCAATTGACCAGATAGCTAGCCTCCATGCCTTTTCCCTTTCCCTCGTCCGAGAAAAGACCTTCATCATCAAAAAGATGGTAAGGAAGGACGAAAATATATAGAAAAGCTTGAAGAAAACAAGATATGCTTTCGTCCATCCACTTCCCCAAAGCAAGTCAAGATAACGAGTCACAAAAATCAGAGCATAGAGCATCTGCGTAAGTAGCGAGATACCTAGTGTAAAGACATCGGGTTAGTACACATGCGACCCTCTGCTAATGGGCTTAGGAGGCATACCCTCAGCACTTCGATTTCGGTACATGGCCCATATCAGTATACATTTGGAAAGGATATGGGCGGTATCCCCCAATATCCGAAAAGGATTCAAGTTGAGAGTCATAATGAATGTGATTATCTGGCAATTCGTATCATGTGCTCATATGAACACTGAGGTAAAGTCGACCTTTCACGCCCTTGTTGAGGCTAACACCATCGACGGAATCGAGCTACTCGACTAAATTGTCCTAATTCTCTTTCGTTTTCTATATAGTCAAATCGTGATGCGTGACTTCGTTGAGTGGTTGGCCTCGTGCGTATGGTTGAGCTAGGGTGGTCGGTGCTAACAAGGTGTGTGGCGTATTGACGACTTGTTGAGAGGGCGGAGAGGAGCTGTGTTTGCTGTATCCGAAGAATACAGTGATTCTTTCAAGGGTGTAGGAGGTAAATTGAAGGAAGACGGTTTGGATGGTTGTTGGAGATGTTATCAGGCGAGGGAGAAGTGCGGAGGTGTCTTCGTCTCCTACATGCTAGAGCTCAGCTCCAACTCCAAAGGGTCCACCCGAGCGGGAGAGCTTGGGCGTTGACGGCCGCGTGTCCATCACGTGAGAAACGGACAGTGACGTCAAAATCATTCTTTCTGTCCTCATCGTCTCCAACAGAGACAAGATAGAAACACGACTCTAGGACAGCGATCAGATCCTATGTCGGCTGCATGGAAATTTTTCTTTATATCAGAATCAGTAGTTCTGACCGAATATTGGCAAGCTGCTTTGCATGAACGCTTTTTTGGTCGTGCTTAGCTGAAACGAAACCGATCTCTTCGGCTCTTCAATATCTGGCTGTTGGATCTGCAGGGGTTCATAGCTCCGTTACATCTCAACAATCATCAGAACCGTTCATCTCGCAGTCAACAAAAAATCTGCTTTGCTTTGCTTTTTCCTGGAAAGACTTCTACTTCGAATATTATCATCAGGCAGATGCACCATGATCATTCGCAATTGCTAATTGTGTGTCATTGAAATCATAGCAGCGAATCCATTCAGGCATACATATTTCAGAGGATCCGGTTACTATTCAGAGTGGCAGATTGCGTGCTGACTGTTGAGCGGAGCCGGAGTAAGCTGGCTCAAACCGACGAGCCGAGCCTCCAAACCACTATAATAGCTACGTGGAATTATCCTCAAGATTGGAAAACGTCAGCTCACGCTCAAACAATCCAATTTCAGGCCGGACAAAAAGAACAAATCATAAGGCCAGGGCGGTTACACGGCAATTCCGACAGGCTCCTGTCAAAAAAGAACTCAATCACGACGTAAATACCGACATTTGCACTGAAGGGACAAAAAAACGAGGAAAATGGAATATTCTGGCAGCCTTATAGGTCCCGTTTTCCCTATCAATCACGGTTCTATCGATAGATGATCCGATCAAGGGACGGCGATCTTGCATTCGGCTGCAAATGTGACCACCCCGGCCGTGCAGATAATGTCTCGAATGTCTTACCTGAGTCTTCATGTTACCCCGCTCCTCGCATCACTTGATTGACAGACATACTAATGTATCCTCAAGCCTAGGTAGAAGTGTATCAAAAATCATAAATAGTTCCGTGTCCCTTGTCCCCATTACTTGTGGCGGTTTAGGCTATCCAGTCAAATATTTGCAAGTCTACATCATATACCTGCAGTGATGACAGTCAGATCTTCTTGTCGTTATTGGGTTCTCAAACTGTGGACTATCACGTTGGCACCAAATGTGTTGTGAGATTTCCCGGGATTGATGGATCCAGTAACAAGCGAAGTGGCCACTCGCCGGTGCTTCCAACCTGAAGACCTAATTTGACTGGCATCCTTTATCACCACATCAGCAAGCTGGCAGCAAGTTGGTCTTGGAAGAACGCACGAGAACTGTGACTGAAATCCGCCACCGGACACTAAACTGTCCGGCTGGTCTGAGACCCAAGGTATTATAATCGACTCAATTTTCTCTTGGTCATCACCCTGGGCCGGCATATTTACAGTAATAAAAAAGGATGAAGTCTCGACCATGGAGATACCACACTAGCCGATAATCACGGAATTTGGAGCGATGTACCTTTGCAGGAAAGGGCATTGCTCGACCAATATGAGATCCTTGTCTAGGGGGGTCAAAGAGCAAAAACAAAGCACGTAGGATTTCCGGTATTCATGTATTGTGCTGTGAACTATACATCCATGATGGTATGCAGCAAGTCACCGGGTACCGTTCGTATCATCTAGAACACGACGGGGGGCTTAAGAGACAAAAAAAGGATGGATCATGGATGGAGTGAGAATGAAGTGGTGGAAGGAAGACAAGTGGATTCGGAGAGGGCGGGATTCCCATTGGATTGACCTGCATTGATTGGTTTTGGCCTCGAGCTGTGCATTTCTCCCCTCATTTGCTACGGCTTTTCTTGGATTCTCGTGCATCGTCCATATTGCTGTCTCTTGTCCGTACCGGCTACAGCGACTGCTATCTTATTTAGTGTCCTCTTCCGGCTTGTTTCATGGCCTCTGGAGTGTGTAAGTATCCTCCATCTTCTAAGACTTGTTTCTCACGGCCAGTAGAAAGAAGGTCCCTATCAGGATATCTTATCGCTGCTCCATCACCCCACATATGCTCCAGCTTCCTGTATCCTTAGAGACGCCTCACTATTCACTGACTTTTTGGAAGTGATTTTTTTTTTATCTCCTCTCGGAGATATATGCATACATAGTCACTCTATTCTCTTTCTCGTTGTTCTTATTCTTTTTTCTCCTTCTGGGGCATTACTGCCACGCCGTGGGATGCGCCCGTGTCATCGTTGCTTCTAGTGTAACGAAAGCCCAGTGTCCTAGAGTTGCCGGCCAATCTACACAGGATCTCCAGTAGCAGATTTGCTAATCTTCTGGGCATGTGTATGTACAGATGAATCGTCGCAGCGTGATTGGGAATCTTGCCTCTCTTCCATCATGTCGTAAGTTTCTCGTCCTCCCACCCAAAGAGGAGGTTCTGGTCGTTGCTCAGCAGCAATAAAGACCCCATCTTATGCCGTCACGCCATGTACCTCCTGTCTCTTTTTCCTTCACTATTCATGTCAAAGTGATCGCTTGCTGGCTGACCATCTACCTCATCCGTCCCTTACTTAGGTCCCCTCCTTCAAAGCGAATCAGGACCTCAGTCTCTAGCAGCGCTCCATCTCACCTTCTAGCCCATCAACAACTTCATCCTTTCACGAGAGTGCCTCCCTTTGATGGAATTCCCATGCCCTCAGCCCAAATCTCTCCTACAAACCCACGAAAACGCCGCTCCTCGCCTCAGTCAGGCTCCACGACAGTCATGGCTGCACCACTCGCTACTACTGGGGATGCTGAGCATGACTCTACTGCTGTCGCAAGCGCGCCAGAGCCCGTTCCTAGAAAAAAGGGGCGAACTAATACTCCCTGGACTGCAGAGGAGGAGCAGAGACTGAAGGTGATGCGTGATGCTGGTCGCAGCTGGAGCGAGATAGCCAAGGTTCGTCAGCCGGATTAGTTTCTCTTGCTGATATGTGTCTAACCCGCTGGGCTGTCGCAGGCGTTTCCTACTCGAACTGAGGGCAGTGTTAAGAAGCATTGGTATAAGGTGGGAATCAGCATCGAGTCCTTACTTTGCGTGTTCCTTGACTTACAATGTGTTGCAGGATATGCACTATGCCGAGTTCGCGGAAGATGAGGTACCATACTTATCATACTCTTTCATCTTCCATCATGCTAAGACCATGCAGTCTGTTGCGCTGCGAGAGGCGATCAAGGAATACGAGGCCAACAAATGGAAGGTCATCGGGCAGAAAGTCGGAAAACCTGCTAAGGTGAGTATTCTTTGGGGATCCTTCCATCACATAAATTTGCTGAACACAGTCACAGGCATGCGAGCAATATGCAAAAGAGCATTTCAAGAGTCTTTGAAGACTCGAGATACCCTGACGGACATACACCCTGACGAAGCAATGACCCCATGGCATCTTCCATACGCCTTTGTTTTTTCACGTTGTTTTTGGCTTTTTCGATTGGCATTTCGTGCAATTTATCCAGTTTCATGGCAGCGCATTTCATTTTCAGATTGGGAGTTGGGTTTTTTCATTGGGTTCATTTCATTTTCATTCGCATATCTCCTGTGCACTTGACAGGCAATTCTCACCAATACGAAGAGCTCTGTATCTAAGTCTACCGACTAGTTTCAGTGGAGCTATTTGTAGGTCATCGCTGTCACATTCTAAATCTAGACTGCGAAAATATACAAGCGGCAATTCCACCTTACATCCAACCGCATTTCAATGCACATACTATTAACCGATGTATACGAACAGACCTATCCGAATAACACCAGCGATATGATTATATCAACAGTCTTCACACTTCTACAGGGGTGATTGCATGATATCTTCGAGCCCGTTGAGCGTTCCTGACAGCCGATCGGCGCGGCCAAAGCCAAATCCTAGACTCGCCGGCGGGTTTGACACCCCCGCTGCTTTTTTCCCTCTCCACCTTTCTTTTTCTTCAACCCATCGCCACCTGCTGCATTTCTATCAGGACTGCTTTCGAAGGATAATTAGCTGTTGGAAGGTCAACTTCCTGTTCACCAGTTGTGATTCAAGCAGATTTCCCAGTTCTTGATTCGGTTTTGTCCAGGTGAACCCCGCTCTGATAAAAGAAAAAAACTAAAGCCACTTCAACTGACGTGGATTTCTCTTTCTACCTGACTAGATTGTGGTTGCGATATCAATTCGATCCCAGTCGAATATACTCATACCTTCCAGTACCTCTCTCCCGTCTTCTCACCAAATTTCGCTGCAAAGGCGACCATCATGAAGACGAGTAGCGTGGTTTTGTCTATCGATCAAGGTATCTAACTAAATCAGCCTGCATGGAGACCGGTGTTCGACAACTGCCTGTCGCACAATCTCCTCCTATTCGTCCGTCGGCCAATGTAAGGGATGACCTGCGTGTGGAATGCGGACGAGGGGAAATTGTGCTGGCAGCGCAGTTGCCGTTCTGAGATGATACGGTTGAACTTGATCTGGATAATTCCAGCGAAAGGACTCATGCGCGCTTTTTCTCCTTTCCCCCAAGCTCTGTTGCGGAACTTACACTGATTGAATCTTAACAGTATGGCCGCGGAAAGTGAAATCGCCACCGTAGGCGTGCACCCGGGGAAAGAGGACTCGAAATTTGATTCTGCGGAGAATCCCCCCAGAACGCCCGATTATGATGAAGAAAACTCTACCAGGGGGAACAATGGCCATCCTGCCACAGGCCGTATTGGCTCATACGTCAGGAAGTTTGAGCAGCAGTTGCTTGAGTACAATCTCGAGGCGCGTGGTATCGAGCGAGTCGATGAGGCTGAACGGATGTCGAAACTGTCTTGGGTTTCGTACATTCAAGCGTTCTTGCTCTGGGTTTCCGTCAATCTTGCAGCCAATAATATCACACTTGGGATGTTGGGACCTGTGGTTTATGGATTAAGTTTTCTTGACTCTGCACTTTGCGCCGTTCTTGGAGCCGCAGTTGGTGCTCTAGCTTCCTCATGGATGGCTACCTGGGGACCTGTCTCTGGTATCCGGACTATGGTATGCGATTATTCCTGGACTCATGGCGACGTGGACTGACATAATAATAAAAGGCTTTTACTCGTTATTCCATGGGCTGGTGGCCAAGCAAGATCGTCGTGATTTTGAACTTGATTCAAATGATCGGATATTCTCTGATTGACTGTGTTGTCGGAGGGCAAATTCTGTCAGCGGTATCGCCCCACGGAAATATGTCAGTCGCTGTCGGTAAGTTGAGAATTTGAGAATTTGAGTGAGAAGAATATCGAATGGATGCTAATTGACTTGCAGGAATTGTCATCATTGCGATTATTAGTTGGGTCGTGGCTACATTCGGTATCCAGATCTTCCATTACTACGAACGGTGAGTACAGCCATCGAGGGTTGACTTAGACAGCTGCTCATAATACCCAGATTTGCATTCTTTCCCCAACTCATTGTGGTTTGTATACTGTATGGCGTGTCTTCGGAGAAGTTTGACCTGTCGACACCATCTACGGGGGATGCACGCACACTGGCCGGTAACAGGTAAGCTCAATTCTTCTCAAACATACCTCGATTGCTAACGCGTTCCTTTTCAGGCTGTCGTTCTTCTCCATCTGTCTCAGTGCTGCAATCACCTATGCACCACTGGCAGCCGACTTTTTTGTCTACTATCCTGAACGTACCTCTAGGTTGACCATATTCTCCCTCTCATTATTTGGTCTCATGGCTTCATTCACCATGGCCTTCCTTGTGGGAATTGGACTTGCGTCTGGAATACCTATCCACCCAGAGTATGACGAAGCGTACGCCAAAGGTGCCGGAGCGCTCATCGTGGAAGGGTTTGGTCCGTTATATGGATTTGGCAAGTTCTGCTCAGTAATTGTTGCTCTTGGGCTCATCGCAAACACCATTGCACCTACATATTCCGCTGGAGTTGATTTCCAAATCCTTGGACGGTATGCAGAGATGATACCAAGAGCTATTTGGAATACCATCGCCGTCGTGATCTACACTGTCTGTGCACTGGCAGGCCGAAGCAACCTCTCAGACATCTTCACCAACTTCCTTTCTCTCATGGGCTATTGGGTCGCCATTTGGATGGCCATCATACTCGAAGAGCGCTTCATCTTCCGACGTCGCCTTGGATATAACTGGACTATCTGGAATAATCCATCAAAGCTTCCAATTGGAATAGCTGGCTTGATTGCTTTCCTAGTCGGTTGGGCTGGTGCGATCTTGTGTATGGCGCAGGTCTGGTATATTGGACCAATCGCATCATTGGTGGGTGACTATGGTGCCGATGTAAGTTTTCTCCCAAGATGGCCCCCAGTGGGGGGTTTTTTTTTGGATGGCAGCAACTGACACTATACTAGATGGGTAACTATGTGGGTTCCAGCTGGGCAGCCCTTGTCTACCCTCCTCTGCGATATGTTGAACTCCGTCGATTTGGACGGTAGATTGGGTATATCATTGGACATTCCATGTTCAATATCAAAAGCTTCAACCAGGGAATGTGGGTGACCACGTCAGAAACCTGTGCTAATCTGCTGTTTTTAAATTTGTAAATATCTACCCAAGGTGTTCTCCCAAACAACCTCGAATTAGATAGATCCATGTCTCTATAGCTACATTTTATGCAAATAATTAGAGTCGCTAAGACCTATACACAACTTGGTAATTTTTACTTGAAATAGTGCAAGACAATAGGATCTTCACACATTGCTCAAAGAACATATACATAAGAAGGTTGTATTTCGAATAAACACCACAACCGGAACTCTCATTCATCCTCGACTATTCTACAAAAGACAGGGTTTCGGCACAGAAAATACAGCTGCATGGAAAGCAGAACACAAGAAGACATCCAAAAAAGCCTGAGTCGGAAGAGCCCAACAAAGGAAGCTGTGTATAACAATTGTTTTTTCTTGTTTCCCCCTTTCCGTTCACTTTCGATGGGCACTAGCCGTCTCGTCACCCTTGCGTGTTCCCGGGCGAGGGGATAACCGCGCAATTATCGTAGCGATTTCGGGTTTACCGGTACCAGTACTCAGGCTTGACGTAGTCGGCGAAGGTCTTGGGCTCCTCGTGGGGAGGGTGGCCGTGGTGGTCGTGGCCGTGGTCGTCTATTCATATTGTGTTAGTAATGCATTGGAATTCAGCCAAGCAGCTCAAGACTAGAATGGAAGATGAAAAGGCGGGTGTGACATACGGGCGTGGGGGTCCTCCTCAGGTCCAACGTAGTTCAGCTTGACGACGTTACCACACTCGCCGCAGCGCTCAAGAGGGCGTTCACGGGAAACCTTTAAAAAAGAGCCATATTAGCATTTTCCGTAGGAAAGCAGACCATGCCATTGCATGTGATGTTGAGCTTACAGTCAACCAGTTGACCTGGTGAGAGTCTGCGGGGTAACCAGTGCAACCAGCGTACTGCTCGTCACCGGCACCGTTGACAATGATGGGGTTGTCAAGCGTTCCTATAAAAAGTCCATCTCTATCAGCATTTATCCAATATGCGGAATCATCCCGAGCAGATAGCAGATGAATCGATGCATTAAGCATGGAGGATGAAGCGTACCCTTTCTGGAGGCATCAAGGGGTCTCATGTCGAAGATGTCAATGCCCTGCATCTTTCCGATAAGTTCCAGACGCTCGAGACCGGTGGCGTGGTCGATGTCGCTGGGAATGGTACCGGCCTTAGCACCAGGGGGGATAAGGTCGTCCTCGGTCTTGATCTCTGCAGAAGGTAAAACACTAGGTTAGCTCTGTTGTTCCCAAAAATCTCGATTGATATCGACAGCCAATGATATCAACCGAGATTGAAGCCAGTACAGGGTCAACCCCCGACGATCTCCACATTCAATTGTTCAAGATAAAGATATGAAGATCATCCGAATCTTCAGAATGGCTATGTGAAAACTGCAAATTGGCTGTCGCAAAACGGCGGAATTGATTACCAACCTTCGTAGGGAAGGATCTTGCCCTCCTTCTTGACCTCCCATTTCGAGCTGTTGCCTGGAAAGCGAAAGACTCCATGTTAGCCAATACACCAAGCCAATTGGGTCTGATGATGAAGCCTGTCCATCCTCCACAGGTTCAATTGACTCAGGAAGAGGATGGTCACAGCGGTCTCAGGTAGAGGCGGTCGTGGTTGGGAGACTGATTGGGCTCACGTACTGCGGATGACGGAGGAGGAAAACGGGCGGGCGGCGATGGCCCTGGAAGGGGTGCGCCTGGCAAGGGCGAGGGTTGTGCGTTGGAGGAACATTGTCCAGGTGGAGTGGTGTAGCGACGACGGACGATGGGGGAGGAGGACGTCTGAACGAGAGGGAGTTTGGAGGTTGAGGTTTGAAGCCGCTTCGGCCCGTTGTCGAATGGAGCGCTGGACCGCCAGCCTTTCCCGAGTCGTGCGTTGGACCTTAGTCAGCAGCGTTGATTGGACGCGGAGCTTTTACGGTCGAGCACAGCGGCCAGTATGGCAGTATTTCCTGTTCCGGCGGCGATGTAGGGCTTAGGGCCGGTTAAACATACATAGAGCAACGAGGTTATTTCAAGCATAGAGGTAGAGTGAGGTTAGGATATATGCGCTGTATAGCAGGATTGTAGATGTTCATCGTGATGTTTATTCATTTTCATCTGCAATCATACCTATATATACCAACTTCCATAGATACAGTCCTTCACAAACATAAGAAATACAAAAAGAGAGAAAGGAAAAACAAAGTACAAAGAAAAGAAATCTTGGTAAATTCCACCATGCATACCCGTCTATAATTTTATCAATCAACATGCACGCGTCAGAGTTCTGTGGCCTTTTCTCGACACGCTGCTGGCGTAAAGCCATTGCCAACTTTGCCCGCAATGATGCGCCAGCGATCATTCTCGTACTCTTGAATTGCACGTTGCAGTCGATGCGCCTTGGGAAACAGTCAGTACCAAAGTCCTTGAGCCAGAAAGGAAAACGCGTCATATTCCCAAGGAAACAGGGATCTTACCATTTCATCCGTCCAAATCACGTCTTTGGCTTTCAGCTTGGTACAGTAACGGACTTGCAACGTGCCACTCGTTCGACCGGGGAAAAAGTCAGCAATTTGCTTCCACGTCAGATTCTTATTCTCCTTCAGCTCAACCAGCAATGCATCCTCCTCTGGCGTAAACTTGAGCTTTGGTCCTCGCGGCCTTGGAGCTGGATCGGGCATCCCAGGCTGACCCACGACACTGGGTGGGCCAGAGGCCAAAGGTGGCGATGCATCACTCATACCATGGTACTGGGCTGACGGTAACGACGCGTTGGGAGGAAGGCGATGGTGGTGGTGTTGTTGTGGTAGTGCAGAAGATCCCTGCGGACTGAAGCCATGGCCCGATGTCGTCTGATGATGCTGCGAGGGGTCGCCCTGGACAGAGAAGAGCAGTTCGGGAGAGTGCGTGGCTGTAGTCGACGCTTCGGTTGAAAAGAGCGGTAGATGTGGCCTGATGCCGTGACTTCCATCGTCGTCGTCTTCTTCTTCTCCGATTTCCGCGTGAGATCGTTTCTTGCCGCGTTGGGTAGAGGAGGCCTCAAGACTGGCATGGTGATACTGGGGTGGGAGCTGTCGTGATAACATTTGATGTGGTCCAAGCATGACTGTTTGGGAGAGGTCATGCACTGTCGGTTGTGATACAATACTAGGAAGGACGCCTGCGCTGGCATGTTGATGCTGTTCAAACACCGGGCGATGTGAGCTTGTTGGTGGGAATGGAACCTCACTCTGCTTGTCATGATGAATCTGTGCCTGCCGTGACTGAAAGGCAAGTAGTTCCTCGTGTTCTTCGGCTTTGCAATTGCCATGCTGAGAGTAATCAATTGCATAGGCTCGGTACGGATCCGCCAGCGTCGCGGACATACATCGGCGCCGCTAGAGCCTGATAGCCCTGGCACGCTGTCCCAGCTATACTTTGAAAGAAAAAAAATTATTGAATAAAGTTAGGCGAAACCACCGTGGGGGAAAATAAGTGAAGACCGAGTTTGTTTGGTCGAGGGATGAAATGTGGTGAGTCTGTCCTGCAGATTATTGTCTGATACTTTGCGATCAACTGATCCGATAGAAAATCGAGCGGCGCGGAACCGTCTGCACCATGCACGAAAATAGGCCGTAAAAAAGACAGGCCGGTCCTTTTTTGTTGCTTTTTCTTTCACTAGAAAAGGTTGTTCACCAAGTATGTTTCAAGGCTGAAGCAACAGAGGCTTTCGAGATGGATTAGAGGCAGATCTAGCAGGTAGAAACGATCGGACATGTTAAGGGAAGGTGATGGGAAGGAGAGATCCATCTAAAAGCGGCGGTACTGGAGGCAAGACAACGCAAAGACCATCCAGAATACTTAAGCAACGAGGATTATTTCGCTCACCGAGAGCCTGTGACGCCCCCTTGAGCCCAAAGAAAACCCAAAAATGATTCTTCTTCACCAGCCAGATGGGAAATAGAGAAGGGGTTAAGGATGTTATATGCGGGATATCCTTTTTCACTTCTGTTTCTTATGGAAGCAAACTTAACATATGAGGCAGCCCCCAAAACGGCCGTGATTCGTATTCCCCTTTACCAAGACGCTGTAAAAAAAAAGGGAAAGGGAAGGCGAAAAAAGTGGGACAATGGCTTGAGGAGTACTCCTACTCATGTAAAAAATGGTAATATACCGTATGTATAAGGGCACGTACGTAGCTAAATGCCGGTCGACCATAATGGGTTGCCAGAGGGGAAGGCTTCTGGAAAAAGGCGCACTCGGAATGGTCGAAACAATGGGCGAAAATACTCCGTCAGGAAAGACACGCCCATAATTAGAAAGGTGCACGCCAGCAGAAATTTCCCATTTGATGGATCTGCGTTCCAGTCGAGCTTAGTCTTGCAAGGGTGCCCAGATGGCACAACGGCTGATAGTCACCAACAAGGCAAGTCGGGAGACCGGGCATCATTCGCTTCTCCGCTGAGCCTGGCGATGCCAAGAGGGCCAAAGAAATGGGAAACGGGCAGCAAGATTTGGAGCATGAAACACTCAGCCACAGGCAAAAGAGTCTCATTGATAATCATGGTTGGTCCTTTGGAGAAGCGGGGGAGAAACCAAGCCTAGCCCATACAGAAACGTCGCAAAATGCAAGTTAAACTTATTGGAGCCGGACGCGGGCGAGCAGGCGAGTGAATTCGGAACAAAGGGAAACCAAATTGCCTTACTCTCGAGGATAGGAGTTCCATCCCCCTGGCTAGGGCGAAGAACCAAGGCGCGCACTTCGTCATATCATCTCCACCGGGTGATGCCTAATGGCGAGCAGAGTCGGCCAGAAATATGATTCCATGGAGGTGGAAGGAGGGTGATTAGGATTGCTAGCGGAGTAATGCGGATGATGCTAGACTGCTAGGTAGTTGTTTGGTCACTCTGGTGGGCCAACATCACATCTGTCGGGAAGCTCCAGCCCATCATCCTTTTTGTTCGAGTATAGGAGAGGAATCCTTGTCTATAACATCGAGCGGAGGGTCAGGGGTGCGGGAATTGAGTATCAGGACGTAGAGGGGCTTCGACGGTGTCGCGCACATCCAATTGTCGCTCATGTCAATCCTCCTTATTATTATAATTTTTCCTTCGCCAGGAATTTCTCCGAGAGCAACAATCCAAAGGGAACCGTGCCCGGCTCTGTTTTGGTTTTTTGCGACTACTACAGTATGTAGTTTCCGGCCATCGAAAAGGCCGCGGATTTGTTCTCGTGTTTCTAGACCTTTGTTAGGCGCGACGACGGTCGGAGGAGCAAGCTTAGTGCCCGAGTTGTTGTGGGGATGGGAGATAGAACTGAATCTCTCAGACATAATTTCCAACTGACCTATCGACGATTATCATCATCAGCAGCAGCATCCATTTAGTGCAATCATCATCAAGGCAGTGGGTATATAAGATTCATATCATCCATCGCTCTGTGGATACGGCTAGGAGCCGATTAGCCGATCCGTATTTATTTTGTGATCATTTCGTAGGATCTCGCGATGGCAAGTGGGTTTGCGCTCCAGCCCTGAAGTTTGTGAGGCACTGGTGAAACAGATTATCACGATCCATGAGCCTCACGGGCTCTGGTTGGCTGAGAGCCTGCGAGGGAACTTATCTAGGATTGGAAATTCAAAGACGCGAATGAGACTGTAAGATGTGTCGGGGACGTCCGACAAGGGGAGAGTAGTTAGTGTGGTGTTGGTGTGTATGTGTGGGAGGGAAAAAAAGAGGGCGTTGCAGGTGAAGCTGGACGACAAGAAATCAACCCACTCCCACCAGTTCTTGTGCTGGTGCAACACCACCAGCTACGGTGCTCCGAATTAATTGAGGGCGAGATCTACGAAGCAAACAATCACTTTGCCATCGCCACGGAGATTTATTTGACATGCGTTATAGATCGCGATCCATCGCTTTGCTCAAGATTGACTCAGTTTGAGACCGTCGTGCATCCGATATATCGTCAAATTCGAGGCTAATACATCAAACAAAAACAGATACTGATACTGTACAAAAGCCCAGTTCCACTTCAAGAATATAAATAACTTTGCTTTCCATAATCGTTCCTTGCTTTTTGTTTTCGCTGGAGTGAGACGAAATCCTCCTAGACATAAATTAAAACCCCCTGTAATGAAACAATATTAGAAATGAAAAAGGAAAAAAGGCCATGAAAAAAAAACTCAAAATACAGCGCCATAAAGGTATGGTGTAGTCATAATCGCAAAAGGTAAAGAAAAAATAGAAAGGAAAAAAACTCTTTCAACGCCCTTAACTATTCGTCGTCTATGCAAAGTTATCCGATCGGTCGACCCAAATATCCTCCAATTCGGCAAAGTTCTGGAAGTGCAAAGGACGATGCTGGTCATCGTAGAATCTCAAAGGTGTATCGATCTTGACGTAGACCGGTCGCTTATCGACACCGCCAAATGAGCTTCCCATAAAGCTATAGTTCCAAACATTATCTTCGGGGACCAAGAAGTATCCGCGGATCTTGTCACTGAGTAGCAGTTGACACTTCTCACCCATGCTAGTGGAAAATCCTTGCGGCTGATCAGAGGCAGTGTCTCTGTTCTCAGCTCCCCACTTGTATCCCTGAGGTGTGAGACCCCAAGCAGCGAGGGAGACAGATCCCGGAGTAAAGGAAACAGTCATGGTAACCGTCTTCTTGTCCCATGTGGGGTGCGCGTTCATCAAGCGGGCGTGCTGCGTTACATCCATAGGAGTCATGTACGGGGGCTCGTTTCCGGAGATGGTGTGGATCACTCCAAGAGGCTCCAGGGAGTTTAGGTACTCATGCTGAGGCAACTGGTGTGGCAACTGCACATCACGAGTGTTTCCAACTTGAGGAATCATGACGATAGTGCGGACCTCCTTCACCTGCTCATTGTCAGGGGGTGAGCTACCGTAGAGGTACCCAGCCACCTGCACACGGAGATCGGCGATTGTGATGAATCGTCGGAGAACGTTCTTGGGCATGATGTAAGTGTAACCCTCTTCCTGGATATCGTCCGAGGAGACGTAGATGTTGTTCGCTCTCGTGCGGAGGTTGGATGTCGCGATGGCCCGAGTCCGCCATTCGGTCTTGGATGCAAACGACTGCTGTTCATACTGAGACGTGGTTGTGACAATGATGTCCTCACCACGGACATTCTGTGTCTTTGTGGTAACAGCTGTGAGTTGCTTCTGCTCCTCCTGTTGTTTCTCAATCTCGGCCGCCTGCTGTCGCTGCAACGAAGGTGCACTGATCTCCATACCCAGAATGATGTCACGAACTTCACTGCTGGTCAAACTCTGGACGTTGACATTGTTCTTCTTGCCATAGTCGTTCAGAATCAGATCACGCAGTTGCACTTCAACCTTGATCCAGTCCTCATCAGACAGAGAGGGCCAGATATGATGCTCTTGGGTAATCACACTCTTGTCGGGTCGGAGAATGATCTTGGCCTTGTCAATGTTAACATGAAGAGCTCGAAGGATAAGGATCAATCGAGAGAAGGCTGTGTAAGGCGATATCGACTTCAGCCATTCATCGTAGAGGTTGAAAAGAACCATCTGGGGCTCAGTTGCCCGCAGAATCATATCCGCAAGCTTCTCGACCTTCATAGCAGCCTGGAAAGGAAGTTGAAGCTCGGACGCGCGAATAGAAATGTTGGGGAAATCGAGGAGATGGACTTCGAGGGGATCAAGGAGACCCTTTCGAGTGACAATAAGCTGCTTCGGTTGTTCTTCAACTGGCAGGGAACGGATAAGTGCCGCGACTTCCTCCGCAGTCTTCCACTTGGCCAACTGACCCAGACGCTTCTGTCCGGCCCAGACGCTTGTGTGGATGATCTTCAAGAAAAGTTGTCCAGTACGAGGGTTGAAGATGAAGATGGCACCGTTGATGGGCTTGGTGGTCAAGTTTCCTTCAAATGTCTTGTGAATGGTGACACGGTAGACATTGGTATCGTCAATGAACAGCTGGATTTGCGGGCTGAAAAGCTCGGAATAGTTCTGCGAGTTGAGGAACTCCTGGTTGCTCTCGGAGGCGTAGAGCTGCAGACCCTTCCTGATACGCTCTCTCAGCACATACAAGGCAGGGTTTGCCTTCATAACCTTGGCCATGGCTTGCTGGATCAAGGTCTTCAGACCAGGGAAGTATTGACCATATGCAGAGTACAGGTTGTACGCAAGGTCAACTCCGATCATGAGACCAGTGGCAGAAGGATAGATACTCATGCTGTCTGTCGTGTAATCAAGGTACTTGGCACGGACGTAACGTTCAATGTCGTGAGAGTCGTAATCACCGTATCTAAGTTGCACATCAAGCCAGAACTTGTTTGTCGTAGTAGGCTCGTAAACGTCCTTGGTATCGAACAGAACGGAAGGTCTGGTCACATTCCACTTGTTGGTTGCGAAAAGGAGAATGTCCGCGCAGGAACTGTTCATCTTGTAGGATTTACGCGGGTGAATGGTTTCCTTCTGGACAGCCTCAATACCCAACTGCTCCAACTCCTGATCGAAGACTTGACACAGGTCCATGACCACAGACTCGTGAATCTTCTGCCACAAGTGGGCACGGAAGATCTGAATCAAGGAAATCTTGAGGGTAGGGATCTTTCCGTGCAAGAAGATACCGGTAAGATCAAGCTGCACCTGGAAACCAACATAAACATTGGCTCGGTTAATGGTAGGAGACCACCAGAGAGTGAACCGACGGTTGGGAATCTGGTTCAAACCGGATCTCTGCGCATTAGTAAGCTTTTTGAACTTCATCGACCTAAAACAGACCCCCAAGTTAGCAAATCGATCTACAAAAACGACCAACAAACGAAATAAAGGGAAAAGGGCGGTTCTAACTCTTCAAAACCTGATGCTCTCTCCCAAAAGAGACCCTCCCAGGATGGAAAAGCTGTTGCTTTGAACAAGGTGTGTTCGAGAATCGTTTCCACTCCGCCAAGCGCTTGGATGACATCGGTACGGTAAGCGTTCAAATTCCACAATTTTCCGTCATGTCTCTGGCTAGTCCACCAGAAAGGATTGCTCTTCATCAGCTGGTACTGCTTGAATTCAGCCCTAAGTCGGAAACCCTTGTCGAAACTGAGCGTGCTTCGATCCTTTTGGAACAAGGTGTTGATACGCGGGAGACCGCGGTCCCAGCTATCCTCGAGATCCTCCAATGTCAAACGTCGGTTCTGCTGCTGAGCTTCCATTCGCTTCTGCGAATACTCCATCCACACACGTTGAGAATCGATGAACTCAGCTTCCCATGGAATGATATAGCGGAAGATGTTCGGAATTAGAGTTTCCTCGTCATGTGACATACCCGCCCGGAAGTGAGTAATTCCGGTATCCGTCTGCTTCGACCACCGCTTGTCGCTGGCAGGAATGAGAATGTGCGATCCAGAGATCATACCCAAACCTCCCAGTTCCTTTGGCGTGTAGAACACCGCAGGTGGGAAACGCGAAGGCATCTTGGAGTTCAGTCCAATCTTAACACGTGTCTGAATCTTGGTCTCGCACTTCACGATGGTGTCAAGAAGGTTAACAGTCGAAACAGCGGCCTCACGGTAGTAGGTGAAGAGCGCAATCAAGGCTGTGTTCCACTTGTTGGCAATCTTGGTAAAGGTCGTGGATCCAGAAGACATAAGAATCTGGCGGATTCGGTTGTTGAACTTCTGAATGTCTTCTTCCGTAACTTGGAGGAAAGCGTGGGCAGTACGTTCCTTGGTCGTTCCATCCACGAGAGACCAGACACTGTCCTTGACCGAGAACTCTTCATTCTGGTTGCGAATCTTGGGAAGAATGCGAACCTCAAAGCCAGACATGGAGAACAAGAGGTTAGGGTTATCCTTGCTGTACACGCTGGAGAAAGTGTCATCCCAATCAATCGTGGTGATGGATCTCGGCAGACGGTTCTTCAAATCCCAGAATGCAGCCCGACCAAGGTTGACATCGTGTCGCATCAAGCGCATACGGCAATCGCGAGGCCAGCACTTCTTGTTCTTGTAGCCAATGACGTTTTCAAAGTTAGGGTCCGGGTTCTCAGTTAGGAATCGCTGGATCAGGTCTCGAGATTCATCTGCAGAGAATCGAAGGAAGACCCAGATCTTGTCGACGTAACGAGTGTACAGACGGATCGGGTGTCTGGTTTCTGTGGCACGGTCCCGGAACTGCAGGAAGTCATTGGGGCTCTGGGGCGGACCAGCCATATCACTGGCTCTCTGCAAACCAAGAAGAAGCAAGTCAATCATCAGACCGTAGAACTGGAAGACGAAACCGGAGAACTGAAGACCCCGGATCATTCCGTAACTGTTGGTATGGTTCATGTCCTTGTAGCTGAGCTGGACGTTGTTCTTGGAGGTGATGTAGTCAGCCAAGTTGTGGTCCATAATCAGGCGCAGCATTCGGTTCAACAAGGTCAGATCTATCTTCTCGTAGACCTTGGAGAGTTCAGTCTCGATCATAACGTTGGTTTCGCCATCGGCAGTCTCCCAGACGTTGGACAAGTTGTTGATACCCTGAGCCCACTTGTAGGTAAGGAGAGGAGGAACTTCGGAATCCGAAGGCTTGATCCAGGCAGGGAAAAGGTGGCGCTGTTCAGCCTGGTACCAGAGGTATTGGTCGAGGTAGGCATCGGTAATCTTTTCAATGGGCTCAACATCATAAACGGGGTTAATGTTGCTGTAGTTGTCGTTCATGTCGATGCCGACTTCCTTGAAAGCTCTCTGGGTGAGAAGGAATCGCTTAATTCTCGCCAGTGTAGTTCCAGGAGAATCGTAAGCCTGCTCAATCAGGGCGAGTTCCTCACGCTGACTCTGGTTGAGTCTACCCTTGACAGAGTATGCCTCACGCAAACGCTCCAGGGCGAGAATCAGAATCTTTGTGTCGTGCTTGTAAGATACACTGGGGAAAGGAATAGGAGAGAACTTGCGGGACTCAAGCCAGTGGACCATGGTGGTATAAATCGCCACGGCCTCTTCGGAAGAGACATATGGACCATCCTTGAGATAGTTGTGCTGTCTTTCTTGTTCGGACTTGAGCCATAATCGAGTAAGTCGACCCAGGTTCTTCTTTGCAACCGTCTTGTCTACAGTGGCACCTCGGCGAATTCTCTCTCGGTTGTAGTGTGCGACAGAAATCCACCAGTCGGCCTTGCTCTTGACGTATCGAAGGATGATGTTTTCGATAGGGGCGGGAAGACCAGGCACCTTCCAGGGAATGTTACTCTTCCAGCATCTCCACGCTTCCGAAAGATGTTGGAGGACGGTGTTGACCTTGTTCTGCTTGATACCCTCGGGCATCATGTCCATCAAATCTGCCATGACGGAGGCACGCAGCTCAAGATCGAAGTGAGACTCCACACGCTGTTTGGTGACAGTCTTGGCAACACCCTTGCTGTGACGTCCCTCAAACTGACGAGATAGCAGGTTTCCGAGCCATCTCTCAAGCAGAGGAATGATACCGCGCATGAAGAACAACCAGACACGCCAGGCGGGTGCCCAGAAACCGCAACCGGGACCTTTGCCGACTGGTCCAGAGTTGAATCGGTAGTAGATCAGGTGCTTCAAATCCTTGCAGGAACGGATCTGGTGCATCAGCTTGTACTTGTAACGGTACATACCGGTCAGCTGTCCGACGTGGTTGAAAGCATAGAGGATACCGTCAGCCAGTTGGAAAGCATCAATGTTGCCCAAACGGTACTGAACTTGAGCGTCAACAATGAGCTTGGTGAGACGCAGAATTTCTCGCATCAGGTGGAACGCGTTTCCGAAACGAGACTTCTTTCGCTCCTTGGTGGTCAAGGTCTTGACTGGCTTCAAGTTGAAGTTGTAATCAAGATGCAGGTAGGTCAAGTTCTTTCGGTGGATCAAGAGGTTAAGCATGTTGAAACCTTGTCGGCAGACTTGCAAACCAGCTTCAACCCAGTCAATGGTTGTCTGCTGGAAGAACTTTGTCGACTTCAAGGTCTTGAGCAGATTCTGTTTGCTCTGAGCCTTGGGCTTCTTCTTATGCAGCTCATTAAGCACATAAGTCTTGAGAAGCTTCTGGTATGACACGCGGACCTTGACGGGCTGTCCCTGTGGGCAATGCTCCAGATACCACTGCTTCACCAACGGCACATCCTGTGCACGGACCATCTTTCCAGAACGCTTGTTGAATGGATGAGGTGCCCACCAAAGAGCGATGGCCGATGCGGTCTCAGGGGTGTAGAGCTCCTCATCACCGAAGAAGGGCTCAACCTCTCCTGGCAGCTCGAATTCATCATCCTCATTATTGCCCTCCCCAAAGATCTCATCTTCATGGCTAACGGTGATATTCTTGGGGGCGACGGAGCGGGACGAGATCGGATTAATAACAGGGTCAAAGTAAAAGGCTGGGAGGTTGGGGTCGTCGGTTCGAACATATACAACTTGGGGGTGGGAGTACCAAGAAATCTTCACACTTCTTGGCAGGGTATTGTACAAGAAAGGGTATTCGACTCTGTATTCGGTCCGAATGGGAGCGCGGAAGATGATGCGGTCAATCGCGTTGAATTCACTAAAGTCCTCGTCGTTGGGGTCAATATCTTTGTACAAAGGCTCGAAACGAGGGCCACCGGGGATAGCGACGTTGAGCGCCTTTGCGGTGAAGAAACTATTAAGATCGAACATGTGGAAGTAGTTTTGGTCGACGACATCACTGAGCAGTTGGTGACTTAATCGATAGAGAGTCGCCATCTGAGGGAGTGTAAGGTTCCACTTTTTATAGCTAGGACCGTTGACATGGGGGGTATCGAGGAGAGGTCGGTGGTCGTACAGCCACTCGTAGACGGGAGCATCTTCAGACTCGTCAAGCTCCATCTGGATCGGTTCTAGCGGCTCAACATCTTCAATGTTCTCCGACCACGACAGCGGAGGTTCTTCGTCATCGAATGGAGGGAAGCGCATTCGCTTGAAATGTCTTCGGTCACTCTTTTCTCTCCGCATACACACCCACATTGTCGCCCACTGAGCATGGAAGACCGGCTCGATGACCCTGGGGGTCTCGTTAACCATTGTCAGGCAGCCATTAACGTGGTATAACACCTTGACTTCCTTGTCGGACTCCCAAGGCATGGGCATGTTCTCCAGCAGCTTCAACACGGCGTGAGGCATAAACTTGAGCGCGCCGAGATAGCTACGCTTCTCGTTGGTGAACTTTTTCTGCGATACATCGCCAATATCCCGTATGATTTTTCGCAGATGCTCGGGCGGCATATCTGCTTTTTGGGTTTCGACGAATCCACCCTTCCTTTTCTCGCCGAAGCGGTTGCGCTGTGTTCGCAGCCATTCGTTTTTCTTCTGGGCAAACTTTGCGACATTCGGATCAGCTGGCGGCTGGTATCCTGGGGGCGGAGGAGCCAGAGGCAATGAAGGAGGAGCGGCGCCCCATCCCGGAGGGGGAGGAGGAGGAGGCAAAGATGCCATTGTGATGGTGGTTGATGAAAGATCCCTCTCTCAATCTCGATTGACGTGTGTTGAAAGGTCGCGTCAAATCACGTCGAGAACGGGCATGGAATTGCTCAAACTCTGCGACCGGGCGGTCAGAGAAAACAGCAAGAATCAGAAAAATAGTATTAAATAGATGAAAATAAAAGCCCGGAAGAAGAAAAACCGACACCTGGACGATCTCCTTCTCACGACGGGTGATGGAAGGCGTCTCTTCTGGCTCCTTTGCTTGATGGCAAAGCTAAGGTAAGAAAAGAGGTGGCGGCTCTGCTCGGAATCGCGCTAGGACGCTTACGGGATAGCGCGGTCTCGCCAAATTGGCGCTAGCGCGGCCTCCCAGGGCTCCGAGCGAAACCCACACAAATCCAGAGGACTTTGAGAATTCTACGAGGTCAACGACGACAACCGACGACGCCCGCCGCCCAACTTCTTGACCAGCGTTCCAGAGGTTCAAGACAATCAAAATGGCCGCCAACAGATTGCAATACGTGAGTTGAGCATGTTCGACAGACGAAATAATGAAATACTGACATTTTTCTCTCTTTCCAGCGGAGACGGAACCCGTACGTTTGAATTCCCTGCCAAATTTTCCTCGAGATTCAGCAGCGCTCTACCCCCGATGGATTCCGTGCGACGAAGGAATACGAGGAAAATCTGAATGACCAAGGACAAATATTGATGGATATTTTTCTCTACAGGTACAACACGCGGTCCAACCAGGTCCGCATCGTCAAGACCCCCGGCGGCGAGCTCCGTTACCTCCACATCAAGAAGAAGGGAACTGCTCCCAAGTGCGGTGACTGTGGCATCAAGCTCCCTGGTGTGAGTACTTCCGAATCTTTCTCTGGCAGAGGCTTTTGTGTTTTACCCGTCCTTTGATCTTTTCGGCGCCATCGGAACCAACGCACACAAAACGATACACGAAAAGAAAGGAAGACGGGAACGACGACAAATTGGCACAGACTGCACGACGATGGTTTTTCTGTTCGTGAATAGGCACTGATGAAAATTTCAGGTTCCCGCCCTCCGCCCCCGGGAATACTCCCAGATCTCTCGCCCCAAGAAGAACGTCAGCCGTGCCTACGGTGGTTCCCGCTGCGCCGGTTGCGTCAAGGACCGCATTGTCCGTGCTTTCTTGATCGAGGAGCAGAAGATCGTCAAGAAGGTTCTCAAGGAGTCTCAGGCTAAGGCTGGCAAGCGCTAAATTGGGTGATTTCTTTTTTATTCAAGTGGGAGCAAAAAAGGCTGGGAATGGTTCTCTTAGAATAAAAAGATGAACAGGAACGGCTAGCATGCGAACCCATACGGGTCGTGGCTAAACCAATGAAATTTTATTTTCATTAATGATTACGATTCTTGGACGGCGCAATTGATTTCATCTACAATATGGAAATCATGTAGATGAAAACCTGGACTATCAGTCCAACGACAGACTGATATTATCAAAACCAACGCCAAGCCCATATCAAATCAATCAACATCCACATTCCACCCATTCATTCATTCATTCATTCATCCAATGCAATCCCAGCCCAATTAAAGCCAACACATACCACCCCAGTCCGCAGTGCAGGGACTCCACAATTCGCCATCTCAAGCTCAGTTCATGAAATAACAGTAGACCTCATCAGATCCCCTACCCATCTACGTCAGCATATAAAGCCCGCAGATCTAGTATACAATGACTACACATACACACACTTGGACCCTGGCCGGTCCATCCCGGCCCTAAATATAGAATACTACGGTATACAGCATGGAAGGGCAGATACCATTCGGAGGGATGGGGATGGGGATGGATGGGAATGAATTGGCAATTGGGCCAGGAGTGCAGCTTGTAGCATGTTCATCCTGACTTGGTGGGTGGGAGGTATTTCTTTTCTTTTCTTCTTTTATGTTTTATTATATGATAGACAGATGATGTGATGTTGATATTAACTGGTGGTAGTGTATATCGTTTACTACTGACAAATCCCCAACGACCTAGTATATATCTTACCCACTATCAAATGCAAGTCTAGCATGCACACACGTCCATCATCTCCATATAAATCATGCCACTTGTCCATCACTCGAACTCAAACCACTCGAACCCTTCCTACATCCATGTCGACGATACATATACATGCCGCTACTGCATCTGCACATGGGACATAGCACGTCAGATTTCGGACAAAATATGATCACGGGGAACTATAGCACCGTTGCCCAGAAGATGTCAGTATGTTGTCATTGTCCGTATACCTAAAGTACGTATAGGTACAGGGGTAGTCGATCATCTGCTAGTCAGCCCAGAGTAGCAGTTCCAGCGACAGGGAATATGTAGGACTAAGAACGGGATATGGAATAGAAATTGGGTTGCAGCCTACATACAAGGGGAAAAGAGAGGAGAAGTGGTGAATAAAGCCTTCAGGACCATGCAAGAAATGGGAAATTGTTTCTGGAGGCAGGCAGGAGGAAAGACGCCTGGACAGATAGATAGACTGATAGAAAAGAGGAGTGGTTCGGATGGCTCAGCCGAGAACTGTAGATGTACATCCTATACAAAGTGCATACATGGATAGTACATGTACATACAGATATCAGCGGTGAACAGGACATAATACTACAAGTCGTACAGGGGAGGTAATCCGATAATCCCCCTCGTTCCCCTCCCCGAACCCCCTCTGATTGAATCCCGTTGAATTGAAGTGATCTTGCCCAGAAGAAGATAATCCATGGCAGCGTCATCATGCTGCATGCAGGTGACACTGGAATTTTGTAGTAAGGCTATACGAGAGGCAGCCCAACCCAACGCGAGGCAAGATGAACTGCTTGAGAACATGAATCATGATAATCATACGCATCATGGCATACTAAACTAAAACAGGCAGGTGGTTAAGAATGAAATTTATCTATTTTCTAATCTTTTTTTTTTCTTTTGCCTGCATTCTTCACCAGATCTGTTCTTCAACCTTTTTTTTTTCGGGCTTTGTACATATAATCGACACGTCAAAAGCTGATCATTTTGTGAAGATCCATCATAATCCACTTCAACATTCATACTATTTAGTCTATTCGAAAAAGGACTATCGGCAAGTGGGGGAGCAGAAGTTCACTGCAGCTTTGACACATGTAGCCTGGGAAGAAGGGGAGAAAAAAAAAAAAAAAAAAGGCACGATAAACCAATAAGGACATACAGATAGATATACAGAGCCAACCTGTGGTTATATTTGACATTGACATTTGCATCTACAGTCCAACGGCTCGGGCCGTGAATACAAAGTTAACAACCGGGAGGTACTTTTGAATAGAATCAATTCGAATAGTTTGTTTTTAGTCGGTTTGGTCGATTTAGCATGAGGATAGGTCTAAGAGGGCCCGAGGGAGATAAGCTTGAAGGATCATGAGTCATGATAGTTTTCTTTGTCTAACGTCCTTCAAGTCAATCATCAATAGTTTTCTGCAGGAGACGGAATCCGGCACTGTCAGGAAAAAAAAAAAAAAAAAAAAAAAAAAAAAACTGAATCATGAAGGCAAATCAATCGACAAAGAACGAGAGAAAGAAACGAAGAACAAAGAAACCGACGGGGTGGCTATATTCATCGTGCAGGCGCTAATCCGTCCCCCAGAGCGAATCATTCTGAGACATACAGACAAGCCGGTTGTCCATTTTTTTCTGTCTGACAAAATATTACCTTTCAAACTCATTTGATCCATTCATTTTGATTATCTCAGAATCAAGATATCCTGATATCTCGACTGCATGCGTCGATCTTTATCCTCCTCGGCAGTCATCCCGAAGCCTCACCCCGTCTGTCTGTTCCAATCCATCTGTCAATCTGACAGTTCCATCCATTATCACGAGGACATTATTAATGGCTGCTGGGCAAGGAATTAAAATGAGGAGAACCTAGGGCTGGAAAATACGTAACCCTCATTGGTTGACCGGGTGTTTTACCCATCGAATGAAATGACTGCCTAGAGTACATCTGCATACTGATACCCGACTAATGGTGCATACCACATTTGTATTTCCTCTTTTTCTTTCTCTTTCTCTTTTTTTTTTTTTTTTTTGGACTGTCTCGGCTGCCTTTCCGGCCTTTGGTTTTGGCTCCTCTGGCTAATGGCATTGATTAAAATGTGAAATGCATTGCAGGACCGCAGTGCTGGTAATAGATATGCTGAATGCTCCCAAGTCCGACCAGAAGATAGATAGATACACATTACATGGCAATCGACTGTTGGTTCATGTGAGATCGACCAATCAATAACACACTACTTATTTGACTTTCATCTCCGAATCCTTCCATCAATCGTCTTGTTCCATCTTCTCCGAGGATGAACATTATGACGAGGCAAGGGTTCGGATAGCAGAATAATCGCCGAATAAGAGGATGGATTCAGTAACCAATTCCACAACGCCACACCTTTTCCCTGAAACGGTAATAATAGTAGACAAAAATAATATCAAAATAATAAATCCATCGGCCGGGATACACACTACAAATGCAAGGATCTAATGAACGTTGTCATAATGACAAAAATATGGGACAGGATAGAGGGAGAAAAATGGAGAAAAAAAAAAAAAAAATGAAAATGAAAATGAAAAAAAGAAAAGAAATAGAAAAAGAAATAATACCTTAGTAAACAAAAAATGAAAATGAAAATGAAAAAAAGAAAAGAAATAGAAAAAGAAATAATACCTTAGTAAACAAAAAATGAAAACGAATAATATGCAAGTATTCATCCATCATGCAGGCAACCCATCAGTCCTCCCATACGGCCATCCTCCCAGCTGAGAATCTGTCGAGAATTCGGGACCTGTCAAAGAGCTATTTGGAAGCGGAGCGTTCCCTTCCCATCCACCACTGCTAGCAGTATCTGGACTAAGATACTCGGGCCCCAATCCTGGCCAACCATCACTAAAGACCGGAGTGCCCGCAGGGGGGTCGCTGCAACCACTGACATGCCCACAATTAAATGCTGGCCGCCTCATGGGAGTTGCAGGAGGGCCATAGTATGCCTGTGACATTGCCCGGGTTGTCGAGGGCGGGTGGAAATAAACGGCTTGTAATGGATGGTGTAATCCTGTTGGCTGACGGCATAGTTCGTAGTACTGGCTTCCTGCCGGCCCTGCTTCTGTCGCTGCCACCGTTGGAGGCCCTCGTGATTTGGCTCCTATTTTCGTCGCCTTCCCTCCCTTGGCTCCAGACCGCTGTCGTTGAGTCGCCGGTGGTTCCGATACCATGGCTTTTCTGTAATTCGCGTGTTTTCTATACCGAGTCGTCGACTGGATGCCGAGCCTGACTGCTTCGTCCGTGAGTCGCCAGTAGTTGGTGGTTTTTTTGCCTGCGGTGGATTCTTCCTTGACTGCTTCAAATCCCTAGCCGCACGATCAGCCTCTCCTCATACATGTACTTCTGTCCGGGTAAAAAAGAAGGTGGGGAAGAGGGATTTGGAACAAAAAAAAAAAGTAAAAATAAAAAATAAAAAACATACCGCGTTCATAGACAGATTGTGACGGATGCTGTTCTGCCAGCCCTTGGACGGGTCTTGCCCCTTTGCAGTATTCTCCTCAAACCAGCTGTAAATCTTCTGGAGGGGCAGTCTCCGATCAGGCGCATTGATCAGAGCCTTGTAGATAAGCGTAGAGTAGGGTTCTGTGACGCTATCCCCCTCTGTGCTCCCCGGACTGGTTCGTGGGTCGTCAAGAGTGGTTGTTTTAGCAGCTAGCGGGCTCTTTCCAAACGGCGAAGACCGATAGGAGGGATTCGAGTACGCTGGCGATGGTGGCGTCGGGTCCGAGGTAGTGAATATCGGGTTTGTTTGGGGTTCAGAGGATTGTTTGGGGGGTTGATAGTGAGACCCAACACCCTTGGAGTCATGGTAAACGTCGGGTTTGAAAGCACTCGATCTCTCAGAAGGCTCTGCTCGCGGTGTCCAATCCAGTGGCAACCTCCGTGATACAGACTCTGTCTTGATCGAGGTAGAGCCGGGTGTTAACAGAGGAGACATGCCAGGCACTGGATTGTAAAGGGGAGCAGGTTCCTCAGCGAGAGATGAGTCCTCGGGGGAGATGGATGGAGTGAGCACATAGCCCTGGGTGGCTCCATAAGAGTTGTATCTGGGGTAATGAGGCAGACTGGAACCCATCGCCGACCCATTATTCTCTAGGCCAGAGTGAAACCTCCAGATAGTATTGTTGGAGAGACCAGGATTGTGGTGTCGAGGGGGAGATTGAGGAACGCCATAGCTGACGGGAGAAGATGTTTCTGATCGTTTTAGGATATATGGATGCTGAATTCCCTGGTCGGTAGGAATCCGACTCGAAGGGAAGTTTGTGGGTAAGAATGAGATATCCATGTCGTCGTCCAGATAAGATGCTGATGTTTTCTCTCTTTCTGTGTCTCCCAGATTTCGAGCTGGCAACGAAGAAAGAACAGAAACAAAATAATACAGATCAAACCCAATAAATAATAATAAATAAGAATAAAAAAAAGATTAAAAAAAAATATGTTGAAAGGAATACAAAAAGCAGTCCCCGAGCTAGAAGAAAAAGAAAAGAAACCAAATCCCCCCTCACTCTCTCTGCCTGTCTCTCTGTCTGCTGTCTGTCTTCACTTTTTTCCCTTCTCCCCTCTTCCTCCCCCCCTGGGGCCAAAAAATAATAAATCAAATAATGAATTAAAAAATAAAAATAAAATAAAATAAAAAACGGCTCTGTAAGAGGGTAGACAAAGCTGTGACCATTCATCTGCAGCATCAAAGTACACCGTCGTTAGTCAGACCATCTACATACATCCTTAGATTGTTGGAGAATTCCCTCGCCAGGCGAACAATGAAGGCCAGCTCATTAGCAGATGCCAGGTTAGGCACAACTGGTCTGCAGATGAAGATGCTCAATCAGAGGCAAACAAGACCCTCCAAAACACCATAATCATAATAATAATTATTTTTATGTTGCCTCTTTTTTTGCCCCCCCTCCTCTGAATGACCTGCGGAGCTTCGTTCTACTGCGGGAATCGCCTGCCAGGCTGTGGAACGACGATCCATTGTACAGACAGACGACCAATGATCTCACGACGACCTCAGGAGGCTGGATCTGGTGCTACAGAAAGCCGGAAATGGATGATATTTGGTGACCTACAATGCTTGGCTGGGGCCGGGATTGTTTGAGCTGTCTGTTGCTGCTGGTGGATGGTCGGCCGGCTGCAGAAGTACCTAGTCTGTCTGTCTGCCCTTCAGGATGGCACTGGCCATACGCAACAAAGAAGGCGAGAAGAACGAGTGAAGAAGATGAGGCGGGGAATAAAAGCAAAGCCCGAATCAATAGGATTCATCCAAACCGTCTGTCGTATGCCGTTCCCCAGCAGACATCCCCGGGAGTGCTTCTGAAAAAAAAAAAAAAAAGGCCCCAAAGACTGCCCAAGCTAGTCCAGTTGCTTTGACTCACCCTGCAGATGGTCAGTCGGAGACTCAATCTTCTTTTTTTCTCACCCCTTCCTCATTGTCTCGGACCAACTGGAACTCATGAAACAATTAGCCGGCAGCAATCGTGTCACCAGGACATGCTTGCCTCAGCGTCATCAACGTCTTTTCTCAGGGTCGGTGAGAGGATTGCGGATGGTTACAAAAACCAGGACGAGGGCCAGGCCAGACGGCGACCACGTGATCAGGGTGAGGTGGAAATAAGCATTGCAACGATCGATCCGCACGTGGAGATTATGTTGGAGGCTGGATCAGGTAGTTGAGGTCTCATGGATGTACGGAGGAGTTGGGATTAAGCAAAATGTCACACTCGAGTGGATATGATACGTCCTAGTTGCTTATCCTTTTGGTGGTGCTGGTGATGCTGGTTGGCGGGGGTTCATGTTTCCAGCCCAATCAGAACCTGAATGGTCGAGGTGCATACGCATATGTCTAGGATGTCATCAGGAATAGAGTACATGTCATCCGGCAGAGTCTATATTGACGAGGAATATCATATAATATTAGATTACAGATATAATCCGAAATAGATGTGAATAGATATAGATAGCTTAGGTAGTGTATCAGGAATGTAGCTGGCTATAACATCATACTTTTTCTCACTGGCAGAATTACATTGCGACAATAAAGGACTGACATAGAAAATTGAATATTAAACAAAAAAAATTGAAGAAAGGAAATGAAATGTACAAAACCCAGCTGTGGTCAAGAGTCACACGAATAAAAGAACTAAACGCTTGTTGCGTCCTTTTGGGGCTCTAGTATACACCATGACAAAATAAAAAGAGACCAATAACTTAGGGGATGAGCCAGCTCAATGGAGATGCAACCGAAAGAAAAAAAAAAGATGACACACATACACAAAAACAAACATAACAAAGCTTCATGCTCATGCAAATGCTTCATCAAGTCAGGTAGACTCGTCTGATCGAATCAGCCAGTATTTTTCATGTTCCATGTTTTCGATCGCTTCGTTGACTACCGTAGACTGCAATCAAAGCTTCAATGCATCCAAGATCTTCTTTGCCATCTCCCGGTATTGCCACATGCCACCAGATACCTTTTTGAACTGGATACCGTGCAGCGAGAACAACGGAACCTTGACAAGGAGGATCTCGAATCGGAGGACTAGGTTTTCCCCAGTGTCGCTCTGGACTCGGGTAGTGGTCTCCCCCATAACCCGTTCTCCGACGGCCACATTCTGGTCTCTAGGCGCAACATACTCGTCCGATCCTTCAGAGTTGGTAACAAAGCTGCGGTCCGGCGGGCCCTGGCTCCGGCGCGAAGGTCGAGATGCGTGGCCTGACCGCGGTTCTTCTTTGCCGTCGTCATGGTTGAGCAGCCCTCCAAAACTAATGCGTCTGCGGTGGTTGTTGGAAACATGGCCCTGTCGATCAGGACTTGGGGGACCAACATCAACCACCTTGTCCAGTTCAATACTAGGAGCATGGCGGCAGCTGAAGCCTCCCTTGATCTCCACATAGTCCACACCAAGCTGCTTCAGAACACGGATAATATCGGCACGGATGACCGGCAGGGGCTTACTGCTGGTTGTCGAAACACTGAAAAGACCCTTGAGGTAGACCGGCTTCGAAAGATCTTCGCCTTCATTCGCACTCTCTAGCGCAGTTCCTGCACCAGAGATGTCCGCATCAGTCTCCTCTGGAACATTAGCTTCTCTTGTAGCGTCCCGTCGAGCTCTCCGAGCCTGTATGCTTTCCCGACGAGCATGGCCCAGAGACATTGTCCTAGCAGTATGTGTACGGCCAGATCTCGTCTCCTTTTCACCGGTGTGGTCCTTTGGTCCATTCAATCCAGAATAATCGGACCCACTGGTTTGAGGTGGTTGACTTCCACCAGCGGGATCTGTCGTCTCTCCTTCGCCTCCGCGCGCTGCTCTTCGCGGTCGATAGTCTGCTGAGTTGACACTTGTGGATCTCTCCAAAAACTTGTTGGATTGTGAGGCCTGCTCTTCTTGTCCTGGAGCCTTGAGAAGATCTTGGTGTCGTTGTTGGCTTCCGCCAGAGGGAATAGCTGTTAGGGAGGGGTTAGGCCGTCTGGCTCTCCGCATGCTAAATCCTCTATGTAGTGGAGAGGCCGAATCAGCAGGGGGTTGGACGTTCAACGAAGGTGCTTGCGGACTTCCAATCTTTTCACGATCGATGTCACGATATCGATCCTTGGGCTTGCGAGTGCTGAAACGCCTCAGGATGCCTGCAGCAGTGCTTTCCTTCTTCGCGGGAGTCTCCGGTTGGGAAGCAGCAGGTGCAGGATGGGCCTGTCCAGAGTTCGCGGTCATATTGAGATTCTTGATGCCTTCCGTAACGTCATCATCGCCGTGTGTCCTAGCCCGGGGGCGAGATCTTCTTCCAGTGTCCCTCTCTCCAGGGATCTGGTATTGATTCGTATGAGCGGCCTCCGGCGCTGGGAGATCAGGCATTTGCAGCATTGAGTCACCAGATGAATGGGGAACACCAAGAGCACCCGGTCTGGTCTCGGTTCTTTCTCTGTCAAGTTTCTCTTTGACAAGGTGGTAAACTGAAAGCAATGGACTGTATGCATTCAAAGGATCGGTTCCCAGCTGTACAGCTTCGGCGGAAGGAGCTGAGAGTGTATCTCTACTGGCCGAGTTTCGTCTTTTGTAAAAGTCAAATACGCCTCGCTTCTTTTCGATGTGACTGGGGGGAGGTTGTTCACGCAAATTTGTTTTAACGGCATGTTGATAATCCTCCGACTCCAGTACTTTGGTGAGCTGCGCCGTAATGTAGTCTGGGGGCCCAAAATCAAAGCCCGTCATTTTCTCAATGACATCCGAGTCTAATGGAAGTTGCAATGGTTCGCGGTTGGGGAGATAGTTATCCGGGACAGAGTTAAACCCTTTATTCATCCAAGGATGGTTCATGATCTCCGCCAAGCTTGCACGCTGCTTGGGGTCCGTCACTAACATGCGCGAGATGATGTGACGACATTCTGGAACACATTTAGCAACGGAAAATAATCAGAGCATGAAAAAACAAATACTAACCTGCAGTCAGCCCTTGAGGGTATTCGACAACACCCTTCTTAATCTTTGCATGAAGTTGTGGCATGCTTTGGTCATCAAAAGGCACCTTCCCGCAAACCAAAACATATAAAACAATACCAAAACTCCAAACATCCACTTCTGGCCCGGTATACTGTCTTGCCTGCAGCAGCTCCGGAGCAGCAAAGTAGAGAGAGCCACAAAATGTCTTTAGAAGGCTTCTTGGGGAGAACAGATTGCTGAGACCGAAATCAATGATTTTAATGTCACCAGTTTTGCTGATCAAAATGTTTTCGATTTTCAAATCGCGATGCACGATGCTGTTTCGATGACAGTAATCGAGCGCGCTGGCAATCTGGCGGGCGAACTTCCGGGCTTGCTTTTCTTTTAGTTTTCCATGGGAGATGATATAGTCCAGCATTTGTCCACCGTTGACATATTCAAACAGCATGTACCAATGATAGGTGGTCCGCACCACATCTCGCATTCCACAGATATACGGATGGTTCACGAGACTGACAATAGCGGCTTCCCGTGCGGTTCGGATTTCCTTTGAGCGATCTGCCCTTTCGGTTTCTCGGGAATTGCGATGTTCTTCGGTCGACTGTCTTGGTACAATCTTGACGGCCACCTGCAACCACCATTAGTCTCACGTCTATACTTGCTGTGGTACAATCGTACCAGGTTGGGAATCGGGTGATGGGGACAAACTTACCTGTTCTCCCGTTTCAACATTTTTCGCAAGTTTAACCTTTCCCATACTTCCTGCACCGATGGTTTTACCCAAGGCCCACTGGCCTGACGGTGTGGTAATGGTTGTGCGACGCTTGGGCTGCACAGGAGCAGCAGCCTGTGCATGCGACCCGGAAGCAGGTTGCGGGGCTCCGGTAGCCCCCTCCGACCCGGCTGCAGCCATGCCTATGCTGTCCCTCTGGTGACCTTGCACTGAAAGATTTCTTTGATGTTTCTTTGCCGGTTCGGAACGGTATGCGGCGGACGGGCGCTCCTGGGAACGCTCCTTGGAAGGGTTCCGACGGGAAGACACCGGGTTGGTACCCCTCGAGGCCTCAAAGTCCCGCCGAGCTATATTATCAAATACCGCTTGATTCGAGGGAGGTCGGCGATCGTAGGAGTGAGACTTGGAGTGAGAATGATACGACTGCGGCTGGTACTGCTGCTGTTGAGCAGACTGTGACGCAGTCGAGGGCCTGGCGGCCACGCTTCGGGTTCGGTGAGGAAGATCCGACGCAGGTCGGTAGGCGTGAGATCGGGAGGAAGTGGAATGGCTGCGGACGACCGTTGGCGACGCAGACGATGGGGCAGTGGTGGGCATCACGATGGGAGGGGGGGAAATCAAAAAACCCCGAGGCCAAAGAGAAAACCAGGCTTTCCCTCTTTTCTCGCACTCTTTTTTTCCCCTCCAAACTTTCGCTGGTCACCCAACCCGTTCGTGTTCGTCAAACCTCTTAGGTACCTTATTGATGGAGGTGCGATGGAGCAGACGGAGCCCAAGTGGACAGTGTCAAAGGGCCGGTCGGGGACGGGGCGGGGGAGAAGGCGTTTGCTGACGAGCGCTCAAGGGAAGCGGCAGCCAGCGTCGAAACGTCCAGCAGACGGATCGAGATGCCCCCATGTACGAGCGGAAATCCCACGAGAAGGAAGTGGAAGTTGGAGATCCAAGGACTTAGAACAGAGCACCCGTAAACAAGAACTACGAGCGAGACGTGGGAGTAGATGGGGAGAGGGTGGGAGGTCGACGATGGATGCGGCTGCGGAGAAGGAAGCGAAACGGGCCAGGGGCCGCAACCAGGCCTGTTTGTATGGGATGTATTATTATCGTCTCCCCCAACCTCCCTTGTTTGACGATGGGATAGAGTCAATGATATCCCTGGCACTTGGCGTCGACTATTATGTTTTATATTGAGATAGTGAGGTTGTGCTCAATGATCTACATGCGAACAAAAGAAAGAATCAAGAGTCACGATAAAGAAAAAAGTGACCTGTTGTAAATGGCCTGCTGATTGATGGCGTATTGAAGATTGGAAATTCCGTTACAACTAGCGGTATTTCCGTCAGATGAGTTGCTATTATTATTGTCTGGCATTCCCAAGGGTGGCCGTGATGGATCTCTTTCGAGTAAATCACACTGTCTATCATTTGAGCATTTTGCTTTTCCAGGTCGACTAAGACAATCTCACCCAGCTGTTGAGGAGAGGGGGTGTTTTGGGCACAGACGGGTAGTCAGAACGAGGTCATGGTACATACATATAACTTACAATATGCACTGATCGATTGTTATTTGCAATGTTGCTGTCAAATGCCCCGTTTCTTTTTCAGATACACCAGTTGAGGCGTTGCACCGCCACGGTTGGTCTGCATGTGGCTGGTGACGGCCGACCTTCCCATGGTCCCGATCATTATGATAGATGGACCTTCACTCTTCATCATCTTTCCATCCACTGTCATTGAATCCTCCGCCTTGAAGTCATATGTGGACATCTGGCAGGGTGTTTTATACGTATTGTATTTTCCGGGTAAGTCAAGGAGTCTAGTTAAAAGTATCGTACAGGGGAAAGGTCTGACGACATTGTGATCTAGGCAATAATGACTGACTAGCCAACCCCGAAACGATAATATTCCGAACAGGTCACATATGATGGCCACCAAAAGGCCTCGGGCTGCCTTTGAGGCAGATTTACAAGCTCATCAGTCACCCTACGCCGTTTATGGAACTCCTCTCCCCCCGCTGGATGCTGGGGTTCGAGACGATGGTTCTTACGCCCCGATCTGGAAGCAGGAAGTGACGGATGACCGGGGAAGGAAACGCTTGCATGGCGCCTTCACCGGTGGATTCAGCGCCGGGTGAGCCCACGATTCAAGTATCGCTTTGGACAGCACACTAAAGGTGTCCTCCGTTCTCCAGGTACTTTAATAGCGTCGGATCCAAGGAAGGATGGACACCCGCAACATTTGTCTCCTCGCGGCAAAACCGGGCCCGGGATGCCCAAAAACAGGTTCAGCAACGACCGGAAGATTTCATGGACGAGGATGACATACGGGAAGCGGAAGAGGCGAAAGATATTCATACAACCGATGGCTTTTCTGGGTTCGGGTCTACGCATACCGACTCTACGCGCCGAGCAGGGCTCATGGATCTTCTGAAAACTGGCGGGGAGACCATGGGTGTCAAGCTTTTGAAGAAAATGGGCTGGAGAGAGGGTCAAGGTATCGGTCCCAAAGTGCGACGAAAAGCCAATCTCGATGAGACAGCCCCGGGCGAACACGAGAAAACGTATCTTTTTGCGCCGGAGAACTCGCCCATGGTCGCTTTTATTCGAAAGACAGATCATAAAGGTCTTGGATTTGAAGGCGAAACTCGGTTGGGGGAATCACTGGCGAAAGAAGGCGACTCTGAGGAAGAGGACAACGATTCTTTCTTCGGACGGCGATTAGGAGCTCCTGGTAAACAAAAGCCAACAAAGGCCAAAGAACCACGTCGTGGGGGTTTCGGAGTCGGCATTCTCAATGATACCGGGTCGGATGACGAGGACCCCTATTCGCTGGGTCCACAGATATCATACAATCGGGTGATTGGAGGGGACAAGAAGAAGAAGAAAAAGGTTAAGTCTGCAGAAGATGCCAAACCAACAATAGCATCGTCGAATCCTCTTCTGAAATCCAAGCCCGTCTTTATACCCAAAAAGGCAATTGCTGCACGGAATTCCGCCGGTTTCAGAAAATGCCACGATGGTCGGTTGCCCTTGGATGGGTTTGTCCTAGCTGATGGCATGTCTGGCCTCTCGGTTTCCTCCCAAGAAAAGAAGTATGAACCGCCTGAGATTCCTAAAGACTGGAAATCTAGCAAAGCACCCTCGACAGAAAGAAATGCTTCGGATTATGTTTCCACAGCGGAGGCAGCAAAGGCTTCCTCGCTTGATCCTACATCTAGAGCTGCTCTTTTGGGAGAATCTCAGCTACCTGGAAAGTCAATATTTGACTGGATGACCCCCGAAGCCCGGGAGAGAATTGCGAAGCTCACCGGGAAAACCGATTTGCCACCAGCTTTGGGAGAAAAGGCCCCCAAAGGATACGAGTTATCAGAAGCACAAAAACGCAAGGATATATGGGATCTTGTTCCGAAGCTAGACAAGCAACTAGCCGTTCAGGCTTTGACCAGAGCAGTCAGCGGCTGGATGCCTTATGCGGAAGATGAAGGCAAAAGAGCCCGCTATCGAACTTTCTTGGAAGTGAGGGCTGGGCTCCGTGACACTCTTCCAGATCGACTACCAAACTCGAGCACTGATGAGTGGGTCAACGAACTTAATGAATTTTCTCGAGCAGCGGAGGTATTCAAGCCAATGTCCGGGGTAATGGCCTCGCGCTTTACGTCCGCATCCGCCGGGCCAAAAGAGTCCTCGGATGCCGAATCTACGGATCCACTGCTCAGTAAACCTAATGAGAAGCCTGAAGACCCGGCCGTGGCAGCTGCAAAGATCGGGATGTTTGGACCGATGACTCGCAGCACTATCTCATTTTACCCAGCCCGCCTGCTATGCAAACGACTCAATGTGAAGCCACCGGCTCATGTACAAGTCGATCCGGGTGAACAGCCTGGAGGCTCTGAAGGCGTTTCGGGTGATCGCTTCCAGGCAGGCTACCAGACAAATGCGGGACCAAAGGAATTGGTTTCCAGAGATGTCATGAATCAACTCATGCTAGAATCTGGGGCAGGTAGACTACGAGCATCTGATGCGGATGATACTACGCCGGAACAGCCTGTAATGGAGAGTAAAGGGCCCGTTATCGTCGAGCCTGAACGCAACGAAGCACTAGAAGCCGACCGGCCTGGAGAGGCGGTTTTCAAGGCCATTTTTGGCAGCGATGACGAGGATGAAGATGAGGAATGAGTTGAATGATTCAGCTCACTGTTTGGGGGCATTCTCGTCTATAATAGACACCGGACGACGAGGCTACCCCTAAGATGCCGATGTCAATAGCTACTTTAATCTAGCTGCTGGATGCAATATTCTAGTCAATATGCTACAGTCAATATTAAGACAATGATACATCATGACACATCACTCAGACACTGCAGCACGACGAAGAACCAGGGTGTTTCCTTTACCACGGTAGAATGAGCCCGCGTTTTGCCGCCGGATGATCGAATGCTGATGTAAGGATTGGCGATGCTTCACATACCCGTGTTAGAAGGATTCTCGACCGATGTCCCCTAATCCTATAGACAGCAAAAGCTGGGATAATAATCCCGGCCAACAAGAAGGTCGTACACAGTGTGTAAAAACAGGATATGCCAGATGTCGGCCTTGACGCCGACTATCCAGAAGATCAGCCCGTATACGTACTCCAGACTGCATGCAACCACAGACTAGATGCAATGCAGCGTGAAGATCGGTGAGTCGGTGACACGAAGGAAGTCTGATGGCTTAGGCTACTATGGAGGATAAAATAAAGGTCGAAGAAGTGGAAATCCCAATCTCCAACAAGGTTGGAAGCCATAAAAATAGTAACAGGATTAAAGGAGACAGCGGAAATGAAGACGAACCCACGATCGATGCCGAAATGAAATAGTAATCATGAGATAGTCGACGACGATGAAGAACGATGGATCGTGTTTGGCGGGTTTTAGTCTCGCGGTCAAGCTTTTGGACCTTTTGGACCTTTTCGACCTCCTCTTTTTCTTCTTCTCTTTCATCTCTTGTTCATCTTCTTCTTCCCCTCACGTCAATGCGGCGTGGGATTTAATTCCTACCTCTCTCTCTCCGCTTCTTTTCTTCTTTCCTTTTACTTCCTTCTTCCATCCTCTCCAATCTCCAGCTCTATCTCGCCTCATCGTTATGCAATTGTTCTTGTCCTATCGGCGTTGTCTCGTTCGCCTATGATTCGATCGTACGATAACCGCAGCGCATAACCTCATCAGCTTATTGCGATCTGCCTACCCCTCCATCCCCAAGGACTTTTTTCTTTGTTCTTTGGTGGTCTTCTCGAATACAAACTCTGATTCTTGTCTCACCCTTTTTGGCTGATGGAGTTTTCTCGTCTGTCAATCAAAAATGGTATGGTGTTTTGCCCTTTTTTTTTTTTTTACTTTTTCTCGGTCGCGTACCTTCTATGGATCGCTGTCGTCATCATATTCGCGTCTCCAAACCCACCTGCCGCTGCTGCAGATCCACCTCGTGCTCCTATCACTGCTGCTATCTATCATGGTATCGCTTTGATATTGCCTTCACTTCTTACTTTTATGCATTTACTTTGAGAGATATATCAAATAATCTAACCATATGGACTTGCGATCAGGGTTGTTGCTTCTCTTTATTGTCGCGTGACACCAACCACGCCTCTTATGCGACTGGCACCTTACCGGAAGGATCGCCTCCTGGGATCCATACTACAACTAGTGCTATCGTCACAAGCCATCCTTCTACATCGCTAGCCAATGCTCCTTCGCCCGTCGTCCGTTCCGCTTCTCATCGACAACCGCAACCCCGATTGCCATTGGGCGAACATTACAATGCTCCCATCCGTCCTCATGTCTGGTATAGCAAACGTCGCCTCTGGACTCGTGCGCAACTGGACCAAGAACGCAGAGAATTCTTCGAAACTCGAGTCACTGGTAAATCAGAGGTTTGGGTGGCCTTGCAAGCCGCCATCTCTTTTATTTGGACCTCTGATATCGAGACTGCCCAGAGCATCATCGACGCCGCTGGGGTGACTGTCCCGACGGGCGATCTTTGTCAGGGTTGCTATGATGAGCAAGGGGTCCTCTATCGCTTACCTCAGTGTATCGTGAGCGATCCTGAAAACATAGCTCAGGGAGATACGGCCGATGACATCGACGATGGCAAATTAGCTCCGGATGAAACATCGGGTGACGAGCTCATCTCATCTGAACTGGAACAGCGCAAGGAGGAGAAGGGGAAAACAAGCGAACGAGACCTTATCAAGGTCAAGGCACGATTGAGTGATAGGGATGGTCCTGACATTATTGTGTCAGTCGGCAAAACTCAAAATGTTGGCTACATTGCCCGCAAAATCCAACAGGAGGCCGGAGTACGTTTGGACCTTGAGTTTGCTATTTCTTAGGCAGTTTGCTGACATCCGTTTATAGATTTCCAGGCCTCGACGAGTGAGGATTGCCTATCTGGGCAGACTTCTCAAAGAGCAGAAGACCCTGCCAGATCAAGGGTGGAATCCAAACCATGTGGTCAACGCTTTAGTGACCACTCGGAGCTCTTTGTCATGATGTCCTACGTTCCCTGGCCTTTCCCACTCACACTTTCGACCCGTACCTCTCTATCCCAATATCCTTTTTTCCACCAGTGCTTTATAACGACTTGCCATGCTGTGTCTGGTGTTTGTTCTACACGTTTGACTTTTTGCGGAATACCCCAATGCTTTGTTTGCCTTATAACTTTTTTTGTCCTGCCTTTCTTTGCAGTTCACCTGTTAATATCTACTCTTGTTGTACTTTGGGTGCCAGGCACGTATCCAGATATGGCACGGAGTACATCTATTATTGTCATCTAACTGTCTATAACTGACGTTACTATTAACTACTGGAAGCTTTATTGTGGTTTCTACCGGAATCATCAAGCAATTTACTCATCTTCATAGTTTAATACATTTAACAAGTACATACCTTGTATTGTTCTGAAGATAGATTTGCATTGCATGGCATGGGATACACACAACGATATTAAAATAGCCTACCTACCTACCTCCCATGGTTTTTCTTGCGGGTTAAAAAAAAATGAAAAATGAAAAAGAAATGCATCATCCGTGAATCGAACACGGGCCTCATCGATGGCAACGATGAATTCTACCACTAGACCAATGATGCTGTAGTGCAGAACCGTAATGGTTTCTGATTCGCTGGTTATATTATCTATCTCAAACTGAATTATATTCAACCTGGAGAGTGGGCGCAGAACAAATGTGTCGAACATTGATTTTGGGAGTTAGGGCTTGCTAGGCTTCATGGATCTTTTTCATATATCCTAGTTAATTTTTTATCTCTCTTTTTTTTTTTTTTTTTTCTTCTTTCTGAGAATCGTCCCCATGAGTTTACTTTGTGTTAGGTTTTGGCTTCCGTATTGAATAAATTTTTTTTTTAAAAAAAAAATAGCTCGTTCAAAGTCCATACTAGTATCCAACGCAAATATATATCTGCTCAACAACCCAACCTCTAATACAATCTACCATTATCAGCTTCCCTCCCCTTGGGCGTCTTCCCTGACCTCCTCTTGAAAACCCTACAGACAAACACGGCACACTCCTTGACACCTCGCACCAATGACGTAGGGTTGTAGTGCTTGACTCTGAAGAGGTAATACAGCAAGACCGTCCCCATCACATTGAAACCGATATAGGCCCACCCGAGCCCAAAGTTCCGCCACCGCTCACTGTAAACTGAATGGATATTGTTAGTATCATGTGTTTATGTTTAGGTTTTCTTCCAGGGGGTTGGTGGGACGTACAGATGTTACTGATGGACAGGTATTGGTCGGCGGTTCGGAATTGGCAGTACTGGCAGCCCTGGGTTGCGTCTGGGTTGTACAGTCTTCCTGGGGCAACCTGGAGGTATGGACCTAGGTAATCTCCACAGGTTAAGCCGGATGGAGGGTTGAATACGCTCAGTTCGGCGTCTGCGCAATGGATTTCCCGGCCGTGTAACCCTGTGCCTGTGATTCCTGCGATTAGATAAGTCAATGGGGAGACGCGGTACATAAAGATCCAGAATCCCGGAAGGGCGTTGGGTGGCTGCATGACGCCGTTGAAGGTTAGGGCCATGATGAACATGAGGGTGGCGATGGTGCCACCGGTTTCGGCATCGGGTAGGGCGGAGATCACCAGGGAGGCGAAGGTAGAGGTGAAGATGTAGAACTGTACGATGAAGAGTAACATGAGCCCCTGTCGTTGGGAGGATTGATTGGCTCCGTAGGTTGGGTAGTAGTAACAGGCCCAGGCGATGACTCCGACTATAACCTGGTATGGTATCTCGACCATGACGTTGGCGACCAGGAAGGCTGCCCAGGAGTATGCTTTCGATGGTCTTTCTCGAACCTCGTACAGAGAGCGTTGGACAACAAACTTGGGCATGATTCTGAGAGTGTCAAGTGTTAGTGTTACCCATGGATGGGGAAGAGAGAAACAGGTGTCAGGATAAGTGAGACTTACTGCTGCACCAATGTTGAGAATATCGATGTCATCATGAAAGCGCTGAACAAGACATCTTGGAACCCCTGCTGAGAACTATCGGGCTTGAAGAAGGTAAAACCGATGAATAGAGATGATAGGGTACCCAAAAATATCTTGGCCCATACATAGGATGGCTCACGCCAGTATTGTTGGAAGACCCGGTGGGTCACGTACCATAGCTGATGGGAAAAGGGCATTGCGTATTCTCCATGCTGGGTATCATCGTCGCCGTTGTCTGTTGCTGAGCCTCTTTCTTCATGGATTCTATCAAGTTCCGTTTGTACATCTTTGGCTTGCTGGCTTTCATTCCAAACGGATGGCCAGTCTTGGGTAGCCTTTCCAGAAGCACCAGCCCCAATGATTTCAAGCATATATTCGGCCGGCTTTTACTGTCAGTGAGGAATAATAACAACCTTCAAAGGGTGGTCTTACATTTTCCGATGAGCCACAGACCCTTGCTCCATTCCCCTCGAAGTAATCAAGTAGTGCCCGAGACTGGTCCCCTATATCGCCGAAGTAGACAGTCTTACCCCCTTTAGCCAGAAATAGTAGACGGTCAAATTGCTGGAATAGCAGCGCGCTAGGTTGATGGATTGTAGAGAGAACAGCCTGTCCGTGATCCGATAGTTTACGTAAGAAAGAACAAATGGCCCAGGAACTCTGTGAGTCTAGTCCACTTGTTGGCTCATCAAGAAAGATCAACAATGCAGGCTTTGCAGCCAGCTCAACCCCAATGGTCAGTAGCTTCCTCTGTTCAACATTCAAACCTTCACCCGGTGTTCCAACAATGGCATCAGCAAAGTCTTGCATACTGAGCATGTCTATAACATCCTCGACATATTCGTATTTTTCTTTCTTTGAAACTGACTTTGGCTGGCGTAGGACGGCACTAAACCGCAGCGCTTCCCTGACAGTCGTTGTAGAAAGATGAAGGTCTTGCTGTTGAACATAGCCCGTCTTCCGCTGGAAACTGCTGTCAAGGGCTTTGCCATCGACAAACATATCACCCGTAACGACACCAATGGAGACTCTTTTCGCGAGAACATCTAGAAGTGTTGTTTTTCCTGCGCCAGAAACACCCATCAGTGCTGTAAGGGTACCGGGCTTAACCCAGCCAGAGACATTATCCAAAAGTCGGCGCTGGCCTCCTTTTACAGGAATGTCGTAGCAAACGTTTCTCCATGTAAATATGCCATGCTGCGTGGGGATCGCTGAGGTATCCTTTTCAGATTGAGAATTCTTCCGGGTTACCGCAGCTTCTGAAGACTCATCGCCTGCTTTCTTTTTATAGATATTGCGCAGATGAGGTGGCACATGGCCCCGACGGAATACCAGGAACTCTGCCTTTGACGAAGTGGAGGAGTTGAGCTCCGATGCTATCAGATACAGCGAGATGAAAAAGATCCAGAAACCGATCAGAATTCCCAGGTTTCTCCACTCGTGTGCATATGAGTAGGAATATTGGGTCTCGATATATGCGTCCCCAGAGACAGTCCTTTCCCCTGCCACAGCACCCCGAACGGAGCAGATGAAAGAGTCACCACTCACACTTGGATATGCTGGCACAAACTGAGAACAGATAAAGCGTCGACCATGAAATTCGTTGGCGATTAATGCTTCAAATGTATAGAAGACGGGGTTAATCCAGCGGATCCAACTAAACCATGGGATTGAGCTCATTTGTGGCGCGGGAATCACGAAACCTGTATAGATGACAATAGCCAGCACAATCACTCCTGCCATTGACATTGCTTGTGCGAGTGTTTTGGTTGACGCAGCAAGGGTCCGGAAAACACCGGACATGGCAAGTGTGCTGAGGAATGTGAATAGGAAGAAAATGAAGAACTGGGATGGTTCATATCGCTATATGGCTTTGTTAGTATGTTTAGTAAAGTAGATATGGGCTTTTACATACTAGACCGGCCAAAAAATAGAAGATTATATTGAATACCACGGCCGAAACGATTTTCACCGGGATATCGGATACAATACCACCAAAGGCTTCTGCAAATGGATGCACAAGGGCATACGACGCCTGTTTTTCAATAATAGGCCGTTGATCGTAGAGAGAGTTGATCTCGGTGATACTGATGAGAGCATTCATCCTGGCATTGGTTAGTACGAGTTCCACCATAATCAAGAGCGTGTCTTGATTGAAGAGAGAAATTTTACAGGACAGAGAAGAAGAGTGCAGCCCCTTTGCTTTGAAAGCCTGCTGAAGCATTTGGCGTTCTGAAAAGATAAGCATTTCCCCTGGTAGTTTGAGGGAGTAAATAACTTACCCATAATAAATAGAACCAATGATCAGAGACATCACGATTCTTCCAATTACCGTTGTCAGCGTAGAAGGCTTATCGTTCCATATCCTAGAAAGATGTCAATTCGAAGCAAACCTGAGCTAGCATCGAGGAAAGATACCTTTGGTAAGCCCTAATCGTACAGAGCTTGACCTGCATCGGGATGGAGATGATGTACGGGCTCTTTGGGCGAACATGTTTTGCCTGTTTCATTTGCTTCATCTCACTGAAAACTTTCTCCGAGCTTCCTCCTGGTGGAAACTCTTTTTGATGACGGGATATTTCTTTTTGAAGATTGGCATACTGTGCACTATTCTGCCAATATCTCTCAAACTCTTCTGGAGTGCGGGGGACTTTGTTTTCCATCCCCTCACGAACTTGACGTTCTTGACTATTAGTTACGGATGTCAAGAAGTCTCCAGTCGTTTGGCGCGCGGGGGCTTCCCAGCCCATGTTAACGAAATATTCCCGTGCTTGACTGCAGGGACCAAAGAATATCTCGCGTCCTTCGTAGAGCACGACCACTTTGTCGAAAACATCGTAGATGGCTTGCGATGCTTGATAGATTGCAACGGCATGAGAAGTACCAACCAGATTGGAAGAGACTCTCAATGCCCGAACAAACTCTAGAGCGCTGGCAGAGTCAAGACCCCTGGTGCTATTATCCCATGCTCCAAGCGGAGCGCCGGAGACTTATTACCTGTTAAGTTAAGCTTCAAGGCTTTGAGGAATGCGAAACTTACGCGCCATTTCAGCAATACTATGGAAGGGTCAGAAAATTACAACTCAGTAGTATATGAGGGATACAAACCTGACTCTTTTTCTTTCACCACCCGAAACACCTCTGATATAATCATCACCAACTGAGAAAGTGTTAACAAAGCTGAAAGGGGTAAATTTCTTTTTCAGAGCAGACTGCAAGCATACCCTTAGTGTTATATGTGTGAGAAAGACCAAATATGGACATTGCCACTTGCGTGATGTGTTTGGCAAACTTTTCTCGACCGATCCCGAGTAATCGATGTTCTGGAGTCCTTGCTGCCGCTGCAAACTCCAAGGTTTGTCCAACTGTCAAGTGAGGGAAATGCTTGTCAACTTCCTGGTTGTAAAGAACCTCTCCTTTAAACTCCCGGTGCATTCGTTCCATGGATATCCCATTGTATTGAATCTCAGAACTTTTCCGCAACTTCAAGCCATGTAGTTCTCCAGTGAGAGTTTTGAGGAGAGTCGAGCAACCGCTGCCAGGTCGACCCAGCACAATGAGTAACTCGCCGGACTTGAGGAGACCATCAAAGTTGCGCAGGATTTGTTTTTCTGGCGTCCGTTGAACACACGGCAAATACTCTTGTGGCCGAAAGGGTGCCAACAAGACCGAGCCGACGTTGTTTTGATATTGTAATGCCGATCCAGACCCCGAGACATTAAGATTCTGAAAGACGATGCCTGTTGATGGAGGCCGCGGAAGTCCTTCCCTGTCCAGGAGCTTTAACATCATTCGAACCCATTTGTGTTGATCGAACTGATCACTTGTAGGGTCGATAACCGGATCGCCAAGCTCAATGTCTTCAAGGGTGTCTTTGCGTTGGATGCCTTGTCCACTGGCGCCAGAATTGGTGCCATAGCGTCTAGGGAAGTTGGAAGCAATGCGAGCCAATTCAGCTTTGTTTTCTGCTGGAATATGCTCGAACGCAGAGCTTTCATCTTTATCTGACCCAGAGCTCTCGAAGTGTTCCTGTATAACCTCTATCTCATCCTGCCGGGAGGGGTACGGGGGTACTTCGCCCTGCTTGTCATTGTCGACTTGTTCAGTCATTTCAAACACTGGCACCGTTTGCTACCTCGATAGCAGACAGATACATTGGTCGTTTAACCACCAAAATCATGGGTTTTGGATAGGATCATAGACGAAAGAGCACACCAAGAGACGTGCAGATGCAGCAAAAGTCTTCCAGACAGTGAACCTGGGAACTGTGACGTCCCCTACCCATAGTTAAGTTTTCTCCTTAAGTTAGCCAAGGTCTCATGATGGTAACGCAACGTGCTTTGAGCCAAAACTGAAATGGTGGAGGCCAAGACATTTTGGCTTTGATTCGGTAGAATTGAAAGTGGTGATGTCAAGATCCGATGGCCGACTGTTGATCGAAAGCCAGTGGAACCTTGAAGCGGATCAAACGAGATGGAATGTTACAAAAGAGACCAAATGATGAGTTGGTTCGGGTTAGAGAAAGAGAGGGGAGGCCCTGGGCAGGAGAAGTGGTTGGGGTTGCGACCAGGCCGAATGCGGTTCGATTTGGGATGAGGCCAGGGATTCGACAACATACACGCAGCCTGACTACAAAGCAGCCAGGATTGTGTTTTTTTGGTCTATCCTGAAATCAAGAGATAATAGGAGTAAACGGGATAGGGCAGGTGGATATTGCTTGTTATCAACGATCTTGTCGAGAAGTCTATCAAATACCCCCCATGTATATCATACAAAATGCCATGGCTTTGTTCTCTCTAAGCCCCTCACTGCTGCTATGGCGCTTAAATAAAATAGTTTTCAAATCTACCCACTATTCCACAATGAGGCAGATATGGGATCATGGTAGAACAGTAATCTTGTACCCCGTAGTCATGGAGTATAGTATAGGGTTAGAGATGAGCATAACATCTTGTCCATCACGAAAACATTCATTCATATATTCAAAACCATAAAACTTGCTGAAGAAGTAAATCAAAGAGAATACTGCTTAAGATAGAAATCACATAAGTCTTGATATCCTAATCGATATCAAATGAAGCCAAATCTCCATCGATGATGCATTTAAGCTGCAGTGGGGCTCTCCTCCCTCTGTCCAATCAGAGCCACCAATTCCACTCCGCCCAAGTGCCTAATGCAAACAAAACAAACATAAAAAAAAAAAAGGTAAAGCCCATTATTTGCATATTTGCATCTCCGGAGCCATCAGACGATCTTCCTCGTGGTTTAATATTCACGGACTAGGAACTGAGTGAGGAAGGATATCTTGTCGCATGATTTGATACCCACAACTGTTGTTGCTGTATAATTTCCAACAACAATTCTTGGTTGTCAATTTGACCAAGAAAGTTCTACAGCATCACGTATTTGGTCGCAAGACTCGACCCGATTATCGATAATTCCTCAACAAGACACACAGAGGTCTAGCCCAGAGCCATGGCTGAAATGCAAAATACCCCCTTCATGAGGGAGCTCGTCTCGAGTGGTATGTCCGACTTGATTCTGCAGAAAGCTGCTCAGGTAGTTAACATATGATTGAATAGACCGAAAGACCCGCGACAAGGCGCTCGACTCGTTGACGCTGTACATTCGTTCCAAAACCGACCTGACACTTCTCGATCTTCTCAAGCTATGGAAAGGACTGTTTTTCTGTGCGTTGCATCCACCGAAAATCCAATCGCATCGTGAAAATATACCTAACAACCCAATTCAAAACTACAGGCTTCTACCACTCCGATCGCCCCCTCACTCAGCAGGCCCTCGCCAGGGCTCTCTCGTACTCTCTCGTCCCGACTCTCCCCCGTCAGACATTACATCGCTTCCTGCGCGCGTTCTGGATCACCATCGGCCGCGATTTCCATTCCCTGGACCGACTCCGTCTGGATAAATATCTGTTCCTGATCAGATGTTATGTCGGCGTGGCATTCGAAATATTCGTCAAGGGCAAAAAGACCAACGCATCAACCAACGGAAGCAACAAGAAGCGAAAGAGGGAGGAAGCAGCCCAGAAGGAAAAGGGAAAGAAGCGATCAAAGGGAAAGAAAGAAGAAGCCCGACCCGAACCCCAGGAAGACGAGGAAGAGGACGACGACAACAGTGAAGACAAGTGGGCTGATCTCTCCGCCTACCTATCCATTATCGAAGAGGGCCCACTGTGCCCCCTCAACTTCGACCCAGACCAGCCCACCGAGGCTGCCCCCGGTGATACAGCAGGAGATACGACCCCGATGCCTCACGGGCCTGATGGCCTCCGCTACCACATTTTGGATCTTTGGATTGATGAGGTGGAGAAAGTGCTTGAGTTCGAAGAAGGTACAGAGGATTCTGAAAACCGCAAAGTCAAGGGTGATGTTCCCATGGACCTTTTGCTGCGACCCTTAGAAAAGTTGCGCACAGAGAGCCCCTACAAGCCGGTCAGAGTTAGGGCTGCGGAAGCCTTGGACGATGACCGATTGGTGGAATGGGGTTTCAAGACCAGGGAAGTCGAAGAGGAAGAGGAAGATGATGAAAGCGACCAGGAATGGGGTGGGTTTGACGATTAAATACTCAGCTGAAGACCCTGAAAAAAATTTCATACAATTGTTTGGATGATCTTTTTTGACAACTTTCAAGGCGTATGGTGGTAGCGATTGCATATTCTTTAAATCTACATTGTCCATACTCTTTTTGAATATGTATGCGGGACCTTGTACTACCGGTCAGTTGTATAGATTTCCCACGTCTTGCCCAATAAAATATTAAGTTATATATTTATCTATCACAACGAATCTTGTGTTAATGTATAAGCGTGTACGGATAGAAACTATACAGCCATTACAGGTCACGTAAACCATTCCCTAGAGTAGGGAGCGCCAACCGTCTAAACAAAACATGAATAATTCAAACGCACGAAGCAGACCAGTGCTTGGTTCTGAAAATCTTGCGCGAGGGTATCATCAGTGCGAAGACCAGAACAATGCAAATATTAGAAATGAGAAACAATCGCCGAGAAGCCCTTTATTTCGGACCCTCTGTTTCGTAAAGGTGTCCGGACTTTGAAAGCACGGTACCTAGACCCTTGTGGATTTCCACCTGGAAAGCCTCGAAAGGAATAGTCTCGCCATCGACACTGATATATCCTTCTTTTTCTCGGGGTACAAGTCGATAGGCCAAGGCTTTGCGGATGCCGACGTCCGGCATACCAAAGAATCTTCCTTCAGGAATTTCTGTCATCATCTTGATGGATGTGAGACGACTGATTGTTCCATCGATCGTGACAATATCCATCAGCCCATCATTGGGCAGCGAGGCGGGGAAAAAGCTGGTATCTTTCGACATGATGGCCATGTTACCCGCATAGAAGTTACCAATCGTTTCGGCCGGAATGACTTCCCAGTCCTTGGGGAGTTCATCCAAAACAGTGCCGTATTGAAGTTCAGGAAGACCCGTGGACTGACCCGCAGTCCCTTCGGGATTCCGACCTCGAGGATCGCTATTTGCGTATGTGGCATAGTGATCTTTGATCATCTCCTTATCATCCATCACTACTTTCACAGCAAGGTCGCAGGGGTACACCGTGCGCTGAAAGAGACGAACAAGGAAACCGTAAGTGAAACGATGGGCGCCCATCCATCGGATATTATCTGTGCCCAAATCCGATTCCGCCACAATACCAAAGGATTGCGACAAGAATGACAGGGTACGTGTGTTGCCTTGAGTGATGGACATCAGATCCAAGGGGGCCTGCACGGCCTTGACAATCGATAGGGCTGCTATAGAAATACTCTCCGTTCCCAAAAGGTTCCACGCCATCGCATTACCAGAACCACAAGGTACCATCGCCACTGCCACCTTGGCAAGGGCTTCCCCGGCGTTCGGTTTCTTTCCCAGGCCATTGAAAACCTCATACGGCAAGCCGTCACCGGAGCAGCAGATAATGGCATCGTAGGCGTTTATATCGATTTTCTCGGCAATTTCGGTGGCGTGGCCGCTATGAGTAGTCTCCTGCAGGTCCACCTGGCAGTGCGCGGCCGCAAACACGGGTGCCGCATATGTCTGGTATAGATGGGACGCTGCTCCCTTGCCGCCAAAGGGGTTCACTAGCACCTTGAGTCGTTTGTAACGCAGCGCATTGCCATATGCCAGATTGAGTAATGATGCAACCCACGCCTCAACAGTTGATTTCTCTCCCTCGTCGATGGGGTATTGAAGAGCGGTCACGGAGACATCGTTGGAGCCCGAATGTTTCGCATAGGTGATAGTGAGACCAGCGGGGGTAAGTTCGGCATCGAGGACGTTGTACAAAGCAATGGCATGGGTAACCCCGGTTTCTTCTGAGATAGCCGACAGTCAGCTTCAAGTCGCGCATTTTGAGACCCTGAATTTGCAAGATCCCGAGAGAAATCCGCAAGCGGAGCTTTGAGGTTCAAGGGAAGATAATAATAAATGGAAATGAATTACTTGATTTGCCTAGTAACCCACAGCAGCGACGATCGGACTTACGCATGGAGCGTTCATCTGCGAAGATTGAAGGACCTGGTTAACTATGGAATCCTCGACCCTGCCAAAGGAATTGATGCTTCAGGGGCACACATACCGACGATGAGAAGAGAGTCGCTTCCCAGAGTCAGCGAAACTGACTGGGCAACGATCAAAGCTGAATCATGTTGCAGCAATTTGGACTGAGACGTCTGGAATTCCGGCGCATCCGTGAGAGGGGTCGAAGGTTCATTATTCGAGGTCATTATGCTTTTTCGGAGGGGAAAAAGAGCATCCTAGGAGAGCAAGAAAGAGAAGGGGGAAGAAATAGATTCCAGTAAGAATAGGAAGTAAGTAAGAATGGATGGAAAATTATTAGGACCAGAGGGTGGATGGAGGCGGAAAGGAACGACTCCATGGAACAAGAAGTCGGTCCACTTCCAAGCAGCAGTGAACGACGACTGCGGTCTCCTTGGCCAAAAACCTGATGTTCTTCACGGCAGGGAAATCCTATGAGTGAGTATAGATTAATACTAATGGAAATCAATTAGAAGCCGAATCAGTTTCACATAAATGGTCGACTCCGTAAAACGGTATTTATTTACTATTCTTAGTGGCGATGACTGTGCCGAGGGAGCTCCGATGAGGTGTCTCTGGAATGCGTCACAGTACTTGCATGCGAATCAGGAATGGGACGAAAACAGCTTGTTTAGGAGGCATATGCATCAATTTCTTCTATTCTTTTTTTATAGACTGTTCTATCATTATGCAAAAATATCGTTCAGACATAACTCTATCGATCAGCCACCGCGATCGCCACAACCGAGGCATCGCGACCAGTGGATCAACAGCGGGGAATCGAGATGGATTGATATTGGTGAATTGGGCCATGGCAGATCGTGTCGCTCCAACAGTAAAGAATAGGAATAGACAAAGGATGTAATGTAATTGTTCCATTCGAAAGAAGCCTTTTCTCACCCAGTACAACACAATAAAAAGAGGCATATAGGTAACAAATTCGTTCATCAGAAGAGAAAGAAAAAAAATAGAACACAAACACTCAAAAAAGAAGAAATAATATAATATGAGGGAATAACAACTAATCAAACGCTGGTCGAACGGTTATAATCTATTCATGCCGTCGAGGCCTTAAGACCCTTGAGGGATCCCAGGCTCAACGCCAGACCTTGTGAACGGCTTCTTATCCGCACAAATCCAGTGATGGGTCCGTCTTCACCTTCCTTCTCGATACTCAAGTTCGCAAGGGCATCCTCACCTGTAGTGTCATCCATGTCAGCGGTCATTCTATCGTAATCTAAAAAGGGTTAAGAAAGAGTAATACATACCAAATACGCTCCGGGCATACAGGTTGGCACTCAAGAACCGGCAGTCTCCCTTGAGGGATGCCTCGGGTGTCAAACAGGCCATGTTGGTGCTTTCCATCAGCTGCTTGAGGAATTCGCGAAGGGTCTTGGCCTTAGAGTTGATGTTGACCTTATTCTCCCACTCGAATTCGGTCCACATAGTCCGGAACTGAGTCTCGGTACAGTGGCCAGGCTGAATGTAGTCCATGATGTCCGCATGGATGTCGTTGAGGATGACAACGTGGGTTTCCGTCGAGCTAGCGCCGTCGTACACAATGTTACCGAAAATGACACCAGTATCCGTCGACGACACCTTGACCGTAGCCTGCACATTCAAGAAGTCGCGCGGTCCCAGGTTGTGAGTGGCTGGCCGCTCGACGACCTTCAGATCGCCCAGTGTCGCGAACTCAACGGAGAGATTCTGCAAAGTTTCAAGAGTCTGGTTGACCAAAAGCACATCAAGTACAATGTCGAATTGATGAACAGTGACATAGGCTTCGGCATAAACAGGGTCCGAGAAACCAGTCAGCTGTACCACTCTACTCAACTTCGAAGACACAGTCTCCACTGTCGAGTCACCACCAGTGGCCTTAGCCAGATCAAGCTCAATCTCTTCTGCGCCCTCGATGCCTGTCTTCTTGGTGAACTGTCGGATTGGGATAGCATCATCGATTTGGACAGCAGTCTTTGCCTTCTCAGACGCTTCCTTAGCGGCCCGCTTCTTGTCTTCGACTTGAACCATGGCGCGGAAGGCTTTCCGAGTATCCTCCAAAAATGTGGTCTCCAGCTCCTTCCTCTGAGAGAACTCGGCAAGAGAACGCACGCAGCACATGATGCGGTCGACCGAATCTTCATCAATAGGGGCCTTGACGAATTGAGATTGACCGACACGGATGATCGAGATCATAATGAGCATTGCTTCTGCGCGAAGGGCGTTGGTGCGGGCGGTATCTTCGGAAACTTCTGAATGACGCATCACCAACTTGGTCAAAGTGGATGACAGAACGGTGCCCAGGTAGTAGTCACCATCCAAAATCAATTGACGAAGAGGGGGCTTCTGGGCGGCCTTGACTGCCTCGAGTCTAGCAGCGGCAGCGGATTGGCTCGTGAGGGCGCTCTCAGTTGCGTAAGTGCCGTCAGCTAGCACCTTTCTGGATCCAGTGGGAGCCGCAGGCTTAGAGTGTCCATTGATCTGTTCCTTGATGGCATTCTCATCTGGAACCTCGTCGAGCAGTCGCTGCTCAGAGGCCAAGATTGGAATCTCTCCGAGACTTGCTCTGATCCGTTTCCAAGCCTCACGAATGTCTTTCTCTTCCAAAGAGTACTCTCCGACAACCCACAGAACACCACGGTAGACCTTTCCGGCACGAACCTCGCTCAGGGTCGAAACCAAGCGATCAACAATGGAAGCACGCAGATTGGGAAACTTCTCGACAACCTCCTTGACAAAGGAAATCACATCAACTGCCGAGTTGTTGTTGAAGTCTGCAATGAAGTCCATCAGAAGATCGACAACGCTGGCGGCAATTTCGGAGAACTTGATTGCGCAGTTGTGTATCGATTGGATCAAAAGTTGGCGGTATTCGCTGTTCTGCATATGCTGTCAGCTAGCTGAATTGCTCTGCTGAAAAGACATCTTCCTACCTTTTCATATTGCTCGTCCACTGTCTTAGCAAGCTCCTTCTTCAGAAGCATAACGATTTCCTCCACATTCTTGCTCGAAACCATTTCCAAAGCGATGCCGAGAGCCTTGCGACGGACGTCGATGTCGGTGCTAGAGAGAACACGCAGGATTTCCATTGTGAGATCATCCAAAACACCCTCATTGCGAATTCTCAGTTGGTCAACTCGGTCCAGAACGATGAGCTTGACGTTGTTGTCAGCCTCCTTGATACACAGTTCGATCAACTTCCCCGCAGCAGCTTTGACAGCGACGGGGTTACTGGTAAGAGCCGTGAGGGATGTCGCAGCCTCATAGATAACAGTGCTCGTAGATGCATCGAGGAGATCGAAAATCAACCGCAAATATCTCGCCTAATGTTCATTAGCATGCAATAGAGTTATTTCATTCGCCGACAACCCCACCTTGTTCTGCGTGTTCTGCACCGCATCCTTTCTGATGAATTCAAGCTCCACCAGTTGCAGCAATTCATCAGTGTTTGGAATAGTGTCGAATGTCGAGGCCAAGTATTCGAGAGCCTTTTGGTGACTGATGGACATGAGAGCCGCGAATGCATTGCGCTTGCAGGTGCTATCGGTCTCCGAGTCAAGGAAAGTCTGAATGAGCTCTGGTGCGTCTGGGATGAGGGATTCCGAGTGCTGGAAAATGGAGGCGACGGCCCAAACTGCATTCTTTCGCACGTAGGCGTGTCGGTGTTCCAAGCATGAGCGGGCCGATGAGAGAAGTGGCTCGATGAGCTCCGCTTCGCGGAGCTTACACAGGAATCGAAGGGTATTTCCTCGAATGTATTCGTTGGGGTGCTGGAGATCATTTCGAATGCCATTGCTGCAAGGAAAAACACTGTCAGCAAAATAGCCAACGGAATGCAGGCAGAGGGGACCATCTCCTTACCAAACCAAGATCATCTCCTGCTTGAGCTTGCCGGTTGCGTCAAGCTTAGGACAGATTTCGTAGTAGAAGTAAAGCAGCTTCTTCAATGACTTGCTTTTAGACGGCATGACAAAGCGAATGATATGCATCAAGAGCTGGGGCATTGGGTCTCCGTTGAGCATGATCGTGATGATCGTCCTCATTGTGTCCATCTTCGTTTCATCATTGCCCTTCTCCAGCTGCAATTTCAGCTCCGGCAAGGATGGCTGATCCGCAGTGTTGTCCATATGGACCAAACTGTATGCGTTATCGAGATACGACGCCATGGTGGTTGGTTATCGCGAGCAAACGGCCGTAACAGAGTCGAGTAGGGAGGGAGGAGGCCTGTAAGTTGGACTGTCAGTACAAGTGGTTATTCTGGCCTGGCGGGAGGGGAAAATACCGGGCTGACTCTCCCCAATAATTCAAAGTGCGCGGAGGAAGATAATTTAATACAATGCAACTCCCCTCACCTGCCTGTATGTCATCAGTGCGAATGTTTGGCAATCCGGGGTCCTAATCATCAACTTGTCCATTTGCGCGGCGGAGCAAGCTGTCCGGAGTGTGTGGATGACTAAGCCGCCTGGACCAACCCTTCACCAGAACCGCCTACAGGCCCCGATTCCGATGGCGGATTCTAGCAGTCAATCTGGTCGTCTTTGTCTTCTGCCACGACATTACAGGGTGAAAGGTCGAGAAGATGTCGGCCCCAAATGAACCTTTCTATCTTCGCTACTAGTAAGGCTGATATGCGTTGTAGCCCAGGTCTCCTCAGCTGCTGACAGTCGTGCAGCTCAGGTCACTCTGGGCGGTTCGGGCATGAGTTCCTAGGTTGGTCTACGCAGTGATATCTTGTGTCTCGCACAGCTGCTAATAAACCATCAGAATTTGATTTCCGTACCCTTGGCGATGGTCGCAGCTCCGCCGTGCGATACGCGAATAACTCCAACTACCGCAATGATTCCCTTATCCGCAAAGAGAGTGAGTGCTAGGGCAGGGTCCGGCGACCAAGGTGGAATTGTCGCTGATGAGGTCAATACAGTGTGCGTGAGCGCGTCGATGATGCAGGAAGTCAAGCGTATCATCAAAGAGAGTGAAATCATGAAGTATGCATTCCATCGAGCGTCGAGATCCAATCCCACTAATCAATGCCAAACAGGGAAGATGATTCCAAGTGGCCGCAGAAGAACAAGGACGGACGACAGGAACTGGAGATCAGACTCGGAAACGAGCACATCTCTTTCGAGGTATGTTTTATTCAATGGCGTGAGAGAACCGCGTAGAATCTAACTCTCATATCGCAAAGACCGCGAAAATCGGCTCCCTAGTAGATGTCACCGAGTCGGCCGATCCTGAAGGACTTCGAGTGTTTTACTACCTTGTCCAGGACCTCAAAGCCCTCATTTTTTCTCTCATCTCCCTCCACTTCAAGGTAATTTCTTCCTGGTTTCTTGACCCTCTTTTCATTCTGACCCGCAATTACTTCTCGCAGATCAAGCCTATCTAAATTGAAACATACGGTATGAGATGGAGCAAGTGATTCTAATGATAACCATTGGGCGTTTTGATGGAGGATGAAGGGGATTTTCGCTTTGCTATATTGCCAGATGGGACCATCAGATGGGCATGACGCAACGCTTTTGAGAATTTAAGGATATAAAAGAAATACCCATCTTCTTTATTAGCACAAGTACTTTCTGAGACCGTCTAATATTCTCAAACACCCGTAGACCAAACTATCTCCATTTATATACCCACATCTGGCTTGAATAGTCCGCTCTGATTTTCCGCGCTTAAAGCGTTTGCCTCCCCCGCGCTCGCATGACCCGCCTATCCCTTTCAGGCATTGCGTCTCCCGCCCGGACATTAATCGATCGTAAGGCCTTCAACCGACCTTCAACTTTTCCTTTTCATCTAATTTTTCTATCCTGTTGCCGCTCTGATACCCTTCGTCTGTATTTATTTATTTGACCTTTTTTCGTGGGTTTCGACGTGGACTTGAAACTCAACCAGATCCGATGTCATCACCTTCTTGATTAGCCTCAATGCCGACTCCGAGTGACAACACACTACAGCTAACTGCTACATCAATCGCCGAGGATCTCTCTGCTCGCACCACCTGTCCCCCTGAAGTAGAGAGACTGACAAGTTGGAGAGACTCCCCCGAAGCATCTACTGTTGTAGAAAGCGATGCCCCCGACAACGCTCTCTCCCCCGCCAGTGCAACAGCGCAATCCGTGCTGATTCGACCGGACGATGGTCTTGCTCCTTCGAACGCAGATCATCTAAGGGTTGAGATGATACCCGATTCTTCTACCAAGACGATGGCGAAATCTGACGACGAACGTACCGAGGGGAGATTAAGTCCCGCGAGGGAACCGTCATGCCCTCTCACTCGGTCTTCGCCAGTCAGTTCGCCTTCGTCGCCCTCGGCCACTTCTCTCCTAAGCTATGAATTCTCCAACATTCGAGTACGTAACGATTAGAACCAAGACTAGCCGTTTCTTGCTAACGATGGAAAGCTTCTTCCCAATTACACATCCTCTTTTTTGCGCCCTGGGAGCAAGTTCACTGGTACGCAGCAATCAGACCGTCAGGTATACAATGTCGACGTTGAGATTAAACACGTTGACATGGTCGAATCCTACCTTTGTGGATACCTCCGTATACAAGGTCTGTATAGTGGTCCCTGCACTTCCGCATACGCACGAGATCGTTTCTAATCCTTGAAATTTGATTCGCAGGTCTCACTGAGGATCATCCTACATTGATCACATTTTTTGAAGGAGAAATAATTGGAACGAAGCACACCTTCAAAACTCGGAATGAAGCATGGGGCGCGTCAGAAAAAACCGATATGCACCATTGGGCGAGGTTTCCTGCGTGGCGACCGCTGGCCAAACAGGCGAAGAGACCCGACTTTACCTACCGCAACTTTGCACAACGTGAACACATATTCATGCGGTGGAAGGAGTATTTCCTTGTGCCAGATCATCGGGTGAGAACAATTTCGGGTGCAAGCTTCGAAGGCTTTTATTATATCTGCTTCAACCAAGTGGAAGGAACTGTGACTGGAATATACTTCCATGCAAAGAGTGAGAAGTACGTATTCGATTCTTCGTTCCCGCATAATTTTGCGCAATGGCTGCTAATCGAAATCTACGATTCACAGATACCAGCAGCTCGAACTCAAGCATGTTCCAGACCAGGGCTGTACACCAGCCATTGAGTTCCGCTAACGCTTGACAAACTCCATCCTGGCTGTATCCCCATTTTGGCCTTGAACTTCTTGCAAGTATAGGCTTTTCTGCATCTTACCAATTCTTCCAGTTTTTGTTTGTATACCACAGAAGGCCTGAGTAACCCTGGCCCTTCATCGTTCGGGTGACTGCTGCATGTTTCCTACTCGCGTTCTGTCTTGCCTTTTCATCTTAATTGGTTCTTATCTCTATTTTATTTATTCGACCCTCCCCCCTGGCAGTGGTGAGTTCTATTCACATATCACGGTGCTTGGAGAGTATATATCTGCCTAGTGCATCTATATTTCCCGAGTTATCGTTTCTTATACCGATTTATTTATTCACGTCTCATGATGTTTTGAAATTTGGCGTCTTCGTCAGGCGATACGGCTCTGCATCTATTTTTTTTGTCCTTCCATTTGGTGCTTTCTTTCCTTTACTTTTCTTTTTGCAGGAATCAATCATCTCTTAATACAGTCAGCATTGCTTGGTGGGTTTCGGACGGAATATCTCCTTGGCTTCTATCACTCTATTCCTCCTCTTGACTATCATGATTTATTTATCATTATCTTTTGATCATCATCTATCTACCGCCAGACCGCTATGCTGTAGTGCATATGGGGAAATTTTGACTCAATTCAATTTTTTTCCTTTTCTGCTTTTTGTCAACTGAGCCTCTATCTTAAACTTTCGTATACCTAACCACCTAATTAGAGAAGTAATTACCAATTGGAAAAAGAAGTCCCGAGAGTCAAAAGATTTCATGAAAATTGCATTCATTATCTCAAGTTTTGAAATGATAGGAAGTGTCATGTTATCTGAAACGCCAAAAGCTTCGTGTATTTGAGCTTTTTTTTATCGACCAACAGAAGGAAATCCTACACCCACACGCACAACCAAAAAACACCGCCGGGGGAAGATGAGGTCATTATTCGGAAAAGCACACAGAAAACAAGATATATACAGGAATATGGATGGATGAAGATGAAGAAGAAAATGAATGGTAGGGGGTATCACATGCAATCATCTTGTGGAGCGTCATATTGATCGCAAGCAAGGCTTTTCTTTCTAGGCGGTAGTGAGGGGGATATGTAAAGGGAATATAAATGAATATATCCCAGAAAAAAAAAAAAAATCACAAGTAGAATGGGTGGTGAGACTTGACTGGGGGTAAAAGAAAAATGAAACGAATCATGAGTATCCGTAGTTTGAGTTCTGGCGACTGCCCGAGTTGGAACTGCTGCCGCTGTGCTCACTGCCAGGAGTGGCCGGTTCAAGCACAACTTGTTGACGGATGGAGACGATCCAGTCGTGCTGTAGCAACTCCGTTGCCGTAGATCTCTTTAGAGGATCGCACTCGAAGCAGCGCCGCAGAAAGTCTATACCAAGATCGCTGAGCTGATCTCGTGTTGGTAGCTGAGGTTGATTTCCTTGAGCGATGTTGTACATGATGGCCCACTCGTTGTCGAGGGCGGACCATGGACGACGGCCCGTGGCCATCTCCAGAATCACACATCCTAAAGACCAGATGTCGACTGCTCCCTGGCGGTGAATCAATTTGGAAGAGTCACCGCGGATAACCTCGGGGGACATGTACATCGGAGTGCCGGTCATGGTTTTCTGATTTTTGCGTTGATGCGTCGCCTGGGCGTCTTTCGGAACAAGTGCTTCCTTGTGGCCAGCACCAGCAAAAGCATCCATTGGTACGGCGGTCTTGCCTTGGCGTGCAATGATCTTTGCCGCACCAAAATCGACGTATTTGATGATTCCGTTGTGGTCGAGCAAAATGTTCTCCGGTTTGATATCGCGATGGACGATACCGGACTGATGCAGATACGCCAATCCTTCAAGAAGTTGGAGCGCGTAGACCATGATGACTGTTTCATCTTCAACACGTCCATGCTCAAGCAAACTGGCAAGCGAACCACCAGAACAGTATTCCATGAAGATGTAGACCTTGTCACGATGCACCTCGATACCATGGTATGAAACAATATTGGGGTGGTCCAAAACTTCAAGAACACCCATCTCATCTCGAATCTGCTGGGCAATTCTTGGAATGAATTGGGGATCCTGTAACCGAATTTCCTTGACTGCCATGAGATAGTTGCTGTCCAAGTTGATTGCAGCATAGACAGATCCAAATGTACCACCACCAATAAACTGGCCCTGCTGCCACCGCAAGGTAACATTGGTCGCTGATGAGGATAGCACCGTGAGAGACCTGTCAGCCTCATTGGATCCTTCTAGCACTCGCCCCAATGCTTGACGTTTCGCATCTTCGTCCACCCTCCTTTCCTCGATTTCGAAAATGTGAGCCGAACGCTGCTCGCGAATAAGCTTCATTGCCTCATCATCCGTTAAAATCCGACCGCCACCAATCTTTCTTGCTCCTGCACGCTCCTCCATGCGTTGCTTTTCGGCTTGAGCGGCGAGAGAAGACCGAGCGCCCATGATATCGAAATGGGAAATCAGAAGGGACATACAGCCGGCCACCTTTAGCCTTAAATGACCGAACTCTGCATCGTCCATTGAGAGAAGGTGCCTGCTAGAGGTTATAGCCATAGCAAACTCAAGTGCAGACACAGCCCACTTGAAGGTTTTCCGATCAGCAGCATCACAGTCATCGCAGATGAAAGAAACCCAGTCAAGCGACAGCTCCACGAGTCGGGCGCTGTTCATCGCACGTCTGTTAGGGTCGACGTAAGTCGAAGAGCGTTTGCCAAATTCCGTTGCAAAGGCATAACAGGCTTGAACGAGTTCTTGGTTTTCAACATTTTTCGACCTCAGTTGCTCCCTGACAATTGCAACACTGTCCATGATCGCCATCGAAAGCTTGAATGAAATCTTCTTGATTTTGTTCAGTTCTACGTTGACCCGTCCAAGGTTCGCGCGTTGCTCGATAACCATGTCGAGTTGAATTCCAGTCAATTGAGACAATTCGTGCCTAGCATTAGACAATCGTTGCTGGGTTCCCTCGACTACGAGTCGAAGTTTGCCAATCCGTATGTCTGTGGGTTGCTCTAGAATCTCTACCTGCATCTCCTTTCCAGCCCAGGACAGCGGCTTCTCTGGACGGACTACCAAAATGTAGGGAGCGTGAGGCGAATCTTTAGTGATATCTTCCTCACGAAAAGAGGTTGCAAGGATGGCCTGTATATCGGTGGGGCGGTTCCACAATGCGTGGTGCGCGAAAAGATATACGCCCTTTTGTCCAGTGGAGTTGTTTGATTTCACCAGGAAATGGTCTGATATCAACAAAGCCTCAAGGAATTCATATGCAATATCAGCGGAGAGGTTATACTCGGTAGCATTTTCGAAGAGCTGGCGCAAAAACCGAGAGAATCGATACAGTTTCCGTTGTCGAATTCGGGTCGAGTCCAGGATACTTTTGTACCGTTTGTCCATCTCAGTCGGGTCTTCGTTTTGTCGTGCCGTTAGCTCTCGATCGAAATGAATCATCAGACGCTGAAGCGATCTAGCAGTCAGAGCACTGGTGTCATATTAGCAAATATTTAAAGGTCAACAGGCAGTAAATAACCGTACCTGAACTGTTCAGCCACTTCAATATCTCCACCTTCAAGTTGGCGGCCAATTTCATTTGAAAACCCCCATTCTTGTTCAAGAATTTCTGCTTCTTTGAACGTGTTTTTGTTTGCATTCAATGTCCAATTCAACAATCGAAAATAGTATTTCATGGCATCCAGCACAACGGAATCGAAGTTCTCATCGACACAAGGAGGGAGATCCCACCCCGGCTCCGGTCTGGAAATATCCACGTAGCGTTGTTTGATTTCTACAGCGACTCTCATCAAAATCTGAAATTGGGAGATCATCTGGTCAAGCAATATGGGAGACTGCTGGGCCGGGTCTTTCATGGTTTTAGCGTACGATAGACGAACACGAATGATTTCCTGTATGAGTCGTGAAGGAAAGTTGATGAGAGTGAGAAGTTCTTCAATATACGGCGGCAAATGTCGTTTGGCAAAAGCTTCTGAGTTTTCAATTAGTGTGCTCTTTGCCTTTTTGATTACTTCCCCTATTCCATGTAGCATATTATGGTCTCCTTGGAGATTCTTGAGGCCATCCTCTTTCATGATACGATCAAGAAAAGTCGATTCATCAGATAGATCACTGCTGATGGACTTGGTTCTTGGCTTGCTAAAGTCAAGTTCATTATTACCAACCCACTTCTGCAAAATGGCGAGCTCAGTATTGATGAGAGCAGTGGTGTTGTGCCACGCAAAAATGGCCTCACGACTTGCGCAGAAATCTTCCGAAGCGACACGAGGGTTTGCCGTTTCCAGTTCTTTGTGGGTGGGATAGAGCATTTCACATTTCTCAATGTTTTGAACAACGTCCTCGACCTGCTGGATTGGCGACTTGCCGACCTCCGTTTCTCCTTTGATCTCAAAATTGATGATGTCCTCCAGCAAAGGTCCCAGGTTGGAGCGTGACTCCTCGATAAGCTTTCGCTGTAGAGCAACGCTGCGGCCGCAAGTCCGTGCCCTAACACCCACCCAGATGGCAGTATTTTGAGCTGCTGACCTCTTTGTATCTGCGGATCCAAGCATGCGTTGCTTTTCCTGCTTAACAACATCTCCCTTCAGCACTGAAGCCAGCATAGAATGCCACTCTAGCCGCTCCTGGTTCTTTGGGTTTTTGAGTTCATCGATGGTGGGCTGGTTATCGTCGGCGAGGAAAAGCTGGATATCGGGATCGTAAGTATCATCCTCGAAAGGTGCCTCGGAAGAGGGTGATGGTTCCTCGAAATCCGAGTCCGCCACCATCATCATATTTTGGGCCTCATCGAAATGGTTATACCAGGCTTGAGGATTAGCCCGGATGCGTTGAACATATGCCTTTTCCTGGGCTCGGTACTGGGCATTTGGGTCACGTCGAGGGGTCCTCTTGGCGGAGGACGATCTTTGACGGTCATTCTGAAGGCTGATGTACTGAGGAGGACGTCGCTGGGGAGCATAAGTGTTGGACGGGGTCCTGGCAGGACCGGAAGGGCGCTGGGGTCTCAAGTCTGGGTGAGGCTCGACGGGGGGTACTTTTTCGAGAGCGGCCGTAGCACCGACACTGGCACCACGAGGACGTGTGCCGGATCCCGGAACCGATACCCACGAGGAGAGGCTGGAGGGATGGGATGGAGGAGGGGAGGAGGCGATGGTGGGAGTCGGGGGTTGTTGGATCTGACTGTCGAAGTTCTCTGCATAGTTAGAGTTGGATCTCATGGCAGCGTAGGGATCCTGCAAGAGCTCATCCGAAGAGCCAGAGCCATCGGAGTCATGGTTAGCAATACCGGGGTGCTCCATGATCTGGGATGCACGCTCTGGTTGAGTCTCCATCTCGCATCGTCGAAGCTGGTGGATGTGCCTCTGGGGCGAAGAGGAGCTTCCAAGTTCCAGGCGATAGGGGCTGTGGCGGTGCATGTCGGGCTGAGCCACTAGTATGGTAAATTACCGTAATTACGCTTCAACATATCATGGGTGAGACAATGAATCTATTCATTTCTTTCTTTTGGTAGATTTCCTTGTTAAGACATGGAGTTTTCTGGAGTAATTCATGATATGGGAATAAATAATAGAAATTTGTGATTGAAGAAGGGAGACTGGTATGTATGGGCGATAGGTATCAAGCCGAGCAAGGGCCAGAGCGACAACGATACCCAAGATTAGCCGGAATTTCTAATGCACGCTTACTATTTGACTCTTCCAGCCAACTGTCAGATTCATCATTGCATCCTATTGTGGTATAATGGCCTTTCATATCCATCACATCAGGTACTAAAGGGGGAAGAAAGAAAAAGAAAGGAATAAAAAGAAAAAATATATGACATCTGCATAGCAGATCAGGAGTATTATTTGAAACTATCGAGACGTTGCAGATATCGAAAACCGATCAGCCGAGTCGAATATTGGAATATCCTCGGCCAATAGGAGTAGATACAGTTATCTTGAGGCGAAGTGGCTGAGAACACGGATAGTGGAATTTTTATGATTCTTTTGGGCTGATGATATCTCGAGCCTAGAGTCTATGGAGTATTAGACAGACAGCCCTACCACTTACCCATCTGGAATGGTCCACAGGATGGTCGATGTGCCTGGGGTTATGGAGCATGTGAATTCTGTTTAAGCGCCTTGGTTCTGTCTGGACTGACTTTGACGGAATTCTTGTTTCTGTATAGCTTTATACTCTCCCAGTGTCTAAGTAGGCGATGTCTATGAATCATTCTTCCAAACAAAGTCCTGCCATCCATGAATCCAGGCAATAGACGGGAGTGTAAAGTGTAAACAAAGTATAGGTCAGCTGTGATAAGGAAAGGCTGCTGCTGATTGGCCGACAGCGTGAGATAAGGTCGATAAGTGCACTCTGACAGATATATCAAGTCATTCGATGAAATCCATAATCTACACTGTTGAAGTCTTTTGGACTTGAATTCAGTATTAGAAAAAGAATAGAAACATCGTCCATCAACGAGTCTATATGGAACTATCTGGTGGTGTCCATCATCGATGCTGTTCCCTGTCATATGGCGATGATAGAACCCGACGTTCTGATTGGCCCGCTGGACCTCATATCTACAACCAACTGAACGCTGTCAACAATCTCTTTTCCCATTATTTGCGCCGATCTGTCACTGAATCTCAGGGTCTCTACTATCGCTAATCTGTCATCGGTCTCCTATCTTCGGCCGCTTCCACGAATTTACCCCGGAGAACGTCAGCCTCAAGCCCGTATCCAGACCCATGCTTTGATGGTATGCATTCGATCATCACTGCACAGCATCAAGTACGATTGTAGAGTATCATTCAAGAGATGCTTATAACGGATGTGGTAGAGATTATACAATGCCATCGTACTTGTAGATAGGTCCATGATCGTCATTTGTCGATGAATCCTCCTGACACTTGCATGGCTTGGCCAAAGACTCATATCGAGACTGGACTATTATGGCTACTAGCATCCATGGCGTGGTCTTTTCCTAGCGTCCGAACAGTGGGGATTCTTGGAACGGCGCGCCATGGCCTTTCTGACTCGTATCTGCATGTGCATATGTATTTATTCCTATCTGCCCATGTCACATTTTCTGTCTTGTTCCTTTCTTCTGTCCATTCCATCTCGTCCTTTTGTCGTCGCTCGTTATCGAACAACTCTCTAATCTCCCACCCATCGATATCGAGAGAGCTTTTGGGTAGCCTACTCCATCGCCTATAGGAGTGCCTTCTATTCTTATTTTACGTGTCTTTGCTTTGTTGGACTTGTGGCACCGGTCTGCCGGGTGAGGTTTCACAATGGCCGAGTATCCTGTGGCCTACAATGGGTCCATAGCCACTGGGGGTGACTCTTTGACAGAGGATCTCAATATCTTCTACAGTGTTAGTGTTATCATCGTCCTTCTCTGGGCTTGACGAGGCACATCTCGCTAACTATGCTATCAGTCAGGCGATATCGCCTGGGTGGTTACGTCCACTGCTCTGGTGTTGCTCATGATTCCTGGTGTCGGGTATGGATGAAAAAACTATCTCTGATACGTTAAAATACTAACGAAATTAGGTTCTTCTATTCTGGACTCGCTCGTCGAAAGTCGGCCCTCTCGCTCATATGGCTCTCGATAATGTCGGTTGGAGTGGTTTCCTTCCAGTGGTTCTTCTGGGGTTACTCGTTGGCTTTCTCCCATACTGCTGGAAAATACATTGGTGATCTCAACAACTTTGGTCTCAAGGGTGTCCTGGCCGCTCCATCGGTTGGAAGCGACAAGGTCCCTGATATTCTCTTTTGCGTCTTTCAGGGCATGTTCGCCTGCATTACGTGAGTGGCTCCAATCCTCCATCTGTACGAAGTACTGTGCAGATATGCTAACAGCCCACTTTTAGTGTGGCACTTGCTGTTGGCGCAGTTGCAGAGCGTGGTCGCATGCTGCCTTGCACTGTCTTCATGTTTATCTGGACCACGATCATCTACGACCCTATTGCCTGCTGGACTTGGAACTCTTCGGGATGGGTCTTCAACCTGGGGGGATTGGACTTTGCTGGCGGCACGCCAGTGCACATTGCCTCTGGCTCTGCTGCTCTGGCCTACTCTGTTATGCTCGGAAAGCGTCGTGGACACGGAACCCATGAGCTCAACTACCGCCCGCACAATGTCACCCACGTTGTCATTGGAACCGTGTTCCTGTGGGTTGGATGGTTTGGATTCAATGCTGGCTCAGCTCTGAGCGCCAATCTGCGAGCCGTCATGGCGGCTGTGGTTACCAACCTTGCCGCTGCTGTTGGCGGAGTGACTTGGTGTCTCCTCGACTACCGACTGGAGAGGAAGTGGTCTACTGTTGGATTCTGCTCTGGTGTCATTGCCGGACTGGTTGCCATCACTCCTGGATCGGGCTTTGTGACTCCTTGGGCGGCCTTTATCTTCGGTGTCGTCGGTGCTGTTGCTTGCAACTACGGCACGAAGCTCAAGTATGTTCTGAAGGTCGATGACGCTTTGGATATCTTTGCCGTCCATGGTGTTGGTGGTATCGTGGGCAATTTGTTGACTGGACTCTTTGCTGCGTAAGTTTACAACCCGGTTGAACTATGACGACAGCTAACGTGAGGAATAGTGACTACATTGCACATCTTGATGGCTCTACCACAATCGACGGTGGCTGGATCAACCACAACTACATCCAGCTCGGCTACCAGCTTGCCGACTCCGTTTCCGGCTTTGCATACTCTTTCTTTGGAAGCTGCATCATTCTCTTCGTCATGAACCTGATTCCCGGACTTAGTCTGCGGGCCCCCGAAGAAGACGAGATTATGGGTATTGACGATGCCGAGATTGGCGAGTTTGCTGTATGCCCCCCTTTCCTGTCCAGATGATCGAAGATATCTAATTAAGAATATAGTATGACTACGTTGAACTTACTCGCGATGTCGTCAACGGCGTTGAAACCGAGCACCCAATTGATGGCTCTTCCAGACATACCGGTACCCCCACCGGCAACGAACACACCATCGAAACAAAGGCCTAATGGGACTGATCATAATCGTTATTTCAAAGATTGGCTGCTTACGGAGTACAAGGTCCCAGTAATAGTCGATTCAGAAAAAATAATGTAGGGGCTACATATACGGGGCGGATTGTTTAACTGTACATATGTCTTCTTGTTCATTCTTGCTTCATCTTCTCTGACTCTTTTCTTTTGTTCTACTCAACACCATCACTCTTTAATAATTGGCCGGCTGTCACTATTTTAGCAGACAGGAAAGCTTTGTCTCATGTTACTTTACCTTATTATTATTATTATAGATAAACTCAGATACCCTACAAAAGAACCATCTATACACCATCCCACTAATGATAGCTATACCAATTCCCATAGCAGAGACAACCTGAGAACCACGAACCAACTCATTAAACAATTGACATAATGACTTACTTCTCGGCAAATACCCTCCACATCGGTAGAATAATCCAGATCCAATGAAGATCTGCTAAGCACAGTGTCTGTGTCGGAAAATCCGAGCCCATCTCCCCCCGCAATCCCCAGATTCGATTCGGGACCACATTTTCAGTATGAATTGAACTTCATTTACAACTCGTCAACTCCAATCATCTAGAAAAACAGCTGACAAATAGAATGACTTACTCTTTTACTTTGCTATCGATTGAATGATTGGTTTTGGTATGGTAAGCTTCTCAGTCTGGACTGGGGATATTCCGACTCTATACTAAAGATCGGATCAGATATAAGTGGGTTGAACGTCCCAGTGAATTCTACTTTCTGCTACAACCAAATATTTCAATTATTCTAACAACTAGCCAAAATGCATATTCTCGGTATTGCAAATGGCTCACTCGATGGAAACTCGGAGATTCTCCTAAAAGCAGCCCTGACTGCTGCCGTGAAATTCAACACCTCAATTACGACTTCATGGATCCACGCTCCTTCAGTCCGCGTGCCCAATAATCCCAAGCCGTTAAGTGGCTCCCAGGATGTCTCTGCGGGAACCAATGCGGCGTTTCAAAGTGCGGAATCAGGGACAGGCGACAGTTTAGATGATCGCGCTGCTGTTCTGAATGCAATTCTCAATGCCGACGCTCTGATCTTGTCGTCCCCGATTTACAGCCATCAACCTGCGGGGACGCTCAAGACACTGGTGGATCGTATTCTTGGCCCCTTTACCGATGTGGCCCTTGCCAAAAAGACGATCGAGATGAGGGCCGGGGATCCACGGTTTGTGGACAAGAATGTTGATTCACGACTTCTCAAGCCACGGGTGGTTGGGTTCATGGCTGTTGGTGGCTCGACAAATACCGACCAGATCACTATGGCGTTGCCTACGATGCATAATCTCGTTTACTCCCTGCACGCCAAAGTAGTCGATCAGGTTGTGTTCCAAGGTTATGGTGCTCCCGGCTCAGTGTTAGCGACAGGCAAAGGCGACGCGGTAGAAAGAGCCGAGACGCTGGGAGAGAACGTTGCCAGCCAGCTTGGAAGGCAGTTTGATGAAGCCAAATACCTGGGCCCCGAGCCGACGGGAGCATGTCCGTACTGCCATTTATCGAAGATCGATATGTTTTGCACAGGGGACAATAAGATCGGCTGCGTTACCTGTGGAGCAGAAGGGAAGCTCGTCGTGGGGGAGGATAATGTGATTCGTCCTGTTTGGGAGGCAAACTGTTCCATCTCATGCATCACCATGGCAGGGAAGGAGAAACACGTCGACGATGTGATGAGAACCGGTCAGCAAGAGAAGCAGGTTCTTCATTCTGACCCTGAATTGGCGACGAAGAGGGAATATTGGCGGGCTGTTCAGATTCCTAATGTTCCTCTTCCTAGTAATCAGCGAGCTCAAAGGCTGTAGAGAAGTGCATTAGCAATTGCCTAAGTCTTTGAATGAATTATCCCTATTTAGTTATTAGTATGTCAATTTAGAAGTGATATTAGCCTTTTTAAAGATATATTCAAAACAAACTGGTGTTGTCAAGATTTGCCTCTCAGCGGAAGCCCGGGCAATCGTCACCGGCAAAGTTGGAAACTGCAGCTTGGAGCTCTGATCTCACCCCGCAAACCCAGATACCCCAGCTGCTATCCAACCCAACTGCCGACTGATTTCACGATCTTGTCAGATCTATCGCATCTTCATTTTCTGCATTCATTTTACTCTCGGAATATCCGCCAAGATGGCATCTCACAGCCCCAACGAAGAGGGCGCATTGAGCAACTTTCCGCAAGACCCGTCCGATTTCGACAGCGACCCTCGAATCTCGTTCTCAAAGCTCGACGACAAATTCATATTGGAAACAGATGATGGACAGGAGTTTGAATACGATACAAAACTGAAGCGATGGGTTCAGACGGTGTGTGCGCGCTTCCTCTGCAGCTGGTTGCCCCCTGGCTTTTTTTCTCTTTTCTCTTGTTTTCGCGATTGCGATCGCGTAACCCGGGGGAGCAACAAACGTGAACCGCTTCCACCACAATACTTGCTACATGGGATTTATGGTTGGTTCGTGAAACTGATTTCGTGGTTGGCGCGGTCTTTCTGCGCCCGCGGGTATTACTCCAGGTCGATGATGAGTTGCTTCGACAACAACAAGAAGCCTATAAAGTACAAGGAGTCGATGAGAATGAGCTGGTTACTGCGCAGCATCTGAAGAAGAAGCGGAAACAGCAAGGGAATCTGGATGGGGTCAGTGACGTTCTACTCTCTATTCTACATTGGAGATGGGTGCTGATTGAAAATGAATTTCTAGCCCAACGCGCAAAAACCCAAGAAGCAGCGTGTCAATACGGCGATTTATGTGACTTCGATCCCCCTCGACGCTGATTTTGAAGAAATTCGGGATACTTTCTCCAAATGCGGTGTTATCGCAGAGGAGATTGACAGTGGTCGACAGCGAGTTAAGATGTACACGGACGACGATGGGAAATTCAAGGGCGAAGCTCTTATCGTGTACTTTCGTCCAGAGTCTGTCAACCTTGCGATTCAAATGTTGGATGATTCGGACTTCAGACTGGGAGTGACGGGACCCATGGGGCCTATGAGGGTCCAGGCCGCCGATTTCTCCTTCAAGAGCCAGCAGGAGGCACCGCAGAAGACCAGCATGAAAGATAAGAGGAAGATTATTCAAAGGACTCAGCGGTTAAATAAGTATGTCACTCTACAGTCTACTTATGGATTATGAGGGGCCGTTCGCTGACATTTGGATAGCAAACTTGCTGATTGGGATGATGATGATCCGTCGGCGATGGCTGACACGAGCTCCAAGCTTGAGAAGGTCGTTATACTGAAACACATGTTCACTCTGCAAGAGTTAGATGTACAAGATTATCCTTTCAACCTGTCCCTGACTTGGCAAAGCTGACAATTCGACAGGAGGACCCTGCAGCAATCCTCGATATCAAAGAGGATATTCGGGAAGAGTGCTCCAAGATAGGAGAGGTGACAAATGTCGTATTATACGACAAGGAAGCAGATGGAGTGGCCAGCGTCCGCTTCGCCGATCCAGAAGCTGCAAAGCAATGCGTAAAGGTATGTTTCTTTTGTGAGCAGATATAATAACCGGAGGTCTAAAGCTAAGAATGTTCAGGTTATGGATGGTCGTTTCTTTGGCGGTACTCGCGTCGAGGCCTACGTCTCAGCTGGAAAAGAAAAGTTCAAGAAGAGCAACGAGAAACGGGCAGCCTTGGAAGACATGGCTGAACGAGGCATTGACGCCGAGGATGAAGAGGAAGACCAACGACTTGATGAGTTTGGCACGTGGTTGGAGAGCTCTAATGTTGTGGAGAACAGTGCGAAATAGACTTGACTTGTTTATGCTTGATGCTCTTTACACTTGGTATTGGTCACTATTGGGGATTGGGGGTCTTCCGCTCAAGTATGGGGTAACTTTTTGTACAATAGCGTAGTATTACATTAGATGAACATGGTTGTTACTTTTCAACATTAGAACTAATCCAATCTGACTCAAATGCCCATCATCCATCAAGCGTAACTTGATCCTCATTATTAGTCTCCTATCGCGTTGTTTTGGCCAGCGCATCTGTGGTTCGTTCCTGCGCGGAACGGCCTCTGAGTGGTCCCGTGACGGGCAGCCCCCCTATTACCGTCCCTCTTTATTCGCCCAAAAGCCGCCTAACCGTCTTGGGTTTGTTGATCTCCGCCCACACAACGGACAACTCCCCTTCCTCACCGCTCAACTCTCTCTCCTGCTACTCGACCCTCATCTCGTCTTTCCATCTTCCCTTCTTCCTCTCTCCTCGCCCATCCGTCAGTCGCCTACGACCTCTTTCCACCACCCTTTTCAAACAAACCACCTAATACTTCCACAATGCGTGAGATCGTACGTTTCTCTCCCACCCCTGTAGACGCGTCTTTCTGCGATTCACGTTTTTCCCCTGAACCCCCACTCGTTCGGATGTTACAGATTTGCTGACTTAGTTCCTTTTTCTATTTTACAGGTTCACCTCCAGACCGGCCAGTGTGTAAGTTCGAACTCGTCGATATGATAGAATTGTGTTTTTTGGGAGGGGAAAGGAAGGATATTATATGTTGGGATCAAAGACTAAACTTGAATGCTGGTATTAGGGTAACCAAATTGGTGCCGCTTTCTGGTATGTCCCACTGATGATATAATGGAGGGGACAAAAGAATTGGATTCCTCCACTTTTAAAGGCAATTTGCTAACAAGTTCATAGGCAAACCATCTCTGGTGAGCACGGCCTTGACGGTGCTGGTGTGTGAGTACATCCTGTATTTTGGCGGTGGAGGAAAAAAATATGATCAAATGTCTGATGAAACGACAGTTACAATGGCACCTCCGACCTCCAGTTGGAGCGTATGAACGTCTACTTCAACGAGGTCCGTTATTCGAAATCCTTCCGATGGATATAGCGGTATGCTGACAACCTACCCAGGCTAGCGGACACAAGTATGTTCCCCGTGCCGTTCTGGTCGACCTTGAGCCCGGTACCATGGACGCTGTCCGTTCCGGTCCTTTCGGCCAGCTCTTCCGCCCCGACAACTTCGTCTTCGGCCAGTCTGGTGCTGGTAACAACTGGGCCAAGGGTCACTACACCGAGGGTGCCGAGTTGGTCGACAACGTTGTCGATGTTGTCCGCCGTGAGGCTGAGGCCTGTGACTGCCTCCAGGGTTTCCAGATCACCCACTCTCTCGGTGGTGGTACCGGTGCCGGTATGGGTACGCTCTTGATCTCCAAGATCCGTGAGGAGTTCCCCGACCGTATGATGGCCACCTTCTCCGTCGTTCCCTCCCCCAAGGTCTCCGATACCGTTGTTGAGCCTTACAACGCCACCCTCTCCGTCCACCAGCTGGTTGAGCACTCCGACGAGACCTTCTGTATCGATAACGAGGCCTTGTACGACATCTGCATGCGTACCCTCAAGCTCAACAACCCCTCGTACGGTGACCTCAACTACCTGGTCTCTGCTGTCATGTCCGGTGTCACCACCTGTCTCCGTTTCCCTGGTCAGCTCAACTCCGACCTCCGCAAGTTGGCCGTCAACATGGTTCCCTTCCCTCGTCTCCACTTCTTCATGGTTGGATTCGCTCCTCTCACCAGCCGTGGCGCTCACTCTTTCCGTGCTGTCACCGTTCCCGAGTTGACCCAGCAGATGTTCGACCCCAAGAACATGATGGCTGCTTCCGACTTCCGCAACGGACGCTACCTCACCTGCTCTGCCATCTTGTATGTCTTTTCCAGATTCCGCCTTGAAATATTCCTATTTCTAAACTGACCCTTCTTTTCTTTAGCCGTGGTAAGGTCTCCATGAAGGAGGTCGAGGACCAGATGCGCAACATCCAGCACAAGAACTCCACCTACTTCGTCGAGTGGATCCCCAACAACATCCAGACCGCTCTCTGCCACATCCCCCCCAAGAACCTCAAGATGTCTTCCACCTTCATCGGAAACTCCACCTCCATCCAGGAGCTCTTCAAGCGTGTCGGTGACCAGTTCAGCGCTATGTTCCGTCGCAAGGCTTTCTTGCACTGGTACACTGGTGAGGGTATGGACGAGATGGAGTTCACTGAGGCTGAGAGCAACATGAACGACTTGGTTTCCGAGTACCAGCAGTACCAGGACGCCTCCATCTCCGAGGGTGAGGAGGAGTAGTAAGTTTTCCCACGATGCTCTGTTTTCATTGACAAGTGCTAACCTCATCTGCAGCCCCGAGGAGGAGGTCCTTGAGGGTGAGGAATAAATTACTGGTCTTGAGTGACTTGAATTGAGACCTGCTCAGTAATACCCCTCATAAACCCACGTTCTCTACGGGAGTGGCCTGTCTTACCGGCCTTCACCCTACCTGAATATTTTGTTTGAGCGCTCTTAATTTTCTTTCCTGTTTCTAATTCCCAAATGACCTTCAGAGGTCTTGAAACTATCGAACTTGAATAGCACATATTGAAAAGCAATACACCCAGTACATCTACTTTTCAAATGTGGATACTTGTAATCACTTTTATTATTGAGGTTGCCGCTGGTAAATTGAACAAAAGCTGAGCTTTTTGATGATGACTTCACTGCACTGCACAGCCCTTAAAACTAGCCTGATAGTATATCCTAAGACAACTACGCCAGCCCATTTACCAACGAAATAAAATGGACAGACATAACACTATATAAGCTAATGGAACGGGCATTTGCCCGTCCGGGAAGTTTTGTACTCCTCTACTGTCTTTTCGAGATACGGTAGACCCTTTCCTTCAAAAGACTTGGGGCCTGCATTCTCAGTATGGTAGCCCTGTGGGTAGTACTTGCCCCCTTCATCTCCCGGCAGCGGACGACCCAGGGCCCAGGTTATCCATGCAATAGGGCCCCATCGATTCCAGAGAGAGGGCTTGACGTAGTATGGGTCCGCGTCCCAGCTGGTGACGAAGAATCGGCCGTTTTCGTCAGGTTCATTAGTTGTGGTCTCGTAAGGGAGGAAGTTAGGACGGGGAAAGGCAAGGTAGCGCATTGTGAATTTGCGGATAGATAGGAGAGATGAGAATAGTTTGGCTTGGGATGGAGATGGTGGGTCATAGCTATATTGACGATAAGTTATTATTGACGGAGTGGAAAAAGTGACGAGTGCGTGTGTACTCACTACATGGCTTTTCGTAGCCGTTCGTCCATCATGAAGGAAACGAATTTCAAACCAAATTGCTCCAGTGGCTTGGGGACCATATATAGGATCACAGGGGTTGTCTGGTCGGCGGTCTCGCGATTTGCAGGATGCGGAACCATATTTTGGGCTTCATACTCGTCGCTCCAGGCGGCGATTTCCTCGAGCCACTGAACTCCATCGCGGAACCCCGTCTTGCCCGATGGGAGTTTGTCGTAACTGATATCCAGGCCATCGCCCACACTCTTCCAGAAGGTGCCCATTGCACATCTCTCGAGGTCCGTCATCTTGCGCCATTCATAACTCTCAACGAAGCGGACAGGCTGGATGGCGAAAAGGCCGAGCGTATACAGCATGTCATCATCTAGGATCTTTCCAGACGCGCGGTAGCCGCTGTGCATATACCGGGTGCGCGCAAGGCCGCTGTATGCACGCTTCGAGGTCGGCGCATTGCCCATGAACTCCTGGATCAAGATATTGGTATCGGAGTAGCGTTTGAACGAAGTTTCGGCGTTGGAGAACTCGCCGGTCTTGACGAGTAGTTTCGATATGCTGGGTATTCCATATGTCTAGTCGTCGGTGAGAAAAGGCAAAAAAGCAGCAGCAAGGGAGGTGCTGAGTTCATGGACCAACCCTGAAGAGAGCAAACTGAAGCGCTGTGATGAAGAAGAAAGGAAACTCGAATTTCACCATCGCCTGCTGGATCTCGAAGGCTTCATCGTCCGTCATCTGAGCCAGAGACTCGCGGGTGGAATATTTGGCATATTTCTGATGGAGGCGATTCACTCGTCGAAAACGCAGGAGGGAGATGAGAATGGGATACGAGACGAGCAGCACAAGGGCATAACTGAAGATCTGCGAAGATGACGATGTAGTGGGAAGAAAGGCTCGGGCCGTGCTGTTGGCAGATGCCACAGGCGCCAGGAGAGGATCGCCTGTCATGTTTGTGTAACTGACGCGAAGATGGATCGATATGAAGCTGATGAAGCTGAAGAAGCTGAAGAAAGGTCTGCCAGTTCTGTTTTCACCGCCCACAAATGTGAGGAATGTTGGATCGACGAGTCGCAGAAGCAGTAACCATCACGGGGTCCAATCAGACAGGATTAATATCGAATCCAAGGTCTTTCAACAAGAAACCCTAGATGCTGATAATAAATACGGACTAGAGATGCGACAGATGGATTGACCAGCTCCGATCGACAGCCAGAGATGGTTGCTGTCGCTGTCTGGCAGCTTCTTCAGCTCTTCATTTGTTTTTTTCTGCCTCTTTTCTTCCCCGCACGGCTTCGTCCTCCACTTCGTTTTCTTCTCCGCGAATCTCGGCTTTGCCGTTAACAACCTCATGTTTCACCATGTGTTACTTGGTCTTCTGTTTCAGATTCGATCTATCATTATAATTCTTGTTATTACTATGATGAGGTTTTACTAAAGGTCTCTCAACCACATGGGTACAATCTCATTCACTGCTTTACAAACACTGGCGTTCAGATCAACCTGCAACAAGTGCTATGTACGATGTGCGCTCTATATCATCACGGCCGTTATCTCATCGTCCGATCAGCCAAATTCCTCCTTACTGCCTCTTGTTCATCCCGGACATCGCAGTACGGTTTACTTTGTCCAAGACTGACGATCTTCGATGGCCTTCCTTAATTGACGGGCTTAGCGGCCAACCATCCAGAGTTCTAACATCCTCAAAGGCGGGAAAGCAAGAGCTGTGAATCCTGCACCCAGCCATAGTCCCAGGTCAGCTCCGCCGGCAATAGTGAGTGCAATGGGGCCGGTATAATATACTTGGTCCTATCAAGATGGAGTTAGCCAAATGACTCGGCATATTTTGACAACGAGACAGTTACCATTCCGACAATGGCTCCAGCCCAACCGACCAGAAACGATATGCCAGCGGCCACTCCAAGGGGTAGCTTCCTCCAATTGTTCCATATAGACCAGTCATAACTTTTGTTGCGGTTGAACAGGATATCCTCTTCAGCAACAATTGTGAACCAGATGATAATCCAATAACCAATGAGTGGCAGAAAATTCTGAAAAATTTCATACAAAGAATCACGACCTCCAATCGCGCAAGCCGCATAAATGACAGTGGTGAGAATAGTAAAGAATGGACGGGGGATTTTCAACCAATAATCACCCAGCATCTGAAAGTTCATGGCCATCGAATACGATCCAGGAGCATTGCAGGCAACTACCCCAAGTACGTTAATCACAGCACAAATTTTGCCAAGTACTCCAACACTGTCATATCCTGCCATCAGCAGACTTCCCGGCGTGCCGTCATATATCGCTTTCCACTCTGAAGTGTGCGTCACTCCTGTTCCAAGGCCAACGCCCATGAGAACTGTGATGGCCATGCCTAGGTACGCCCCGATCGAGGTCATCGACCACGTCAGGCTACGCTTGGTGGTCGGCTGGTAATAGACATAGTAGTCTGCTGAAAGGGGAATCCATGCCACTGGGATTGACAAACAGAGCGAGAAAAATGACAGATGTTTGGCATTGACTCGCTCCGGGGACCCTACCGACACAGCATCAAAATCAAACCGAGAAGCAGCCGATCCAATCAACACACAAAAGGTCAGCAGCTGCGGTAACCAGGCAACTCTGCAATGTGGAACACACATTCAGTAAGTATTGGGGGATTTTCAGGCGATAAGTTATCGAATCGGCATACCTTTCATACAGCTGGAAAATACGCATACCAAAGGTAGCCATCGTCCAGCTCGTGAGGGAGACAATTATAATTCCAACAATGACAGAAAGGCCTCCTCCCGATACTTTCGAGAGGATTTGGCCTCCGATCACTGAATTAATCATGCCATATCCCAAGTTTGTGAGTACATTTAGTACGCAGCAAATCTTTCCAGGGTAATACCCCATAAAGTATCGGGCTACAATCTATCGAAAAGATAAATGAGCCATGAGCCATCGAGCGCTGAGCCATATAAATGAGTATTTGAGAACTGGGCGTGGACATGAGGTGGAAGAAACAAGCGGAACCTATGGGGTAGATCAACCATACCAGTGTGCGATTTCCGCTCTGAGGACCCCAGGTACTCATATACCCAACCGCCAAACATCCCAAAAATACCCCGAAAATTGCGCATAGAGCAGCGTCGGTGAAGCTCAATTGTAATCCAATTGTTCCAATCGATCCAACAATGATGTTGTTTATTGCCAGGCCCATACTGAACCACATCAGGAGCATATGGAATGAGGTTGATGCTTTGGCGTCTTCACGCTCTTCAACCGGAATCGGCTCGATGCCACGAGTCTCAACATTGAGCTTGGCTGCCCATCGCTGGTATCTTGACTGATGAACTTCTCTTGTTTCTTTCGATCCATGGTTTTCCACATCTTCCTGTGCAATGCTCCGAAAGGTAGGCGATTTGTGGTTCTTTTCAACTTCCGGGTCCATGCTGGACTGTATAAAGCAGGCAGTTCAAAAATGTTGGACAATATATGGAAGAGGAAAAAGCCCCGAGTTCTTCTAACGTCTTTCTCCCGTTGTCTTTGTTCAGACAAAACTCAATGTATAACAGGCGGCCAGAAATCAGTATTATACCCCAAGCACAGACATATCAGCACGACAACAGGCACCAATAAAGGGTGAGTCGGCCTATTCCTATATGTATAAGAGGAGGTGGGAAAAGGATTCCAGGCCGAGGCCAGATTCGTTACTCGGTGATACTGGATTGACATCACCCTATCCTTCCGGTGTAACACCTGCACTACAGATATCAGGCATTCCACAGCATCACGGGCCCCCGGGAAAGAAGGGTGGGTGGATGCACCTCCTGCTGCGCATCCCCGAGCTCAATGACACATAGAATGAGGCGCTGTGGCCTGTATGTAGTAGCCTACCATCTGCACGCTACGTCGGGATCTATATTTCTTCCCAAAGAAACAAGGGTCTAGGAATCTTCCATCCACACCCCACGGACCTTCACCAACCCCCGACCCACTCACCTTTTTTTCATTAAACTATTTTATTTTTCTTGTTCCTTTTCTTTGGAATTAAAAAACCTTTATGCACAACAGGTTACAGGAGCACGATATCGCCATACGTTGTGTCCCGGCGCAATCGACACATACACCCACCCACAACCACACATACCACATGCTGATTACCAACGGTGTTAAGCTCCAGCGAATACTTTGCTTGGTATGCGCCAGCAATGCAAGGAGCGCCACGGGGGAAAAAAAAGGAAAAGAAGATCATACGTACTATTACCTATTAGGCACTAGGTCCTGTGAAATTCCAGGTCTCAAAGGCCGGTCCCATGTCACCATACATGTGAGAGATCAGGTAATCGAGCAGGGCAAAAAAGACCGGAGTGGGAAGAAGGAGAACGGTGATAACATATCTCACGCGATCTTTTTTAACCCCCTCATTCATTTCCCTCTTTTGTTTCTTCAAGGGAATACCTGATGTCAACTTATCGTCAGTCAGTGGATTCTATTAACAAAAAGGGAAGGAATGAGACTTCTGATCGTGTTTCAGAAAGGGAGATCGAGCCACCAGCATTCTTGGGCCTGTCAGGCTTTCCCCAACCTCCTTCAGTCAGTCAGTTAGTCTGTTAAACCTTTCAAGGAGACTTTCGAATGTCCAAGTGGCAGTTATTCTATGGAGTCTACGAGTTGAACTGGGTTGAGTTTGAAAGTTTCACTTGATTGTTCATGAGAAACATGGAATTGATTGGATATCACCCCCTTCCCCCCATTAAATATTGATACAAGTAAAAATTACAAGATGTGCTTTTGAAGAGCTTGAAAAAAAAAGACAACCCAAAAAAAGAAACAAGAACATAACAAGAGAAAAAAAAAAAAAAAAAGGCCGGTCACTTTTGAATGAACAGAAGTAGAGGTCTAGTCGAAGAAACATAAACAGACATAAAAATCACAACAGAACAAGAATGAATATGCATTCAGTATGTCCAGCTTTTGCATATAGTAACAACAGAGGGTGGCATGTCAATAATAATGACTCGGTAGGGGCAAGGAAGAACGAAGAAGAAAAAAAGTCCACCCTCACTTTTTGCGCCAAAGTCCAATCCCCCAATGCAAAGGAGTGTGTCTATGAAAACCAGACCGAGTCCCGGGTATTTCATCCGCGTACGCCCCGTACCAGAAATATTAATAGAGAACAGAAGACGGATAGTAACAATAGAGAAACAGAGGGATATCAGACAGCCTGCACAGGTCAAATAAATAAGAACAAAGGATAGACAGACAAGAGCATATCAGCTTAAAAAAGAGGTAGTAACCAATCAAGAAGAAACAATATCAGACATCGAATAGCACAATTATTGGCAAGAAACTCGCTGGTAACAAACAATCCGTAAGGAACAATCGTTGTTCTTGGTCCGTAGACCAAACGTATGACCGAAAGGTAGATAAGGAGGGTATGAAGGATAAAAAGGGTCGGAATCAGCGCTATGACCTGCTCTGACTCTGACTAGATCGAGATCGTCTCGACGTGGATCTCCGGCTGCGGTGGGATGATGCCCGCGCAGGAGGCGCGTGCTCAAAGAAGGGGATCAGATCCGGATTCTGACTCGGAGGAGATTTTGAGCTTGAGAGGTAATCACCGACGAGCTGCTCGTCAGCTGCGGTTCCTGGATGGATCTCAATACCCTGCTGCTTATCCAGTCCACCATGGGGGGTACTGGATTGGAACTTGACCGCGTCTGCATCCTGGGGTCTCTCGATAGGCGACCACCCAGCAATACTACCGGCAACAACACCAGCCATGGCTGCTGCCGGGCCGAATGCAGAGGAGTTGGAACGAGACCGCGTGCGTTGTCTGGACCGTGAATCGGGTGTTGGGGGCTGGGAAATGTTGCCATTCTCCGGCACAGGTGTTCCAGGAATCGAGTTTTCTCTGGACCGAGATCCGCTGCGTGATCTCGGAAGCAGCTCCTCGGGGTGTTGTAACTTATGCTTGAGATGCCTCAATCGACCACCACGGACGGTCTTCATGAAAGTCAGCTGATCCCTAATTTCTTCCAGCGCAGGGTTCCACTGGAAGCGCCTATCTTCATCGGAGATGATGAGTTCAGGGCCCTTCTCGCGCTTCCAGAAAGTGGGAATCATTCTTTCGATGAATTCATCGGGGATCAACCGGATGATCACGGCCACTGGGATCGAAATGGCACCAAGGACCAGGGAAACACCCCACTGAGGCCCATTGAGGGCTTTGACTGAAAACGCTTGTCCACCAACAAAGATGATCAGGATCTGCCCACCAACGATGATGAACTGGATACCAATGAACCATCTGTTGCGGAAAAGACCTTCGAAAATGTTAAATTTGTTGTCAAGACGACGGGAATTCCACTGGTTGAATATTTGCATCCAGACAAAGGTGTTGAACACCACTGTCTCCATTTGAGCATCGTATCCGTGACCAAAGATGGATATACCAGCAAAATTCAAGACAAGAGTAACAACCAACTGGTAGATACTCTGGCCGATAATCATCTTCCACATCGTCAGACTGATGAGCGGTGCTGATTTCGGTTCAGGTCTTCGGTTGAGAACGTAAGGTGCCGGGGGATCCGTAGCTTTCAAAGAGTTAGCAAAGCTTGCAGCATACATCTGCGAGCGTAAAACATACCTAATGCAAGAGCTGCGAAAGTATCCATGATGAGGTTGACCCACAAAAGCTGCACAGCTGTAAGGACCGATTCCTCATCACCACTGGCAACTGCGGAGACGAAAGTAAGGATGACCGCAGTAATATTGACCGTGATTTGGAACTGCAGGAACTTCTTGACCGCGTCATTCACAGTTCTACCCCAAGCCATAGCCTTGACAATCGAAGCAAAGTTGTCATCCATCAAAATGATATCCGACGCCTCCTTGGCCACTTCCGTACCAGCGACACCCATGGAAAATCCAACATCGGCCGTCTTGAGGGCTTGAGCATCATTGGTACCATCACCTGTAACAGCCACTGTTTCGCCGAGCTTCTTCAGTTGAGTTACAAGAATCTTCTTGTCATCGGGGCTGGACCGCGCAAGGACCTGTAGTCGTGGGATAATCTGGGTCATCTGGCGACTGCTCAACTGGCGGAACTTAGGTCCTTCGATGGCAATACCTCCTGGAGTGAAGACTCCGCATTCCTCTGCAATAGCTTTAGCGGTCATGATGTTATCACCAGTGACCATTCGCACGAAAACACCTGCCTGCTGACATTTGTGCACAGCTTCCGCCACTCCAGGTCGCAAAGGGTCCTGGATCCCAAAAATTCCAAGAACAGTCATGTCCTTGAAAACGGCATCAAAGGCTGCGAGTCTACGGTCTTCCTCTTGAGTAGGTGCTCCGCGAGGTGGCCATTGCTCGAAATCACGGTAAATCAGGCCGATACATCGCAGCGATCGGGAGGCATATGTGGTCATAGTATTGTCCAAGGCCGTTCGATCTTGTTCGGAAAGAGGTGACTCGACCATGTCCTTTGTAGGATCACGAAGAATCCGTGTGCATTTAGCGGTCAAAATCTCTGCCGCGCCCTTGACCAACATTCGATATTTTCCGTTGTCCAGCTTGATGACCACTGCCATACACTTGCGAGCTGAGTCAAAGGGGACCATCTGAGCAACTGTCACGTTAGCCCTGGCCTCACCCAGCGATCCCATCCCGAGATAGGTCCTAGCCAGGCTTAACAAGGCGGTTTCCGTTTTAGATCCAATGAATGAGACCGCACCATCCTGCTCCCCTTCGAACGCAGTTGAATTGTGCACAATAGACTGGAGCAGAAGTTCTTTGGCTTGGGGAACCAGATTTGCTGCAAACTCGGAGGGTGATATATCGTTGGGGGCTTCGCTGCCGGCATGGTTGTCGGAAGTCTCGCGTGACTTGTGTCCAAATTTTGCCGTCATTCCCAGAGTGGCAGCAACGGCGGTCATCTTATTCTCCGTAAGCGTACCTGTCTTGTCAGAGCAAATCGTCGTCGCATTGCCCATCGTTTCACAAGCCCGCAGCAATCGCACCAGGTTATTATCCTTTAGCATCCGTGTTGTAGCAAATGCGAGCGCCAGGGTGACGGCCAAAGGCAGACCCTCAGGAACGGCAACAACAATGATTGTGACTGCAACGATGAATATCTGCAAGAATTCTTGTCCTTTTCTTTCTGCGCCATCGATAGTGTGCAGCTGAGCAAGAAACTTGATAAACAACACAACAAACAGCAGTAAACCGGAAGCGAGACCAAGCTTGGCGATATATTCAGCCAGGACGTTCAACTTGGACTGAAGGGGTGTGGTCTGGCCTTCATCCTGGAGAGACATCATCGTTTTTCCATAAGTCGAGTTGACACCAACAGAGGTAACCAAAAACGTTCCCACACCCTCGGATACCTTACCGCCAGAGACGATAAATGGATCCATTTTGGCGAGTTTTTCATGGTGTTCGATGGCCTGGTAAACCTCCTCTGCAGCGGTTTTACGCATCAAGTCTGACTCTCCTGTTGCCGATGATTCATCGCACTTCACATTGTGACCGTCGATGAAGACTCCATCAACAGGAATCAAGTCTCCGGGCTCCAGGTGCATGACTTCTCCGACCATCACATCGAAAATCGAGATTTCTGCCGTCTTCCCTGACCGTGTCACTTTTACGTATCGATCATCCTTTTTTTTGTTCAATTTCACAAACTGGCGTTCCTTCTGCCAATCGTTGGCAGCACCCACGATCACAACGATAAGGATAGCTACAATGATGGCAACGCCCTCAACCCACTGCACTCGCGCTTCGTTACCTGTTGCCGTGACAGATTGGTAGATTCCAAGGGCGAGGGAAATGATCGCAGCGATAGTAAGCAGAATCAGAACCTTGTCATTGTATGCTATCCATGCTAGTTCGAGGATACCTTTGGCCTTCTTCTCGGGCAGCTTGTTGATCCCGTAGACACGTTTCCGGTCAGAAAACGAATCGTTGGATAATTTGGTCGTGCTCGATCGGACTGGTCGCTGCGGGGGCTGCTGGGAGACAGACTTTGGTAGAGAATTGGGGGAGCCCGCAGAACTTGAAGTGGCCTCTGCAAAGCTCACAGCACCATCCAGGCTAGACTCGTCCACACTCAAGCCGCTTGTAATGTTAGTTCGAAGTCCCTTTTCCAACCCACGTATGCCACCCAGAGCATGCAAAGCACCGAGGTTCTTGGGGTTGAGTAGTTTATTCAGCTGGCCAGGCGAGAAGGCGAAGACGTTATCCTCCACCTCGAATTCGGGTTCCCGGCCTGGATCCGGCTTGAGGGCATCTTCGTCACTGACAAGGGTAGTCTTGGTGAGATCGGAATGCGAGGCCTGGGATGTAAAAGTGTCGCCTCCATATGAGCTCGAGGTCTGGTTGGTATCCTCCGACTCGATCGAGTTCCCGCGAGACCTGGTGCCGGGGACAGCCAAGTAATTGGAGTGGGAGTTGGATTCGGCCATTTTGGAAGTCGGTGATGAGACGTTGTGAGGGGAAGTCGGCCTACTTTCGTAGTCACGGCCTTCGGACGAAGCAAACGAACGGATGGAACCCGTTGAGCGCAGGTCGGTAGGCGAGGCACCACCGTTGTTGAGAAGGGCGCTTGTATCTGTAGCGTCTGCATTTTCCGTGGAGACCTGCAGCGACGGTTGAGAGGGAGCGGGCAGAACCTGCACCGGCGGTTGATTTTGATCCGGGGTCACCGCCGAAGTATCGATGGTGATGGTCGGTGCTCGTTCGCGCCGCAGGGGAGTCGATTGCTTGGAATCCTCCCCATCGTCCCTGGAATCCGACATGATCGGTCAAGGGAGAGAACCCGTCCTGGGGTTAGATCGTCAAGGAAAGAGGAGATGAGACCCAGAAGGGATACTGATATCAACAGGAATACAGCCCCAGAAGAGCAGATTGAACGAATCACGGCGGCCGAAGCGAAGACCTGTCATAAGTGGACAGTATGAAAAATGGCGGGGAGGTTAGGTTAGAGGAGGTCTTGATCGAGTCAACAAGCCATGGAGAGCGCCATGCAGTTAGATTGAAAGTGATATATGATCTATTTTGCAGCTCGTCCCACCAAAACCTGAGACAAACACAAAGAGGAAGATCCGGATATCCACATGGATTGGCGGATTGAAAAGAAGGAATAATATAGAGAGAAAGGATAAGAGAAGGTGTGAGAGAGAGAAAAGAGAAAAGAGGAGAAAGAGAGGGAACGAAATTACGCCACCCCAGCGTGCAGCGCCAGCGACACGTCTCGTTCAAGGCAGACTGCGATGATACTTCAGCACGACAGAACCAACCATGGATGGTGGAGAGAAGCGGGAGAAAGAATTGACCCAATCCCCGCGCGATCAAGTTCTGGATTCGTTCTTTCAACGGCTGTGACGGTCGATGGGACGATTAGTTCGGTGGTATTAGAAATTGGGGGGGGAGAAATGAAGCGTCCAGTGGTGATGGGAGAAGATCTGGATGAAGGAAATGCAGGATGTATAATACGGTATGGTACGGTAAAATAGAGCTCATTCTCAAACAGCAATCAAACACACTGTGACGGGATCCCTGCACGAAGCGGTACTCCGCCAATCAGCGAGCTTGGAAACCGGCGACGAAAGCAGGAGGTCCTTGGTTGTACCTTACCTTTTGGCCGGGAAACCCCACCGAGGACCCACTCTGGTCGAGACTCGTATTGGTATTACACTCTCTTCTCAGATGCCTATAGCTATGATGTACTCGTATATAAGATGAACACGATAGACATATACATGAACCCAATGGATGCAGATATTTCCAAAAGACACACATTCCAGGACAGACAAGTCAGGCCGAAACCAGGGGAACACTCGGTCGAGTGCTTTCCCCTTAAGACGAAGGCGTAACCTAACTGGCTACTTGGCGCTTGCACTGCCTCAATTGATGGCCAGTCAGACTCCATCTTTGTATGTAGTTTACGTCTCCGTTTTCCTTTTCTTTCTTTTTTTCCCATCCTTTCATCCTGTGCTTATTTGAATAAATCCCTCTTGCATCCCCATCTGGATCCTGATATCTGACCTGTTCTGAAGCTGCCCGAGACTAAAAGTGAGGCAATCTGCATCTATCAGACAACTATCCATACTACTACTGTACATAGTAGTAACCAGCATCACACAACACTGCCACTGCCGATCATGAGAACATTAATTGTCGCTTACCTTGACTGAGGTGACTCTGATGATACCTTGATTATTGAGTTAATATCCCACATCATCGACTCAGCAAAAAGGGGTCCACCCGCCACCCGCTGAGAGGATGGATTACCGACTGCAGCACTAGTGCGAGGTAGTGGTGGATCCACGGAACTTTATCAGCACCATCTTATCTTCTTTCTATGCCTATGGTACTCCAAGTTCTACTCCGTATCTGCCTTTATCTTGCACCATTCTTGATTCTACTATTCTATGAATCAACTACTGCTAATAGTCTCGACTAGCTGTATACACCGCAATCTCGACCCAATAATGATCGGACACTAGCTCTGTCAACTGGCCTTGGCAAACGGGCGGTGCAAGACCCACTGCCCCACTGAGTGGGTTCTTCAAGCTTTTTTGCGGTGATTACATACGCATTACCGCATGTGGCTTATCCACGACTTGTGCATTCATAATAATCTCCCTGAAACATGCATATAGAATCTCTCCAACATGTGGCAGTGTTACACATGCAACATCTCAATCTCAAATAGTTTGAGCTTGGCAGGCTTGGTTAGAACTCCTACAGTTCTATGCAAGACTACTACTACCTACTTTGGTATGACCGAATCAAACTAAAAGTGATGAACATGCAAGATGCACAAACATCACATCCTAAACACCTCTAGTAAATAGCTTCATTTTTGGGATATACTATACCCACAAGAACACGTCAGATGCGGGGAAGTCATCTGGATCGGATTTATATCTTCATCTAGCAATATTATTCACGTTGTACATACAGCCATATCACTTCATATATACATATAACTACATATTATACAACATCATGTCCCAAACCCAACTCCTCTCTCTCAAGAAAGAAGTAGACGCCAAATTCGACGCTTTTGTAAACTCCAACGATGAATCCGCCAGAGTTGATGCTCTTGAAACAACTCTCAGGCTGAGCCGGGCCCTGGATAAGCCGGCTGATGCTATCCTCAAACTGTCTCTATCGGTATGATACCAACACTTTATTTAGTATACATCACACCAACTGATGAAGTGATACCAACAGCCCTCATTCTACATGGCAGTCAAGGTTGGTCGGGATCTGGATGTCTTCACCACTTTGGCTGGCTCAGACAATGGCTCGACCATTGAGCAACTTGCTGCTCCTAAAAAGGCTGATCCTGGTTTTGTTGGTTGGTTCTTCTTTTCGTTTCTATCTTCATGATACAGAGTACTTACTGGAAGAACGCATCATGCGGGCCCTCGTGGCCATTGGCTTCGCCAATGAACTCGGTCCTGGTCTTTACAGTCCCAGCAGTCTCTCTCATGAAATGACTCGCGAGGTATCAATCAACTCTGTCGATATCCTGTACATCCCCTCTCTCCCTCCACAATGTCTAGAATGCCCATCTAACAATCCAGCTTCTCCGAATACATGCCCACAGTCCTGCACTCGCCCACCTTCTTCGCCAAAACCAACTACCAAAACCCCCTCGATCCTAATCACGGCCCCATCCAACACGCCTTCAACACAACCCTCAACACCTGGGACTGGTTCGCCCAGAACCCAGAAGCATTGGCTCGCTTCAACGTCTACATGAAGGGGGCTCGCGGTGACCGTCCTCACTGGGTGGATTGGTTCCCCGTTCAGCAGGAGGTTCTCGACGGGGCTGTCAATGATGCATCCAGACCTCTTCTGGTCGATATAGCTGGTGGGATAGGCACTGATATTGCGTACTTTGTGAAACGGTTCCCCGATGTGCAGGGGAGATTCATACTCGAGGATCTCCCGTCTGTGATTGACGATATCCAGGATCTAGATGGGAGGATTGAGCGTGTGAAGCATGATTATTTCACGCCTCAGCCGATAAAGGGTACCCACCACCCCTTCCCTCTATATTCATTTATAACAGGCAGTTAACGTAGCAGGCGCCCGCATCTACTACATGCGAAGTTCCCTCCACGACTGGTCCGACACCAGCTGCACCACCATCCTCACTCACATCGCCTCCGCCATGGAAAGAGGCTACTCAAAGCTGCTAATTGAAGAATTCATCCTCCCCGAGACGGACTGCCGCGTTCTGCCCGTCTTGTACGATATGGCGGTCATGTTCTACTGTTCTGGTATCGAGCGGACTCGGTCTACGTGGGAGAAACTGCTGGCGAGGTGTGGGTTTGTCATAAAAAAGTTCTGGGCGCCTGGTGGCGATGCGCAGGGGATTATTGAGGCGGAGTTGCAGTAGCTAGATTATCCAAGTAGAAAGTAGATATAGAAATGAAGAATGACTATGGATGTAGACAATGTCAATCAAGTACTTCGTACATACTATACGGATGTAGGGCCTGCGAGAAGTTGGAAACCTCATGAATAGCTCAAGGTACTAACTAGTAAGGAATATGGCGGTAAATCAATCATTCCTCCCATTACCTACCCTAATATACATCCATTCCTTATTCTATCCTCCATAGTACATCATTTCGCCTCTCCAACCATCTCGCTCTCTTCCTCTTCCTCCACCTCGACATTCCAAATGCCCAACGACTCGCCGCCCAAAAGCCTCTTGCCGGGTTTCGACCGTGCGTTGACCATTGCTTTACTAGACAACGCCAATGCATCCACAATCTCTGCCATCCGTTTGGATGCAATGAAGCTGCGCGTCAGGTGCTCGTTTTCCGATACCTGCATCGCCAGGTTCATACATTGCACCAGAAGCTCGGCGCTCAGCACATGCGCCGAGTAGTATAGTGCGCTGTGGTAGTCGAGGAACACTTCGGGGATATATGTGTTTCGAATCTCTTCCAATTCGGCCTTTTCGGCGTCTGTAGTTTGCCTGTCAGCATGTGTGTGAGCCACTCGTCAAGCACGTAACCTACCATCCTTTGCTTGGATCAGCCACTCGTCCAGCATGGCATCAACATGGTACGCAATCTCGTCCAGGGCTTCCTGCAGTCCCTGTCGGAGTTCCATAATCGCACCAGAGTCCCGTCTACGTTTGTTCCTAATCGAGTCAGTAAAAAGCTTCGGCACAGTATTCAAAACACATACTTCTCAAGATTCTCCCAGACAATGGCAAACATCTCCAGCGCATCAAACGCAAGGATCAGTTCTTCCAAGTCACGCATATTCTGCGACTGCTCGTACAACAAGGCCTGCTGAGCGTCTGATGGCAACCCGTTCGATCGGCTGCGCTTGTGTGCAGATCCCGGCAATCTCGACTTGGTTGGGCTGGCTGGTTCCGGTGTAGCTGATTCAATGCCATCCTCTTCAACTGGGAAGGCGATATCAAACCCAAATGATTCCTGGGAAATATCCGACAGCCTCATACGTCGACTCAATTCTCGAGCTGCCGCAAGTTTGCCAGTGACTGTCATATGTTAGCATCTTCATCACCAATTAACTTTCCAAGGCAGCATACTGTAGAATCTCCGATACAACAGAGCACCATACTCGCAGATCTTGGGCCATTGCCCATCAACGTGTCGAAGCCACTCCAGACTACGGATCATCCGCTCATCTTCACCAGAAACAAATGTCCCAATGTAATCCACCCTGACCGGTACCAGCTCCTGGTATCCGTCCTTGCGCTGAACAAGCTTGGGATACCGTTTAACGGTCTTGGAGTCATCGATGGCAGAAACATTCGAACAAACCCATTGCCACTGGTCTTCAAGAACAGCCTCGATATTAATCCCGTGCTTATCCATCAGCCTAACCTGCTGCCGTCTCTCCCTAGGGTCCACAATCTCGATCAGGATCTGCCCGAGAACAGAGTGCGTCAAGTGCTGTGGTAGGAGAGATGCGTAAATCGGGATTGTATCGTATATGCCTGCCTCCTCCAGATTGGCAATATATCCAATCACATTCACAGAAGCAGTTTCGAAGAATTGCGTATCGGATCGGACATAACCAATCGATCGCGCAATAAGATAGAGATGCGTGGCGATTCTCAAAGAATCCTCATCCTGGGCGGCAATGAGCAGAGCGCCATCCACCGATCCAGGCGTCAGATCCGGCACGAAGCTCGAGTTCTCGGATTTGCTTGCAGCAACCTGGGAAACTGCCCTGGCTAGCGAAAAGAAAAAGCTGTCATACGACTTGCCCAAGATGGCCGCTTGGATTGTGCGATAAGGATTGCGTGCCTCGTTGCCAATCAGATCGTTGCCCTTGGCGTATTGCAGAAACTTGTTCAAATCACTGTACCCAGCCGGTTCCGGAGTAAAAACGACAGAGGATGTTGGTGAATGGCTAAGCTTGCGCTGTAACTGCTTGCAGAATCCTTGGTAACGCGAGAGGATGACACCGTTGAAATAAACGTAGAGGTAGTCGTCCCAGCTCGAACAGACCTTGAATGCGGCCTCAGTCTCACCGCAGAGCAATCCATAGACGGCGCGCTCAAAGTCTTCGATGTTGCTGGTCCGCGCCAAAGTTGAGCAGGCAGCTCTCCACGAGTCCTGAGATCGGGAGTTCATCATGCGTGTGGTTCCATCGTCCACGGGGGTCTTATCTCCACCTGAATTGATGTCAACACTGGATCCACAAAGACTGACAGCCCGCCAATTCTCCAGTCGCTCCTCCGCCCAGTCGCGAATCTTCGTCCAACTTTCTCCCTGTCTCAGCATTTTCCAGCAAGTCATCCACGTAGCGCGCTCGTAGAATTTGTCCTGCGGCTGGAGGCTCTGCTTTTGTCTGGTAACAGCATCGGGGTCCAATTGGGTAATCAATGGTTCCGACTTCGCAGAGCTCAAGAGCGAGAGTGTAATTCCGGGGTCGTTAGGTTCAAGGGGTTGAGGCCAGGCTCGCAATCGCTTTTGTCCCTTGATGGTTTCCTTGGTATACATCCAGCCATATGTCCCCGATGCTGCCCTTTCGGATTGCTTTTCCAGGTCCGCGATCAAAGAATCAATATCTTGAATCCCGGTCTTTGCGGTGTGCTCCAACCACTTCATAATGACCACGCATTCAAGAGCATAATGGTCAGCACCCAAAAACTGTTCCCAAATCTCCCGATCGGACGAATACCGGTGTAGTTTCTGAAAGGCCGTTTCTTGCGCCTGTTTGGAACTGGCTCGGCTAGCGGGATCGTCGATGCTGATTAGGTTGAGTAGAAGCTGCCAAGTGTTGGCCTCCAATTGAAGCCGTTGCAATTCCTCCTCTGTCTTAGGGTCGGGCTGCGGGATTCCATTGGCACGAGTGGCGTTCCAGCCCATCTTTGCGCGCTTCAGAGTATGCTGTTTCGAGATGTCCTGGATAGCATCTTGCGCAAACGTCTGGTAGCTCTTAACGAGTTGGTAGGCCGCCTGAAAGTTCCCAAAATCATCGCCGCGACTTCCTTTTTGCTTGAATCGGTCGAGTTTCTCCGCAAAAGCTTCGATTTGGCGTGTCACCCGATCCGCAGTGCGACGAAGGGGATGCAATGCTTGTTGTGCACCTGCCGACGTAAAGAGTTCCGGAGTGACTATGTCTAAGCCCAATGCAACACCTGGTCAGCATTCTCACGGGGCAGTTAAAAATGAGCGATGTATATTTACCTCGATCACCCCGAACAGATCCCAGGTCCAGGACAGATTCAGTCCCGTTGGCATCTGCGGATTCGTTCTCCGACTCTTCATCCTCCATTTCATCATCGTATTCCACGCCAGATTCCTCTTCCTCGTCGACCGGCTCGTCGTCGTCGTCGTCAATCATCACAACCTCAGGCTCGTTTGTACTCGACGGGCGGGCATGCTACCAGAAAGCCTTGTGTTAGCGCAACCACCAATGGACAACACAGGGCAAGGGGACTCACATTTATGGAAGTAAACCCCCCGAAAGTGCCAGTCGGGCCTGCAGCTCTAGTTAATGGAGCCATCGCAGACAGTTCGACCGCTTTAGACAAGGTGGGATGTGAAGCTCCCCAGGGCAGGGTTTTGGAGAGAGACTCTTTTGCCTTTGTCCGCCATTATTATTATGGACGGGGCGCGTTTCCAGGCCGGCCCGACAGGCTAGGCCCAAACAGGACTAGCGCCAGGCCAACGCACGCATTGAAAAATCTCTTTCTCGTCGATTTCTTCTTCTTCTTTTTCTTTTTTCTTCAACAAATGTCATTTAGGCAGTCATTAGAGTCTCGGAGCGAAGGATAATCAATCTTTGTTCAGGTCTATAAGGCCTCTCAGCGTGCTCACGATTGTCTTAGAACAATCTGGCACTTCCTCAACTAGCCTAGTCCTTCTATAAATGAGGGCTCAGACTGCAAAGGAATTGCTACACCCCTATCAACCTCAATTTGAGTGTAGGAAATCCCAGCTACACTGCGTACAGACGGCAAATCTATCTCTCTATGTACAATGCGTCCCAGTATCGACGCGAAATCACTTCCCTTGAGCTCGTTGCCTCATCTTCAATCGAAGCAGATTGGCTTTGGGGCAGCTAGGGGTTTTTCCGTCGTCCCCTCGTTCCTGGTAGAAGGCATTACAGCATTCGTATAAGGCGTCGATCTGCGATTGGCATTTGTCTTCCTGGTAGGAGTTTCTTGTCAAGCAGGCTGCGTGCATTAGCTGTGATTCCTATCGCTGGTGACAGCGTGAAGTACCTTGGATAGCACACTGGTTGGCTGTCAGCGATGATACACGAATGCTTCTTGAACAATAGGAGAACATACTGCTCGTGGATGGCAAGGAGGGTCAAAAGCCATGTCTTCTTTCAAGCCTCCCTGGATATAGTCAATTGCTTTAGTGATCGCCTCCAGCTTGTCGGGTTCATAGCAGTCTTACCATGACGCAATTTCTCAAAATCAATATCAGACCGTGAGAGAAAAGAAATAGGGATTACAAGATTGCAGACTCGACAATTGGTCTGCCTCGGGTCAAATGATTCCAAGCAACACAGTAACAGTAAGAATGATAAATCAGTGGTCTGGATCGATTCACTTGGGCAACACAATATGGCATCTGAAGCCGGAATCAATCGCTCATCGCATAATAATCGCTGGACCTGCGCCGCAAAAAAGATTCTCCGCTGCTCTTCACTGACGGTGGGGTCCGCGCCTTTCATCGTCTTCAGCGTCAACTTATCTTCTTCTTATATCCAGCCTCGCTGACCTTCTTCTCGTTCTCTCTATTAGCCGTTGCTTTTGTGAGTATTTCACTGTAAGTACTCTTCGCTGCATCATCTCCAGGGTGTCGATGCGGCATCTTCATGGATGGGCACAGTTAACGCTTATATTTCAACCCAACAGCAGAGATCAATCTTTCAGTCTACATCTTTTTCCAATAACACGATGACCGAAAACGATGCTCCTCCCGCTGAAGCCCCTGCGGCCGTCGAGCACCTCAATATCAAGGTTACAGACAACAATAACGAAGTTTTCTTCAAGATTAAGCGTTCGACTCAGTTGAAGAAGCTTATGGATGCGTTCTGCGAGCGCCAGGGAAAGCAGGTGTCGACTGTCCGTTTCCTTTTCGATGGTACACGAGTGCGCCCAGAGGACACCCCAGACACAGTATGTGCTTCTCTTTGAAACTGGGCTTTTGTCCGCAACGATACTGACAAGTTGGTACAGCTCGAGATGGCCGATGGCGATACCCTCGAAGTTCACCAAGAGCAGATTGGGGGTTAGACGACGAGTAGACTCTTGATCATTCATCTTCAATCAGCTCCTCTTCCTGTCCTGATACCTTCCGCATACCACACACAAGAAGGCGCAAAGGTGTTGTTATTTGCCAGACCTCTGTCTGGATTGCGGGGTTTGGCCTCGTTTGGCCTTTTTTATGAGATCGTTTTATTTTTTTTATCTTGTTTAAAGAAGAAAAGAAAAGGAGAGAAGAGTGGTTTCATCATGAGCTTTACGAATCAAGTTTATGTCCTCATTCTGCATCTCAACGCCCGAATCGCATGGATCATAAAGTCTAAGCGTTGCTCATAGATCGGGGCAGCCATAAGGCTCATTCACACCATCACTCGATATATTTTCCATATACAGTAGTAATATGTCATACCAAAAGCATCTTACACCCTCACATATACAAAACAGCCTACAGAAAGAGGCTAGGATAATAGACAAGAGACAGCCACCCATCCAAAAAGAACAAAGAATACCACATACCCCCTCACAAGCCACTGGCCAAAAATCATATAGACAAAGAAAAGTTCAAAAGAAAAAAAAGATTACATATCCCAAACGGCGGCTTTAGCTCGCTCCTCATCCTCTTTCGCCTTTGCCGCCTCCTCCCGCTCCCGATTCCGTCGCTTTATTTCCTGCTCTTTCGTTGCCCGATCGTAGGCTCGCTGTTCTTCCGTCCTCTTGGGAGCCCTAATGCCCAGAGCACCGGCAATCATCCTCCCAGCAACGGCAGTCTGCTTCTCCGGCCTGCGAGCAGCAGCAGGGTTGGGGGATCTACGATCCGCGGGACCCGGATTCCCATACCCAGCACCACCAGCCGACGACACCCACGGCTGCGAGGTCTGCGGTGAAATCGGCGTGGGTGGAGGATCCAAAGGACCTTCTGCACAGGCACTGATGGCCGGCGACGGCGTATCATCATCTAAATTGGAGCTGGAGGTAGCGCCGCCCTTGTCGTCGTCGTTGTCGGACTCGGCCTCGTCCTCCCAGGAGTCCGCAACGGGGGCCTTTTTGGGCGCCATTGGTTTCTTCACCGATGTTGGGCGGGAGATATCCTTGATGGAGGAGTGCTGGCTGTCGCTGATTGAAAGTTCACGCAGGGAAGATTGGAGCTCCGAGGCTGCTGATGTAGACATTGAAGGCGGGGTTAGCTGGTGTTGTTCTTATTTGTTTCAACCAGATACCCACGAAGAGCAGAGGCAGGATAGATCGAACAAGACAGACAGACCCTTGGATGCTGGTCTCTTTGTTGCCATTTCTATTTGGTTGTTGTAGACAGACGGCTGGTGGTGGCCTGGATTTGAGAGTTGGAGGGAAGGTGAAATTAATGGCGTCAGTCGTGGAGCGTCCAAAGTCAACCCCGCCCGTAACCATCCAGGTGTCTTGATTGGTTTGGTTGGACAGAATAGATGGAATAATCCGAGGACATGTCATCTGCTTGTGATATAGGATCTAAAATTTCTCTAGTTTGATTCTTATGGCTCTATTTCCTGTCTACTGAGAGATTGTTGTTGCTGTCTGTCCATCGCAGCGGGGTTAAAGTGTAGTTCAATGACGATGTCACACGACCACATAATACTGATCAAGAAGCAACAGTAACACAACCGGCACCATCCTATGCCCATGGTATCTCTATCTAAATTTCTAAATTAAAACCTCAATATCTCTCCCCTTACTAATCCGTAAAGCACGTGTTCACGCCATCCCACCCTTCCGAGTAGCCATCTTGGCACGCATTTCCGAGACAACCAATCACAAAAGTTAACTTCCTCTCGGACATAGGCTTCCCAGAGCTTCCGAGACAGGCCGTCGCCCGAGGTCCAGATAACTATTTAGTAGACGGGGGAATACCCCAGAGCCAAGTCACCTTCAATTCCCCAGATTCCGCGTCACCACTCTTCTTCCAAGGAATATATAAACATATTATTTATTATATGGTAACAATGAGTCTGCATTCTTTACCAGCACGAGCACCAAAGGCACAAATTCTACCTCCCTCGTGGACGCAGACGGGTCGTTTTTCCACTTCCTTGCGCCGTGCTCGCTATGCGGATACGCTTCCTAATCTTAAGATCGGGGCTCATACGAGGGTGTTATTTCAGGGTTTTACGGGTAGACAGGTATGCAGTATACACTAAATCTAGGCTGAAAACAATTGCTAACTCCCATCAGGCCACTGCCAACGTAAAAGAATCCCTAGCATGGGGAACTAAGATTGTCGGGGGTGTTAAGCCCGGGGTAGAAGGCGAGCATTTGGGATTGCCTGTATTCCCTTCAGTGAGGGCGGTGCGAATATCTTCAATGGATTCTTGACCATGTAGATTCATGCTGATACACTTGCAGGCCCAGGAAAAAGCAAAGCCAGACGCATCTGCCATTTACGTACCCGGAAACCAAACAGCAAAGGCAATTGAGGAAGCGATTGAAGCTGAGATTCCTCTTGTTGTTGCCGTGGCTGAGCATGTCCCAGTTCATGATATCCTGCGGGTTAGAGCTCCTTTTCCTACTCGTTAGAGGGGAGCATTGCATTGCTAAGGCCGTCTGTCTACAGATCCATTCCATGCTTCAAACACAATCAAAAACTAGATTAGTCGGCGCCAATTGCCCCGGGATCATATCTGCAATTGGCAAGTGTCGGATAGGTTTCCAGCCACTGCCCTGTTTCGCCCCGGGTAATGTAGGCATCGTCGCCAAGTCAGGGACTCTGAGTTATGAGACTGTGGCATCGACAACGCGAGCTGGTCTCGGACAGAGTCTCTGTATTAGTATGGGAGGGGATGTGCTTGCAGGGACCAATTTTGTGGACGCATTGACTATCTTCGAAAATGACCCTGACACAGAGGGCATCATGCTTGTTGGTGAGATTGGTGGCACTGCAGAAATCGATGCTGCAGAGTGGATTCGGGATTATAACAGGCGATGTGCAAACCCTAAGTATGTGTCCATGTCATCGATACAATGGTCTCTGATGTTAATGATGACAGGCCCGTTATGGCTCTTGTTGGTGGCTTGGAAGCCCCTCCTGGTCGGGTCATGGGTCATGCTGGAGCTTGGACAACACCAGGTGAACCAGACGGAAAGGCCAAATACGACATTCTCGAGCGTGCTGGAGCAGTCATGGTCAATCATCCTGAAAAGTTTGGTGGGGGCATGAGGACTCTCTTGAACAGTCGTGGTGGTAGCCGAGGTGCGATGGTAAGTTATTTGAAAAACAGTCTCTGAAAAGGTACTCATAATTTTGCAGTCTTCATCGAACTCTGTCAACCAGAAACGGAACCTGCACACAATGAGACGGGTTTCATCCGGTAGTCAGAAACCATTCGGGTCGAACCAAGTCCGATCTCTTCACATTAAGCAATCCCAGGCTCTTGACATGCTCAAAGAAAAGTCCATTCCCGTCCGCGAAACAGCTGACTCTGATTCCGACTTTTCCCTGTCCATCACCGTTGACAGGAACGCATTGTCTCCTTGTGTAATCGCAGCTGGCCCGGATGCAGCTCAACCCCGCAAATTCCCATTCGAATACGCCACTACCGACTTGAGCAGTGCCGGTACACTGCTTGAGGCTGTTGCATCGCACCTTCAAATACCCGAGACAACACATTTAGCCGGTCTGGTACAGGCTTTGTGGCAGATTTTCAAGGAGAAAGAAGCTTTTCTGCTGGTGGTCAAGGCCAGCTCAGTTGGTGGTGCTTTAGAGGTGCATGGTGCACACTTTAATTTTGATGATGCTGCATTTAGGAGCTCGGGGCGTCAAGAGGATGTGCACCGACTGAGAAACAAGGAAGAGGAAGTTCCAGAGGAGGTTGAAGCAGAAAAGGACGGCATTGTCTATATCAAGTATGTCGATGATTACCCCATTAAACCATTTGATACTAACCAACATGGATAGACTTGATGGTGAAGGCAGTGTCGGCACACTAGGTAAGACAGTCCAAAATATCTGAATCATTCCAGACTAACATCAATCAAGTCAACGGTGCCGGTCTGGCGATGAACACAGTAGATGCCCTCACCATCCATGGTGGCCACTGCGCCAACTTCTTGGATACTGGTGGCAAAGCCACCTCGGAGACGGTCAAGTCGTCCTTCCGAATCATCGGTTCCGACAAACGGGTGAAGGCGATCTTCGTCAACATCTTTGGGGGGTTGACACGGTGCGATATGATTGCAGAGGGCATCATTCTCGCATTTCGGGATCTGCACATGAGCGTGCCGGTGGTGGTTCGACTGAGGGGAACCAACGAGGAACTTGGACAGAAGATGGTAAGTCTTGTTGTCTTGGAGACTGAGCCCGTGCTAATGGTATATAGATTGCGGAGAGTGGACTTCCTCTGCATGCCTTTGACAGTTTTGAGGATGCAGCAAAGAAGGTGATCAGCCTTGCAGCATAGATAGATACACTCCTAGGATACGATAGACGAATGACAATAAATAAAAACAAACCCTCCCTTGCAGTGGAGATGAGATAGAAACAGGATAGAAAAAAAAAAGAAAAAGAAAAAAGAAAGAGGTCGACCCCCACGGGACTCGAACCCGCAACCATTGCTTGATCTCCAGTTCTGTTCGGAAACTGAAAGAAGTAGGAGAGCAACACTCTACCATTGAGCCAAGAGGCCGCCTTGTTGAAGGAACGAGATTTCTTGAGCATTATTAGGCAGACGCAGAGACTGAGTGTGAGTGAATATGCCATGTTTGGTGTTGATGACGACGAGTGTCGTGATGCAGTCAATGTCTCATCTAGTGCTTATTATTTATAGTGGTCGTATTTACTACATGAGTAAGGTGTATTGATCAATATTATTGCACCATTTGACTATTAGTGGATATAAAATGAAGCTATACACATTGCATCCACATTGTATATATTTGTCGGCTACACCAGTGTCACCACGGTATAGCACCAATAAACCATCCATATCAAGTCTACAATTCTATATCTCTACACCCCTAATCCATAATAAAACCAATAACTAATAATCAAGATCATCCCAATATCCCTTCATAAACTCCAGCCAAGTCGATCCGACCCGCTGCCACGCCATCCTCCGACTTCGCCGAAACGTCCATGGATGAAGAATCCCGGTTCAGCCAGAAGAAACTTCACAGTCGAAACAGATATTCACATAAACCCTCATTAGTAGTGTAAATGACACCTCTAAATCAATTGGCTTCATCATCACAACCCATGACAAGTAAATCTTTCCACTTGTAGTCATACCGAATATTCCTGGCCGTATTGCCTTAATTTCTTAACCCCGCGATCAGCGCCAATTCCGCCCCGCTGCTCGTCGTCGCCGTTTCGCTTCATCCCACCTGCTTCTCTTTCTCTTCTCCTTTTCTTCTTCTCTTCCCTTCCCTTCCTCCTCCTCTTCATCCGTCTTCAACTTCTCTGATCTCGATCACGCATCTATAAACAAAATGGCCACGTAAGTATCCAACAACCCGCCCATGCCCACCCCTCATCAAAACTCAAATCTAACAAAAAATCCCACCACAGAAACATCACCTTCCACGCCAGCGGTGTGACCCGCGCCGAGCGCAGCCAGCTCCGCAACCAGCGCGGCCTCACCATCTGGCTGACTGGTCTCTCTGCCTCCGGCAAGTCCACTCTGGCCGTTGAGCTGGAGCGCCAGCTCCTGCACGACCGCGGCGTGCACGCCTACCGTCTCGACGGCGACAACGTCCGCTTCGGTCTCAACAAGGACCTCGGATTCAGCGAGAAGGACCGTAACGAGAACATCCGTCGCATTGCCGAAGTCGCCAAGCTCTTCGCCGACAGCGCCTCCATCGCCATCACTTCTTTCATCTCCCCCTACAAGGCGGACCGTGCCACTGCCCGCCAGCTGCACGAGGTCCCTACCCCCGGTGAAGAGACCGGCTTGCCTTTCGTCGAGGTCCACGTCGATGTCCCCGTCGAGGTGGCCGAGCAGCGTGACCCCAAGGGTCTGTACAAGAAGGCCCGTGAGGGTGTCATCAAGGAGTTCACTGGTATCAGTGCCCCCTACGAGGCCCCCGAGAAGCCCGAGGTGTACATCGACAACCACAACACTCCTATCCAGGAGGCTGTTGGCCAGATCATCGCCTACCTCGACAAGCAGGGTTACTTGCCTGCCAAGGCCCAGTAAGCTTGTCGGTCTATTGTCCTTTTGTTTCGCTTGAAAATATTGGAAATATCGGGTGTTTTCTTTCTTTATTTTCTTTTTTTTTTTTTTTTTTGTTTTTTTGCTTTCCAGGCTTAGAGTATTGATGGC